TAAGCTAATCATGAATCAAACCTCTAGTCAGCATGGGTGGTGGCAAAGGTGGTTCCGACTTCGACCCCAAGGGCAAGTCCGACAACGAGATCCGCCGCTTCTGCCAGGCCTTTATGCGCGAGCTGTCTCGACACATTGGCGCCGATACTGATGTCCCCGCTGGTGATATCGGCGTTTCTGGCCGCGAGATTGGATACATGTTTGGAGCCTACCGCCAGGCCAGGAACAAGTTTGAGGGTGTCTTGACCGGAAAGGGACTGAGCTGGGCTGGCAGCTTGATTCGACCTGGTGAGTTTCCATTGTTTCCCTAAGCAGCCACAACGCAAGAAGAAAGGGATCGAGTGCTGACAATGCTTTGCAGAGGCCACCGGCTACGGTCTCGTCTACTACGTCGAGCACATGCTCCAGCACGCCGGCAAGGGCTCTCTCGCCGGCAAGCGCGTCGCAATCTCCGGCTCCGGCAACGTCGCCCAGTACGCCGCCCTCAAGTGCATCGAGCTCGGCGCCACCGTCGTCTCCCTGTCCGACTCTAACGGCGCGCTCATTGCCCCCGACAACGGATCCTTCCAGCCCGAGCACATCAACGAGATTGCCGCGCTCAAGGCCCAGCGACGACCCCTGACCGACTTCCAGTACGGCGACAAGTTCAAGTACTACCATGGCGCGAGACCCTGGATCCACGTCGGCAAGGTGGACATTGCGCTGCCTTCGGCGACCCAGAACGAGATCAACAAGGCGGAGGCTGAGGCCCTTGTTGCTGGAGGCGTTTTGGTCGTGGCTGAGGGATCCAACATGGGCTGCACTCAGGACGCCATCGACTTGTTCGAGGCCCAGAGGAAGGAGAAGGGCCAGGCTGCCGTTTGGTATGCTCCCGGAAAGGCCGCCAACTGCGGAGGTGTTGCCGTGTCTGGTCTGGAGATGGCCCAAAACAGCCAGGTAAGCTTTGCTCCCCTTTTATCTCTTTGCACCTTTTTGTTAGTGTAATTGCCTGCTGACAACTTGTGAATAGCGTCTCACCTGGACCGAAAAGGAAGTCGACGACAAGCTCAAGGACATCATGAAGAACGCCTTCCTCGCCGGTCTCGAGACGGCCAAGAAGTACGTCCCTGCCAAGGAGGGCGAGCTCCCCAGCTTGGTTGCCGGCAGCAACATTGCCGGCTTCGTCAAGGTCGCCGAGGCCATGCACGACCAGGGTGACTGGTGGGCTTAAGCGTCTTTCCGTCAATTTTTTTTCCCCTGCTTCTTGGATTTCCCTTTATTTTCAGTAACGGATAGAAAAATGGACGTTTGGCGTTTGGGACTGGCGGTTATTGCAGCCGGTGTTTGTTTTGTATATATGGGATGGACTGCGTGGCATTGTTGATATCAGCGGTAGTTGAGATATCCATCATAGCGAAGATATTAGTGATAGTTATGATATCCGTTTAAAATTTAATCCTCTTCAATGCTCAAGACGTGTATAGATGTTAGTTACATGTAACTTGGCCACTTATTCAGCTCCTTGCTTGAGGAAGGTAGCCACCCCTTACAATAGGGAATTTCTATGTCAATGTAAAATCAACAGTTTTTCAATTCAAACGACTCAATTATCTACTGGGTATCTATATTAGATGCACACTCACTAAGACCAACCTGTCTTGATGCCTTTCCAGAGCCTCAAATTAGTCTTCATCGGCCGACTCTCCTGCTAAGAGCTGCTCCTTGATACGCTGGCTGGGCAGCCACCTCTCCTCCGGAATGATCCACCACGACACAATGGCAAAGATGGTCACAGCCCCCATGATGACGGGCGCATAATTCAAGGTGTCTCCCGTGACAGGGAAAACATACGGCGAGAAAAGCACGGCGACCACCCAACCGTTCCACAGAACGGAGATTGCCTGGAAAGGCTTGCTCCAGCGACCAAGGCTCCATGCCGGCTTAGGGAACGTCTTTGGCGTGAGGAAGAGTCGGCCAAGACAGATGAGCCCGTAGGCTGCGGCGGAGGGAACACCGGCGGCCGAAACGAGAGAGGTAAAGGCCACGGAAGAGGGCAGGATGGTGCAGGTGATGATGGAGGCGACGACCCAGACGACGATGACGGCGTTGCGCGGCTGGCCATCGACGACCTGGGAGACCCAAGATGACCAGGGCAGGACGCCGTCTCGGGCCACGGCGAAGACGAGGCGTGAGGCGGCGAGGACGGCGATGGCAGTGTTCTGTAGTGAGAAAGGTGAGTGGGAGAAGTTATGGAGCGGGATAGGAGATGTGGGATGGGGGAGGGCAACGTACAAACCACAGAGCGACGATGCAAACAACGTTCATGACGATGTGGCCGCCTTGGCCGAGGATCACGGCGTATAGCGGCACAAACGGCTGGACGCTACCGTAGGAGAAGAGGGTATCTGGATCGGGCTTTGAAGAAATTCCATGTCAGAAGCTGCATAACTCATGATTCCCCATTCTAAATCATATCATCTAAAACTTACCGTGCAGAAGAGAAACAGAATAACGACGACGAAGCCGCCAAGCCCGCTGACGACGGTGCTCCAGAAGATACCCCTGGCCGCAGACACGCTGGCGTTGCGCGTCTCCTCAGCGACGTGGCCCGAGGCGTCGTAGCCGATGAGGATGCCGGCGGTGGCGAGATACGACAGGCACCAGTTCCAGCCGGGCGAGGCGCCGGTGCCGTTGTAGGTGGTCATGAAGGCGTCGTGGGCGGAGCGGAAGCCGATTGTGCGGGCGGTGCCGATGGGCAGCCAAATCATGTTGAGGACGAAGTCGAGGATGACGAAACCGGTGGAGAGGTAGAAGATCCATTTGAAGTATTTGGCTGTTTTGGGGGGACGTGTGTGAGTTGTTGTCGTTTTGGTGCTTGTGATTTTGGGTGATTTAAAGGGGGAAGGGGCAGTAGGAGAGTGTAAATGGATACTCACGGGGGAGGAGATTCCATATCGCTGCTAGAGCGAGAAGGACTTCGGTGCAAATCCACTGGACGGCGCGAAACTTGACGTCTGAGGGATCTGAAGGAAAGTCAAGGTTGAAGACGACGGTTTCCTATTGAGATAGTTGGATCAGTTTTACGTCAGGTCTCAGCAGTATAACATTGTAAGACATACCGACAGCATGTAATTCACAGCTCCCTGTGTGTTGCCTGTAGGTATTACTGTTAGCCACTAGACTCGTCTTCTTCGTATCAACTCAAACATCTAAACATACTGGCACAGAAAGTCGTCCAAGCAGTGGTGCTCCACCACGCAACGACATAGCCAAACAGGCGTCCATATCGAGGCCCGCCGGCCTCAGCCGCCCAGAGATAGATGGACCCGGCAAGCGGCAGCGACGAGCAGATTTCCGCAATGACGGCGGCGCTGATGAAGCTGAAGACGCATGTCACGATGAAGCTTGTCCTGCGGGGGTGGAATCGTCATGAGTAACCAGGACGAGGCTGTCATCGTGAGGGTGGGGGGTAAAGCCTCACCAGTAGGCGAGATTGCCGCCGGCAGCGATGCCGGTTGAAAAGGTGACGCGGACGCCGCCGATGAAGTAGAGGGCGGCTTGTTTGTGAGAATGTCTTGTTAGACCTTTTTGTTTCTCTTGTTTGGGGGCGTTGGAAATGACTCGAGATATATGCCTTACCAAAGGTTGTTGAAAAATTGTGAAACAAATTGAAGGTTCTATGAAGCACCTGCAGACAGCCTCGTGTGAGATTTTTCGGTCACGCTTAAAAGGCAAAACAAAACGGAAAATAAACTAAAGACCGTTGAACGTACAGGTTTGTATCCGAGTTTCGTCTGTCACTGCAATGTCAGCAAAAGTTGAAGCCATCGCCGAGACTTTGATCGAGTCTTACCAAAACCCTGGTGTCTGCGGTTTCTTCGACAACGCCTTCAACGTCGTGGGTCTTTGAGTCGGTTGGCGCATCGTCTATGACGACGGGTGGTGCTTCTTCAATCATTTTCGCCTAAAATTATTTCTTACCCTATTGTTCTTCTTTTCTCTATTTTGTATTAAAATAAAAATTCCGTTAAAGTAGCGACGGGAATAAAAGGAAAAGAGATTTGCCGTGAGTTGGAGCACGCGGATAAAGAAGTTGTTGTTGCCCGCTAAAATCCCCCAACCTTGAAAGAAAAAAAAAAAAAAAATAGCTCGCTATACTGAGTTGAGACGTGATAGATAGCAGCACAAGCTTAGAGCTCTCACTGCCGCCCCGTCCCACATGGAGTAACCGTAACGCACCGGCCGTGTGCTCGTATGATATGGAGCCGGTAATTTGATCGACGCCCGGGTTGTCTGTCGTATTATCACGGACTCCACAGCTTTAGAGTGGCAAGTTTCTTATTGTGAGATAGTGAAAGTGTCAGGAGATATTGTGTCTCCTTCTCCTTTTCTGGTTGGCATTTTTTCATTCTAGGATTGAATATAATTTTTTTTATTCTCCTGATTTTTACATCTCAAATGATTTGACTTTGTGTAGCGTGGTTTGCGCCGCTCGGAGAAGTTCTGGATTTTTATCACGCAATTGCCGGGGTTATATCTCCGGTTCGACTCTATTAGTACACCGAGAAATGAAGGAGGAATCCTCTGCTGATATGGATGTAATCAACTTGTAATCAACTAATCTTACTTGTCCTTTGCCCTCAGTGCAGTGTAATACTCTTGATGGCTCACTAAGATTAGCTCCAGGGTAGCTGAATTCTGTACCGGTGCACAAGAGAGAAATGCTCACAAATTCAAGACCACCCATTACATACATCACCAAATACTGCAATATTGTTTGCATATTCTTTATTGTAAATTATACAATTCAATGATATTACAACAATTACCAATCCTGGCTTCTATACTAAGGATCAGACAGCAACCTGTCTTCGTTTATATGAAATCCAACTAGGTACCTATACCTTACACTGCTAATAACCAATACCACCTGGAGACTCGATCTTCTGTCTCGACAATTCATGTGCATATCTTTCTCCCAAGCCTTTACGGCATCACTTTCCCCCTAGACGTACTCACTTTGATGATGGTGGCTTTCCAGGCATCAACACCAGCCATAATGTTTGCGTCTTTAGCTGCAACGACATTCCTTCGTCAACATCAAGCCCTGCAATATGCGGTTCCAGTGCCCTCATCTGTCTTGCAGCATCGCTCTCCTTAGTCTCCCAAGCCAGGCTTAACAAAGTTTCCAACGGCATTCCCAGATGATGAGCCAATCCCGCGGAATCAAATAGATGTGCGTGTAAACCGCGCATGTGTAGCCACTGTTCGTTTGCAACAGCCGCATACGTCGCAGCTCTCTCTTGAGGAGTTCTCGGCCTCTTGGTCACAGCCCCAATGGCCTGGCTGGGGAGCGCCAGAGTGGTGCCCACGATGCCTAGGGCCGTTGTTACTGGCAGCGAGATGGTGCCTCCGATGAGGCCCATGGCAGCACCTATGATATTGCCCCGTTTGGCATTGTCCGAGACGTTCCTACCAATGGACTTGGCGTGGGCAGCAACATTTTTGCCCAGGTTTTTGGGGTTTTGGCCAATATGGGCAGCTACATCGGTGGCATGTGAAAGGGCGCGATCTGATATAGTGGCCGTTAGGAAGGCTGAGATGGTGGTCATGAACGACCGCCATGTCTCCTCGGTGATGCCATAGCTAAGAAGAACAGGGGCATACGCCACCAGGAAAGGCGAATCCGGATCCGGTTTGATCTGAGGAAAGGCAATGGTTCGGGCGGTTGCGGAGCTGCTGCTAGATGACCCGACTTGATAGATGGGGGGAGCTTGTGCTGTCAGAGAACCGTCTTTGCCTTTGCCATCCGTAGGGAAGTTAAACGGTGAGGTGATGGTTGGGGCCAGTGCTGAGGTTCCGGCCGGCGGCTGTAATGTTGATGCCGAGACTGATGCAGAGAGCGAATGGGAAACTGAAAGTGAAGCCGGATCTGAGGGTCCTAATCGGGGCTCTTCATATGCCGGCGCCGGGTCGAATGGGATCACCTCTTGCGGAAGCTCAGCCGGAGCCCCGTTTGCCTCTTTCGGCGTTAAGCCACTGCCGCTGCCGATTCCCTTTTCCATGGCCAGAAGATGAATTACTGTACACCTGCTTGATTTCGAAGCAGCGGCGAGTCAGTGGTTTCTAGACTCAGCGAGGCGAATCTTTCTTTTTAATTGTTCTTTGCGCGCCTGGCTGTGCGTCCTGGCATCGCGTGTGGTTACGTCACAGCCTAGTCAGTTGTTAGGCCCTGATCCAAGCCATGGATGGTGTTGTGGCCAACCGCATGCCTGCAAAATACGCTACTTCTACGGGCTTGCGAAGCATCTGCCGCTGCGCCACGGATGCCTCGCGGACAAACATCGGCTCGTCCGACCCCTTGCATGGAGACTCCTGAGCGAAGGAATGGGATCCTGAGAGCTTGGACGGGCTTGGACGGGCTATTCTGGTTGTGGGTAGTAGCGGCTGGCGCTTTGCTGTGCTGACGAGGCGAGCGGCTTGTTATCCTGAGTCATGGTTTCTGAGGGTAACCGAAAGCGAGCTGGATTTGGGTTACATTGTGTCTTGTAGTGGTTTGGAATGGTTTGGAACGAGGTTGTATGTAAGTGAGAAGCTCGTTACATGTCTGGCAAATCGAGACGCCATCAATGCCTTATATGCCTGGGATGCGCAGCTACGAGTTTCGACAGCCCATCACATGGATCAGGTACATGTACCGCACTCTCCAGCCAGAGTCTTGCTCCATTCGAAGTCACTCATACCGCGACCCGTCAGCTGGAGCTAATCGCCCGGTAAGTGGACGCTCTTGTCCCGATTAGGAATTTGCAGCTCTTGCACCTGAGCTCCCACGATTGGCTCAACCCCAGACAGCAGTGCCGGCTCCCCCGGTACTTACAATTTCCACATCGTCATATCCTGGCCAACCTCAACTCTGGCGAAACATCACGAGTGGCCGCTCCTTTAAGCTTCTGCAAGCTTCTGCACGCACTACTCAGGTGGCTTCTGGCAATTCTTTTAATAGTGCGGGAGACGCTGCTGCTATTGGCAAGCCCCTGGCAAGCCCTGGCCGACATATCTACCGCCTACACCTTCCGACTTGGTACTTCTCCAGAAGCCAATTGTCTCTGCCAGCTCCGTGACAAAGCCTCCAAGCATGATACAGAACCTGTTCAAGACCGACGACGACGACAACGACGGCATGCTGCACCAGCCTCTCACCATCCACAGGCCGCCAATTCATCCGCCAGCATGGCCCTCTTCCAGCAGCTCGCCTGCCCGCTCCTCCTCTGCCAAAACACCCGTCACCAGGCCCAACTCATCAGTAATCAAGCTCCAGTTCATCAACACAGCTCACCCCAGTGAATCAACCTCAGCCAAGCGCATCAGCCAGATCCGGTCACACGTAGCCAAGGACTCCCATGCCCGCCGCCGCCAGCGTAAGGCGTGCAAGGCGGCCAAGGCCTGCTGTTCGTCATCTGCGACTGCGGCCGTGGCTGCGGAATCTCCCGTCCGGACCGAGAGTCCCGACTCCACCCCCGAAAATGCCGTCGCACTGCCAGTTCGAGCCCGGCACCCTCTGTCTGCGTTTCTTGATGAAAGTGAGGGGCTGAGATTCCGGGGGTTTCGGAGAATTGCGCCAAAGACGGGAGCCCTGGACCAGAGTGTGGAGGTGCCAACGCCAAGGCAGATGATTGGCGATGTGAGGAGGGACGGGTGGAACGGGTCCTTTGCCTGGGAATTGACAGATGACGAATACACAACGTTTAATTTCTGTGAGTGCAAAATCAATCATTGCTTCCCCCCTTTCTTCTTCCACCACGCCCTGCAGATCATATCCTATCGCCCCCGATGTTGGATCTTCATGTGAATCATGTCCTGTCTGCTGCTATACTACTATATACTTGTACATGCTGGGTGCATAGGTACCCCAGCGATCCAGTAGTGCCGACTGCTTCTGTTCTTACTTCATACATGTATACTGCTTAAACAGGTACGAACGTATGCTGACTTTGTCTCCCAATTATCAAGACCTGGATTGGGTTCTCAAGTATGGCTATGAAATCTGCTTTCCCCGCGACCAGGTCGCTCCCGTCATGAAGCGGATGAAGGCAGCCTATGTTCCCTTTGCCATCAGATATCCCAGCCTGCTGGCCTGTATTTTCTATATAGCCTATCACAGACGCGCCCTCACCTCGAAAGACCCTCAAGAGGCAGCTAGGTGCAATCTCATGATGGAGCGCTACCGGCTTGTCTGCATTGAAATGATGAAGGCCGCAATTGAGGCCGAGGAGCGGCCGAGCTACCAGACCATCACGTTGGCCATGCAGTTGTGTTCGGAAGCGGTAAGTCGTCGTCCTGTATCATACTTTCGTTGGCGGAAATGGATATCTTTCAGGGCAATAACTAACCCAGATCTCAGTACTTTGAGGGAAACACAGACATATCGTTTACCCATGCCTATGCAGCGAGGACCATGGTCACAGCAAGAGGAGGCCTTGAGAGCTTTGATCACGTAGGTATCTATGGCCTCATCTCCTTCTTGCTGGCCACATCCGTGTATAGCGGGAATTACTTCTTCGTTCCCGGCTGTGCGAGGGCACCCGAGGGCTGAAAAAAAAAGGAGGGATTGTGCAGAATGTGAGAATGGAATCAATTATTATGTACACGTACGGTTTATGTAAATGGGTAAGGTTCTGTGTCATGCATGGCGTTTCTTTATATACATTCATAGGTTGCCTCATACGGTTTCATGCCGTTTCGTATGCTCATTATATACGTGTGCATGATAAATGCCTGGGTATCAAATCATGCTTAAAATCTCCCCCGACTCGTAGCCCCATTCCGCTTCCAAGTCCTTCAACCGCCATATGGCACCCCATCCCGTCGTTCTGTCAATAATCTTGAACAGCCGAGCCACCTCGAGATGCTCTCTCGGATGCGTCAACAGCCTGCCTGCGATGTACAGGGGCTGGATGGCGTTGATGAGGTTGCCGCGGTGAGGGTTTGTCCACGAGATGCCACACACTCGTTGGGCATGCCAGACGGCTGAGTACTCGAGCGTGTTGGGCAGCGTCTCGCCGGGTGGCCTCATCTCCAACATGACTATACACGCTGCGTGGTAGAGCTGGTTGCTGGAGATGGCCGCCCAGTGGGCAAAGAGGATGATGGGGAAGATTTGGCTGTCGCTGGGCTCCGTGGTCATGATGGGCAGCAGGCACTTTGGCCGCGTGTCGCGCCAGAACTGCAGCTCGGACCAGAGGCGGCGCCACCTGTCGACAAACGGCCTGTCGTCGGTCTCGTCGCGCTCGCCCAGCTCGACGAGCCTGACCTGGCGGTACATGAGGTCGCAGGCCTTTGCGCAGAGATAGACGGCCCAGTTGGCGTGCATGTCGGGCGTCTCGCGGCCCTTTTGGTAGAAGATGCTCTTGACAAAGTCCTCGGCCTGCTCTCTGGAAGTGCCGATGCCCTCGGGCACGGGGGGAACCCATTTGTCCAGGCTGAGGACGGTGCTCTCGGCGCCGCCTGAAATGATTGCGCCGCACAGCTCCATGCGAGCGTAGCACCAGAAGACGGCTTGTAAGAGACCGCCTGAGAAGCCGGTGACTTCGTAGAAGGCGAAGAGTGAGGCGCAACCCTCAATGTGCCTTCTCCAGTTGCGTGGGCTGCCGGACATGAGCTCTAGCACAGCTAGGATGCACGCCGTGACGAGCATATTGGGGTCCTTGGCCTGTAGCCCCGGGGCCAGCAGCCGGATGCTCTCTTGGTACAGCTCGAGGCTGTCGTAGCTCTTCTCCAGACAGGCCTTTCTCTCCATCTGCCGCGCGGAGAAGGCGAGCACGGCGTAGAACAGGCCGGGCGAGCTCTGGGCCAACAAGGGCACCTGGATGCCAAAGTGACGGGCCTCGTCAAACTTGTCGAGGTACGGCGAGCACTCTATGACCCAGTTCTTGAGGTACTTGACGAGCCTCATCTTGGGGATCGAGACCCGCGAGAAGTCGAGGCTCTTTGACGACGGCACCGACGCCCGCTCATGGTGGTCTGTCTCATCGGCGGCCGGCTCGGGAGTTGCGCTCTTGCTCGGGTCGAGACTTACTCCGGCAAAAAGCAGGCCTCGCAGCTCTTCCTGAAGCTCAATGTACCTGGGATTGGCAGCGTATTCATCAAAGGGAGAGAGCGAGGTTGGGGACATGAAGGCGTCCCCGTCAATCTGGTTAGTCGTGGCATCGTCCATTGCCAGTGGCCATTGGGGTGGGATATTGCTTTGAATTTTTTCCTTGTTTTGTCTGCTTGCCCGAGTCCACCTCCCTGCCGCCTGGTCTGATATCAAGGATTCCTGGCGTGACTTGAATTATGCTAGAGTAAGGGATTCAGGCAATTGTGGTCAGGTGCTTTTTGGGGGCCGAGGAGGAAGAAGATCCACCAGCTGGAAAATACGTGATGTAAGAAGAGAGAAGATCCACCAACTAAACAATGGATGAAGTAATAGAATCGAACCACTAACACTAATGTTCCGTGTCAGCTTAATTTGAAAGAACGACGAAACAAAAGAAAAAAAAAAAAATTTCGGCTCTCCACGTGGGAATTTGGGGAAATTCGGGGAGCAGCTCGAGTGGAACCTGGAAGGGATCGATCAAATCCAGATGCATGGAAGGCTCGTTTTCCTCCGCACTTCGTAAACCCGGACAACCTCCAGAGGGGCAGCGCTAGCAGCAACTAACGGCATGAATTGCCCGTTTGCGCGGAACAGACTGCCCGTTTGCGTGGCGGTGGTTTGAGGATCGAGTCTCTTTGTGGTCTCTTTGCGGTCTCTTTGCGCCGGCACATGACAGCACCGTAGCATCGAGTCATTCAAGCCCCCCTTGTCAGCATGCACCAAGTTGGTGACAAGCCTCAAGAGCGCGTATTGCGTAGGCTACACTGCCGGAAGGGGACTGGCGGTGGACATGGCTTCCTTTAGCCGCTCTAGTGAGGCCATCGCCGCGATCAAGCCCACGGCCAACAGCCGAAGACTCACGCAGCCAATCGGGATGCCGCTCGGTACTCGCAGCGCGGCGAGGCCATTCCCAAAGCAAGGGACGTAGGCTACAGCCCCCAAGATTCTTGCAGATTCACCTCCACAACACGCGAGGTTCAACTCGTCGTTCCCCACCGACACCGGGACATGATTCGTATGGGGGCTCCAGATTTTTGCAACCACGAGGTGGCAGTTTAAAATATGGGAAACATGGGGTAAACAGGGCGAAAATCTGGAGTATAGAGGGCTGCATTTAAATCCGGGGCTTCTCCCACCCTTTGCCACGAACTCGACCTGACTCTCACCAGCTTCAAGCTTCAAACCCAGCAAACAAACTTCACAATGTCCACTGGATCGACGGATATTGAGATTGCTCCCAACGGCGGCGCTGCCGTGGAGCCGGCACGACGTGTCCATGAGGCCCAGAAGACTATGTGGCAGTCTCTGCGGAACAACCCCAAGGTCCTCTTTATTGCCTTTTTTGCATCGTAAGTTGATCAACCAACTTTCTTACTGTTACTCTTACATGTTCATATATACTGACTGGCCGTGGTTTTGCAGATTGGGTGGCTTTGAGTATGGTTACCAGCAGGGTGTCCTCGGCCAGTCCCTGGTCATGACCCGTTTCAAGGAAAACTTCCCTGCCGTCGTCGACTCATCTTCAGCCACCGGCTGGCTGACATCAGTCCTCCAGTTGGGAGGTATCGTGGGCTCTCTGTCAGCCGGTGTTCTGGGCGAGATCATTTCCCGCAAGTACACCATGTTCATCGCCTGTATCTGGGTCATCCTGGGTAGCTACCTCTACGTTGGTGCCCACGAGGGCGTCTCTTCACTCCTGTATGCCGGCAGATTCTTTACCGGACTTGGTGTCGGTCTCTTCAGCGGTGTCGGTCCCCTTTACAACGCTGAGCTTTCTGCGCCGGAGATGCGAGGTCTGTTGGTGTCCTTCTACCAGTTCGCTACTATCCTCGGTATCATGCTTTCTTTCTGGGTCGGATACTGCAGCAACTTCATTGGTGGAACCGGCGAGCACCAGACCAACCTCGCCTGGAGACTACCTTCTATCATCCAGGGAATTCCCGCAGTCGCCCTTGCCATCGGTATCTGGTTCATGCCTTTCTCTCCCAGATGGCTTGTCAAGGTTGGCCGCGATGAGGAGGCTAAGAAGACTATGGCCTGGATGCGAAAGCTCCCCGTCGACCACGAGCTTGTTCAGATCGAGTACCTGGAGATCAAGGCCGAGAGCGTCTTCGAGAAGCGAGTCTTTGAGCGCGATTTGCCCAACCTGGCGAGCAAGAAGAGCAATGCCTTTGTCGAACAGTTTGCGCAATACGCCATGTGCCTCAACTCCAAGGACAACATTAAGCGTGTTTTGACTGGTTTCTTCATCATGTTCTTCCAGCAGTGGAGGTGAGCAACAATCCCCATACTTGTATTGGTAAATTCATTATGCTAACATTGATACAGTGGAATCGACGCCATCATTTACTATGCGACCAACATCTTCATCACTCTTGGTTTGACTGGAGGCACCACCGCCCTGTTGGCAACTGGTGTCACCGGAGTCGTCTTCATTGTCAGCACAGTTCCCGCCATGGTAAGTCGTCATTGTCCAATCGCTTTTCCACGAACAGCTAACTGACATGATGTTTGCAGTTGATCATTGACAAGGTCGGACGAAAGCCCATGCTCCTCGTTGGCTCCATTGTCATGGCTGTCAGCATGGTCATTGTTGGTATCATTGTTGCCAAGTTCCGCCACGATTGGCCTCACCACGTCGCTGCCGGTTGGGTAGCAGTCGGTAAGTTGAACATGTCTAAGCACTGAGTATGTAGAAGGACATGTAACTAACCAGCGCTCTTTAGCTCTTATCTGGGTTTACATTGCTGGTTTCGGAGCTACCTGGGGCCCCGTCTCCTGGACTCTGGTCTCTGAGATCTTCCCTCTTTCCATCCGAGCCAAGGGTGCTTCCATCGGTGCCATGAGCAACTGGCTCAACAACTTCGCCATCGCCTTCTTCGTTCCTCCCATGCTTGAGGCTTGGGCCTGGGGAACCTACATCTTCTTCGCCGGCTTCCTCGTTGTTGGCATCTTTGCCGTCTGGTTCTACCTCCCCGAGACCAAGAACGCCACGCTGGAGGACATGGACCGAGTATTCAAGAGCCGCACTGGCGAGATTGATGCTCAGCTGATGAGAGAGGTGCAAGAGGAGGTTGGCCTGGTGGCCCTCATTGAGGCTCGCGGAGCGGCTCAGTACGAAAAGAAGGATATCCACGAATCGCAGATTGAGCAGCTGTAAATTGGATACAGCTGCTGGCATATGAGATGTGCCATAACTTGTAATGAATGTAACGGAGTATTATTAGTCACGATATGATTTAAACACCCATCTTAATTAATGCGACCATTTTTTTTCTTTTGAGAATTTCACGATACATGTTTTGCTGTGAGAGAAATGAATCGAGATTTACAATATTATGACTCGAGAAAACAAGCCACTTCTTACAATCACCTATTTTCCTTTTGCCATTGATGGAAGTATTTCAAATTGTATTAAAGCCGTCGCGTCTTTCGTCCCAAAACTCTGCCGCCTGCATGGCGGTCTAATCCTGATTAGGAATAATCAATGCACAATTAACGGGGTAGCCCCACATGCCATGAGCCCCATTAGCGGGGCGCTAGAACCTCGGATTTTAACGAGTTTCTGTATAGAAGTCCGCCAGCTAAACTCGACATTATTCTATTAAATCCCATCAGATACTGGACATCTCGTCGACGTCAATCTTGCCTAGTCAAATACGCCATCGCTATTGGCTGTCAGTTCAGAAGGGAGCGGGGCTACAATGCCATGCACCGTGACATAGCGATGCAATGCCTGTCATTCGGAATATCCCAGAGGCTAAAAGGAGAGTTCGGACAGGCTGCCTCTCATGCCGCAAGCGAAGACGAAAATGTATGTTTCAATGACTTGAACCTTTGCTATATATCTTACTGTGCTTATACATATGATGAGCCTGGGGATGTCTAGAGTTTGAGCAACTACTGACCGGCTGGTTTCAGGTGATGAACGCAAGCCCCAGTGTGGGAGTTGTCAGGAGAGAAATGTCGTGTGTAAATACCCGGATCTTACTTTTGTCATAGGCCCCAAGCTTGGAGCCCAAGAAACAGGTGGTCGTTCATCTGATCAACCCACGCCATCCTACTCTAATGTGAGGGTGAGTTAATCAGCACTACTCATCACCTAATATGCTTAACGGCTACTTACATGAGACGCTGCAAGTTTGTGAACAACTCTTCATCAAAACTTCCGACACCATCGACTGAGGTCCAAGTACCGGCTCAAAATGAGGAGCTGTCGTTACATGTTGAAGAGCCGGGGCCTCTACTCGGACATAGGGATGAAAATATTATGGACAGCCTCATCGGCAGCTCGAGTTCTCAGTCCAAGACGGCCTCGCCATTCTCAGCTCTCCACTTACCGCAGTCCGAATGGAAGGATTATTTTTCCACTACCCACGCAGCTTCAGTTAAAAATGAGACTGCCACACTACTTCACTTTCAGTATAACCTCGCGCCATGGATTGAAGCGGGCGACGTAGGGTCTTCCTTTGGGACCGAAGTTATGCTACTTGCACAGAAACGACGGTCAATATTGTCTGCTATTTCGTCGGCTGCTTCCACCCAACTGGCTAGGTCTAATTCGGCGTATGGAGGTTCTACGATGGTTCCACGAGATACTGATCCGTCTCTTGCCCTTGAAGAGCCAAGGGTAAGGAGGATTGGACTAGCACTGTTGGCCTTGGGAGAGGTTTTCACTTTGAGTCCTTCTCAATGGAGAAGACTCTCCTTTTTCCAATCGGATGAGTCTACGAGAAATGCGAATAGCTTTTCAGGGTTTGGAGAGCCGCTGGAAACTTTGTTGCGGTTTCATTCCAGGATTGGTCAGTTTTGTTTTACCGTTGTTTATGATTCACCTTTGCGTGTTTAAATTTGGATGTTTGGCTAATACGCTCTTACATAAAAGATCTCGCAGCATCATTGTTGACAGATCAGCCACCACTAACATCTTTGGGATTCACCATGAATCACGACCCGGCAGACCGTACCCTCCCATTGTCGACAAAGTCAATTTACAACGCCTGTCTAATTCAGCTCGCGAGCTGTCTCCAACTGCTCAACGGCAACAATATCAACAATATTGCTTCTAACTCACCACCATTCTACATGCCAACAACTCAAGAATCCATGTCCCCAGGTGCAGGCTCATATTTCTCATCAAAATGGTCCACCTTATGGTCAAATTGCCAGCAATGGTACCACAGCCGCCCCGTCGAAATGCAGCCCATTCTAGAAATACGCAGCGTTGAAGCCGGCCAAATCGACGCTGACAACGACTCCTCGTTCCCAATACCCGTCTACACCAGCTCTATTGCTCTACAGTGTAATATTGTCTACCACATCTCATCACGCCTTCTCTTATTACGCAAACCTCGGCTTCTGCGACTATCTAGCCGCCAGCGTCATCTCACGTCCCTAAGCTGGCATGCTCAACAAATTGCCGGAACCGCGACACGCAATGATTTCGCGGAGCAATGGGATCCTATTCTCGTCGCGGGGCTGCTGTGGATTGCTAGGGACATGACGCATCCGTCGCAGCAGGAGTCGCTCATATCATGCTTCCGCCAGATATCGTCCAGCACGGGAATCAAGCTGGATGAAGAAATACAAGCGCTGAGGGCGAGATGGAACAGCTCGCAAGTGAGAGGCTTCCAACTCCCTGGTTGACAGTATCATACCTACCAACTTGCGTTTTCTTCTTACATGTGAAGAACCCCTTGTACCAGTCACTACCCCCACATTCTCTGTCCGATATCTTTATGGGAAACGCTGCCACGATTTAATTCCTCCCATTTCCACCTCATTTGTTGAAATAATTAATCATAATAATACCAAACCTTTCTAATACGATTCTAAAACAATACCATCGCCTACTTCTTCTGGAACACCATGGCCACGCGCAATCGGCTATTACCCCACACGCTAAACCTCGGCCCGCCGGATCTGTTTCAGCTCTCATTCCCACGCACCTAATTTCTTACAAGATTCGAAAGGACATCAGATCCAAACATCCCCAATCTGCCAAGATTCCAGAGGAGCTGCCATCTCTACCGAAATCATGGCGGCAGCGGCTTCGGCTCCTCCTTTGAAAGGGATCAAAGTCTTGGAGTTTGCCGGCCTTGCTCCTGGTAAGCACATAGTTCGCCACTATTTCGTCTCACCAGACAACTCTTCAGTTACACAACTCAGTTCATCACCGCTCTCATCTTGACAAATGCCTTCATCTCATCTACATCTTCAACTTCATATTCATCATAATAACTTTCATTAGGCCCCTTTGCAGGCCTCATACTCGCCGATGCGGGCGCTTCAGTCCTCCGCGTCGACAGGCCTCCCTCCAGCTCTGAAGGCGCAGTGCCAACCCCGGATATGCTCGCCCGCCATAAATCATCCATCATCGTCGATCTAAAGAACCCCCGTGGCGTGGCCCTCATCAAGCGCCTCGTAAAGCATATTGACGTTCTCATTGACCCATTCCGGCCCGGCGTGTTGGAGAAACTCGGCCTCGGACCAGATGAGCTGCTCGCTATCAATCCGCGTCTCATCTACGGCCGCATGACGGGATTCCGCCGCGACGGCAAGTACGCCGACATGGCTGGCCACGACATCAACTATCTGGCCGCATCCGGGGTCCTCGCCCTCCTCGGGAGACCAGGCGAGAAGCCGCTCCCCCCATGGAACATCCTGGCCGACTTTGCAGGCGGAGGCGCCATGCTCGCCCAGGGCGTGCTTCTCGCCATCATATCGCGCCTCTCCTCGGGAAAAGGCCAAGTCGTCGAGGCAAACATGGTAGACGGCAGCTCCTATCTTGCGTCCTTCCCCCGCATGTCCCTCAAAACACCCCTAGGCGACAACCCGCGCGGCAACAACATTCTCGACGGAGGCTGTCCCTGGTACGACACGTACGAGACCTCCGACGGCGAATACATGTCCGTCGGCGCCCTCGAGCCGCAATTCTTCCAAGCTCTCCTCAAGGGCCTCCGCTTACAGGGCCAAGGATGGGAGTCTAAGCGCCACGACCGTTCTTCATGGCCTCGTCTTCGCGCGCTCTTCGCCGAGACGTTTAAAAGCAAGACTCGTGATGAGTGGGAGGCAGTTTTCGATGGAACGGATGCGTGCTGCGTCCCTGTGCTGCACTACAGCGAGCTGGAATCGCAGCCCGGCAGGGAAGGCAACCAGAGGCCGGCGGTGACGCTACGGGACACACCATGCTATTCGCCCGCTGACAGAGAAGGAGGAGGTTACGTGGGAGAGCCTTTAGTCGCCGGCCATGGAGGGGAAAGTGTTTTGAAGGAATGGGTAGGGTGGGAGAATGGAGGCCAGTACGAACTGGAAAATGGGGTGGCGGTCTTGAAAGAGAAGGGAGGCGACTCCAAACTGTGACAGCAGGTTTTGGTACATTATCATGTACATGGACTTCACGATTCATCACTCATATAAATGCCCAGGAATAATGTTCCCCTTTCTTTATACAGCTATCATCAAAGCAGCACAAAGCGGATGATTTTGCGATACAACTGAATACAAATGGATTTCATAGTTTTACATTAAAGAAAAGAAAATGGTTATTCTAATTTGTCATGCTATAAGCCTAAAAAAAGAGAATCCTTCCCCCAACATATCAGAAGCAGGCCTCTCCCCCAAGGATCCCAACCCGGATCCCCCAAAGAGCAGCTCTGCCTCTTCCAAAAATACTCCACTATCCGACGAGTTTAACCCTGATATCCCCCACATTGCCGACACCCCAGCTCTCGTTCTCTTCTGGGCGGACTCATTACTCATTTACTCTAGCCTCCGGAACAGCCGATGGTATCGAAAAAGAAGAAAATAAAGGGATTTGGGAAAGGGGAGCGAGTCATCGTGCGTCATGCATCTCATAAGCCGTAAGTCGCCCAATCGTTCTAACATGTCAATCTAGGAATGCTCGTCTGGACTTTTCGTCTACTGCACTTGGCTGACAATCTCGCTGGCCTTGCCGAGAGACTCGACCATCTGCTGGCACTCCTTCCGCCTGCGGATGGTGAAGTCGCTTTCTCTCAGCAAGTCATCGATGCTGTCGGTCTTGTACATGTTCTCCAGCAATTCACGCTGCATGCCATCCTTTGTGAGCCTGTAAATCAACGGTTAATATCTCTTCTCAGCTTCATATTTCCATATTGGAGCCACATACTGTACAAGGTTGAGCATGATTGCCTTGGGAACCATATCGGTCATGGTCCGCTTCACAATGTTGAAGTAAGATGAGATGAGCAATTCTATGTACAGGTTAGCATGGCTCATTCTTTGGCTTTGTGCGTGCTCGACTTACTAATGACTTCAACCTCGATAACTTCGCGTTCTGACAGAGTACCCGAGGCCTTCAGACTAGGTGGCGGCGGCTCCATGGCGGCAGCCTTCTTCTTGTTCTTCGCCGCGAAGAAGCTTCCAAAGAATCCGCCGTTTGAGCTACCATCGGCATCTGGGACTGTAGGGCTGCCAGCTCGGGCAGGTGTGGCAGCTGGTAGTGCCTTGCCGGTCTTTGGGTCAACCTGGACGGGCTTTGATGGGTTATGGCGCTCGTTGACAATGGCCATGGCCTAGACGTGCATGTCATGTTAGCACAAATATGAAGAGGGGAAAGGACAAGGGAAAATCCCTGATGTACATACGCGGTGTCCGTTAAGGAAATCAGGGTGGGCAGTGTTGATGTAGCACGCCTCCATATTGACCAGATCTCTGACCAGCTTGTTGGTTGGCTCCATGGCCTTCTTGAAGAAGGCAACGACGGTGCTGTGCATCTTCTCCTTCAAAGCAGGATATCGGCGGTACAACTGCTTGGCGAGCAACTGTGAGAGTATTCGCACCAGCTCGTCGTACACCAAAGACACACACTTCAGACTCGGGTCTTCCATTCGCTTGATCTGCTGCTTGACGATCAGCTCGAAAGCCGTGGTGCCGACAAATAATGCGGGAGAAGGACCCGACGAGTTGTACAGGTAGGTTCGGATGTCAAGGTCCTTGACCACGTCAAAGGGATCGAGTGACTTGACTCCATTGGTGTAAAGCTCGTGGAAAACGAAGCTGATACGGGCACCGCCAGACAGTTCAGTGCTGGAGAGCTCGGTGTTGTTGCCGTCCAGAACGGTGCGCCATTCATTGGTGAACTCGGTGATGACGTTGAGGACAATGTTGGAGCTGTTGCCAAGCATAGATGGGCCAAGGCTTTCCAGCTCGGAGCTGTACTTTTGCAGGGAGCTCGAGATGCGGGCCTTGATGTCGGGCAGCGTCTGCTTGATGTGCATCATCAGGATGAGATTCAGTTTACGGGCAAGGTAGGGAGTACCGCAGTAAGAGCTCTTGTTACGGTACGCCACGTGGTTATCGAAATAGTTCTTTTCCGCCTCTAGGGCAGCACCAATGGCCTTCTTGTTATCAATGTCTCGCTGTCCTCGGTTGACAACGGGAACGTAGCCCAAGCGCAGCGGGATGACGCGGTTGGAAAGAATGTCGATAACGTCGGTTCCCTCTTCCATCAGGTCGACCTTGGTGAGGACACCAATGGTGCGCTGACCCTCCGGGTCGACTTCTCGCGCCAGCTTCAAGCCATCCGAGTTTGCCAAATCAATGTTTGCAGCCGTGACCGCCAGAACAATGGCGTTTGACTTGGAGATGTACTTGAGGACCATGTCTCGAATCTGGCGCTCGATATCGCGGGGCTGATCACCAACGGGGACCTTGGTCAGACCGGGCAAGTCAACCAGCGTCAAGGTCAGGACATTTGGAGAGTAAATGCGCAAGTTGATGGGAGCTGGGGAGATTCCGGCATTTCGTCCAACCTTGGCTTCGGTTTCTCTAGAGATTTCATCCCTGATCTTTCCAAAGTCAAAGAACTTTTGGCCGGGCAGGTGGAGGAACTCGCCCCATTCGTCCGGGTTGGCGGCCTTGTCGGCGCCGGCTTCGATGTCCTCGTGGCTGATACCGTTGGACTGGGAGGGGCGGTTGATGAGCTGGAGGACGAGAGGACGACGCGTGACGATGCCATTACCTCGGGGCAGGCTACAGATGAACTATTAGCATGACGCTGTCTCTGGGAAAGAGCCAAGATAGGGGGTTTCCATAGGGCAGGACTCACAAATCACGACCGACAATGTTCTCTAGCACGGAACTCTTGCCACTAGACTGGCTGCCGACGACGGCGATCTGAGGAAGATCAATGGGGTTGTTGACTCCGACGGTTGCGAAAACATCCTGAAGCTTGTTGACGAGCCTAGAGGTGAGAAGAGCGAGTTAGCAACAACGGCCATGGGCGAGAGGGGCGTGCCAGGCCAGCAGAAGCGGGAGTGCAAGCAGCGCAGAAGCAGAGGCGGGAGCAGAGGAGGCTCACTGAATCAGGGCGGGATCGGTGATGCCGCCCGGCTGGGCAAGCGAAGAGTTGGGCGTGCTCATGGTCGAGCGTGTGTGTTGTATGCGTGTATCGTTGAGTTGTCGGGATCAGAGGCTCAGGTTGTAAGGGGGGAGGCTATCGCGAACGAAGTGGCGGGGTGTCTTTGGTAGATAACCGGGGGGGACGAGACGGTGAAGAGAAGAGAATCCGGCGCAGGGCTCGGCTCGAACAGGGCTTGGCTCTCCCAAAAGGCGCTTGCAGCTATCCTGAATTCGCAGAAAATGGCGGAGAGCCGCTAACAGGCAGAGGACTGGACAAGATGCGAGTTTATGGGTTTGGATGGATTAGGAGGACTCCAAGATGCAGAGCCCGACAAGGGAAGGCTTAGGCGGGTTCGGGTGCCGTGCCCTGGCAGGGAGCGGCTCCACCAGCCACATGTGGCGAAGCAGCTGATAAGTATTGCTACCTATCGCACTCCGTACACTTAGTAGGCAAGGTAGGGTAGATAGACACTTACAGAGGTATTAGTCTAGCATGAGGCTGGTGTTGGGAGCGCAACAAGGGAAAAAAGTTAGCAGCCTAGCAGGGGCTAACGTCACTCAATGATGTGGACAAACGGCGAGGCGCCACATTGAAATCTGTGATTGACGCCATCATCTCCTGGGTTTAGCAGAAAATTAAAATGAACAAATTATGGTTGCAGTCAGAAAAGAAGAGAAGGTGGGAGAAGAGTTTGTCCGTCACAGCCCGTTTGGGCACCAGCCAGAGCAGCCAATCGATGTAAGTCGGCGCGCGCATTTCATTTGCAAGACACATGGTCAGGTACCATTCCATCCGTTTCACCGCGCCCGAATACCCACAAGGCTGGCTGACGACATGAACGGCTCTGTATGTGGCTAGAATAAATTAAATCGACGTGGGCGATTACGTCGGATCGACTCATATAGTCGAGCAGCAGCCTTGGCAGGTGATATACCATGCAAAAGGGCATGTAATAAGCAAGACCTCGTATATCTTAGTGCCTACCTGTATATTAGTAACTGCCTCTTTCAAATCTCATTTGATGTAAAAGTATAAGTCTAAGTACACTTTCATAAACAAGCAACTCCTTTGCTCAATGCTGCAGCTAGCTTAGAGTGGCAAACAAATGTTTGAGCACATTGAAAGAAATCACCTCGGCCTGGCTAGATTGTTTAGGTAGTTCATATTAGTACGGGACTGACAGCAACCATTCATACTGCCTTAGAGTACTAAGGCTGTAGTAGATCGTGAACAACCCCACAAGACACCCAAGAGACCATTAGGTACCAACGCATGATTCATTCTTCTACGCAAGCGACAGGTTCCCATCACTCGATATCAGGTACTAACAAGTGCTTAGCTAGGTAGGTAGAGACGTCTACCTAGGTACCCAAGGTATCAAGACGATATTTCTCAGCCACACACTCCATGCTCTTCGCCATCTCTCTCCCTTGCCGCTGGCATCGTTTCGAGTAGATGGCACAGGGTCTCAGGCAGGGGAAACTGGCTCTAGGGCCACTCAAACGGCGCTGGATATGCAGCTTGGAGACTTGCAGCCCAACCAGCGGTGGCCATGAGACATGCAGGCGGAAACATGGTGGGAGAAATCGGCGCCTAACAGGACGCTGACGAGTGGCCAAGGGCCAAGCACAGATAAGTACATGTAGGGAGCCAAAGGCCAAAGGGTGGCATTCATGTATTACATGTATTTGATGCGCCGTATGGTACACACGGGATTCTCCCCCTTGAGAGAGAGCAGTAGCAGCAATAGTATTATCCTCTCTAATAGGTCCTTGTTAATATACATCCACCGGCATTTCTGAAACACTGGACGCAGTACGGGTATTTGCGGCCGGCGTCTGCTTGTATTTGCCCACCTCCCTTTCCGCTTACTTCCTTACACTAAACTCTCTAGTCTAGTAGCCACTGTTCGAACTGTGTGATGCTACATCTTGTATGTTGTCCGTGACAGCAACATACACCAATCCTCGCTGCACCCAAATATCACACACCTGTATCCATGATGCTTTGAGTACATGTAGGTTGGTTGAGGACACCACCAGCGGGCACATGGGGGCAACTGGTACAGTGCAGGTTAACCACCTGTCAGGAGAGAGAGTTGTGCCGTCACCCGTAAAGACGCTTTAGTAGCGCGCTGTAGCTTGTTGCCACGGGCCGCTAATAGGTAGATACCGCATTGCGCCTCCGGCTACAACCTTGGGCACAGGTAGTATGAAATCTTATCGACCGTCGCCGGATTAATGTACCAGACATCCATGGTGAAATGGACGGACGTATCCATGTGCTAAGGTGCCTACCAGCAATGTCCAGTGCGGGATTGACCTGCTCCAGCGAGTAGATACAGAGGCCAGGCGCTGTAGCCGCACCGACACGGCGCCGCTCGCTTCAGCCACTGAGGCGTCACTTGCCCACTGAGCCGGATCCCATAACAGGCGCCATCCTCATCGGAACCTTAATCTTCCAACAGCTGCCTATCTGGACATCAACCCCTCTGACGACATTTGCCATTTTCCTCATCCCGCACGCTCCCACGACGACTTGTTCCGTCTGCTCGGCGCCCCGGTCGCGGCCTCACATGAGCATCTCCGCCTTGCACTTGCCTGTATCGCTCTGATCTAGGCGGGCCACGCTGTTTGTACGAGTCCCCCGAATCCCGTCACTTGCCAGCCAGTTCCTCACACGCCGGAGCTTCTAGGCCCAGATCCCAACGTGCTCCCAGATTGAAGCTTGTCTTCGCCCTCTGGCTCCCGGCCAGCCTGCCACCAAGCTCCTCCCCAGCATCCCGCGGCCATCTGCCGCGCAGAGGTCGACGTGGACCAACTCTTGAACCCTCGTGCCCTCTCGGTTGACGTCTCCGACGGCCCAAGCTCTCCGCCAGCCTCTCGGAGCTCCTCTGATACACCTCCGGCACTCAACACTCTCTCCATCCCCGACCCCATCGACAGCTCTGCCAGAGTCCCGGCCACTGCTGCGAATATAGCGTCTTCAACAGCAAACCGTGCTCCTTCGACTTTGCTCCAGTCTCCCTCACAGGTTCTGGGCCGACGAAGACGACCCTCCTCAGACCACCAGCTGGAAGGCGAGCCTCGCATTACCCTTCCTGCTACAGACGCTGGGTCTGCCGCTGCGGACGCAACTTCTGGGAGGCAACTGAAGCGAAGGCGGCGCGGCGGTGCAGGCGTAAATATGCTGTCCGACGGGGACATGGCCGGAACCTCGAACGGCTCCGGGACCGCTCAAGCAAACGGCTCCTTTGCCGCACCCACAACACAGCGAGATGTAGCGTCTTCTATGGCTACAAACGGCAGCCGTAAGGCAGGTGTCGTGACAAACGGATCGTCAAATGGGGAGAGGCGCTCATCATCACAACCTACAACGTATTTTGGACATGATCGAGAGGAAGTCACGCGAATATTGATCCAGGCTTTAACGGACATGGGCTACCAGGCGGCAGCTAACAACATCAGCCAGGAGAGCGGCTACAGCTTGGAGAACCCTACCGTAGCAGCATTTCGATCGGCTGTGCTTGCCGGCTCGTGGGTGGAGGCTGAAGACCTCTTGAGGGGCGCAACAGTGGCAGATGAGACAAGCGAGGGGGGCAATGGTCTTGTTCTCACTTCTGGATCGGACAAGGATGTCATGCGATTCTGGCTGCGGCAGCAAAAGTTTCTAGAGCTACTAGAACAGAAGGACACCACCCGAGCTTTAACGACGTTGCGGGGAGAATTGACGCCCCTGTACCACGATACAACCAAACTTCATTTCTTATCAAGCTTGCTAATGTGCCAGTCAACGGAGGATCTAATGCAAAAGGCCAACTGGGATGGCGCACGTGGACAGTCTCGAAGAAAGCTACTATCTGAATTATCCAGTTGAGCCATCCCCACGTACTCCGCTAGTACACTGTTCATTTTGCTAACTCGTTGAGCTACTACAGAGCGCATTTCACCATCAGTAATGCTGCCGGAGAATCGTCTGGCAGTTCTACTTGACCACGTCAAGCAAAGCCAGATAAATACATGTCTCTACCACACTGCGGCGTCGTCCCCTTCCTTGTACTGCGATCACCTTTGTGACCGACGCAACTTTCCCTCTGAATTTGCACTAGAGCTGAGTGATCTAGGGGGAGAGGTCTGGTCTGTTCGATTTTCTCATGACGGTACACGTCTTGCGGCCTGCGGGAGCCGGGAGCATGTCAAAATATGGGATACACAGACCTTCACCGTCACTCATGTTCTTCCAAACCACGGAGGCGACGGTGTTGGCGACATTGCTTGGAGCCCTGACGATTCTATGATTATGACTTGCTCTTTCGATAAATACGCTCGTCTATGGGATACAACTGTAAGAAGCCACCCTAAGAAGCCACCCCACAACGCACTTGCAGACAAAGTTGGGTTTTGCATCACATTGAGACTGCTAACACATGAGAATTCTAGACTGGCACCTTGATCAAGACACTTAGAAAGTTTACCGAGCCAGTGAGCGGCTGTGTATGGGCGGCAGACAGTAGATCGTTTGTTCTGGGAAGCTTAGACAAGGTTCATGGCCTGTGCACCTTTAACGTATACGACGACGAAATCATCGAGTGGAACAAAAAGCATCGAGTACAGGACCTCTGCGGTTCTCCCGATGAGCGTCTGCTGGTCGTAGTGGATGATTTGCAAAATATCCACGTCTACGATGCCAACACGCGAGAGCTGGAATACGATCTGGAGCTAAAAGCAAGACCAACATCCGTCAGCATCAGTCAGGATTCCCGGCATCTGCTGGTAAACAAGCAGGATGGCGAGGCCCAGCTGATTGACTTGACCACGAGGAATTCGGTGCACAAGTTTTTAGGCCACACGGGAGGCGAGTTCTTGATCCGTAGCGCATTTGGCGGTGCCAACGAGAGCTTCGTGATGAGCGGGAGTGAAGATGGCAACATCCTTATTTGGCACAAGAACATTGGAGCCGCCGTGGAACGGTTACCCGGCCATCAACCACGATGCAACGCGGTAGTCTGGAATCCTACAGATCCATGCATGCTGGCATCGTGTGGAGATGATGGCCGCATCAAAATGTAAGCACCAGCCAACCACGTGCTCAGGAGCTACAGTATACTAACAGTGGATTTGCAGCTGGACCAGCAAGGCACGTAGTGTTGAGCTTCGAGCGAGGCATCTTCGCGGATCTAACGGATGGAGGAGCACGGGTGACGATTCGTAGGCCGGGGAGCTAGCTCAGGTGCTCCAACGTCGGTTAGGAAGCCCTCCATCGCCTAGGTCTCTGTCATTGATGGCATTTTTGGTACCCGGACCACCTTCGACACCGCAATCTTCTCCCACGCAAGAAGAGTTCGGGCAACAACTGCCCACGGCTCAGGATTTCAATCTGAGAGGCTCAAGAGCGGATGATTTCCCCACAGCTTTAGCTGACCTTCAGGATGAGAGGTACAACATGCTCCATCGGCGGAATTGACCGCCATGTCCTTAGTTAAGGAGACTGGGCGAGGGAGACAGAGGAATGTATTGCTACTGCGAAAGCGCTACTCTTCAACATAAGTGAGATCATGGTTCAGCCTTCAAGTTTCACTTTCAGGCTCTTGTTGTTTTTTATGTATACTGTTATTATTCTTTCTTTCTTCTGCTCTCTCCTATCAACCTTCTGAACTGTCGAATGGGAGGGCGTTCAAAGAGGTAGCGGCCAATGTATAAGGGCTTTTGATGTCACGGGCGGTTGCGACTGCGTGTAGAAGTGTTTTTGCTTACATGGGTATTATTCAATAAACAACTCTCTGCATGTGATTAACTCCACGACTTTTCCTTTAATGAAGATTCAGGTGGCGCTTCAAGTTGCCAACACTCTGCTTGTTCGTACATGTCGCAGGGGGCCTGCTACGTTAGGCCGCTTCAAATGCGGGAAGTAGAAACACACATTATGCTTACCTGGTAGGTATGCTGATACATCTCTATGTACCTAACCGTTAGATAAGGCAGCCGAATGATGTAAAGAGTACATTCATTGCAACGCTTCAGCCGCACCTTGAAGGAGGGGTCGGGCAGCAATTGGGAGGCCCCTCTTTATGGAAATATATCCATCTCCTGCTGCTTCCAAGTCTCAATGTCCAACAACTTATACCAAGGTGTTTGATGTGTTATCTTTTGCGTTATCTCAACGAAAATGAGTCAATCGATCTCAAACTCTCGTATTGTTTCCAATAATCAGTTTGGGAATGATGCCAGGATCCATCTGGGCGATGTGCATAACTACGCGCTGGATCAGGGAGATCAGTGCCTGAGAGACTTGCGAATAACTGATCCCCGCGACGATAAGTCACGAATACAAAAACGCGGGCTACTCAGAGATTCGTACTATTGGGTCTTCGAAAATGAGACTTTCAAAGCTTGGCGAAATGATACACAGGGCAGAATACTTTGGATCAATGGCGATCCAGGGAAGGGAAAGACGATGCTGCTCTGTGGTATAATCGACGAGTTGATGCCAAAGACGAAGTTAGCAGAGTCGACGGATCAGACTACGAACAACACGCTTTTGTCTTTCTTTTTCTGCCAAGGCACAAATGCGTACCTTAACAACGCAACTGCTGTACTACGGGGCCTCATCTACCTCCTTATTATCCAGGAGCCTTCGCTTATCTCGCATATTAAGGAAAAACACAATCATGCGGGCAAAAGCCTCTTTGAAGATTCGAACGCTTGGGTAGCCTTACTTAAGATATTTCTGGCTATTCTGCAAGATTTAAAAGCAAAAGAAAAGGAACTAGTTTTAATTATCGATGCGCTGGACGAGTGTGAAACGGATTTATTTGAGCTTTTGGACGTTATTTTACAGCAATTTCCGTTTCCTCACATCAGATATATTATATCCAGCCGGAACATAATCGACATTCGAGAGACTTTTGAGCCCTACATACAAGTACATCAAAAGATCCTTAATCTTAACCTGGAACAAAATACATTATATATATCCGAGGCTATCGATGTATATATTAAGCATAGCATATCAAACCTGCTCTCAATACGGGATGACTCAGACCTCCGCGATAAATTACACAGGATAATTCAACAAAAAGCTCACGGCACATTTTTATGGGTATCTCTAGTGATGAAAGAGCTTAAAAAAGTTCGACAATGGGATCTAATGATGGTAGTTGAGGAGTTCCCAGAGGGCTTAGCCGCACTCTATAAACGGATGATAAGCCAGGTCAACGAACTAAAAAGAGGGAACGCGGAGCATTGCAGGAATATACTCTCAACAATATTAACAGCATACTATCCACTGAACCTGGCCGAACTTGGAGTCCTCGTTAACATTCCAAGTCATATTTCAGAGAGGCTTGAATCTATTACAGAGCTTGTAATCATGTGTGGTTCATTTCTTACACTAAACAATGGAAATGTTTACTTTATCCATCAGTCAGCAAAGGACTTTTTATCTACAGAGATATTTTCGACTGGAGTTACCCAGAGACATATAAATATTTTCAAGCGGTCAATCGAACTCATATCAAAGCTACCAAAAAATATCTTCTGTCTTCCAGATTTTGGACCAAGGCCGAAAGATGCACAACCACCTAATCCGAATCCGCTAGCTTCAATGAAATATCCATGTTTCTATTGGGTCAACCATCTTTGCGATACATACGCCACGAGTTCCAAAGATGAACGTCAACTTATACTCAGTGAGACCTTGGAGCCCTTTTTGAAGACTCATCTTCTCCGCTGGATAGAGAGCCTATCTCTGCTTGACGGGGTGCCAGAAGGTTTACGTTCCATACGGAAACTTCTCCACAAGGCATGTATTCAACTTGAAACCATGAATAGATACCAAGAGCTAACAAGTGCAGCTTAATGACGATCTTCATCTTACAGGGCTTCTAAGTGCCATAGAAAAGTTCATACTTAGCAATGGATCGATCATTTCTCAGGCTCCCCTGCAAGTATATGGTTCGGCACTTATCTTTAGTCCAATGTCAAGCGAATTGAAAGCCACACAATGGGACGAGAGACTATCTTTCATACGAGGCTTTCAAGGACTTAGAACAACCGTTTTTTTACAGTCGATCAAAGGCCATACGGGCAAAATTACGGCTCTCGCATTCTCGCCTGATGGCGAGACGCTGGCGTCCAAATCCAAAGATGAAACAATATGCTTTTGGGATGTGGCAACAGGTGTGCTGAAAGAAACAGTTGAATGCCATTGCGATGGGGCTTCAGCTATTGCGTTTTCGCCAGATAACAAAACCTTGATGCTTGCCACATTTGGAAATCCAACACTCGGACGAGATGCCGAAACAGGCGGTAAAGAAGCCGCAAAAAGCGATGGCTACTGGATAACACATTTCACGTTGTCTTCGAACTGTGGGATCCCTGAGACAAAACGCGGCGACAGCGCCGTGCAGTTAGCTGGGCTCTCGGAAATGGAAGAGTTTCAAAAGGATTCCGATGGCATAACTGCTTTCTCATTCTCCTCTGATCGCGAGACTCTTGCGTCAGGATTGAGAAATGGCTCGATTCTAATATGGGACGCGACAACGGGGATGTATCAGCGGACAATCAAAAGCTTTTTTGGAAAACCAGAAACAATTGCATTCTCTCCAGATAGTCGCAGAATAGCATCGGGATTCACCAGCAGAATATGGCTATTCGATGCAACAACACGTAAATATCTGATGGCGATCGATGAAACAACTAGGGGTGCGGGCGCTATTGCATTTTGTCAGGATAATAAAAGGTTGGTTGTGGGAATGATGGACAATTCAATCCGAGTATATGACATAGCAAGAGACGTTTCTGCGCGAACTCTTATGAGCGGTGGCGATTCAGCAATTGCGATCTCGCCAGACAACAAGATTCTAGCTTCGGCATCTGACGACTACATAATACGGTTATGGGATGCGACAATGGGTATCCAAGAAGAGCATATGCAAGAAGAGGATCCACGTAATTACCCGAGAGATGCCATTTGTGAAACTGCAATCTCACCAGACGGCAAGATACTGGCATCAACAAAGGTCCATCCCAATGATATAGTGCAGCTATGGGATCTTGCGACAAGAACGTGCCAGGAACTAGACCCGGGACGTTCGTTGGAGGTTACTGCCATTGCGTTCTCGCCAGACAGCAAGACCCTGGCATCAGGATCTGACTTGGAAATACGGTTATGGGATGTGGTGACGGGCGCCTGCCGACAAACTCTAACCAACTTTAAATATACACAAATATTAGCAATTGGATTCTCACCAGATGGCAAAAAACTAGCGGTGGGCCTCAGATTTGGGATAATGATGCTGCTAGATGTAATGACTGGCAAGCGTCTGTGGGAGGGGGAAATAAGTCGCAGAAGGAGAATGGTCAGGTCCGACGAGCTACTCTACTTTCACACCCCAAGAGGAGCAAGGCCATCGCTACAGAGATACTCATCCGTCGCCTTCTCTCCAGATGGCACCAGGCTGGCGTCGATACACTACGCGCAAAGTCCAGAAGACAAGATCGGCGAAATAAACTTCTGGCACACAGCAACTGGACAGTTCTGGCAGGGATTCGATATCAAGCTTCCAAACAATGAGATGTTTACATCTTTCATATTCTCGTCCGACGGCAAGTCTCTATATTTAAACCACAAATACATGGTGAGTGTGTCCCAACCAGATGCAGAGACATCAAAACCAGACAAGGAAACGTCAGAATCAGGGGCAGAGATGCAAGAGGCTCCCAAAACCCAGAAATTGCTACTCATCGACGAATGGATAATGCAAGAAGCTCCAAAAAAACAGGAATTACTGCTCATCGACGGATGGATAATGCAAGAAGGAAAACGCCTGCTCTGGGTTCCCAAAGAATACATGACCCTTGGTGTATTCACGAATAGCGATACGGTTGTGCTTATACATTCGTCTGGGTTAACATTCTTATGGTTGGATCTAAAAAATTTCTTCATAGCAGAGCGTCACCAAGGAAAATATTGAGATCTTTTGAAACGGGCTTTGTGGATGCGGTGTTCTCCATTGGCATGTGAGGGATCAAGTGACGTCTCTCCTCTTATGAATCTTAGTTTGAGGAATTAGTAAAGGAGTATTCTTGCAGGTAGAATATAGTTTCGTCAACAGTCGATACTCTATGCGTTGATTGTCCACATTGCGTGTATCTCGTTTTGCATAGGTACCCGCAGATATCTGAGAAGAGCATTATCGACTTGGTTACCTTTCACATGAAATGCAAGGCATCTTCAATACACCTCGGGCTTTTTGACTCAAAAAGCCGAATCACAGTACAAAAGGCACAAAATAGAGAATGTCCGGCCCTCTACTAACTAAAGTCTAACAGGTGTTATAGGCAGGGATTATTAGCAGCGCGTCTTCTTTCAAAGTCAGCCATGACATTGAAGTTTGACCCCAAACGTCCCTTCATCAAGCCACCATTTACCTCCCGTGGTTTCCGGATAAAATAACCAAGGGGGGTGGACGTATTTCTCGTATGCGCCTCTAGGCCGGATCGCAAAACAAGTAGCACGATCGAAAAAACACACCGGCGTCCCCCTGGCTGATGAAATGTAATCAAACACATGCAACTACTGTCCTCGTACTACCGTACAGTAGCAGTGCTAGCAAAAGAACAAAAGGGACCTAACAGAAAAAGCAAGAAAAAAGGACACAGCACAAAGTGGCGCGGTGTCGCGTGAGCAGAAACCGCCAGCCGGCAGAGTCGTGACATGTTCGGTATTCAGTTGGGATTAGCACCAGACGGGGGATGCCCTGGATGGGCTGCCATGCATGTCGCATGTAGGTACTATGTACTCCGTATGATGCAGGTTAGCCAGTTGCCGCCAATTCAGGAATTATTATTATTATTATTTCTTTTTTTCTCGTGTTAGTGTTTGGCAGACGTTCATCTTTTAGCTTGAGATCTGGGGGTCTAGCAGATAGATTGAGGGCTAATGCGTTTTGCTAGGATGAGGCTGGTAGGTGGCAGTAATCCTCCGTGCTCGTGCCCTGCATGGGAACGAGGCAGATGAAGGAAACACTTAGGGAGTGCTACCAACAAGACTACTGCACAAGCAATTCGCCATGGGCTGATATGATTAGTAGGCTGAGGATTTGATTGGTATAAGAGGAGGATGCGATGCCACAGCGTATGTGCATGCAGTGATCTGCTCCTCGGTCTCTCAGTCTTGGAGTGCGCCTATTCAGGGTCCACGGTAATCTTGATTTGATTCCAACGCCCTGTCGTGGATAGACTGACGATGGTAACATTCGGTAGCTATCGGGGACCTCGCTTCACCAGGCCGTAGGATCGTAGTACTGCCAGCGAGAAGAGGTAAGGTGGTACTATTAAAAGCACCAGCCGCTGCAGTATCCAGGGCAAAAAGTCCACGCCCTCGCCAAGTTCTCTTTGAGAAGGTTCTTTTTACCCTGCCCTGGCGTTTTGCCGCGTAAGAAGCCGCCAGGAATGAGACGCCTGGGCTTTCGCAGCTTTCCCAGCATCTTACCCCTTTCTTCTCGACAGGCCCAAGCATCTGTCGGAGGTGGCCTCTTTGACGCCTGGGGTGTAATTTGCAGAGACATGTCCAAGTGTAGAGCCTTGACATGATATCGGGACGCGGAAGGCATCAAGGCTTGCCAATGCTCTGTTAGCTGCGCCTTTTTCGCTTTGCTTTTGGCGGCTTTCGCCAGAGCCTAGCCGACTTAACGAGATTGGACAAGGATCCTAGAATGCAACCGAATCGCAGAATATCCCCACACAATCTGGGGCATTTGCGAGGGGCACAGGAGCGAGTTTGTCGTTTATACCACTAGCACTGGCAGCTCTGCACCGTCACGCAGTTGCTTAGCCCGAAGTGTGTCTCAAGACTCGTAAACAAGTAATTACATTCAGCGATGAGGTTAGCGGTGGATTGTGAGACCGACCTGTGCCATACAAGTACCGCGAATCTCGGATGCCCAATATGGCCTAGAAGAACTAGAGCAGCAAGTTAGCTGCGAAATAAGCAAAACAGAGAGGCACCGTCTTTGACCCGGCTGTTACATGTCGCCTGCAAATGCTTACACGGATGGGCCAAGTAACATCCGACCAGGCCGATCTATCGGTGTACAGTAGTTCCCCCTTTGTTCCTCAAGACGAAATGAATGGCCTACAGCAGAGTGGTAGTACAAGTGCACCTGTGCAGTATGTAGGTCAGTTGTCTTGGATTTGCATGTGGCATGATCGCCTGCACAAGTTGAGCAAGAATCGACACCAAGGCAATTGGAAACAGCCAAGCCACTCCATCCTTGAACTAGCATCCGGGAGAATTTCCCGCTTATCCAGAGCATCACTTTCAGGGTACGTCGACGCATCTTCTTCCTGATATACCAGGGGGTGATGCAGCGCTTTGACTGGATGGAAGCATCCGTATTGCTGACATACGTGTCTTCCATGTTGTCTTACACTGCACTCAGGAGAAGTCATCCACCCGAATCGATTCACATGGCATCAAAATCGCGCTGGCTCTGTTGTAGCGCGGATTCCTACTTGGGCATTGAGTCCCAGAGACAGACACGAACTGTTTCGGCGAACCCGGGAGTAAGAAGCAGGACAAGCATTGATGCTTGGCGGGGCTGCCCTTGGTTGCTTTGGAAGTATAAGGCAATCAGGGAACGAAGAAGGGTTGTTCACAAGCAACTCAATTTCCCAATTGAGATCAGGTTGTTCTAACTGTCACATTATCTCATGGCCCTATTTGGCATTGGAACCCTGATGATGTGTTACACAATGGATATCCATTTACTCCGTATAAGTCGAAGGATCGGAAGGTGGCGCCATACACGAAAGGGTTTGCTTTGCAGAGTAGGATCATGCAAACAGGTTTTTGCTGTAGAATCCAAGACACCAGCCAGTATACTACTCCGTGGTAGTAGTGGATACGGGTGCTCTGTATTACTGCTGGGGCTCCGTCGACCGTCCCACTGTCTTTCAGAACAGCAAATGTGCAATTGCGGATCTTGATATTCTGGTAGCATATTTGGTAATGGGAACAGCAATCAGTTGTACCTGTATCATCTCTCGCTCTGTTCCGTAAGTCGGAATAAAGGGGCCCTACTCGGCGATATCGTAATTCCGCATATAGGCATGGTATAAGCCTTGAGATAGACGTTTCCAGGGCTGCTCTATCACGCAGCAGCAGAAGGGAAGTTGTGGTGTATGCAATGTATGCAACAGGGCAGACCGTTTCGTCTCGTTACATGACCAGCAAAAACGGGCAGTGCTGACAGCTTTCACGTTGTATTATGGGGTGTATATCGGCGTCTAAGTTTTTGCGTAGCTCTGGGGCACCCTAGTACAACAAGATGATGGCGGATCAAGGTAGGGTAGCATCAGACCTCTCCCAAAGTTGGACGTTGGTCCGAGGTTTCCAGGAGCACTGGCCATCTATGTATCTGCGCCCAGCCAATAAGCTAGAGTTTTAAACTGATCGTAGATCAGAGATGGAGGCTAGTCATCACAATTCTCTCCATCGAGGAAGCTCTATTGGCTGCAACGACACAGGACGGATTCGACACCGGTGTCATCTTGGGCATTACACCGAGGGTTGGCTTCGAGAACAAGCAGGATTTGGGGCAAGCGGCTAAAAGGCGGGCGCATCCAACTCTTGACCGTGAGCGTTTACCGCCGGTGCCCCGAGTGCTCCATCCATACGGTGTTTGCAAGTGGCAGAGCTCCGTATTGGGATGGGGGCACACGCCTTGACCGTCATATCGTCTGATGCTTGCGGCCGACCACGTAGTATTCCGTCCAAGAATCAGCAGCCGAAAAAGGAGAAACAAGATGCCATGAGTCGCCACTGTCGCGAGATGCAGCCGTGCATTAGTTGAACGGTTCATTTTGGCCAATGAGCAGATCTGTGCCTGACATGCAGGTACGGTACTCGCACCAGGAGTGTAGCACCAACACCCCGGCTTCCCCGAGTTTTTTCCTGTTCTTTTCGTCTTCTTTTCTTCTTTCTCGCGTGTGTCTGTGTCCCTTTGCCATTAAGGAGGTGATCCAACGCATCGGTACATGTGGTACAGATCCCCCGTGTAACAGAGAAATTTTGGAGGGGGGGAAGAAAAACAGGAAAAGTAACATAGCATGCCTTGTCGCCGCTTCCTGCTCTTTTTCTCTTTTCTTTTCTCGACTTGACCCGTCGACGGATTAATACTAGCAGGGGCCTTTCGGTTCGGACTCTGTTCTCCAACTTATAGTACAGTAGTGTAATACCACTTTTGCCCTTTTTGGTTCGCGGGATAGATGCCTCTTTTCAGGGCGCAGTATAATACCCGCAGGTGCCATTTGTGCGTGAAGGCGTGTTCAGTCAGGTGCCGTCTTAGACTTCCAGACTACTTACTCGTACATGTACAAGTACAAGTAATAATACCAGTATGGAGAGGCAGTGGGGAGACGGGATCCATAATTGCCATCTTGCAATAGCCGCTCCTGCATACAGCAAGCTAGCCTCGATTTTTGCTGCTTCACTGGCGGAGAACTGGATCGAAGAAGTACTCGTGCATGATAGCGCCCCGTACTAGGAGTAGGACAATATTGCTTCATGAGTCCATCGATATGCGACGGACCACTTGGCGGCTGAGTGAGTTTGCCAATATAGTATCATGTGTACCTGTAATTTTCTTCTTCCTCGTACTCGGTAGGGTGATAACGCTGGTAGAGAGCTGACTACTGCATTCTGGACTGAGGAAACTAGCAGACGGCGGCGACGGCCTACTCCATTCTGGGTGCACCCGAACCGCTAGTAAGTGTGATGGTCCAGGACGGCTAATGACGGGCGCGGCCATAGTGATGGCGATCAGGGCTTGGATGATTGTATGTCCAGACTCTCTCACATGACGAGTAGCATTTTGTTCGGCGCCGGGCAAATTCGAGGGAGAGGTCTGCGGTGGTGTGGCTCGTTTTGGTGTGTTATGTTGCCGTGATGATACCACACAAGTAAGCCGTGGCTTTTCAGCGATTTGTGCTGTTCCTGGCCCCCTGGCCGAGGCTGGCCCGTTTTGACGGCCAAACGTCGAGACGCTATTCCATAGACTTTGCTAGAAGAGAATTAAGGAGCCACTCCGCGCTCCCGTCGCCACCCCGACATGATACAGGTGCTCATAGCCTGGCACTTGTTGACAGCCCTTGTCCTTGGCAGCAGAATCGACTGCAACACATCTATACCCGTGCCTGGATGTCGAGGCAGCTAAGCGTACGACTACTCGTACACGCGCATGCAGCCCTGCATGGGACAGGACAGGACAGGACAGGACAGGATGCTGTAGTGCAGTAGACTTGGAACATGGCCTGCTCCTATTTCCTCCATCGACGCAGTGACTTGCAATGCCACTTGTACGCTTAGCAGGGCAACTTACCGCAGAAGTACTCGTACTCATAATCCAGCAGCCAAAGTGGATGTGACATGCCCGTTCATCTCACGTAGTCTACTCGTAGTCCCCAGGCAATGCCCCGTACCGTCCTGGCAGTTAGCATTTCATTTGTCAAGCTTCGCAGCGTGTCTGACTCTCAGCCCCAAATGCTGAAGCCGTTTGCGGGAGTCCAGACATACCTAGGTGTACGGAGAAACTTTTTCGAAGCTGATGGATTATGGAGTACATGTGATTACTGCTGGAGACTCTGGTGGGGAAAGGGAGCACAGGACGCTCCGCTACTCTGACGCAACTTTCAATTGGCAATAGCCTGGAAGTCGTCGGCTCTTTCCCAGCTGGACAAACGGAACCTTTTGAAAATGAAGGCGCGCCGTACAGTACCCCATGCGGCGTTGTTAGTATCGTGGAGTACCTGCCGCCGGTGTTGGGTGCAGCAGGAACTTGGGGATACCTGTACGGGTACTGTACTGTACCGCCCAGATCCGGTGGCGAAAGGCCATCTCCATTTGGAATTCGGCCTCTTCCAAGGCACAGGTTAGCACCGTTGAAAACTTTCATGCTCCATTCCAGTATCGGAAGTGGTGGCTGTATCCCAATATTGATTGAGATGGATGGATCCAATTGCCGGCTGGTAGGTACCTGGTATCTTGCAGTACTCGTACAGGCATCAGATACGGATACAGGCACCTTGATTGATGAGATGAATACAGTGGACATGTACTAAACCCAACTCCGTGCCCGGCCTCTCATTTTAGCTCATTTCGTCCTATCAACACTCGCAAAGTAAAGTACTAATCCTGCAGATTGGTAATGAAAAGAGCCTCCTTATTCGACCCCACGGTCTCATGTAGGTGCTAACAGATGCAGCACTCGTACATGGACGCTGTATCAATGAATTGGTGGGGATGCAATTTATCAGGAACCCTTGGAATGTCGCGTCCACGGCGTGGCCCACCGGCTGTTCGTTAGGCTTCTTTAGTCTTTTAGGGGACAGCAGGGGCTTAGGCGTGCGCTTCTAGCGCGCCGGTGTGCTGCATGTACTTTGGCGCCTCTGCCAGTTACGACGAGACATGCCCTGCGGCCCAATCTAGCGCGAATTTCCGCTGCGGCCCACTCATTCTGGAAGTATCCTGCATCATGAACCTCCAGCCAGGTACATGGATCACGTCTGGTCTTCGGTTGCGCCTCTCAGCGCTGGGCCGGTGGCGGCGCTCCGTCATTACAGCGCCTCAGTCAGTGTTTTCCAGCACGGTGGGGACCTACGAGGGCCGTCCAGGGCCCTGTGCGCCTCTCGCATGGCAGCACAGCGTCTGTTCCGCCCGCCTGAATACCGGATCGTCGTCTAGAAACTCGGGTTTGGCAGCTAAAGCTTCGTCCCCACCATCTCCGGACAAAACCAGCCCGGGCCCTTCATTAGAGTGCTAGTATTTCAGCTTTTGCTTCCTCTTCTCCATGGCTCCATTCCGGCGAATCCCTCATTTCGCCGTTTCTGTTTCTTCTTCTTCTTGACATATCCGTTGCTATCTCTTGACCCACCGGGGCCTCGTTATTTTCGCCTTTCTGAGCCTCGTACTCTCTTCCGACCACCAGACGAGGTAAAAAAAAAAGAGGAGACGACAGGATAGGAGACAATCCCTATTGCTATTGTCCAACTCCTCCTACGCCTCAAGAGCGCAACTGCTTGACTTGATACTCATACGCACATGTACTCGGTCGAGAGAGAGGCGATTTCGTCTTTGCTCGTGTTCCTCCTCAGCATGTGCATTTAGAACGGACGACTAACAACCCCGTTCCCCCCCCCCCCCCCCCCCCCCCCCTTCTGCATCTTTCAGGAGCAGCCTCACAGCCTCACAGCCGCTCGCCATGGACTTTCTCGACGGCCTTCTCCTTGTTCCTCCGGACCGAAACCACATTCTCTCCAAGGCGCAATGGAAGGTATGATCCACAGCTCTTTGCATTCTTCATGGGGGCAGCCTCTAATTTGCTTCCTCAACAGACCCGATATGTCCTCGTTGGCCGACGGACTGCGATCAACAACAAGCAGAAGGATCGACAGAATGGTAATGGTGCGAAGGCATCTGCCTCTGATCCTAAGCCACTCACCAAAGTGTATACCGACGAATACTGCATCTCTCTCTTCAAGTCTAAAGTAAGCACTGATATGCTGGTTCCTGCCGCCCGCAGCGTATGTGCAACCTCTAACAGGCTCATGCTTTATAGGAAGATGTGGAACCCGCCTACCAGTGGCCCACGAGCTGCGTCCTCGAGTGTCAAGTCCAAATGCTTTCCTATCGTAAGCAAGGGCCTATCCTGCCCACACTTGTTGTTACCATATCCGACAAGGAACGAAAGCGCCGCTCCAGTCGATCCGTGGGGTTAATATCGAGTAAAGAAGCTGGCACCAACACTCTGTGGTTCCGCACGCTGCCAGACGATCACAACACCAGCCTTCATGATTGGGCTCAGTTTATCTTGGCCAAGAAGAATCCCGTGGTAACCGACGGAAACACTACGCCGATATTTTCGAGCCCTTTCAGCCCCCGAAGCCGCGAGGCCCCGGAGTACTTCACCAGGCCGGACAGCGGAAATCAAAATCAAGCGAGCGGCAGTCGCCCAGATAATCGGCCTCTCCAGCACAAGAGCTCCAGCGCTACGTATTCAACGGGGACTCGCGAGCGGCCCGCCACCTTCAGCTCTGACTCGCCGAGCCTGCGGTCCAAGCGCAGTGACATCTCTTCGCCATCTAGCATCAGTCAGCACCCTATCCAGAAGGCATTTGGGGTTCCTAGCCAAATCTATACCGGCCCGATGCATGGCGACGCGGGGTTGCCTGCAATCAGAGACTCGACTTATCAGGGAGAGTTGATTGAGGGATGGACGGCGGCTCAAGGACGTTCCTCTACCCTCAGTTCGCCTACGCGTGGTAGTGAGGCATTAGGTTCGCCAATGGAGGCGCCCCTGGGCTTTGACGTCCACGCGCCGCCTGCCCCAGGAGAGACGATCCTCGATAGAGCATTCCAGCTTGGCCATATTCCATGGGCCGAAACGAATGTCCCTGGTCAGGAGACGTTCAGCTCCATTGCCCGCTTCGATGCTCTCATGCACGAAGTAGAGGGCAAGCGCAAAAAGAGAGAAGCCAATCAGCGCGCGGAGCGGGCAGCTGTGCGTAATACGTATAATCCCGAGGTCGCGCCTCTCGACTTTGAGGAGGATCTCGATTCTGATGACAACGCACACTCTGCGGATGAACAAGACCATGGCTATGATAGAAGCCCAATCATTTCCCCCTCAGCTCAAAGAGCGCTAGCCTTCATTGCAGATCGACACGGAGATGCACCCAGGGAACATGGCTCACGACGTCCTACCATCTCTAGGGCTCATTTGAGCTACCATGCCGGTACGGCGGCGGCGCCACTACCACCGACTTCTCAATCCCCCCCTTCACGACCGCATACGGCCCACGCCAAGAGCCGCCTCAATCCGACGCAGAGAACCCAGAGCACGCCTCACTTGAACCCAGTTTCTGCCGGCAGAGGAGTCGAGGATGGTGCGTCGCGAAACGCGGACCCAGACAATCGCCGATCAGGCTCTAGTTCCAAAAGGTTGAGTTTCTCTGAATTTACCAGAAGGCTCTCGAGCACCAGCAGCTTACTGGTAGTCCAGACCAACACCAGCGGAGACAGCCGCCGAGGAAGCGTTGAGGCGGATCCCCAGCAGCCCCTCAGCGCGCGACGGCCCGACGTGAATCACCGGGATACTGTCCCTCCGCCCAGAAGCCGGGAATGGCAGAAGCAAGATCGACGGTGCGCCTGGCGCAACAGTGTTGGCGTCGTTGGTCCCGAAGGCGGATTTCTCTGAGCCTGCCGTGGTAACTTGATGCTTACCTATCCAACAACGCCTTGGATGCCCCCCCCCCCTTTTTTTTTTCAACTGCCGCCCTTCTTCGATTAATGTAGCAACTGGCTTTGTTTTTCAGCATATTCCCAAGCATCAAAAGGAAGCAGCCGCATATGCGGTTTTCGATACAAGCAGGGCGGGCCAAGTGCTTGAGCGAGAATCCTCTTCACTCTAATATGACGCACACATACATAACGACTTTACACATACATCTTTTTATTTGGCATCGCTACGACGCATTATGACGAGGTCGCTTTTAGCCTTAGCATGACTCCGGCGTTGGTTCTTTCTATCATCATGGGAGTGTGCATTTTCCTCTTCCTCCTCTCTCCCAACCCTCCCATTTCTCCTTTTCTCGGCGAACTCTCACCTCGCCCCTTTTTTTTTCGTTAGGGTTTGTTGAATAACTAGATATTCTATTCTTTATTTTTTTTTTGGTCGCCCTCTAGCGCTAGAGGAGAAACGATTTAAAGTGACGATGAAGCGAGCATATATTTTTAAACACACGACTTTTATTCACGGATTGGATGGATGAAAAGAGATGGGTGGTTGGCCGTTTGGCCTCCTGGATGTTATTTAGTAGCTTCTTTTGAATACCCAGGAGGCTATTACGATATATAAGAATACTTGATCAATCTTGTTAACAACCATGTGCATTTCCTCAAGCGTGTTCTTACTTTGTTTATTTCGCATTCTGTTTTCATGCGCAAGTAAGGTATTACCTACTACTAGTTTACCTACATACCTATCTATTTCCACACGATATCTACTTCCGTGCTTTTGCCTTCTTGTTGTTTTTTTAAGTCACTATCCTTATCTCAAGCTGCCCACTCCAGCCCCAATCCTGATTTCGATTATGCTTTTTCTTTTCGCTTCTTCATAAATGTCATCATGTTCCTCCGTTGTGGAACAAATACCGCCCTTCCTTCATACATCTTTCCCCCAAATTGTTGAAATTACCGGATGTACTGGGCAATAGCCTCTTGAAGCTCGGGTGTCAGGCGCTGTGAGATGAAGCCCTCAATAGCACCGCCGTGCCTCTGGTTAGCCCCGACCATGTACTCCTTGACCCAGGTGGTCACGTTCTGCACCTCGGGGAAATCGTCTCGCGCAACAAGCTTGCATGTGTTGAGAGCCGTGAACGTCAAGCCAAACCCGATGTCATCAGGAGAGTTCTCCGTGATGATCTCATCACCAACTCCAGCAGCTGCACTAGGGGGGTTTGCAAGCAGAGTGAGAAGAACTCTGCAGGTATTTCCCCAACCCTTGGCAAACTTCTGGGCGAACACCTGAGAATCACACAGAGTCTTGGTCAGAGACACCACAGCAGCCTTGCGGTCAACTGGTCTTGCCAGCTTGTCTGTCTCCTGCAGAATGAACGGGGGATAAACCTGAGCAAAGACTTTCTCGTCTATTTTATCGGAATGCCTGACAAAGTAGTCCGTTCCGTAGCCAACTTCTAGTCTTGCCGCAACAAGGTGGAAGAAGCGAACAAAGCGAATTTTGAAAGAATCGGCGGGAGATCCTTGCAGCTTTGTGAAAATGAGCGTAAGGATGGTATCGAAGTACGGGTCGAGAGCCGATCTAGTGAAACCAGAACATTAGTATCTTCACGCCCACGGTTTTGCCTAGAATTGACTTACGGCTCAAAGGAGTTGACAATCGACTCGAGAATATCGAAAGCATTCAGCTCCGACTTCTTTCCGTTCAGTAGTCTCTGGAAGATTCCAAGCACAGCCTCAAGCTGATTCTCCGCAACAATAGTCTTGGCTACCCTGGGAATGAGAGCGGACAGTAGACGTGTGCAAGCAGGAATGTTGCCTCTGGTTTCCCATAGAGCGGGCTGTAGCAGGGGACCAAGGAGCGCCCTGTAGTTATCGGAGACTGAATCGGCTGGGCTAGATTCGAGAAGCTGTGCCAAAATTTGGAAGATGTACGGGATGAACTCTGTTGATACAGTGTTGCTATTAGAAAAAGGAAGGTAAAGAGCAATGGCAATTCTAAGAGAGAAACTTACCGGTAACGTCATCGACCAATATCTGATGTGCCGGCTCCCATAGCTTTTGGTTAATTGCAGCTGCATGTATCGCAGCGCAGTATCGTACCAAGGCACCGAGAGCCTCGAAATGGTAATAGTAAAAGCGAGGGTTGCTGGGATTAGACTTCATGACGTTGGTGATGAGGATGAGATGTGTCAAGATGGTATCGAGCCAAGGGCCCGCTCCATCCTTGATGACAATCAGAATCCTCATCACGCATCGCATCAAGAACTCGTTCTCTTGCAGCTTTGGTGCGCTAGTCTCCCGTTCAATTAGCTTGAAGAGATGAGTGAGCAGATCCTTTGCAAAGGGTTCTATGTCTGCACGAGGGAACATTGCATTGCCTGCATCATCCGCCAGATACAGCACACGCTCCACAGCAATGGCTGCGTACGTATAGACAACGTAGTTAGATGAATTTAGGTTCTGAATCAATGGGCCAATGGCAACCTTCCACTGCTCCTTAGACAGCTGACTGCGGAACGTGTAGAGGAATTTGATGGCATCCACTTTGGAGATGGGCTGAATGCCATCTCCATTCACCAAATCTGACGCAATGTGCTGTTCAAAGAAATCGACCACGTTGACAAGTGGGTTGACGGTCTTGACACCCTGAGCCTGTGTGACAGCACCCTTGGCAGCAATCGAGAGGAAAAGATAGACGGCAGTATCCTTGGCTTTCCAGTCTGTCTTTCCCTGCGTGAGATAGTGATTGATGTATCGGGAAACAGAAGTGGTGACAGGGCCTTCAAATTTTTCCTGCAGGCTGCGGAGGAAATCAGTGGCCGATCTGCGTCGAGAGCCAGTATCAGATCCCTCCAAGTCCCGGCGAATATACTCGATTGGCTCATCCTCAAACATTTCGATATCAGACTCCCGCAGGGCAACATTGGGCAATATGACTTTTTCGACGATCTCGGTGAGGACATCTTCTTTGTTGAAGAGCTCAGAATGTTCTCGGGTTGCTGCGACTGCCGCCAGGAAGTGCAATGACTTGCTGACAAGAGTGTCATACTTTGTCTCCGAGCCGATGGATGAAACCAAACTCCAAGTGCTTGTGATGAAGGGCTTGCAGTATTGCGAAAAGTCGGCATCGTACTTGAAAGTATAGAGTTCGAGGAAATCGCAGATGTCGGCCTTGACGGTGTCAACAATGCTGACTTCCTCATCATCGTCGGTATCCAAGATGGAGTTGGAGTAGTTTAGATATTTGTGAAGCAATTCGGAGATGCTGGAGAGATTGTCTTCGAAAATGGGAGGCAAATCGTGGCAGGACATGTCGAACATGATCTTCAACTGTAGACTAAGCGTCTCGAACCAGCCTTGGAGAGCCGCTTTATCGTGGCTAAGCTCAGATATTTTGCTATCGGTGGTCTACATCATGCGCGCGCTCGGATTAGTACCGAATCCTGAAACCATTGACGTGAAAGGGACAAAACTTGTTGACTGGGGCTGCTCTTACCGCCAACAGCTGGAAGAATGAAGTACCAAATGTGTTGATGACATGGTTAATCTCTGTGTACAAGCCAGCAGTTCCCATAAGCGGCCTCCACCGAACAAAAATGGAATGAGCCACCTCCAGCACGCCGATGTTCACCTTGGGGTCGGTAGGAGAGAAGCGGCCGACGAGATCCTGGTAATTGCGCCGTCAGTATGAATTGGATCAAGCTCGCGAAATCAGCAATAGGCGGATAGCTACCTGAGTTAGGGTATCCCATCGCTCCCAGAAGTCTGAGTCGGCAATGATGCTGACAGCTTCGCCCAGCTGGCTCTGAATGTTAGTAGGAGAAGCAATCATCAGTCCGATGAGGCGTTCTTTGATTGTCTGGACCTCATCTTGAGGGATCTTGTAGTTTCCATCCGCGTCCTACGTATGCCAGTTTTAGTATCTCGGATGTTGTATTCGTCGTATCGGCGTGGGTGACATCGGCGGCGCGGTATCGCATCGCATTGCATCGATACTTACCACATAGTTAAGTCGGATGAAGTTCTTGAAAGCCAGGGCAGCACTTAGCCGAGCGTTGACGGGGAGGGAATCGGAGCTGACGATGGTGAGCAGAGTCAGAGAGTACTGGGGCTTGGTCGCCTCCTGCTTGAGGGCAGCCTCGGCTAGAATTGTTGAATGCTGGTCAGCACGCGATGGGCTCTCCAGACGCGTTTTATGCTCTCCGTATATCTGCAGAGAAGGCGGGGCGCTGGCGAGAAGCATAACGTACCTTCACGGTGCTGGGCAGGATCGAGCGTTGCCTGAAGCAGCTGTGCAATGTGGCCAACGTCGGCCGCCATGGTGAGTCCGTTCGCGTTGGATATCAGGCGAGATTGGGGGCAATATGTAGGGAGAAGGGGGGAGAGGAGAGGGTAGGAGGAGGCAAGTTGAATGTGGTGAGGATAGTGCAGGGCGGTATGTTTGCTTGTAGACGGCTTGACTTTTTTTGGTGGTTGCCTCGAAGCTGGTAGCGCCTCTTGCTGGGACCTTGCAAGGCTCTAGTGGGGGGAGAGCTTTTCCAGGGCCGTTTGTTTGCTTTGGGACGGCGGGGTGCAAGTGGGACAGCTGGAGAGGTACAGGTACAGGCGATGATCGGTGCTGTCAGCTGCCATCAGCCGTCTGCGGCTGGCTGTGAGAAAGATGGATTTGGCCCCCAGTACCACTAGACCGATGCATGCAGCGCTCTGGATGTAGATGTAGAGGTACAGCAAGCTGAGGCGTTGTGAACAGACGAGTATCGGCATTGCGGCTGGCTGCCGCCGAATCGAATCACACCCGCATCATGTAACGATACACTGCCTATGTACTCTTTTGCAGCAATATTGATCAAGTGGTTTCAGATCGACAATGCGTAAACGATGAGTGCACTGGGAATTCATCTGAAGAACTCGATTGTTAGATTGCCTGATTGTTTGATAGCAGCAATAATTAGTAGGTTCATGCTGATAATGCCGGCCAGGCTGCAATCAGCTGGCTGCCGCGTCCTGGCGTAGCGGTTCCGCCCGCCATCTAGCGGCCGTGTTAGGGCCTACAGGGCAGAGCCAGCAATGATGTGCAGCTGCGCTACAGCTACAGGCTACAGCTACAGGCCAAGGCCCGTGCGCCGCGACAAAGTTGAGGGCACATGCACATGGAAAAACCCTTACCTAAGGCCTCCTGAGCAAATGAGAGGCCTGCTTGGCTCTCCGTCATCCTGCATTCTGCACGACCTGTTCTACTCCAATAGATTTCGCCAGCCTGCACCTCGAGAAAAACCTTGAAGTCCCTTGTTCCTCGCCCTATCACGGCTTTCTACAGATGCGCCGCTGCTCGACCGCTTCGACTCCGACTCCGACTCTCCAGCCGATGACCGATCCGGGCGTCCTTGACCACAGCTGATAGCGGCTCCTCTTGGTGTGACTCTCCAACCTTCTCCCTGCATCGCCTGCGAGACCTGCTGCCTGTCCAAAATTCTGCACTGTCCCACCAACCTCTGCCCTTTTCCCGTTTAAAACTGGAATTTTCGCACACGAGCTGTCTCGCCGCCGCCGCCGTTTTCCTAGGCTCATAGTCAGACGTCTGCAGGAACCTTGATGTCCAATCTAGGATACATGGTCCTTGAGGAGTGAGTCGCTCTTCGTCTTTTGCCAAGTGCGGCACACCCACCATCTCCTGCTCTGGTTGCGTGACACTTGAGCGTTTCATGTCGACGAGCCCCAGCAAACGCTCGGACGGCGACAGCGTATCTTGCCCAATTTTTTCCTCTTCTGTCGTCACATCTAGTTTTGAGTGTTTTATTCTATCTACCGTCGGCTCGTCTTCGTGTGCTTACAAGCTAGCATAGTCTATCTTCGCAACCAAAGCCCAGACCTTCCAAGACGAGCACATGTCCCCGCAGCCTGGAGATGATGTTTCTTCGCCGGATTCCGTACGTCCTAGCGGCATCGCCAGCGTCTTCCGTGGCCTGACCGGCTCAAAGTCGACAAAATCTCCGCCGCCGCTTGCATCGTCTGTGGCGGCGCTTCCAAGGACCGACTTCAGCAATGCCACGCCGATAAGCTCTCGCGGCCTGTCCGCGAACCACATGGACGCTTTTGAGCTATTGAAGAATGGCAACCAATCCGAACGTATATCAGCTGCCAATACACTCAAATTCGCAATTGCAGAATATCCACTTAACCCCGTCCTTGAAATATGGTACGCAGCCAAGGACCTTATCGACTCAAACAAGCCGAGCGCTATGCGACAGGCCGGCTGGGAGCTGTTGACAGAATGTGTCAAGCATTCATCTTCGACAGATTTGGAGCGAAAGGAGTATTTCCAGACGATAATTGCTCCAGCAAGCCCCGACGATTTTCATTTGCAGCTTGCTGCGCTGGTGGACCTCACCAACCGCGGCCGCATACTAGCCGGGTTTGATTATGAGCTGCTTCCCCTACTGACAAAGTGGCTTCAAGAAGCATACAATGCCGCCCGTGCAGCTCGAAAGGCCTCCCAGACCTCTCGTGGGCAGAGGAGCACCAAGAACAAGGCGGCGGCGTCTGGAGAAGATCAAAATTTTACGCAACTCTTTGTATTCGTCATGGACGTCATCAAGTTCAACTTCAACACCGCCGATCAAAACTCGATAACTGGCCTAATCGACCGTCTACTTGGCATCTGTATGAGTACGAGTGTCGAAGAGGACCTGCGTTCTTGCATATCTGCTATCGATGCTATTGTTACCTTTGGCTCGGTCCCCATCAACAGACTGAAGAACACAATACAGGTTCTCAGCTCCATTTTCTGTCTCGTCCCAAACCTCCACAAAGAGTCTTGGCACACCCTGGCGAACCTCTGCAAGTCACACAATGGCCAAGCATCAGTTCGTATCCTGCTCGATGTTCTTCGTAACCCGTCGCTGGATGAAGTCGGCAGCAAGGACATGGGCCGCGACATTAGGGGTGCCCTTACTGTCTTACGGAAGCTGCTGTCCAAGACGACTGAAAAAGGCTATCCCACCGTTCCATATGCTCTGTTAGTGGATGGCTTATCTAACACCCTCAAAATCTCATCCTCGCCAAGAACTTATTCCGCCATTCTTCAACTCATCAACTCCCTGTTCGACGACGGAAACGGGCAGTTGCATCGTTTGGTCCTTGAAGAGGATTGGACGGTTCCATTGGAGACGGCAGCAGAGTGCTATCGCAAGGTCCAGGAAACCCATGATATGGTAGCAGATGGCCGGGCTAGGGATACTTCTAACGATGAGAGCCTCATCCAAGAGCTCCAGCTGCTTATCGCTCGGCTAGACGTGGTGGTAACACAAAAGTCGGGTGATTTTGTCCCTAGACAAACTGTCATCAAGTTCTTCACTGATGTTCATCAACTCCTTCCTGATAACACGGCCCGTACCGTGCTTGATTACTTCCAAGAGTTCCGATGTTGCTCTCCCTCAGATCTTCGGTGGGAAGAAAACTTGAAACTCGTGCTTGAAGGATTTTTCAATGACCGAAGCCGCTCCTCGGAGACGCGGCTGCGTGCTCTTCAGACCATGATGGATGCTTACGAAATCGTCGACTTAGTGGGCGATGGGGACGAGCAAGACTTCATTCCTCGCCTTGCCAAGGCCATCCTCCAGGATGTTATCGAGGAGGTGGATGTCTTGGTCTTGGATGCCATCATATCGTTGATGACCTCGGTAGTCATTTCATGTGATATAGACCTCTTTGACTTTGTTATTAACGCGTTGCGAGTAATCGTCATCAGCGACCGATTGAAATCGCCCATTGCATCGCCTACATCGCCGGTAGTGCTGCCAATCTCACAGACCACTGTTGAGCACACAGAATCACCAGTAGAACAGTCGCCTTCAAACGTCGTTACGCGGGGATACGTCAAAATGTTTCTACGGCTAATGAATTTCCACAACGACAAAAGTGTGAAGCTCTTCAATGTGCTGGTCAGCATCGCAGGCCTAGAGCATTGCGAGGTAGATGCTCGGCTGACTGCCATGAAATTGCTTTTCAGGCTCCGCGCCGACTGGGCGGACCGAATCTTCATTACCAACAACCTGGAGGCCATGTCTACCGCCACCACCCTGTGTCGTACGGAGAGCTCGCTGGCAAAGAAGCAAGCCGAAGAGGCAGCAAATACGGCTCGACTATCGAGAATTGATGCCGGCATGCAATCTCGCTCAACAGCACGCGGGGCATCTATTGGCGGAGCGTCTATTAGCGGAGCATCTATCGGCCAAGGCCGAACCGGGCCCAGACAGGGCCATATGTGGAAATATCCTGACCCAAATGCACTTCCGGAGGCTGTCCCTTCCATGATTAGCCCTGTTCTCAGATCTCATGTTCACACCGAGCCTGAAGTGGAAGGGGAAGAGCATCTAGCCGAGAGACCAGAGTACCAGCCTTGTGCTCTCAACCTATCTGCTTGGTTGGATACGGTATTGCATATGCTTAAGGGATGCGATTGGGAGATATACAGTTTTGTCTTGGTGCATCTACCGTCACAACTGAGTAATCACGCAGTTTTCAGGGATGCGATAAAGCAGATACAAGATCTTCGCAAGCTGATATGCGAACAAATTCGGCTGAACAGCTTTCAGGAGCCTCCCAATGCGCTGGGTCTTCGCCGGGCCGATATAGCGATTTGTCTCTACCACAGCTTAACCATGATTCTGAGCTACCACGAACACTTTTTAAAGGCTGACGAGGATGAAATCGTAAAAATGTTTGTCCATGGAATATCTACTTGGGAACGAAGCGCCAAATGCTGTATACACGCCTTGTCGATATGCTGCCATGAGCTGCCTTTGTCAACAAGCAGATCACTGATCCAGATGCTAAACCAGATGGCGGCAATCATCACACAGCCCTTCGTTTCTGTTCATATCCTGGAATTTCTTGCCTGCCTGAGTCGACTGCATAATGTTTACGTCAACTTCAGAGAAGATGAGTTCAAAATTGTCTTCGGAATCTGCTTCCGATACCTTGAATACGCCAGAGACAAGAGGCAGGTGCAACGGAATACTCATATGAGTGAGCTATCAACACCTATTACGGCGTCGGAGCCTTCACAGCTCACTCCGTCAGACGATCTTCCTCAATATGTCCATGCCCTAGCCTACCATGTTATCCTGTTTTGGTTCTTAGCACTCAAGTTACCCGATCGTGCCAACCACGTTGGCTGGATCGTCAAAAAGCTGTTTGCGGATTCTGATGGCCCTGTACACGGCACAGACGACCATGCCATTACGTCAATTGACTTTATGCAAAGAGTCACTTATGCCGATGTTGATGAATCAGCAGAAGATCCTTACTTCACCGAAGACCGTTTTGGTGACATTGCGGTGAGGCGATGGCTAGTTGGGAACAGTATCGTCACTGTCAAGCAAGCCACGGTGTCCGGGTGGGCTCAGATAATCAAGAGGCAGCCGTCAGGCACATCGGCATACACGGTTCGTGAATCATATAGGCCTCCTCCTCCTCACCAAGTAGAGAATCATGTCGACATCACGAGAGAGGGCCAACCCACGCCCAACTTGATTTTGCCCAGCCATTTACTAGTGCAACTTATGTCTCCAATTCCGCAGACGCACGATTCTGCAAGGCCCATCCCCTTGCCAGATGATGAGGTAACCGATCGAACCATCAGAGTCTTTGATCGCCTTTCCAGTCTCGATGGGCACAAAGTCGGTGTTATATACATCGGCGAAGGCCAAACTGAAGAGGCAGAAATATTGGCAAACGTCTCGGGGAGCGGCGACTATATTGAATTTCTCAATAATCTCGGAACTTTGACTAAGCTCAAGGGCGCAAACTTTAATACGCAAGGCCTGGATCGGGAGCACGACACCGACGGACAGTATACGTTTTGCTGGAGAGACAGGGTGACCGAGATGGTCTTTCATGTCACCACACAAATGCCGACAAACCTTGAACGAGATCCGCACTGCGTGGCGAAGAAGCGACATATTGGCAATGACTTTGTCAACATCATCTTCAATGACTCTGGCCTTCCGTTCAAGTTCGATACTTTCCCGAGTCAGTTCAACTGTGTTAACATCGTGATCACACCTGCGTCTCCTGCTTCGTTTCTGGCCACTAGGGAGTCAGATTCGGAGCAGGCTCATAAGAAGAAGTTCTACACGGTGCAAGTGATGAGCAAACCGGGATTCCCTGCAATCTCGCCTGCGTCCGACACCAAGATGGTCTCCTTAAAGGCCCTGCCTGCCTTCATCCGGCTCCTTGCCCTCAATGCGTCCGTGTTCGCCCATGTTTGGCACAACCGCGAGGGTGGCGAGCACATCAGTTCCTGGAGCGGCCGTCTTCGGGAGATCAAGCGGCTACGGGAGAGACATGGACCGAAGATTGGTTCCGTGTCATCTGCACCACCGACGCTTCTCGCCGGCTCCATACCGATCCAGCCACCACCACCACTGCAACCATACCAAGACATGGGTCAACTACCCGGCAGTAGCGTGAGGGACAGTTTCAACAGCCTGCGCAGGACGAGCGTAGCTACCTTCTTCACCAACACGAGCGAGCAGACGTCTCATCGATCATCAATACTGTCTACAGCTCCGACAAACGACACCGAGGTTGGCACCGTAAATGGGCTAGACTCGCTAGTTGAATCGGTTGATTTTTCGAAATGGGGATGAAGGGGTGTATAGATACTCATTTTTGTTTCGATTCTTTCCTCCCTTTTCTTTCTAACAAAAATGAAATTCAGTATAGAAAAAGAGAACCAAAAAAGAGGGGATTTGGCTGGGCTACACTGTCTATTTGCACACACCAAAAAAAAAGGCGCGAGCCGTCATGTACTCGTATGGGTCTTTTTTCCTTCTTCTCTCTTCTTACCTTTTCTTTTCTTCTTGCTTCATGGTAGCGAACTTTTTTGATATCAAGGAAACTTTTCTGGTTTGGGCAGCGGAGGGCGTCAATATTGTTAGGAGGGGGGAAATCTATCTGGGTCCAAAAAAAGTTTTTTCTTTTCTTGTTTTCTGCTCATTGGCTTTGCGTCTCTTTTCACTATAGTGTCAATTTTCTCTGTCTTACTCTCCCCATATATATACTCCATGTATATCTATACTTTGATACTCTTGATCATCTTTCCAGTTCATTGTGCAGCGTCAGATTTTCTTCATGTGCATGTTTATTTGAGCAGTACCTTGTCGATTTGTGTAAGAGCTTTATGGCAGATGACATACCTCGTCCTTGACTGGACTTGAAGATGTGGGCTAATGAGCCCATTTACCCCTATCCTTTAACCAGATGGCATGCAAAACACCTCGATATCCTCCACCCATCCACCTTACACAGCATTTTAGCAAGACATAACAAATCATCATAACTCCAGCTGAACAATCTCTACTGAACAATGTCCGATCGTAGCTTCATACGTCGCGCCACACTGGTCCATACTCCGCCCACCTCTGAAAGCCTGCCGTTGCGCAAACAAAGTCAGTTTAAAACTGGAAAGTCTGAATATCATCTCTTGTATTTCGGGCCTTACCTAGTGGCATGAGCACCTGGTCTCCAAAAGAAACTCCGTCTAAGAACATGCCGGTCATGCCTTTCTCACTCAGCATCTGGTAGCATGCATACAGTAGGTTGGCGATGATTGCATCTGGAGAAACGGCGCCTTCTACTTCGCCATTGATGGGTCATTAGTAAGATCTTGAACGAAATATAAATCGCCGCGATGTCCATTACAGTGAAAGGAAGAAGGGAGAGAGAGGGAGCCTACCTCTAATACAAATGCATGTTACTCCGCCAACACCGCCATTCAATGATCCCGGCCATGGGATATCTGTTGCCGCTGGACTTTGCTGGCCTGGAATGTAGGTGATGGCCGTAGCTACTATTGTATCACGGTCAACACCGACGACAATATCGCCTATATGTTCGCTCTGTATAGTCCGTGCATATTGGTCATACCAGCCAAAGCCGTAACTAGTTGTCGCTGGTGGCCGATGTTCAATATCCAGCACCTGCTGCGCATCCGATTCATAGCAACGCCTGTATCCTAGGCCAGAATAAGGAATCATGACGCCTGTCAAGTCCATAAAATTGAGGATCCAGTCCGCGACAAGGCCACCCTGGTCTTCGCGCCATTGCGTGTTGACAGGCCAACCTTTCCTTGCGAACCAATGGCTCGCATCAGCCATCTCGGCCGTAAAGCCACAGAGCAGTCGTGGAAACGTCGATCCTAGGTGAAGTTTCTGAATGCCTCTCACTCTGCCCAGCCTAGTCATTGCAGCATCGTAGAGCGCGGAACCAACCCCCTGCCTCCTGTAAGCAGGTTGCACAATGATGGCGGCGATGGAGCCTATCAGAGCAACATCGGAGCTGTCTGCAAAGGTAGCGTAAGCTGCACAAAAACCGATCAAGGAACCCCGCGTCGACTCTCGTACGACATAATGCAATGCATATCCGTCTCTCTTTAAGAGAGACTCGAGAGTAGATGGGCTGAGATAAAATTTGTAAGGAAGACATGCCTGCCAGAGGGCGCATGTTTCCACCAAGTCTCGCTCAGCCACCCAGGATTGTACTAACCACCCAGGCTCGGCATCTACTCTAGCTTGGGCGACGATACCTGCCTCCGCGGGCATTGGCAGCCCTGGATCACTGTCGAGCAGCAAAGTGGCTGCAACTAGCAAGTCGGCATTGGTATATCCAGCGATGTGCACCAAGGTCCGGAAGCGAGTGTTAGAAATGTTTCGGCTTGCCAAATTACAGCAAACAAGAAGTATGAGCGGCCGTGATTCACATATTCGTGCCACAAGCTCAGCCAATTCCAACTGAAGCAGGTTATCGGCGCCGGCCAAATGAGTGATTACAAAGATCACAGCCCTTGCTCTTTTAATAAACGCCACATGAACGCCGGTAATTCCTTTGGCCTTGGTATATGGAACATGGCGTATCGGGATATTTCGACCGGAAATCGTTTGTCCGAGGATCTCAAAGGGATCTCTGTCATCTGTTGGATTATTTCCCGCCGGGGGCACCACGACAGGGGTCAAGAGAAGAACAGGCTTGTCTCTGGTGGGAATCTGAGAGAGGGGAATACAGTTCTGGTAATCCCACAGAACTGTACCAATTGGCCTCTCTGAACTTCCTGAGGGGTAAAAACCGGATGCGTTTTCCACAGGCCAGTATGTTCCGGCAGACATATTGTTTTCCTATAGCATGTTGGCCGAGGGAGACAGCGACAATAGAGTCCTATGGATCATACAGCTTTCAATGATAGCTCTCGAGCGCCCACGATGCAAATCCGTGAAAAATTCGGCTGGGGCTGTGCCGGGCTCAGTTAATGCACAAACTGGGGTGTGAATCAAGAAATGGGGACTATTTCCGCTGCTCTGGCAATGTGACAATGTTCGAAGGATCCAACTCAATATCCTAGTTGCTGTAATGAATAGTAATTGGGATATTGGGGAGAAATGAATTTGATTCACGGATATTTATAAGAGCAGTCGCTCTGGACAGCGTAGTGTCTTGCGATGGAGCTGGAATAGCGTCCAGTATTCCATCGCCAAGGCCTCTCATATGGTCTCAGCTCAAAATAGAACCCGCATTGTCGAGCTCCATAAATATAGAGGGCAGTATACTCCGTACAGCTGCATTGTATCGTAGCCCTAATCTTGACATGGGCTTATATGATTGGGCTAGGCAAGGGGCCGGGACGATTCACTGGGCTGCAAAAGCTTCCTACGACCAGGGTGAGGAAATGTAGGGATCATCTCCATGTGGGGGTTCCTTAGAACTCGCCATAAACATGGTCAAGCATACTAGACAATACGCCTAAGACGTGGCAAAAAGGTAGATATCCAGTCCGCACTTGGCTTAGATACCTGACCACTTGGTCTTGGGGAAGATGGGAGTCGGTTTGAGGATGACTGTCAAAATATGAAGCCCCTCAGCTTGAGCAATCCTTTGCTTCGCTGGCACTGGGGCAAGAGAATGATGAGATTATCGAAAAATGAAAATTAATACACAGGCAGGATAGTGGCGGAGGTGCGAGATGCTCCACATGTGTAGCCAATAAGTTGAAGCATATGTACAGCAAACCATGAAAGTATTAGGGCAAGAGGGTGGCCGATTAGCAGGGGCCTGGGGAGCTGTTTAACGCAGAAATCCACAAAGCGTACGCGGATTGAAGGCCACTAGAACTGTCGGTATGCCAGGCAATGCATAAGGTATAAGGGAGCTGGCCAACATACTGCCACTCTGGGGTAAGAATGCAATCAAGGGCCGGGGAGGACGTTATAGCAGCAACGGTGGTAGCCATGTCTCATTTGATTAGAAGGATATGGATGAAGTTGCTCTTGGACTTTGTTGATTTCGTTGCTAACACGCTCGGCATCCCCTCGGATGGAACTTTCATGGATAAAGGACTGCCCAACAGCCACCTAATGACCGGCGTATTTTACCGCCGTGGCAGGTCTGGACTGTGTAACAGCGAGTAGAGATCAAGGAGTAATCTCTTGTGGATAGCTCTCTCTTCCGGATGCAGTGACAGACAGCCCCGGTTGGCGGGCAGGCTGGCAATGGCTCTCGTCATAGTGATGTCTGTCAGTGCAGTCGGACGAGGGGATTCATGCATTGGGGCGAACACGGCGATATCGTATGGCTTCTGATAGGTGTAATGGCGAGGTAGCTGATGGTGTCGACATGGGATGCGACTCGAACATTTGCATGCACTTTTGCTCGTGCGAGACCGGGTCGCGAGAAGAGCAATGGCGGGATCATATCGGGCCTAGCGCTGGCCCAATATGCCGGGATGATGGGGCCGGCAGCGGGAGCGGGAGGTTCAGGGATCGACGCAAGCCAACAACAAGTTGAAGTTGTAGCGCGTTTCGTCTTGTCAGCAGCCGGGGGAGGCGAAGGGGAGAAGAGGCAAGATGGCAAGATGACGAGATGACAAGATTGGGCGGTCAGATTTTGCCCAGGGTTTTGAGGATTTTGGTGCTTTGTATTACTAAAGGCAGATTACGTCGAGTATGGGGAAGGCGCCTCCAGAGAGCATCGAAATAGGCAGGGACAGAAGTGACATGGTAAGGCAAAAGCACTCCAACCAGCATCATTGGTAAAATGCCAAGGTTGAGCATCTTTACATAGGTACAATTGAAGGTGTAAATCTTTGGTATTATTTTAGGCAAAAGTTTTACGAAGCTGCTTCCCTGTCGCTTCTTGCAGATGCCAACACTCCAGACGTAGGTATCTATAACCGGCAAGTAGAGCAATGTTCGGATTGGAGCTCTAATAATAGCAATCCCTTGATCAAAGTACCTATACCTTTGTTAACACTCATGCGACCCAGGTACAAGGGACTTGCTAGGGTGGTTCAGGTGGATATATTACAGGTACTATGGGTACCTAAGTACTAAAGTCATCATGGACATCAATTACTACGGCGGTTCTTTATTGTCTTTCATATAAGCAATTGTACTTTATGTGCGTGGGATACCTGCGCCGACAACAGAGGCTTGTACCTGCAGTAGCCCAATCAGACGATGCCAACGCCGGCCACGTCGGGATCATCAAGGATCTTACTACGCAGGCTATATCTGAGGGGCAAGATTGCCTACAGATCCCAAGACCAAGAGCATGCAGTGTTGCCCAATTCTCATGTCTTGCATACAGTACGGCACTCCGGAAGCGATGCCGAGAGAGATGACACTTTGGTATATGGTACCTTGTCAGTACCTGTGCGAAAACGATATGCTCACACGGAGTACTTTTCCTCACTTGAAGTGGCTCCCTCCCACTCGCGGCATCCATGTATTCTACAGTGCACAAACAACACTAGCACCTCATAAGCTCGACAAATCAATATAGTACTCCATGCTCTTCATATTCACCACTTTGTGCTTTCAGGCGTTTACCCCAGCCAAAATCATTGAAATAATTCTTGCCACGCTCAACATCTTGTCCATGCACGGCGTCCCTCCCGCATCTCAACTGAACTATATCTGATACTGTCCAATAGCCCCTAGCCCGGCGTTGCATTGTACACGCTACTTCGCGGTCCCCCCACAAACCATCTTGCGCCCAACGAGAAATTCATCTAAGCTACAAGTACGACATCGTCATCCTCACTGGCCACAAACCAAGCGCGACGCTCGATAGCGGATCAGGTTCAACGTGGCAACCTGTTTTGTCTCCTGGTCATGAGATCCTCTCCACTAAGCATAACAGCCGCAGGATGAAAAGCTAGCAGCTGCATCGCGCTTCTCTCTGATTTGTTTTGCCTACTGACGCGCCACACCGTGTTTTGGGCCTGATTGGCTTCTCCTGTCTGCCATAGTTCGTTCGCTCCGTCTTCGTAGCATTGAATGCCGGCGATATGTCGTCCTCTGCAGCTGAGGAGATTGACGCACTCATCCAAGATGTGGCTGTGGGTGAGTGGTCGAATCCCCCCGCCCCTTGATGCGACGCCGACTCGCTCACTCTTTGGTAGCTTCCAAGACACCAGCCAAATCAAGAGGGACAAGCATCAAGCCCACAGTCGCAAGCCTGACATCTCTGGCTTATGAGAACGGTCTGCTGCCGAACGCACTTGACGAGCTCGTTGGCCTACTGGTTACACCCAGTCACCTTGATCAGGCTAGTTTAGCAGCTATTGCCAGGAATCTATATCCGGTCGCCAGAGTATCCCGGCATGTTGCAATCCGTGTCATTGGTGCCCTCGGCCATGGAAATCTTAAGCCTTCGCTCAATGTCCAAGTGGCTCTTTTGAAATGGCTCATTATGGTCCACCACGTACTGGAGACCCCGGCTGTGCTTGCCCAGGCTTATGGCGTCCTCTTCAATTTGCTTGATACGGCGGCAATTAGGCCAAACGTCTGTCATTTATTGGCGCTTATCACGCGAAGAAAACATGTAAAGCCATTTAGAATCCAATCTCTGTGGGTGCCCCATCTGCGGCTGAGGCGGCTTCTTCTCAAAGCCAATAACTGACCAGATCTTCAGCTTGAATCTGTCCCGGCAGACAGCTAATGATCCCTATTTGATCGGCCTTCTGAGAGTTTTCAAAGACTACTATCCCGAAATTATCTTGGGAGAGTTGGTTCGTGGCAAGGCTTCGGCTTTCAAGGTGAGAATAATGGCAACAATACGGGCCCAAGGCAGTATGTACTGACGTGACACCAGCACCCAGATATATCATGGAAAGAAAGGCTTCAAGATATACAAGACGCATATGCTCTACAAGCAGAGAAGAACTCACGCGGAGCTCTTGACGGATTCCAAGTTAATCGCACCGCAGGCCGTGCCCAAGGAAGGAGAATTGTGCCAGCTGTACACACGTCTCACGTAAATGAGGTAATTTGTTGCACCCCCAGGGGCCTATCCATAGGCTAACATTGTATCAGAACGCAGTTACACTGGAAGAAATTGAGAATGCCACTGGCTTTGTCCAAAATATGGACAGAATAGAGTTGCCAAATCAGCTTGTAGCTGTACTTGCTGATCCATTACTGCAAAAGCTGTTGCTCTTACGTCCGAATGCAGAAGCTTATCAGCGAGTAGCGAACTGGCTGAACTCGGTTTTGCAGAACGTCATTGATGGCGATGCTGACGAAGCCACGCTGTGGGAAGTTTTGGCTGTCGTAAAGGAGTTTGTTGTGGAGAGTAAAGTAAGTCAAAGCCCGGCAACAACTACGCTGACCGCCCTGGTAGCTAATACGAGTGCATGATGCAGTCTATACCCCCCGTTTTCCTGATTTTTTTTGCCCGCTTTTTCCAGCAGTGGAATGGGTCCGGCCAGCGTGGCTACATTTTGCAGATTTTGTCGTATGCTCCCCTGTTGGAGTTTCAAGGTACACATTTGCTCTCTGTCAGAACGAAAGCTGTCTGCGCATTGAACTAACAGAAACATCAAGAGCTCTATGAACACATCCTACAGCCGTTGGAATTGGCTGTCTTGGACAATGCCCCTGGTTCACAGGTCGACATATTGACTTTATACACCAACATACTTCGCCATTGGATTGCCATGTTACAATCTAGTGACCCCATTCCCCCCCATGCCAACACGAGCCTGACGGCCCTTATTCGCCATACTGGACAGCTCAGCCTTACTCTTCTACAAACGTCACCTACAGAATCGGTGAATGTTGCAATTGTCGAATTCTATGAGCAGGCAATCCAGCTGGTCAACGATGATATGCTAAAGTACTATATACGGATTGAACTGCCACCATCTGAGCTCATCTACATCTTCTTGTTCAGTGGCTCCGTAACGACAATTTCCCGCCTGTGCGACATCTTGGCATGCTATAAAAAAGGCTTTGAAATGGCCATGTCAACCAAGGCAAGAAATGACGGCTCCAACCGAATCGATGCCCTCTCGTACGACCGAGCCTATGTGAATTTGTACAACGGCTATCTCATGGATATCTGTAACTGCTTCTGGCGAAGTCGAGCTTTTAGCGATGCAGATACCAATTCGCACGGTTGTATGATTCCACGACCTACCGTCTCCAAGCTCACATCATATGTGTCCTCGGTGGACAAGACCTTTTCCCTCCCTTCGTTATTTTCCCTGTCATACTCACCGGTGCTCTGCCTTCAGAGTATTCATTCGGTACGGGACCTAGAAGATGCAGCCATTGCGAGCGATAGCTCCATTCGGACAAGGCATGCCGGGCCTGTGACTCAGGCTACCCTTTCGAAGTTGGCGACTTCGGGAGGCATACAGCTTTCATGGCAAGAATATCGTATTGAAGTTCTCAGATCGCTTGCTGAGAAGAACCTTGGCGGCATTGCTGAGCTCTTAAAGAACACAATGACAGTATTGAAGAAGTCCATGGATGCAACACCGCGGGCACGAGCCAAAATGCTAAGCCAAGATTTCAGCTAAACTAAACGCGCGAACGCGAAGAAAGAATTGTATTGCAACTTCTTATGGCGACTACATACGGGCCCAGTTGAAGCGGACCAGTTGCCTATATCCCATCGGTTGAAATTCAGGGTATCATGAAGAAAGAGAAGATGAATGAAATGAAATATGCCACGTTTCCCTCAGGTATACCATGTAAGAGTGTTGAAAACAAAATGAAACCGAAATCCGTCTGTGAAGGCAGAGTTGAGGCCTGCTCCTCCACCAAAATACCAACGCCATGCACCGCTGAATGCTGTGCTCACCGACCGTTCATAATGCAGAAAGAAAGTCCGTCGTAAATGTCGGCCAATAAACCGTTGAAGGCATTATTGCCAAAGAAATTTCTCCAATTTAGCCTCCGCCGTGGCCCGAGAAGGAGAAGAAGAGAAGTATTTCTTAGTTTTCTCTTTGCTTGGACTCGTCACCATATCCACCAATCTTGATGGCGCCGAAGCCATAGGTCCTGCCTTCGGAACCAAGGTTCGCCTGGCTTCTTGGGCCTCTCTGTTTAAGATCATCCCTCAGCCAGCCCATGACCAACTCTCCGAGGCGGCTGTTGCCCGTAGGACCAACGGTTCCATCGATGGAGCGCAGCATGTTGTCAGCGGTGTCCCACTCCTTGACGGTGCCAACATGCATGTGGACAAGGTGGGTGGGCCAGCCAGCCAAGTTATCCAAGATGTGAGTAGCATAGACAATGGTGCACTCGCGGGTTTCCGTCTCGCGCTTCAGCCAGGAAAGGAACGAAAAGCGGCTCAGAACGTCAAGATCAACGGTGATCTCATCAAGGAAGAGAACGGTCCAGGGACGCAGAAGACCCATGGCGAGCTGGACTCTGCGGCGTTCACCGTCAGACACAGCATGCATGCGCCAGTTGATGTCGATATCAAGCATCTCAACCAGCTCGTCGCGGCGCTTGGGATAAGCATCGCCACCAACAGATCGGAGCAGCTCCAGGACGCCAATGTCGTTGCGCACGATGGGGTTCAGCACCCACTCGAGACCAAGGTAGGTGACGCCCTCAAGGCCCTCCTTGAAAGGGTCGACGCCGCCGATGGTGATGGCATCCCCGGGAGCCAGGCGCTTTCCAGCCAGCAGACGGAGAAGGGTTGTCTTGCCAGCACCGTTGGCGCCGATCAGGAGCGTGCGTGAGCGAGGCGGCAGATCGAGAGTGATGTTCCGGACGCCGGTTGAAAAGTCCGGGAAGGTGTATGAGAGGTTGTTCACCACGATCCGGGGAGGCTGAGTCGTCATGTTGGCGGTGGTCACGATGGGCAACGCGGAGGATATGAGGGAGTGGGTGAGAGTGAGAATGAGAGAGAAGAATGATGTAGATACAGAGTGGTGTCATCAAAGAAACAAGTGCGAATGCCACCTCATATACGAGCACTCCATTCTGGGAGTCAGCCAAGAATCGGGGGAATATTCCTGGGGACTAGGGCTTTTGCAGCCGCACAGGCCCCGCCGGCGAAGTTTTCTAGCGCCAGCAATCGCCCGTCTTTTGGTGGATGGTGGCCATCATTGGGTGGTTGTGCAGTTTGACCTCTGGCTCGTGGTGGGGGTTTGCTGGGAGAGGAAGGAATTTGAGGCTGCAGGGCCCGGAGTCCGGAGCACGCCGCTGGGATAGTGTACTCGTAGTGGGAATAAAATTTACAGTTAGGGGTCTTTGGGCTGTCGGCGTCTTAGATTAGCGGGCAGCCAGAGCCCATAACTCGGAGTATAATGGACCACTTTGACGGCCAAAGTCAGCACAAGTACACACATGTACTGCATACCCCATTTAGGCTCTTACTTTGATACAACTTAATCTACCGAGATACTAACCAGGTACTTGTAGCACTTTACACCAAGCTGCGCGTGTCGAACGCGGGGCACAGGGAAAAGAATTGAATCTTGTCTAAGCAAGGCGCGTCAAGCTTGCACCACTAACGGAGCTACCTTGAGGACCGTGAATCCAAGCAATCAATCGACTTCAATTGTTCATGAACCCTTCTGCTGCCAGCCACAGACACAAGGCGCAGTTCAGCATCATCCACCGCCATCATCCCCATTGAGGCCACAGCATCGCTGACAGCCGCCATCATGGTCAAGCTCGAGGACGTCTCCAGTCTCCTCCAGGCGCCCACGTATGGCCTCTCCCCTCCCAAGACCTCCTTGTCGGCTGCAATTCTAACGCTGATCAAGGGTCTCGCAGAAAGTGCCCGTCCGAGCCGACTCGGCCTACAAGCCGCTTCACTCCTTCGCCCTTGACAAGCAGCGGTCCTACAAGCAGCAGTATGGCGACATGTACTTCTTGCGGCTGGCCAAGATCAAGCCCGCGGTAGAGGAGGTGGCTTCCAAGGCATGGGAGGGCACGGAGATTGGGGGCGAGCTGGCCAAGAGGGTTGATCGTGTGCTTGATGTGCGGCAGGGCGAGCTGTGCTGGGTTGCGGGCACGGTCTACATGGACATGAAGCTGAAGCCCAATATTCTCGAGGATGTCTCCAAAGATGTGAGCCACCTACAGCTGTTTCTATGCGCTTTGATATGACAGTGCTTAACTAACATCGGTTCTGCCGTTATTAGCAATGGCTGTCTGCCCCCATGTCCTCGCAAAAGTACTACTCCGACGACGGCTCCGACCAGATCATGCTCGAAGACGACTCGGGCCGCGTTCGCTTGGTGGGAGACTTGCTCAATTCCATCCCTCTCGTCACCGGGTGCATCGTTGCCGTCATGGGCACCGAAAACACAAACGGAGAGTTTGAAGTCATCGACCTCAAGGTGCCCGATCTGGCTCCGCAGCCAGAGCGCTGGGCCGTCTCCAAAACGCCCTCCGCAAGCGGCAAATCAAAGAGCGAGGATACAGACATGACAGACAGCCCCTCGCTGACCGGCGGCAAGAAGATTGCCATAGTGTCTGGGCTGTCCTTCTCCGGCACCGACGCCTCGTACGATCTCGAGCTAAATCTTCTGCTGGAATACTTGCTGGGAGAAGCCCTCGACCCGGATGAGCAGACGAACATTTCGCAAATCAGCAGGCTTATCATCGCCGGCGACTCCATCTCAACAACTGCCAACAAGGAAAACGACGACGAAGACGACGAGAGCAAGAAGAGGTCGCAGAAGAAGTACGGCTACGACGCCAGCGCATACAACCCCCTGCCATCCCAGCTCTTCGACGAGTTTGTTTCTGAGCTCCTGCCTTCCATCCCTGTCACCCTTCTCCCCGGTGCCCAGGATCCCGCCAATGCAAGCTATCCTCAGCAGCCCATCCACACGGCCATGTTTCCTCTCTCAAGGGCCTACGCATCAGATCCTGGCGCCGCATCAACATCTCAGCCTGGCTGGCTTGATACTGTGACGAACCCCTGGGAAGCAGAAGTAGAAGGATGGAGGATATTGGGCACGGGCGGTCAGAACGTGGACGACGTGTTCAAGTATGTCGAGAGTGATGACCGGCTGGGCATGATGGAAGCCATGTGCAGGTGGAGATGCTGCGCTCCCACCGCGCCGGATACGCTATGTACGTCCTATCGTTTGTCTCTTTTGTTATTGTTCGTGACGGCTACTAACGAAAACCACCATAGGGAGCTATCCATTCCAAGAAGACGACCCTTTTGTCCTCAAGTCTTGCCCACACGTGTATTTTGTTGGCTGTCAGCCCGAGTTTGCAACCAAGGTCATTCACGGCCCTGAGGACCAAGCCGTTCGGCTCATTGCCGTCCCGTCGTTTTCGAAAACCAAAGAATTTGTGCTGATGGATACGGAAACACTGGAAGTGACAAAGATCAAGATTGCTTCAAGATGAAGTGGAACACATGGAAAGTGGAGGAATATAATGAAACATACATGACATGGAAGATGTGGAATACCCCCAGCTTTGATGACGCGATGATGAGAAGTCGCCTTATTTCATACCGTTGCTTGGAGTAGAAGAGCGATGGCTGCAGATGATGAAGAGAGTAGACTAGAAAGGCCCTGGAGATATAGACTCATGCGGTTGTTACGGAATATTTGATTACCCTGCATTCTGGCTTTCAATTTTCTATAATGGAAAGAAATAGCGGTCTCATCCAAGCAAGCGGCACAGACGCTTAGAGAAGGGAAATTACGAAAGTTAATATCAATAGGAGCTTGCAATCCCTCCGCTATGTGTTCCGTGTTCCCCTAAAGACTCCCTTCTTGGGATATTCGCAAGCTGAAGTGACGATCAGTGTTGTCTATACTACAGTGGGAAGGGATTGAAATGAAGCTACCCGTTTTGGTAGTGCAGGACATTCATTGATTGTGAGGGCAACGATGTGGAAAAGAAATGCACAGCTTCGAGTTGGGGATTTATTGCGCACAAGAGATGATCCATTGTATAATGAAAATGCCTTGATGTTTGGGCATATGGCCGTTGTTCGCCCATGCAAATTGAAGTACTTGAGCTCAAGGTGCTTGGATTACTGCTCGGCTAGCTGCTATCACGGCTGTTAACTATGGCATCCAGCTTGGACTGACTCCAAGGCTGTATAATGGTGATCAGTCTGAGCCCAATTCTGCCTTGTCAGGATTCATTCACAGCATTTTTAACCTCCTCTGAGGCCATGAGGAACTGGCCATTCAGCTCTCGTCTTTAGCTGCAACGCTGATCCCAAGTCTGACTAGACAGGGTGTCTGATTCTAACTTGCACAGCATTTTTAACCTCTCCCGGGGCCATGACGGACTGACAATTCGGCTCTTAGACCAGTATAGAGATTATGTCAGCTTTCAATCTCTACGCGATGTACTCCGTATTCCCCTAAAGACTCCCTTTCCTCACCAAAGAAAAAGAAAAAGAAAAGGCTCACTCGAGACCCGACCGGCCTAGGCGAGAAGCAAGGGGGCGAGTGGCTGGTCAACTGCCTCTTCTCCTTGATTGTTTTGGGTTTATAAACTCGACTCGGAGGCTGGTCACGAGAACAGAGTCAGCTGCGAAGCTTCTTTTTTTCTCTTTCATCTCCTTGGGCCAGCTGACCACTGGTGATGTCCGTTGAGAAAAGAAATCGGCAGTGTCGGTGAGAGAAGGGAAAGGGAATTGGAATTGGGGTCCCTTGTGGCGGCTCTGCTCCATTGCCCTTTTTCTTCTTCATTTTAGTGCTGGGAATGACTTTTTGCTGTGATTGTCATGTCTCTTTGCATTAGCACCAAGCGTGTAAGCCAGGATTCCCCTCACTACAGCTCCGTCCCCAACAGCCTCAACCCATCCAAATCCTCCCAAAGCAGTCAATCAAACAGTCTATTCTTGGCTTAAAAAAAACCCCCCCAGTCAAATCAAATCAATCCCCAAGTCTCACACCCCAAGACGGGCGCGCCTGATTCGCCCAACCCCGAAAGGGGCCCTGCTAAAACAAAGGTGCTTCCTTTTTTCTTCATTTCGTTACCCTATAAATCGACACTTTTTACCCTATAGTTTTGCTCGGGTTACCCTATAACAACGTAATACGGGGCCTAGAAGCTGCCGGAAGGGGAAATAGCCTGTGGCGGGGGAGGGAAGGGGGGGAGATGGATATACGGGGTATTTGGGGCGTGCCTTTGAGGTACCTTTGGGGAAAGCAGACTGGGGGAATCCGTCTGATCCGGGATGGTTGGATTTTATTTTGCTGCCTTGGTATTATCAAAAAATCACTTACACGGAAGGACTTTGCGATGCCCATGCCAAACGACCAAAACGGCTTTGTTGATGGACCTATATCGAGTATTGCCGTCAGATATCGCAAACTCCAAAAGTCTCTATACAGGCACTAATAAGGTTCGCGTGTCTTACAGCTTGATAACTCAAAGCCCCGGTCAGTTGGGCACATGCAACCCATCCATTCTGCCCCTGACATGATCTGAACCTACCAAACAACCGGTGGTATCAGAAGATCCGGCATGGCGGTCAATGTTCATGTTCACTACATAGTACCTACCAAGTACATCGTAGTACGTAGAGCCATCTGCTGATAGCTCTACCTTACACGGCGTATACAGTAGAGGCGATGACATCCATCTCAGACTTCATCAAAGATTCCGCCATCGGCACATCCATTACCCGTCAAGAACATGTATCTCGTTGGTTACGATACTTCAGAAAGAAAAAATAACCTTGTATTTCTTCATTCAAAGTGACAAGCATTCCCCTAGATCCATGCCACGCGCTTCGCTAAATCTCCCCTCCACACTGTCACTCCGCCTAAGCTTCTAGAACAAAACTACTCCAAAAATACTAAAACACGGATAAATACAGTACATACTACCAACGGATACGCAATTCATTTTCTTCATGTAAGTCCAATCTCGTCTCCGATTCCAGCTACACTCCCCCTCCACCACATGATCACGCCTGGGCCCTCGAGTAAGTGCGGCGTTGGTCATCTAAAAAGGGGAGGGGGAGTGTGCCTCGAAAAACGACACGAGGGGGAAGAAGAGAACCTGGAAGATACAAAGGTAAACATTATTACATTTCACACGCAAAAGGTACCTACCTGTTCGGCTTGCTGCGGGTTGTTGCTGGACTCATGTATTCGTGATATTCCATTATCAAAGAGGAGAGAGCTTTAAAAGCTGAGCTCTTATCAAGAGCTTCGGTTCCCCGGATTTCCTTGGAAATTGTTCTCCATCCGCCTTGTTTGCTTCCGCTTTGCTCTACTATATAATTGAACCTCTTGTTTCTTCATCACATACTCTTGTCAGTCATAGAGACTCATCATATCACAATGGGATCCATCTCCCCAGACGCAAAGCTGCCCTGGATCAAGACGCCATGCGTCCTCAGTCCCCAATTGAGCCGTGTGGCTGGCTGGTAAGTTTACTTGTCAGGTTATCAGAAGCAATCCAACATCTTACTAACATCTCCCTCCCCAACAGCAACATCTATCTCAAACTCGACCTCCTCCAGCCCAGCGGCTCCTTCAAATCCCGAGGCATCGGCAACCTCATGCTCCACGCCGTCGCGGCTAACCCAGACGTTCACTTCTACTGCGTCTCCGGAGGCAACGCCGGCCTCGCCTGCGCCAGCTCTGCCGCCGCCCTCTGCAAACCCGCCACCATCGTCATCCCCGTCACCACATCAGAGATGTTCAAGAACAAGCTCCTCGACCTTGGAGCTCGTGTCTTCCAGGTCGGCAAGAACTTGACCGCTGCGGATCTCTATCTCCGCGAGAACCTCCTCGCCAAGGACCCTCGCGGCGTCTATGTTCCGCCGTTCGATCACCCCCATATCTGGGATGGCGCTGCCACCATCATCGGCGAGCTGCGGGACCAGCTTGACGTTCCAATTGACGGCATCGTCTGCAGCGTCGGCGGCGGTGGCCTGTTTAACGGCCTGATGCAGGGCATTGAAAGTTTCCGCTGGTCTGGCCGGAAGCCTCACGTTGTCACCGTCGAAACCGCCGGTGCTGACAGCCTCAATGCCAGTATCTTGGCCAACGCCCACGTCACTCTACCTGAAATCACCTCCATCGTCACCTCGCTGGGCGTCTCCCGCGTCTCCGAAGAGACATGGAAGTGGTCTCAAGCACCAAACACCCAGAACGTCGTCGTCTCTGATGCCGATGCGGCCGTCAGCTGCGTCCGCTTCGCCGACGATGCTCGCCTGGTCGTCGAAATCTCGTGCGGTGCCGCATTGGCCACGGTGTACCGCGGCGACTTGAGGGAGCGTCTCGGCAAGGGCCTTACGGATGCTCAATGGGCGGAGAAGAACATTGTCATGATTGTGTGTGGAGGCTCTGGTGTCTCGCTGAGGACTCTTGACCAGTACCGAGAAGAATATGGTCCTCTCACGACCATCAAGGTTTAGGAGAGTTTGCTCGTGAACATCACAGTTGAAATCCATGAAATGCAAGAAGCATTGGATTTTGGGACAGGGCGTTTCTTTCTTTTTTTAAGACGGGGTTGAAAAAATTATTGGACAATGAGCAAAGAAATATTTTGAGGGCGTTTATTTGGTATTCTTGACGGTCTTTGCAGCGTTATTTGATAGCATTGGTTTTAGCATTTGTTTTCTGTTTAATGAAACTGCACTTGAACTTGGTTCGTAGCCTTTGATAGCGGATGAATCCCTCAGGAGTATCCCAATGATTCCAAACTAACGCTGGTTTCGTATGAGATCTATTCTCAACCCGAAGCCAAAATTGCCCCTAGACAAAGAAAGGGATGTCTGCCGGGCCTCTCACTATTATGACTGCCAATTCCTCCCGTCCGCACGGATTTCAGGTTCGGATACCAGCTTCCGATAAAATAAGCGGATTGGAAGGGTCCAAGTTATGGGATCGGTAGAAGCCCGATATCGGTAGAGCCTACAACCGATTTGTGCGCATGGGACCTGACGTTCTTTGAATGCCACCATGAGAGAGGAGGGGCGTGTGCATGTCAAGTTTCGGCAGTCGGCCCATGTTCACAAAGAGCTTCAGGTCGATATGGCTGTTGCATAAAGGTGCTCGTGATGATGATCGGATCGGCAACGGCCAGAATCATCGGGTGAGCTCCTGTTCTAACCAAATCTTCTATCATCTCATCAGCCACAATCAACAAGAGAACAAGAAATCCAACGTCCCTACCTTTCTTCCTCTTCTTTCGCTGGAAATAAGGAAGTTCCCATTCTACTTCCTCGTTTTATTCTTTTTCGCGCCACCAGTCCGACTGCTCCCCGCCGCAGCCTCCTTGTCCGCCTTGATTTCATCCACATAAGTCTTCATGATCTCATGTAAATCAGGGTTCTTCCTCGCCAGTAAGAGCACATCGTCCGTCGTGACAGTCGATCTGCCGGCATGATTGCAAAATGTTTCGAGATCGATGGCCACGCTTTCTGTGTTTGACAACCGTGAGCCTCTGTTACTGCACCCACTAACGTGTATACTCGTGCATTCCACATGTATACATGCCCGCCTCTTCCTTTCAATCCTTGTTTCTTCCCAAACTTTTGGCTTTACGCACCTATTTGCGACCAGACTAATTCAGTCAAAGCTCCGATAAACTGGGGTGTCGCATTGCGGTTGCGCTTGAGAGATTCTTCATCGACAATTTGTCCGATGGCGTACCAAAGGGCGGATTTGAGGCGCTAGTGTTTTACAATGAGCTCATCTGGTTCATAAAAAGAAGTTCTTGAGTAAATCATACTTCACGGTCATCTTCGGGTGTTGTGTCAGCCATGATTTTATCGTTATTTAGCAATTATTGTGAGTGTTGGACTTGTCAGTGGTGCGAGTGAAAGTGAGAGAGTGTGAGTGAGAGGTTGTGCTTTTGAGTGAAGTGAATCCTTGAGGGGCTGATAACATTTGAATGAATACAGAGCGCGTCGTGGGTAGGCCACACTAGTACTGATCGGGTAATAGAGCTAACGACTACTTCATCCAATTCTACATGCCTTACATGAGGTAGACGATATTTACTATAACCTCAGCACAGCATAGAAGTCATTAAATCAAGTTCAAGTATTTATAATCGTTTCATTAATACCGTCGTGCCAGCATTTAATTCAACGCTTGCATCGATCCTAACCCTACATATCCGCCATTGAATCCAATTGGTCATAGACATAAATCCCTTCACGCCGTGGTAATATAGCCAACATATATATCCCTATCCCTTTACCCGCCAACTAGTTCTATCAAGAGAACAGAAAAGGCCCTTACATTCACATTCATATCTCATGCCCGTCTAAGTGAGCTCAGCAGGCTTCTTGTTATACAGTGACAGGCGGTTGCCGGCACCACAGAACTCAAGATCGTTGCCGCTGCAAAGCATGTTGCAGTCAGACGCCGGAGCCTTCAGAGATGACGGCGCCAGAGTGTCGCCACAGTAGCATTCGCTGCCGTACTCAGTACCAAAGTATGCGAAGCCGTCACAGAAGGTGGCACAGGCCTCATTCGACATGGTACCTGTTGCAGTAGCAGCGCCTGTCAGGGCACGGGTGTTGTTGCCCTCTGTCTGGCAGCCGATAAACACAAAGTCGCCAGCAGCAGCAGGCTGCTCAGGCTCTCCACCAGTAATGTTGGGGTTGATGTAAAGTTCAAGGCGGTTGCTGGCTCCGCAGTACTCAAACTGGTCACCACCGCAGGGCATATTGCAGTCGGCAAGAGGAGCAGTTGCGCTGCTGGTGGAAAGGAAGCTACCGCAGTAGCACTCATCGCCATACTCAGTACCAAAGTACCTGTAGTTGGAACAGAACGCGGCACAAGCCTCGTTGGTCATGTCAGCTGCCTGCGTAGCCGCCTGGCCTAGAGCGCGATCGCCTTGGCCCTCCGTCCAGCAGCCCACCAAGGTGTATGCACCAACAGTAGGCTCGTGAATCAGGGTGCCGGTAGGAGAGGGAGGCTGGGTGACTGTGGTTGAGTACAGCTCAAGACGGTTGCCAGCACCACAGAATTCAGCACCGTTACCACCACAGACCATGTTGCATTGATCAATGGGAGCTGCCTCGCTGCTCTTGGCAAGTGTGTTACCACAATAACCTGAGTCACACATTGGTTAGTACAACTAGAATTCAAAAGACGTGTAAGGGTGTTATGCTCACATTCGCGGCCATATTCGGTACCCCAGTAGACGTAGCTGCTGCAAAAGTCTCTGCAGGTTTCCAAAGTCATCGAGTCATTGGCGTAGGCGCTGCCGGAAAGTGCACGCACACCATCGCCCTCGGTCCAGCAAGAAACAAGGACATAACCGTCAACTGATGGTTTGTGGGTGGGGGTGGGAATTGCAGTAGTCGTGGGAGGCACTGTCGTTGTGGGTGGCTGAGTAGTGACAGGCTCGCTGGTAGCAGGGTCGGTTGTAGGGACGGCATTGGTAGTGGATGGGACAGTTGGGATGCCCGTTGTGCCACCGGATCCCTCATCTCCACCGTTGCAGGCAGCCGGGCTGGCAAATGCACGGCAAGTACCGCCGATGCTGGTGAGGGCCTTGAAGCTATCAGACTGGTCGCCGTTGATAACATCAACGTATCCCTGGTAAGCCAGACCACCCTGGATGGTGTAGTCAATATTGAACAGAGTGTACGATCCGACACACTGGCCCTTCTGGAGGTCGACGGTGGTACTCTGCAGGAGAGGAACGGGGCTGGTTGTCTGGGGAGTCTTGAACCAGATTTTAGCCTGCGCACCCTGGCTGAGGCGGTCGTTGCGGACGGCAGCCACGGCAGTCAGAGCACCCGAGGATCCGAGTACACAGCTCTGGGGAGCCTGGAAGACAATGGCATCCTGGACAGGATACTCTTTCCCGTTGTTGTCGTAGATGTCCTTGGTGCCGTCGGCGTTGTTGACAGTGACGGTGAAGGACGAGATACCCGAAGTAGCAAGGATGTTGGTCGAGATGGGGTAGAAGTTAAAGGTATCATCAAAGCCATGGCTGGTGCCCTGGACCTGGCTGGTGACAACGCAAGAGCTGAGGCCGCAATCAGTGGTACCCTTGCGGTTCTTGTAAGTGATGGACACGCTAGATATGCTGTTATCGGGGAGCCCGGTGGTCTTGACGCGGATAAAGCCAGTGAGCTGGAGGGTGGTGCCGCCGTTGATAAGAGTCAGCTGCAAGCCTACAGGCTTGACCTTGTAAGGGACAATGGGGTCGGAGAAGGTGACGCCTGGAGGGACGACCTCAATCATCTTTTGCAGGACAGTCTTGCAAGTGGAGGCAAAAGTATCGGCATCGGCCAAAGCCTCCATGGTTGCGTTGCCATCGGAATTGAAGACCTTGAAATCGGAGTTCTTGTCAATCTTGACAGATGGACCGACAACAAGGGGATTCGCGGTCTCTCCGGAGAGATACTCGGTTACGACCTTGTTGTCGAAGGCGGCATCGGTGCTGTCGAGACCCGCCTCGCCGTTGAGTCCAGTTCCTGTGGGAACAATATCAGGGAACTCGGTGTTGTGGACGCCGCCAAGAGTGTGACCACAGGCGGTGACTTGGATCATTTCTGCAACATTGAAACCCATGCGCTCAAACTGCTGCTGGAAGGTGAAAACCGAGTTTTGGGGCTGGGGAACGCCCGTAGGTCCCTTGCCGGTGGCATCGATACGGCCGACACGGATGGGCACTGCAGGGCCGCCGCAAGAGCGAACAGATGTGTAGACGCCCAGGGCGATGAGATCAGCCAAGCTTGACCGGGGAGAGACATAGGGGGCCATGAACTCGAGGGTCGTCTTGTGGCCAGGCCCGGTGTTTTCACCGTCGTCCAGCTCGTACTGGAGCGAGGCATCCAGACCACCAATGCCGAAATGGGTGTTGGCCGTGGACATGTCGTGGAAGCCGACTCGGAGCCACTCAGCGGCGTTCTGCCGGCCAGGGCCCGAGGCTTCGTTGGAGCATGGGCTCACGGTATCGGCGAATTTGCGGGCGCGGAACGACTGAAGCTGGGTCATGATCTCCTCAATCTCGTCGATTGCGTTGGGCCATGTAGGGTCAGCCAGGGCTGAGCCAGCCAGGCCGAGGAGGCCCACCAAGGCAGCTGTTGACTTCATGGTGGGATTGATTGAAGCCAGTCACTTTCTTGTGTGATTGCGAAAGACTCGAAGCTCAATGGCAATAGACAGAATATGTAGACAATGAAGACGAATGGAGCAGCTCAATTAGTGTTGCAGCGAGACTCTCTCTCTCTCTCTCTCTCTCTCTCTGTCGACACTCACGCACAAGTGAGCGAGCGTGGATGGCCTCAAATCCCAAAGAAACGAGCGGGCAGACTCATGGCCTTTTAAGAAAGAAAGAAAGAGAAGACGATGGCGATGGCGATGGCGAGAATGAGAGAGTGAGCGAGAACGAGAAAGAGAGCAGAGTTTTTGCTGGCCGGAGGGTGTGAAGCTGCAGCCGCACCGCATCGGGCCAGAGTCGTGCGATGGAGGCTGCAGCTCTGCACTGGTTCGTCTTCCATGGCTGCGAAAGCTGCATACACGGCACCCTTGTCTTCAGCCCGGAGTGGCGGGATTGAGGCCGTCGATTGGAGAGATGCTGGCTGCAAGGGTTGAGTTGTTCAGGTCGTTCTCGTATTTTTGGCAGCCGACCTGCATTAGCCCACCGTTCAAGGACTTCAGGCACTCTCAGGCCCCAAGCCCAGGGCCTTTTGGAGGGGCGTTTGGTCCAGTAGCATCGAAGCCCAGCACAGCACAGCACAGCACAGGGAGGGAACAAGAGATAATCCACGCCCCGCAGATGCTGTTGTGCTCTGCCCGTTGTTTTTCTTACTGTACGGATGTTTCCATCTTCCCTCTCACCAACCCAACCGCCAAGCCAAAGCCGAAAAACTAACTCCAATCCCTGCGGGCTGAAGAGCCGGATGAGAAGCCCGTGCTCACGCCTCTCCACCCCCAGTCCATTCGTTGTCTGGCGGCATGTGGCATCTGCAGCACCTGGACAGGCACAGGTCGCAATATTGCTTTCTAGGCAGAGGCAATAGTCACCGACATGCTTCTTTCGGACGGCACGGAGGGCGGGATGGCAGCTGAAAGACGGTGCTGATGCTTGCTGATGCTGGTTAGTATCGCTCTGCTTAGACCAGGGGCGTCCATCTCTGCCATTCAGTAGCCGGCTTGGCAGCTTAGACGAGGTGAACGAAGCAGAAACGAGCCCACCCGCACATACTGACAACAGACACAGGCACCAGACTATTGTACGAGTACTCGTACTGAACTCTCACCATCGGCATCCCGCTTGATCCGCCGGCCGGCCTTGTCGAAGCTCGTAGCGATTAACTTCGACATGGTCATCGACGGGCGGCTAATACTGCTGGCGTTATCAAAGCTCCTAGTGAGGGTCAAGAGGATCAGATATCGCGCCAGCTTTAACCGGATCGGCAGTAGTCCAGCGCTCGCCAGGGGCAGCATGGTTGATTATACTCGGAAGCCAGCCGTAGCGCAAACCTTGAGGGTCCAGGACAATCTTGCAAGCAGGTGATTTCGCATGGGTTGTGCCGCAAGCTACGGGTACTCGTACACAGTTTTGCTCGAGTACGACTCTATACTAATGCCAACCTTGGTGATTGAGTAACACAAACAGCAGACCAATGGCTCATGGGCCCGGAATCACACCCAAGAATCTAGGCTCCTTTTTCCGCCAGTCTGAGAAGACTAGCTGCATGGGCTTCGGCACTACGCTTGCGTGGCTATGTTGTTGTGATGGCACGAAAGTAAAGCAGATGAATATTTGCACCAGGTCCAACCATGTCTCGTATTATCTCGGCCTCTCGAATCATCCATTTACGGTCAGTGCATATGCAATGGATCGTGAGCAGTCATTTATCCGCGGGTGGCTGCCTCGGAGAGCAGATTTGCTGATGCAGCTTCTCAATGCTACTAAGAAAATGGTGCCTCTCTCTGCTTGTTTACTCACAATCCATGGCCGATTGAGTCTTGGCCCCCGTCCAGCAGCGAGCCAATAAGCAGCGTGCCTTTCAAATCATCCACCGGCCAGTTGCGAATACAGATGCAGCAATAGTCTCTCCAGCTGACTGTCTCGATTATTTTGTCGCCCCCAAACCCGTTCGTCTCCACCAGCCCCAAGTGCAGTCACCTCGAAACCCACTCCAGACCGTTTTCACAACCAGCAATGGGTGACACGACATATGTTTCTCTTGGCCAGACTTGTCTTCATTTCTCTTCTTCTTCTTCTTCTTCTTCTTCTTCTTTGGGAACTTGTGCGTGTTCGGAGACACTAACGACGTACATGTAAGGGTAGTAGATGCGCCACCATGTAAGTGGGCGGAGCGGCTGGACCTCTGAACAACACCACAATTTCCTTCATTGGCCCCGTTTGCCTGCATCGAGGGGCGGGTTGTGAGCCGCAGCCCGGCCACACCCTCTCTGCTGCTCGTGGGCAATCGCTTGACTAGATCCCGGCCGTTCACGGATCCTCACCATAGGAATTGGCCGTGGTTTCTGGCTTCAGCGGCCTCGCTACCACCATGCAGCTCAGTTCAGTTCGGTTCTTACGGTTCACAATGCAACGTGTGTGATGAGTCTACTAGAGTCCCTGCAGGTTGGACCTCTTTCAACAGCAGAGGCAAAGGCCGAGAACCATCAATCCCCGCGCCATCGCTCACATCACATCCTGAGTTGTCCATTCTCAGGCTGCAATGGCACCTTTTCGGCCAGGAAACTTGCCGAGATTCCGGTTCCCTTCTCCTCCGCAATGCAATGGCCAAGGTGCTCATCTCATCTCGATCAGCCTCACTACTTGGAGGGTCACCAAATAGATAGATGACTTCGCTAAGTATATTATTTCCCGAACGGATCAATAATACCGCGCACGCGGCAAATTGAATGAAACATGACCATCTAATAACCAATACTTGAGCCTCTTTTTGCTCTTCTATTTTACCCGATAGTGACACGCCAAGACTGCCTCCCTGGCCCAGCCGGGTAAGAAAGACACCCAACGGAGGATTCCCGTACGCCATGGTGACATTGATTGATGCTACCAGGAACGGGGTGGATGCTTTCAGTCATGTCTAAATTTACACTTGTCTTGACCGGTTTGCCACCTTTCCATGTCTCACGGAGGAAAGCTGCGGTCCGTTCCTTGTTCGGCGTATAGTCTAGATTCATTTCCCATTCCATCTCCTTGTCGTTTCTTGTGAGCTAATCAGCTTGTGGTTGCCGATGATTGGCTTGCGATGTATTGCTCAAGTATTTCGTACGAAATATTGCATCCACCACATATCACAAGCACGACCACACTATTCTTGTTGAGTCCGGGAATCAACTCCTTCATCCGGCCGCTGTACACCACTGCGGGAACGACTCCACACGACAACTCGACGAGGAAGCGCTCCTCGCTAGCGAACCGCTTACAGGCGGCAATAGCTTCGGCATCGGAGAGCACCACAGTTGAGACCTGCTCACGGAGGCCGTACTCGAAGGCCCTTTGGCAGACCCTTCTCGCGCCCAGGGTGGTGGCAAGGCTAGTGATGGCGGGTAAAGTAATCAGCTCGCCCTTTTGGACCGCCTGATGGAGCGAGTCTGCTCCGAGTGTTTCAACGGCAATGACTCGAGTCTGTTGCATGGAGAGGTCATCGAGACCCTGGACGACACCGGACAAGAGGCCACCTCCGCCGACACTGCAGATAATAGCATCGACATTGCCTATGCGTGCCGTGGCATCATCATCTGATACGCCATCAATGGACACCGGGTAATGTTTAGTCATGGTGGGGATTTGCCTTGCTATCTCGTGCGAGATGCCCGCGGCGCCGTCCCAAATCTCCTGGGCATTGAATGGAGGCACATAGATGGCAACATCTCCCTTGGAACGGGCTTCCTCCATGAGAGTGCCAGTCAAGTAGTCATCTGCTTCTTGCCACGAGGCCCCCTTTTGAACAACGTCTGTCGCACCGGCCTGCCGCAGCTTGTCAATCATGTAAGCCGATGTCGATAGCGGGACGACAATGGTGGCCCGGCACCCCAAGGTGATGGCGGCGTGGACACAAGCCAACCCGGCGTTGCCTCCAGACGAGCAATAGAAATGGACCTTGGAAGTGTCTGCTCCTTGAGCGGCAAGCTTGGCCACCATGTAATTGCCTATGCCACGAGACTTGAAGGACCCTGAGGGCTGGAGGTTCTCCAGCTTGAGGAAGACATTGCTGAAGTCGTGTCAGTGTCTTTCTTTCGGGGCGAGTTACAAGGCAAAAGGACTCAATGTGAGTGCTTGTGTCCTTACCAGCCAGCTACTTCTGAGAGAGTGTGTGATTTGATGAGTGGCGTCTCGATGTAGGGGATCTTTGTGTGAATTTCTGACCCCATGTTTGCTGATGGAGATAGGCAGGAGAGATGGATGGATGTGATATTTTCTCGGTAAGTGGTGTTGACGCCTAACACAACGCTTTGCTAAAGCCTGATTTACCACGTTCTATTACAAGAAAGAAAGATGAGAAAAAATTATGAGATGAAGGAACAAGTGAGTGACTGTTGAAGCGAAGCGATGTGTTTTAATACTATTGATTTCTTTGATTCAATGAAGTTGATAAAAGATTTCCATGTCGTACTAACAAACCGACTACTGACGGGTACCTAGTTAGTGAGTGAGGGGTTGCCACCCGAAGAAGCGTTTAGAACGTTCTGCTTTCCTTCGTCTTACTGTTGGTTCCTGATTCATGCACACGAGTGATGAGTTGGGCGAGCCCTTTCACTTACATGCGCCCTTTTGTCAAAAATGTACTTTTGCAGTGATGGCTGCGGGCATGGCAGTGGACTTTTTGATTTAAATGCCTGTTGAGGACGTTAGCGGCTTGATTCTTGGCGGTTAGTGCCTGAATCTGCATGTCTCTGATCGACGCTGCTTCTTTTTTTTTTCGGTGGCGGACAAATGAACATCACGGGCTGTGATTTGCCCTTGCAGGTGAGATCTTTAAGCACAACGTGGTGAAGGAACTGCGTGTCTCACACTGGGTTCCATTATTACGGGAGGAGTCTCCATCTTTTTTGACTTTTCTCTGTTGTCAATCCCGCTTGTATTCATCTGGTGAGACAATTTCGATGCTCTGGTTCTTTGTTTTCTTCCTAACAATGAGGCACGACGTGGTAGATTTGCTTTCTTCTAGAAAACAATGGCTACTACAGTAAAAGAAAATTCATTCGGTCCTTTCCAGGTGCTAATTTCTGCCACATTGAGCCGAAGGTGGTGATGGTTCGCATCTCTACTGCACAGCCACACTCTTCGAGGCTCACCGACAGAAGCCTTTGTTAACCTTAGCACTGACCTTGGGTACCTAGGTACCTGTACCTACCTATGTAATACCGTTTACCTTGAGCTACTAGATGGGCTTCACCTTGTCGCCTTTCCCGCTCACCGGATTGAACATGATTGAATCTGCGCTGGAATCTAGAATTCCTCGTCAGATGGGCTGCCTCAAGCTACTTGAATAACCTTTTTATTACCCACTATACTTAGTACTTATAGTAGTACTGACGTAAGGAACAAGTACCCTTCTTCACTGTCTCAACGCAGCTGCATCAGCCCCAAAAACCACCCCAAATGGGCACCGCCTCAGCCACAGCCCCCCCAGCAGAACACGCAAAGAGACCCTCCAGTACGTCATCCAGTGACGATTCCTCCCCGCCACAAGCATGTGCCCCTCTGTAGCCACAGTGAATGGAGAATCGCTTCAACAATCGGCATCTGCTTTTTCCTTTTTTCCTCTCGTCCAACTGACTCAAAACTCGTGGGTTTTATTTCCCGCTTTGGGTCTTTGTATAATCGTTATCATACGGGTTTATATTAATTCCGAGCGGTTTCTTACCGCTCTCCCTCTTTCTTCTTTCTGCCGTGGTTTTCCAAATCCTCATATCTTCACCCTCTCTCACCCTTTGCAAACACCAAAGCGCACACCACCTAAACCTCACTCTCACACCACCAATCACACAGCATCGCAATCATGGGCGCCGGAACAGGCTTCGGCCTCAAGTTCGTGCAGTGGTTCATCCGCGGCATCCAGTTCTGCTGCTGCGCCATTGTCCTCGCCATCTACTCGTACTTCCTCGCAACGCTGCACAACCACAACCTGCCCATCGCCACTAGCCTGCGGGCCGTCGAGGGCATCTCGGGAGCTGGCACTCTGTACACGCTGCTGGCCCTGCTCATGCTATGCTGCCTCGCCGGCCACACGCTGACGGCCTTCCTGGCTGTCCTGTTCGACGTCTGCTTCATCGGCGCCTTCATCTACGTTGCCGTTGCCAACAAGAACGGCGCCGGCACCTGCAGCGGCGTGCTCGATACGCCCTTTGGCAAAGGCCAGTCGGATAGCACCGTCCAGGCGGACAAGGGCTTCACCAGGCTCCCGAGCTTCCACACGGCCTGCAGACTGCAAACAGCCTGTCTCGCCGTGTCCATCATCGCAACGTAAGGACCCTTTTGCGCTCCCCCTTGAAATCCGCCTTATAGAACTTTGGAGCAAAACTAACTCGCCCACCTCCAGTATCTTCTTCGCTCTCTCCATCCTCATGGAATTCGCCCTCTCGCGCCACCACCAAAAGGAGAAGCGCTACGGCCCCAGCCCCCAGAACAACTACACCTCTGGCTTCGGCCCGCGCAGAGGCGGCTTCTTCGGACGCATCTTTGGCTCCCGCCAGGTCGTCGACGGCAGCGAGGAGGGCAACATGCTGCCCCAGCACCCGCAGCCCGACCAGCTCAACGCCGATAACAACGACATCTCCAACCCTTACAACCACACCGACTATAACACAAAGTACGAGACTGGTTACGGCTACACCGGCGTCACCGGCGTCACCGGCCCCAACAATACGAATACCGCTTACATGGGTGCTGGTGGATATACGACTCCGCAGACCACGACTGGCTACGGACAGGCTGTTAACTACCGCTACGAAGATGGCATCTACGAAGCTCCTACCCAGCACTAACTCCATTGTGAGTTTTACGCCTCTGCTTTGGTAATACCACAGAGGACCGAATCAAAATGAGAAGTAGAAAAGAAGAAGAAGAAGAAGAAAAAAGAGTAAATCCCAAAAAAAACACAACATGTACAATTGGTATATATGTATGATGAATGAGCACCAACGAGGGGAAAACAGTCATGACCTCCTTGTGCTTAACGAGAAAATATGGGCTGGGCAGGGGTCTTTGCAAACTTGAAACGAATATCAATCGGTCATGTAGACATAGGGAGGCAAAACACCTTCAGAGTTTTGACTTGGTTCAGCTCACAATTAATAAGTAATGAATAACAGCTGTATCTCTATCTGCATGGCATTCCGTACGCCGACTCGTCGCTGTGATAAGTGCATACTTATGAATAGAAACAATAGGCTACGGCAGTCAAGTGCTTGTTAAAACCTTGTCTTCAACCACGATTCGCTCTAGACGAAAGGATTTTGACGCCCTCGCTCCTCCACACAAAGTTGAATGCCAATCCATTCCATCCCCTCATGTCCCACCAGTCATCATCATCATTTCCCATTCTCACCCCCAAGTCGACTCCCCATGGTCCATCTCACTCATAGTATCATCCCCATTGAGCATCAAGTCCGTCCAGTTCAAATCCACCTTCTCCAGCTCCCTCGAGAAAAAGTCCTGCTCCTCCCTCATGGCAATCCGGATATCCGCCGCAATCTTCTCCGGGTACCTCCGCACGTTCAGCCAATGCGTCAAGCTACGCAGCGCCTGCTCCAGCGGCAGCGCCGAGTCCACCTCCGCGTCAATGTCGCTCCCCGCGAGCCACTCGTCGCGGAGCTCGGGCCGGCAGTGGAGGTAGACGGCTGTGATGACGCGCATGTTGGACTGCCTCCACTTACGACCACAGTACGGCACTTGGCCCTTGAAGAGCTTGAGCGTGTATAGCCGAAGCTCTGGTTGGGGTACCCGCAGGGATTTCTTAAGGATGGTGGATGACTTGTACTGCACAAGCAGCAGGTTGCGGTGCGCCTTGTTCTTGCAAATTTTCTGCATCACCCTGAGGTAGTTGATTAGGGAGAAAAAGTTCCTCCTGGAGAAGTCGGTAATGGGCTCTAACGGAAGAGAGCCCAGGGGTAGTCCCATTTCGTCCACCTCGGGCCTCATCGGGACGTGTTCTTCGCTGTCGACGGCAACATCTTCCATCTGGTCCACGACCGGTTCCTCTAGCTCTCGCTGCCTCTTAATCGGCGGTGGTGCTGCTTCATCCTCGCTGTCTTCTCCTTCCAGATTTCGTCTGTTGCCTTCGTCTTCACCTTGAACGTCTTCTTCGTCCATGTCTTCCTCTTCGTTGTCCGCATCGCTCTCAGTCTTGTCCTTAAATTTTGACCGAATGTTGCAAAATTGGAAGAAGCTGCCGGCAATTATGAGCATACCAAGTTTGCCATATCTAGGAGGAGGTTTCCTTACCTATTTTCAACATGATCCATCTTACTGTCGACCACTTGTTGAATGTCTTGGTGAGCAAAGAGCTTGAGGACCAAGGGGAGATAATTAGAATCTAGCAGAAGCTGAGTCAAGTATTCAAACTTGAGAACATCTGATGACCCAAAACCGTTAGTTGAACCGTACTCAACGTAATGCTTATACGATAATACCCACGCGAGAGTCTAAGCCACTTCAGTAAGAGTAAGAGAATTGCTGTCATAGCCTTCGAAGTAATCTCCCTTGTTCGAGTGGCGTCAATCTCTTCAGGAGTCGGTTCCCCTTCTTGCTCTGACTGTCCTTGTCCGCCCATATCCATACCCCTCTGCGACCCATGGCCATTAACACCAGGATTGTTAGCCCTATTAGTCATTCCTGCCATTTGATTCTGCTGCTGGGTCACTATGGCCGTGACATTAACGAGGATGGGACGAAGCAAAACAATCACAATGGACTGAAGATGAGGCAAGGCATCGCTCTACAAAAGATGATATCAGTCGTGAATCAGTGGAGAGGAGAGGAAAAGAGGTGGTAACAAGATATACTCACATAGAAACGTTCTACCGCCATGAGTCGTTGCTTGTCTCGCTCACTCAATCTCTCTGGTTGAGGGCCAAGATCAAGCTCAGGGCCTGGGAGTGATCGCTCTTTTTTCTTCTTCTCTTTGTTGTCTTCCGCTCTTAGTTCACGCAACACCTCTCTCTCTTCCAACGTGAGCTCATTAAGATCAAGTTCCTCAATATCATCATTGTCGCTTTCGTCGGCATCGTCATCAGTCTCCCAGCCGCGTTCAAACTTGAGGAATCGCTCTCGCTCCTCCCAAAGCTGACGAGTTGCCCGGGTCATCCTGACACGCGAAGAGAACAGTTGTCCAGCCTCAAGGATTGACGCGGGAATATCGCTGCCCTCCCATCTTCTGGAAACCAGAGGGTTGCCATACCCCGCTTCACCCTTCCCGCCAGCGCTGTTACTGGTGGCATCCAGAGGAGGGTACATGAAGGGAAAGTTTTGGTTAGTCTGATAGTTTTGCTTCTTGCCTCCCTTACCACCGACCCCCGGAGACGGCGGTGGTGATGGTGCTGGGGTGGCAATGTGTACTGGCTGATTAAGGATAGATGCTCCTCCCATTTGTACGTTTGGTGGTTGTGGGATAATGCCATTCGCACCGTTTCGGCTTACTAAATTAGGCAGAGGTGGAAGAAGTGATGGGTTGTCAGCCTCTAGTGGTATCAAAGGCTGTGGAGGGACATAGGCCGGGTATTTCGACGTGATTTCCTGACGAAAAACATGATAGTCCAGGGGGTTTGCCGTGATGGTATCTTTGCTCTTGTCTCCAGTTGTCAACTCGCTGGTGGCTTCCTTGACACGCTCAAGATCTTTGGTTCCACCAAAGACCAGGAGGATCGATTTCCAGAACAATAGGAAAATCTATACACGTTTGTTAGTAGCTCTCTCGCCAACGAGTTCAGAAACTACCAGAAAAAAAGATTGCAGTATCGCTTACCTGGGTATGAGGCATGGTGTTTTGTTCATCCCATCTCAGCTTGGACGTAACCAGCATCAAAAAATCAACCAGCGAGGGATTCAGCTCAACTATATAACCTGAGTTAGCAAAGAGCACGTCCTCCATGGGCCACAGAAGAAGAAAAGCAACGGCATCTATAGAACGTACGCAGTTTTGCTTCAGTCGAAGCCATGTCTTCGGGATCATTCAATGTCTCCTGAACAACAATATACATAATCGTCAGGAGATTCATCAGTTCGTCTTGAGCATCCTGAGCACTGCCTTGTTGGATATCGCCAGTCCTATCCACGTTAGACTCCTCTCGACGCCTCAAACAGTTGCACTACATGCGGGCCATGAACCATACCAGTGGATCTCAAAGACGTTCCTCAGCGCTTCCCAAACGACCGACAGTCCTCCCAGTGACGTCAAGCACGTCACACCCGCCTTTATCGCCTGTAACTGAGGGATGCTTGCAATCGACCGGCTCGCCTCATCCGTCGCGTGCGGCATTGCCGTATCCCCCCACCTACCCAAAACCAGATACATAATCTTGCCAATCGAGTTTGCCCTCAGAGCTGCATCGCTCGACTGCACGCCAGCAATGGCGCCCTGTATAAATTTCGCCCTCGTGTCGTGGTCCGCATCGTCCCAACCATGCTTGCCGCCCGACTCGTGCTTCCAGTGCCACTCAAAGGCCTTTTGCGCCGCATTAAGGCGCACCCACTGCCAGAATTGATACACAAACCACTCGTCTATCTCCTCGGCGTGGGGGCCCATATCTGAGTAGACAAAGTCATATGCCGCGGGCTCAGTAGCATTGACCGTGGCCACGATGCGCCGCAGCTGCATCAGCGACAGAGAGTCGGTGGGGGCATGCTGTGGTATTTGCGCCCGATTAGCCGCATTATTAGTGTTATTATTGGTCGTGGCCGCAGGAGGAAGCATCGTCGAGCTGCCGCCCTGTCGTTGCGATTGTTGTTGGGACTGCGGAAGGGGGCAGCTGAACGACGACAACGGCGGCAGCAATGGAGCTGGTGATGGGCCGGGGGAGTCGTCAATCGCAGACTCATCCGTGGGGTAGTCGATGGCCTCCTCTACTGCCTCGGTAGAGGCCTCGTTCGACGACGCCTGGGCCGTTTTCGCTGAAGACCACAAACTATTCATCATGGGCGATGGGACGTGGCGGTTTCTCGTTGCTTGTAGCACATTGCGGGGTCCCGCCTAAGATTCGTCTTCAGGGGGTGTTGGTTAGTCCATGGAGGCTGTAGGATACAGCTACTTGAATGGAGGATGAAAAATATGCTCGGTAGACAAGTTTTGTCGCGTGTTGAGGCTGGTCATGTGCAGGTGATAATATGCTGCAGCTCCCAACTAAGGAGCTTGATGATATGGTGGTGGGTTAACTCTGTAACTGGAGGGGTCTTGTTGAGCTCTAGCGGAGCTCCAATTGGCTGGACCGCCTTTGACGTCCCCCTAAGGTACTGGTGCGGCGTCAAGCGCTGGGCAGGTACCCCCAAGGCACTAAATGCATGGATCACTTTTGCCTTCACTCGAACCTGGTGAACTATACGCAACTATACGCGCAGATGGCTTCCATTAGGGATAAAAGATAGAGTCGCCCGCAGGTTTTTGAAATGGATATAACCCAAGTATCTACATAAACGTTATATATACATAATTTTGTGTATGATGCTATTTTACTCCTCATCAGAAGAGCCCTCCCCCGACTCACCACCGCCTCCACCATTCTCGCCCTTGCCAGCCTTTCTCTTCGCCTTTCTTCTCGCCTTCTTCAATTTATTCAACCTCTTCTTCTTCTCCTTCACCTGCTCCTTCTTTTCAGCCATCTTCTGCTTCGCCGCCGCTTCAGCCTGCTCCTTTGCCCTTGCCTCCGTCCTCATCGCTATCCTGCGCTTCTTCCCCGGCTTCTTCCTCTTCGCCTGCTGCTCATCGTCGACACGAGTGAGATTCGCCCCTTCTCCTGGGCGGGCTTTCCTCGTGACTTGTATGTTTGTGACTCGCCAGGGGAGCTCAAGGCCCCATTCCCTCACTTTAGATCGCGCGAGGACGTCTTCTCCGCTCACTGCTACCATCTCGTACTGCTGCTTCTTCTCTGGTGACACGTCCGTTACCAAGTAGTATGATAACGGCCGACCCCTGAGGAGTTTGCCTTCTACAACTCTGTCGTAGTTTTCAAGAACAACCGTTGGCGCCGGACCAGCCGTGCTGAAGAGCCGAAAGGCATAGGCTTCATCCTCAACCTCGCCACCTTGGTTGAACGTAGAATCATCGGCGGGAGTCTTTGGTTCACTTTCCGAATCAGAGCTGAGCCCATCGTCTTCTTTACTACCATTAGCCTGAGGTTTGGTAGGTACAGGCAAGGGAACCTGTGGTTTCGGCGCGCGAAATGCACTCTCGTCTATTCCAAGTGATCTGGCGATTTGTGCATTGAGCCTTGCCTCCAGCTCTGAGTCTGCTTCACTCTCGCTCCACGAAGATTCATCCGATGCACGTAAATCCTCCCGGCGGACTCTGTCCATAGAGTTAGCCCTCGAATATTTACAACATATATAACTACAACTGAGAGAGAGACAGCAGCTCATACCTCTTTGCATCGGGAAGCTCAAACATGGCGGCTCTTCAGGCTGGGGGAAAAAATGAAATATCGGATTCTTTTCCGCCCCCAATAGCTGGGCACGATCTATATTTAGACGCAATAAATCGAGGTTGCAAAATTCCAAATTCAAGGTGAGACGAAACAATTGGGTATCTGTAGCCGATATGCGCCTTCAAGCATCATGCGTCAATCAAATCCAAACCAACATAAAACGAGGCTGTGAAAAGAAATCCCCGGCCAGTTTCTTAGACGCGGCTTATCTTATCGAGAGTACAAAGTACCTACCTCCTGGCCGACTCTAACTGCAGTCGGCACGCGCGGGCTCCAGCAAGTATTCAGTACTTTAAAACACAGGGACTTCTGCACTCTCATAAAGTACCTCTTACTTCGTGCCGTTTCAGGAATCCAATGCTCCAAGAGTCTATACGAGTACACACCTAATATTCCGCCATCCATATCCAGTCCATCCTACAACATCCCCCTTTTCTCGGGTATTAAACAAGAGTCCGCAAATCCTCTCCCCAACCACCCAAAATAAAAACAGGAAAAAAGAAGAAAAGAAAAAAAGAAAAGAAAAAAGACGGAGGCTAAGGAACGCCCGGCCCGTGAAGGCATCTCGGCCCCCACGCTCCGAGAATCAACTCGGGCAAAATGCACAACAGACAACTTATGCAGAAAAAAAATGAAAACCTGCATGGGAAAATATAAACTGCTTTTCTTTTTTAATCTATTTCGAATTTACCCTCTCCAATACCACCTCGCCATGCTAAAAAGAACAAAGAAAAGGAAAGATAAAAAACGGAACTTGTCCTGCCGTGTAACCCAACTCAAAGGTTGTACCCTTGGGTCGCATCTGATGCGGGCGTGCATGCTGGAACCATGCGGCCAGGCATTTCTTGCAAATTAACCACCGCAATTCGATACGGAGCGGCTTTTTTTGGGATCTCTCGCCTTGTCTTCCTTTTTTTCCTGATTTAACCTAGGCAACTGGGATGGCAATAGTCTGAAAAGCGCTCCAACAAAAGTGCCATTCTCGTAACTACATGTGCTTTCTCCCTCCTCCATGTGCAGCCTGGTTGTTGTCATCCAATCACGGCATCCAACAAATCTCTTCAACATAAGCACTCATCTCGCTAACAGCAATTAATCGGCCCATAAGAACTCGCTAGTATTGTGGTATCTCAGCGTCGCCCAGTACCTAAGCCGTAGGTAGCTTCATGCCCGTGGCTCCGACTACCTTGACGCCATACCAGATGAAACATTTTTCGCCACCCTTCCCACCAGCTACATATCCAAAATCCATGTGCTTTCCTGATATATACATACACACACGCATGTATATAGCCGTAGACATGTGCGTATACCTATGCACATATACATGCAAGCATATACTCTGTAGAAATGAATCCTCCTTAGAATAAATCCCTCCCAAGACTCGCCTATTACGCCGCGGAATCAAAGCATCATTGTACACGTACCCAGCCCATCCTGAAAAGAAAACCCGCAATAATTTACAACCAAATTCAAAAGGTGTCAAGTAGAAATGATATACTCCGTGAAACAGCTTGCCAAATAGACAGCGGCATGGTATAGCCAGTTAGGAACGCCGTCCTTTAAATGGACTGAAGGATGTTGAAAACCTTAGTTTGCGTTCCATGAATAGTTGTGCATGGGTTCAAAGGAGCCACGCGACTCAGTCTTGACTGACGATGTAGCTGCTGTCCCCGCCTTGTATGGCTCGTGGGGGAAAGAGTATGGCCTTGTGTCAGCACTGGCATAAGCAGTGCTCGAGCTATTCTCCCCGGCAGTCGTAGTAGACCACGCTTGTGACGGTGGATAGTATTCCCTCGAAGAGGCTGAACCATGTGTAGATGATCCATATCGGTACTCGGGCGATTCGCTGCTGCTTATAGAATTGGCACCGTGGACGGATTGTTGGCCACTCTGACGTGGACTTTTATTTGGACGGCCGTTGTCGACATATCTAGGAATGCTCAGGGCGCTATCTGCATGGCCGCTCACTGCCGACGTGGCCGTGCTGGCTGGCAACTGAGACCCTGAAGTTGGCTGTTGCACGTAGGTGTACTGCCCACGAGCTGATGATTGTTGCTCACTTGCCCCAATCGAAAGTGGCAAGGATGGTATCGAGGACTGAAGTGGTAGTTCCTGGGGGTCTGAAGTATAGTTGGACACTTTGGAATACGTGTCAGCGCCCATGGTCGCTGTTGGGTAGCTCCCTGGACCAGATGAAGTGACTTGGGAGATGGAAGTGTTGCTGCTGCTGGCACTCCAGGTTGAATATTGGCTTCAAAGTTATTTTGTTAGAAACGTATGCTCTTTTAAGATGACGGATCCGTCTTTGATCAACTCACTTTGATCTCATTGAACTCAGCTGTCCACTCCCAGGAACCTTGGGAGAGCTAAAGGTAAAACTTGAGCGTGGAACTTGGATATCCACACTTCTCTTGAGCTCTTGAGGCTTAACGCTTAACGCGCCAGCAACAACGCCCAAGCCGGTTTCCACCAATGCCTGGCCTCTTGAGCCAGCGCTCGATCCCAGCAGAGGAATCTCTTTGCGAGCCTGGAAGTTTCGAGGGCTGCGGCCTCTCACTACAATAGGAGCCGTTGTGGACTCTGTCAAGACAACCTTGGTGTTGTCAGACAAGGTTCCAAACACTTTAAGGTGGAGCACAAAGTGCTGCTGGAGCTCCTTTCGTCGACCGTTGTTTGCAGTAGCACTGTTCCAATGTTAGGCTTATATTCAAAAGGGGTAGAGGAGAAAGGAGCGAAAGTTGAAAGGGCAGAAAAGGAGCTCAACGCACATTCTAAACTGCAGTCGACGCCAGCCGATGGGATAGACTGCGTAGTCTCCTTCGGGTTCAGAGCCGTCATCTTGGAAAGGGATCAATGGGAGAGCGGCTGGTTCCTGATCTGGGCTCTGGGTGATTTCGGGGGCGTTGGGTGGAGGAGTTTTCCATGGAATGACAATGAGGCGAACAGGATTGCCGTCAACAGATTCAATAGCAGAAATAGCGACCTCCATGTTAGACACCGGAAGCGTCTCATTGCTCTCGTTAACCACAGAGAGTTGCCCTCTTGGGGTAATCAAAGAGCCGCTTATTTGAAACAGGTTCCTTCGGTAACAGGTTAACTCTGGCTGCAGAGAAGTTCCATCGCTGGCGGTTGACGGCATCTCGGAAAGAAAGAACATGCCATGGAGCTGAGCTGATAGCTCCAGCTGCTGCACCCGACCTTGTTGATCCACGATGGTATGCTTATCCTGTGTCCGTCTAAAGGCCAATAGTTTGTGATCTTGATTTACCGTCAATCGAGAGCCGTCATCCCGCAAGTCCTGTACGATTTCTTGGTATGCAGCCGGTTCAGTTTGCGAGAAGGGCCTCTTCAGGCTGGAGTATCCATGCTGAGCCGGCAGACTTTGTTGGGAGTGGCGATCATACGCAACAGAGTCTTCCTGGGAATACCGGCCATAAGAGTAGGACTGATCATGGCCACTGCGAGGACGGCCAGGAAGAGGGGATGCCGATGCGGAACTGTGAAAGCCAGAGTCCATGGTTGTCGTGCCGAGTCTGTTGGCCAGATGAGCGGAACCGTTGTAGGTGGACCAGAAACTGGAATGGGCAGGCTCTCCTCTGAGGTCTGTCATGGTTACTGGGTATGCTGTTGCTGTCATTATGGGCGCATATCCCTCTTTGGCTTTATGTCTGCTGAGGACGTCGCGACGAGTCTTTGTCTGGGACAGATGATAGGATTCAGGGGCTGGTGTCGCAACGGATAAGAGAGACAAGCAGCGAGGTTTGTGTTGTTACTTTGCCACTCGAGTATAAACTAGCTCACAATTTCCTCAAAGGAAGAAGGGCATATAAGTAGAAGAATAGATGTGATGGAAAGATGAAGTTGTAAACAGGATGGAATGTGAAAGATGATAAACAAGAGGCAAGCCCATAGATATTAAATGGAGCTTCAGGACGGCAGATGGTGGAGGGAAGCGGATGGTAGATAGTGGTTGGCAGATTTAAAAGGCCCGGCACTGAGCCGGGAGTGGGAGGATATCGATCCTATTATTACCCACAAGTGCGTGTACCTGTATGTGTGTGTGCGCATGTGTGTGTGTCTATAAAGATGGCCAGATGGGCTGGACGGGCTTGCGGGCAGATACATCCGGTGAGGGCCGCCGGTCCTTGCACCCCAGGGACGGACGGGACCTAATACAAGATTGGCCTTCTGTCTACGGAGAAGGCCCAGGGACGCTGGTCCACTCCGGCCCAAGATCCATGCTCTCTTCACGAGCAAAAGGACTCTAGTAAGGCTAAGTTGAAATCGATTCGGGCTCTTTGACGCAAGCGCCGGTCAGGCGTAGTGGACTTGTGAAGAAAATAGCCCAGTAAGTTGCCGTGCATGCAGCCATTCTTGGAAGGAGGACGGGGGTATGCTGCGGCAGTGGAAGGGGGCCAAACTCGGATCTCGTTCATCAGACGCTTGAAGGGGGATCCCAGGGATGCCCTGCAAGCCTTTGGACTTGACGTCCGGTCAAGCAATCGTGCATGCCTGAAATTCGTTGCAAGAGAGTAGACGTATCGTCGGTCTTATTCGCCCATATCCAAGGGGGGTGTGCCGGAGACTTCTTTCTTTCTGGCCATTGGTTTCTTTTCTTTCTTTTTTGGAGAGGTTTTTTTTTTTTTTTTTTTTTTTTTTTTTTTTTCCTTTTTTGTTCGAGGCGGCATCTCAAAATTGCTTTTTCATGCACACTTAGGCCTTCTTTCTCCTCTTGCCTCGTCCCTCCACCGGAGAGGTGAGACCCGAATTGTGGACAGAATACCAGTCACTTATTCTAATCCTTTTCCTTCTAGTCATCAGCGGTGGGCCGTGACTCCATCCGACGCGAGACATGAGTACTCGTAAAAAGCCTTGAGCGTTGACTCTACCAATTATACAAAGGTCAGGGCAATTTTTCCGTGATTCGACATGAGAACGTCTCCTCCGAAGTGCTCGCTCTACTTGTACACCCCTCCCCCCTCAGGTGGCGTCCGCTTTCTCTTCTGTTTTCCGTGCTGTCGAGAAGACAGAGGCACATTCGGGGGCTTTTTGCTGATGGCCCATGCTAACCCTGCTAGTACCTGATAGTATGGAGTACAGGTACAAGTAGTATATGTAGTAATTCGTATGTTGTTGTAACGTGTGGTATTGCATGTACGGAGTAAACGTGGGCGCCCATCAATCTCACCAGTACGCTTTCAGAGCGTAAGAGATTTCCCTGTTACGAGCACTCTTTGTCTTTGTCAAAAAGGGCCCGCCCACTAGCCTTTGCATGTACCGAGTGGTGGGCGTGGAGACGGTTCTGCCGAGACGTACACCAGGGGGGCGCTGATGACTGGCGCAGCGCCTCGAGGCTAGGTGATGGGCAGAAAACATGGTTTGTTACCCGGCTCGGCATGGTGGAAAGGCTAGGCCAAGGAGCCAGGGTGTAGTGGAGCGCCGTGCTCATCTCAAGACGAGATTCTCACAAGCCGCTGAAGGATGCATTCCGGAACCTAGCGAACCAAAGGTGGTGCTCGTGCAGTCAGAAGCAGAATACTCCGAGGCCAAGATTAAACCGGGCTAGCTGTGCTGCTGTTCCCAAAGACAGCTCGTTTCTAGAAGATGGCAGCGAATGGAACACAGCACCGAGGCCGAAGAGCAAGGACTCGGATTGTCCCTCGGGCCGGCCTACACGCGACTCTTGTCCGTGCTCTGTAAAAGTAGTCCGTGGACAAGCACCGGTCCTGAGCCAAGAAGCCGTGTAGGGCCGTGCAGAGACAAGACAGTAGAGTACTCCGTACTGCTCCGTAAGTATTAAACTGCGACCAGGTAGGGCAGCCGCGCGAGAGGTCAAGACGAGGCAAGTCAAGACAAGACAAGACAAGACGCCGGTCTCCAGAGCCACTTGCAGGGATCAAGGTGGAGGCGCACCTCGACGGCCGGAGGAGGATCCCTGGCCAGAGGGAGAAGGTGTCCAGGTGGTGGCGCGGTGCGGTAGCAATAAGCTGTGCAGGGAGCTGGACCTGCAAATAAGCTAAGGATGTGTGTGTGCAAGTCCCTCACATGCTCGACGTTGTGCTCGTTTGTACGCTTGTACCGAGAGAGTGAAGACTAGCACCACTTGTGCTTTACCTTAAATGCTGAGGGACGGACTCGAAATCGGCCGATGGACATCCGTGTCTGCGGTGGGTATGAGCGGCCGGCCCTCTCCGCGTATTATCTGCATCTTTGTCTCTCACGGGTATTGGTGCTTTTCACGGGAAGCCCAAATTTGAACAAGGGACCAAAGCAGAGAGAGGCTCTCGCTGCTATTCGAGGAATTTGTTCCATGTCCGCCGAATCTCCCCGTCAAGATAGGAGGCGACGACGAGGGGTAGGCAGCAGGGGTGTCAAGATAGGTACTCTCACGAAGTGCAGTAAGGGTGTAGACCAGCTTGGTCCAGAGGTCCAATCATTTTCACGTCTGTGTTCGTCCGATCAAGGTGTGTCAAGCGGCTAAACAGGTAGACTGTGAGATGATCTCGTGGTGGCGGCTCGAACATGACTACCGCCTATGTCAATGCTACTATCACCGATAGCCCCCCCATCCAGGCCTAGGAACGAAGGGGGAGCGAGGGGCGTGCCGAAAACATTGTCGGAAGAAACATTGTCAGAGAAGTACTGTAGTACAAGTAACAAATGCCACTGCTAGCCATTATTGGAGAGATCATGAAGAGGATGGGTGGGTTTGAAACGGGTTGACGGTGGGGCACGGGCATGGGACCAAGGACGGCCTTGTCTACAGGCACCTGTTATAACCTGTTTGCATCGATGATGGGCTGAAGCTTGATTGATTGACTCATGGTGTCTGCGGGAAATCGTGACCCACGAGTATCATTAATCCGCCTCTGGGGGGACAAGCATACTTGCACATCCAGTATATGGAGCGCCGCGCCATATTTGTACTCGAACTATAGCCTATTGGGGAGCACAAGAACGACTAGGGGGGGATTGTTCAGGCAAGGACGGAGCCGCAAAGAACCATGTCCAAGGGCATTCACGCATCTGTATGCAGCCAGAAGCATACGAGTAAGATATGATGCTGAGGGCGGGACTGTGTCGTACTCGTAAACGCGGGAGGTGTGCGTGCCTGTGTGCACGACGGCGCGGCGAAGAGGAATTCGTCACAAACAAAGACATGAATGCGAAGAAGCGAGGCGGCAAGCAAAGAGTCAAACGAAAGACACACTCGTTGCCATTGTTGCCACCATCTCCGAGGAATGTGCTTGGAGCAGAAGAGCGGCGTCGGACGGAGTCGAGCCGAGGACAAGAATGCCGCAGTCTGGCCTCGGTCTGGCGCGCCCCCCAATGCCGTGCCCTCCTAGTATTCGGATCATCCTTGCTCGTGATGTGCCTATCGCAACCACCGCCTCTGCATTGCCTGAAGGGTGGCGTAACGATGCGTAAGGGTGCAGAAGAAGGCCTCGAGGCAATGTGGAGGATAATCCGTCCTGGCCAAATGCGGAAGCTCACGCAGGCCGGCTGTGTCCTGACTGGCCATCCAGAGGCGAAGACGAAGAAGAATCAAGAGTGGACTCGGTGGGCTCTCTCTAGCTGTCGATCTGGCCTTGGGTCATCAATCAGTGATCAGTCGGCTGTAGACCCACCGCCGCCAGGTGGGTGACAAGGCACATGGGCAACAAGAAAAACATTGTTACAGGTCGAGATGCTGCAGCTCTCACGTTGTACGGGCCACCCCCGTGCGGCTTTGGTTCTTTCTTCTTTCTTCACCCTTCCACGGCTCCTCTTTCTTCTTCGCAACTCGTTTCCCCGGGCTCTGGTTCGTCTGCCTTGGACTGGGGTAGCGCACGATCTAGACACTGATCAACTTTAGCCGTGAGGGGATGAATGAGTTGGACCCCATGTCGACAACAACCCGAGTCCCCGTGATAAAGCCGTGTGATTAATGACGCCAGTAGGAGAGGCAGAAGGGGGGCGGCAGAGAGAAGAATACTGTACTCCATAATGCCAGTGGTTTGAGGAGTCTCTGTACGGAGTAGAGGCGCTAAATGGATAGGCGATGGACTTTGAATTACCGCGTCGATGTAAGATAGATGCTGGTCGTTGGTGGATGTCGTGCCTGTCAGCGAATGCCCAGGTCAGGGAAATCATGCACCTTCCAGGCACCAGTACTTGGTACTCATGATGACTGCGGCCAAGGTGTCTCAACGCACAGCTTCAGGATCCTGTCTTCGTACCAGGTACCTAGCAAGCGTCTGCCCTGTCTGCCCTGCCTCAGGCATCGCGGCTACCCGTCCCCGGCTACCGAGTTTTACCTTGTTCATCTGTATCTGGATGCGCTCGCTCGCGTACAGAGCAAAGCACCACTAGCATTGAGCATCTTAACACCGACCACCTTGCTGTTGAAGCCTTGCTGACCTACCAACAGGTACCTTAACCTTACCTCTTCGCCATGCCTTTGTACTCGTACTAGTACTTTTAGGCACAGCCAGAGAGCCGTTCTCTTTCAAGTACAGGAACAGTGGCTGGATGAGAGTGCAAAGCTAAGGCACCTCTAAGCTTAGTATAGGTCTGGGCCGTGAAATTATACCGAGAGAACCATGGAAAGCTGACCTCTTGCCTGGCTTGGAGTCTCTCAGCTGCACCAGAACGCTCATCGAAATCCTAATTCTCCGTTCGCCCGCTGCATCGACCGCGAAGAGACGACAGACGGCAGCCCGCCATGGGGGTCGCGCATGTACAGGAATCTCCTGCGCCGCTGTGGCTGCGGCCTGCCTCTGTGAAGCCGGTGATTTGAAACCTGATGGTGTACGGCGCAGGCCTTCCGAAGGCTCCTCGAGGTTTCCAGGTCCACCCCGTCTTCTCTTTCGGTGCCCCTGCGCCTCTCGAGCCCCTGCAATCACTCGTCCCGCGGCGCCCCGTAAGGCAGGTACCCCGACCAAGCCACTTGGGGCCTTGTTTTTGACGCCTGCATATGCACGGCCACGGAGTGTCTGCGGTTATATTTCGAGTGCTTTTTGACGGCAATGCTCTAGGCTGCGCATGGCCTAGCCTTTGGCCCCCACCAAGAGAACAGAGTTGAGTCCCGCATCAGCATGGACTGGACAGCTCCACTCTGCACATCCATCACCTGAATTGCTCCCAAGACCCAAGACAAGGCGCGGCTGTCAACTCCACTTGCGTGTGAGTCTGAATCAAACGGCAATGCTGCGAGGACGGATTGGACGGAGTGCTCGTAGCGGTAGTCCGAGGGCTAATTAGCCTTTTGCTCGATTCGAACGAGTGGCAGCGCTCCACAAAGGACCCCGAAAGCCGTGCTCGCCTCGTGGATTGTCTTTGCAAATCAGGTCATGTATGGAGTAGGACTAGCATTGATCGCTTACCGAGTACTGTACCAGAGGCTCGTTAGATTCAAACCTGGACGAAGGCCATGCTTTACGTACTAGTACAGGAAGTACACCGTAGCTGATTGTCCGTCAACATTCCCATGTGTCTCAGCTTTCCATTTCTTTCTTTTCTTTTTTTTTCTTTTTTTTTTCTTTTTGCCCACAATTGCTTACAATGCAGCAGCATCCGCAATGTATCGGCGCCCTCTCTAGGCTTCAACCTTTTCGGACCGTCCAAGCACAGTCAAAGACATGGGTATCATACCCAGCCATGGCCGTCCTTTCTGGCATCTTGTGCATGAATTGTCAATCAGCCGTGGTGTATGGAGACAATTACAAGGTACCCTACGGAATTAACGGAGATACAGTTAACTCGTCAAGGCAAGGCTACGCCAAGGACTGCTGACTGTGCTTGATTGAACATGTGCGGCACGGAACCTCTGCTTGCATGTAATACCCACGACCAAAGGACCAAAGCCAGCCTGCTGCTACGTGCTAGCCATCCATCACCTCCTTGCAGACACCAGTGAAAACTTTATCGATTATCACACTCTACAGTAGCATCCGGCAGGCTCGCCGCTGAGATCCACTGCGGACGCGCCATTCCTAGCAGGGTAGATACATAGTCGTACCTGGGTCAACTGCCGAGAATCATTGTATGCATGGTACCTTGGGAAATGCATGTGCGTGCAGAGTTGTGCTACGTAACTAAAGCCGTGCTCGTATGAGTACAACACGCGGTGCCCGATGACAGCTTCCTCCCAGTCTCGAGTGTTGTTGAGGCATATCATATTTACAAAGCATCAAACCAATAAGCCAACATAGACATCTTAGTATACTACTCCTTACAATACCTAACCAACAACCTACCCATATCGATATTTAGGTAGTCCACCCTTCCTTTATTCTTACAGCCAGGTATTTCTCTTCGTGTCATCTGGTAGGAAGGAAGGGTGAGGTCTGTCGGAACAACTTCAAATGCCGTATCTGCGGCCTACCTGATAGATGGCTTTGCAAGGTAGCATTGCTCTATGCCGTCCTATCCTTGATTCCGTCCAGGCACATGTATTCGCAGATGCCAAACGGTACTTTCTAAGGCACCAATTTCCCATTTTGCACATTCCGGACCTTCCAATCTGTCATTCTCATGCCGAGCGAAGCGATGCCGTCGATGAAACCGTAGGTATCTATGCAAGGAGTGCTTCAAAGAGTCTCGCCAAATCCGCCATGCAGGGACTTATTTCGCCCTATGCAACTAAACTGCTACCAACGTTGCGTCCAGATCTGCAGGTACCTTTTGTATTTGGAATGGCCCAGATACGCCAAGTTGCCTTAGCAGAGGTGCTAAGGCTAGCATCATCTACCACCAGACGGCCAATGCAAATGCTCATAGTGCTACCGTATGAGACCGGGAATTGATCCCATTTCCGAGGACAGGTGCTGGCCTGTTACTAAGTACCTATAGGTACAGTACCAGTACACTTTCAAAACATCTTCGAGTTCTTCTACACTGGAACCCGACGACCTACAGGTATGTAGGTAGGCTCTAAAATTAGCGCCGGCTAGTACGAGTACGTGATGCCAAGGTACCTGGCAGCGCCCCCATGTGCTGGAGGGTGTTGAAGAACATATGCAGGACCGACCCAAGGCAGTAAGAGGCAGGAACTACAAAGTCCTCGTACTAGGTACCTGCCTAGCACCTAGCAGGCACCTGCCACACTGCATTTGTTAGATTAGACATCCCTTCTGTGTCAGTCTAACTGAGGCCTCCTCCATTCAGGACACGTTTTTCCTTTGTTCACCAGCTCCATGTCTTGACCTGTGCAATTGATTACCTGTTCTAGGTAGTATTTCCGGCTCTCCTTCATGCGCGCCACACCATACCCTGCTCTGGGCAACTGCCTCGGACACTGACAAGCATCAGTGTGGCGCTCAGGCCATGCATGTGACAGCAGAAGGCACTCGATGCAGCCAATCTGTGCCTCTCGCCGCCACCAAGCAGCACGAGCATCGACTCGGCCTCAACAGAAAGCCTTTGATGGCGCCCACTGCGCCCACGCCTGTACAGTAATAGCCACCGAAGCGGCCCTGTCCTCATCTCGAGTTTCATCGCTCTGCACCGGGCCTTTTATCGCTGGCGATGTAACCATCAGGGGCTTGTTTGGGGGCCGCTTTTGAGATCTCACCGTCCAGGGCGCTCATCTATCCTCATCGTGATGGTCGACGAGCAGCCAGATGGCTGATGGGTTACTTCCCGTCTCCCCACCCCCATGCTCTTTTGCCATCACCAGGCATCCCTGGCGTCCCACGCGAAGGCCTGCCACTTGCTGTGGCCCCGGCATAACGGCCCACACCACAAGTGCGAGCGACATGGCATGGTGCAAGGCCTAGACAGAGGGGCCGGAGCTGCCATATGATATGTCGGCCGTACCAGAAGAAGCACCAAGCCGATCTGGGCAGAGCTTCATCTCTTTCCCTCTGGCCTTGACATGGATCCCTTTATCCGCCTTCAAGATTAATGCCCTCGCCGCTTGCCTGCATCGCTCTGGCGCGCCTCACTACCACTCTGTCTTGCATCGCGTCAAGGGCACTCGGCTCAGTGCTGTCAAAGAGCCTAAGAAGACAGCCGATTGATGAAGAACAGGCACAATCATGATAACCCAAGGGACATTATCCATAGTACTACATTATGCATACTCACACGCACAAACCCCCTTCGGCTTTTGGCCGAGGCTGTTTTAGCGACGTCACAGACCTTTGCCGGCATTGCCAGCTTTGATGAAGAGGGACGACATCTTGCATCCATTGTCAAGCTATTCGCTCATCCTGCTTTGCCAAAACAACCATAACTATCTTTTCTCGGTTACTGGCAGCAGATCAATATTGGGGGGGCATGCATGCTCTCTCAATATGTATTGATTCCACACACTGCGCCTATACGATTGTCTCTACTCAGACCCTCCGGTCAACCAACCTGCTACACATGCTTATTATTACACTCTACCTACCTTGTATTGTGGGCGGTATCGGTATCGGATCTACTACTATTATCCGTATTCCGCAATGCTGCATCTTACACATGGATTGTATTCCGTGTTCTGGACAAACACATGCAAGCTCCCTCGGCATCTCGGGGCTACTTTGATGAGCTTGGCGCACCTTTGTACAATGGCTGCCAAGTTGCAACTTGGAGATCTGGGCGTCAGATTCGGCGTTGAGTTTGTTTCCATCTTTTCCGGTCGGCACCAGCTATTGCGCCGGCTCTAGCAAAGGTTGTATGTTACCGGAATCAAAGGATCCTCGGAAAGAAAAGGCCTTTGGCCGTACTATCATGTCGCATTCGGTAGCAACAGCCTACAGGGTATCATCCCCATGGCTTGATGATCTACGACGCTTTGGCAAGATGCAGATCCCCGGTCTGCAAAGCATATACGATCCTTGGACAATGGGGCTCCCTAGAGGTGTTTCCAAAGAATTGCTTTAACAATGGCGATGATTTTGCAAATTATACAAGTGCGAGGCAACTACTCCGTATATATGAAGCGCATCGTCGTTCATATTCACACGGCTCTCACCCTACTGTCGAGGTGGTGGGTGGAGAGAAGCATTTCCCGGCTGCAGTTGAAACAATAGGCTTCCCGCTCGAATCGCTGCTGCGCGTCGATCATGATGCCGCGGCCAGTCCGTGATGGCGGATTCTCAGCATGTACGCCTCGCTTGTGAAGAGACATCTGTGAGCCAACTAACCGGCGGCCGAGGTCCTTACAGCCGTTGGTCAGTACGCGCCTAAGCTCCTTGTCCGGCCGCCGAGATGGCCCCCTGCTAAAGACCTTACCCCGTAAGGAACAGGCGCCGTTGTGCTTTGACCCGCAGAAACCCCGCGATGGAAGTTGTTGCATGACAAGTCCATGCCCTTGTCAAAAGACTACTTGTACGGCTAGTTTGAGCGGAGCATCTACCACAGGTATGTACAATGGTGTGGACGCGGATACAGGGCATCTGTGCCGCGGCCGTATTTGGCTTGTCATGAAGCAGCTCAACCATCTCAGCTCTCGACTCAAGCCCAGCAAAGGAAAGCCTTGTCAGCCATTCTACGAGTATTAGAGTTCATACTGTAACGGGGTGGGGGGTTGGCTGTATGTGTAAAGCTCAACAAGGCAAAAGGAAGGAGAAAAGGAGAACGAGGGAAAGAGAACGGGAAAGAAGTATAATGAAAAAAAGGAAAAAAAGAAGAAAGAAAAAGAAAAAGGGACAAATACTCTTGGGAGCGGCGTTATCAGGTCGGCGGCCGATAGACGAGATGCCCGTGTGGTATCATGTTTCTAAAATCCGAGATGCGGATGATTCGGTCTTGACTCCCAGGCCAAATGGGGACATTTCACACGATGCGGCGAGTTACTGTGCGCGAATAACTCGACTCACTCTGCTTTTTACCAATTTGACCCTTGGTCGACAAGCGCTTGGCGAAACGTTCACAAATATTTCGATCAATCTAAACAACAACATTAAACGCAAAGCTTGACAGCACAAACGACTGACATACCATTGTCAAATAAGCATGGGGGTCTATTCAGTTTCTACCATAACAGCCGTAGTGCCCGCTGGAATACGGTTCCAATATAGGCGACATTGAGGTACTCCCATCAATAAAGTGTGTATATATGGTATGTTTATACGATACATACTGGATAGGCGACAAGAGATGCGGCTAGCGGGATGTCACCCACGGCTGAATTAATACCTCAGTCGCCTTGTTGTATGTACTACTAGTCTTACGGAGCAGATCATCAACTCCATCTTGATGCGGTAGGAAAGGAGCTAAAATCAGCCAGTGGAGGCTCACCCCGCGCTACGAACCGGATCTACTTGTACTACGGAGTGTCACCCTTCACATCTTTTTGAGTCGAAGTGGCATCACTGATCAAAACGTCTGTCAGAGCAAGGCCAGTGCAAGGCAATGCCTGTATGTGATGGCATAGTGCGTGACCAGGATTCATGAGACCCGACGGCTATCCCGAAACCTGTATTGAATCCATTGCCGTGTTCTATTCCCAAAAGGCAACAGCTTCTTACCTTGCGCCCACTCGCGCCAATCTCGAGTACTACTATACCTACTACCACAGAAAAACCGGCGAGCGGCACTCTTATCGCCTAGTATTACCCAGCAGCCTTGCGGAGTTGATGAAGGAAGCTTGATCACGGAAAGAGCTCGCTCGGATATCAAGTGTTGGACGCGCCCAGGCAAGTTGATCTGAGATGTTAGTGGCGCTTTGTCGTCAGATCTCTCTTGCATACGCTTCATTACTCGTATGAAAGGAGGCTCTATCAAACTCCATCCATTCCCAATGGACCATGGTACATACAGGGTACATGCACACACCCTCGCCAAGCTATCGAGTCCTCAACAAGTGTCGGCTTGGCATTGTCAAACTATGTCAACACTGTTTCGGCACATGTTGATGGTATATTTTGTAGCACGATGGGATACAAGACACGCAAATCTTGCCGACTGATTACGACATAGTACATATACTATCAGTGAACCTGTCCCGGCTCAATGTTAAAGGCGACTGAAAGTGGATGCCCGTACTATCAATGGAAACGTCGTCGTCTTGTGCCGTCCCGTCAGAAGGTGATCTAACGCAAACATTCCCTGCTGGTCTATCCAGGCGAGGCAGCCGATCGGGCGGCGTCAAAGCCACACAGCAGCAGTGCGACATAGCCTGCGGCTACATACTACTCCGCATGAGGTAGCACCGGCACTGCTAGTCCTCCTAAGAAGAATACGACGTCGATACCTGTGCTAGCCTAGGCACTAGCTGTAGTGCTGCAACTCTGTGGGGCGCCATTCTTGTACGAGAGAGGGCCTCACGAGGATGATCTGGTCTGCTGAGAAGCTCGGACGACAAACTTCAATGACCTTTTGCTCGAGACTGCAATTCCCCGTATAGCGTAAAGGGGAAATGGGCTTCACAAAGGACACGTTTGCTCTTGGTCAACCCTGATTCCACCAAACGCCTGGCTGTGTGGTAAACCGTCAACGCCATCATCTTGAAGAACGAAGCTCTTGTTCATCCTCTTTGCACTACACACCGAAGTATGTGTTTCGAGAAGAAAGCGAAGAGCTGACTCGCGGGCTACGGCACTTGCAAGATGTCGGCGCTTTATGCTTAATGAATTATGTAACGTGGCTCTTTGCGGTTTATATTGTCTTGCTCCTCTATTCAACGACACACACCTGCGTCCACCAATGCTACTACTCAAGCTACAGGAGCGGTAGAATCTCTGCTCTCGCGTGCATCGCCCGTTTTGTATGCCGCATATACCGGCTATACATGCACGACTCCATCACACAGAGAGTACTCATACTGTACCAAGCGCAGCGCCGTTTTGTAAGCCGGCCAAGTGCTTATGAATTCGGTGGTGGCCGAAGAGGATGCAAGCGGCGCCATTTTCCGCACCTCTTTGGTTAGGGGTGTCTCACTTTCTTTTCTTTTTTCGTTTTTTTGCCCATTTCCCCTCTGTGTTGAGTGGCCAATGCGTGCGTTTCCCCCCTGGCCCCCCCAAAATCTGCACATCGTTGCTCCGTATGCCGCGTGGTCTCGGAGACAACGACGCTTTGGTAATGTCTTGGGAGGAGATGGCAATGGACAAGAGCCTTGAGTGGCCAGGTGAGGCGGACGGCCCGAAAGGGATTCTCCGCCATGGCCGATGGCCCAATGCGGCAGTATCGACTCTATCCCTTTGTCTTACCACTCCCATACGAGGCACGCACGCTCCATGCCCATGGGGGAGAGTGGTACAGGTGTCTTGACGGCCGAGACACTCTTCCCAGCTAGCATCGCGGCTTGAGTGCCGGATGACATGATCATCAACCTTCTCTTTTCGATACGATGGGCGGGGATCAACGAGGCTCGTCAAGGCGATGCTAGCATTACCACCAAGCGCGCTCGGGCCTGGCAGTGGCATCTGCGTTTGGCGCGGGCCTTCCCCTCTGGTCGTTTTGAAAGACAGAAACGCCGAGGCGTCTTTGCTCATCTTCAAATCAAGAAGCAATGGCATTTCCTCGGTCTCGCTAGACGACACTAGCCAGGCCGTTTATTTTATTATGGGCTCCGAGCTCCGGGATGCTCAGACCATGGCCAAACACGAACAGATCGATCTATGTAACGTTCTATTCAACTATTAACTGACACAGATGTAATTTCGTAGACGCGTAGATTCTTCATCGCTAACCGACCAAATGCTCCGTTGCACCTCGGCCAAATAATATCCGTCATCTCGACATGCTGCAGAACGCACAGGACTGCGTGAGGCAGACTGACAAGAGGTTCCTTCATACACACACATACACACTTGTGCTGGCTGAATGGTTTGCGTAGAGTAAAAGAAAAGACAGCAACACGTCGAAATCACCCATCAGGCGTAGGGATAGGTAGACCTGAAAGGGTATTAGTCGATGCAAGATTTTTGGCCTTGGCTGATATGGATTCGTAGGCCTTTGAGAGCAAAGTGCCCTTGCCATGAGTGTCACCGAAAACGCCAAATGTTTTCATCTAGGTCTGAATCGTCACCGTCAACCTCATCTTCAGCATCAATGAGTGCCATCTGAACAAAGTGTCGGACCCACGCCTCCTGATCAGCATTCAGCACCTCCGGATTGTTATTGTTGTTGTTATTGGGGTCTGGGTTTTGTCCTGCAGCACCACCTCGGCCTGCCGCTCCACCTCCTCTTCCTCGCGCTCCTCGTCCGCCGTCCTGACCTCGACGAGCATCACCTCTGGCACCCCTTGCACGGTTAGCAGGATGACCTCTAGCATTATTGTTGGCAGCTTGGCCTCCACGAGGGTTCGGACCATGTGCCGCACCACGTCCTCGTCCTGCTCCTCCACCGCGAGCTCTGGCTGGTTGGTTGTTTGCACCCTGATGCCCCCCACGCCCCTGATTGATATTGATATTGATATTGATATTGTTATTGTTATTGTTGGCGTTATTGACTGGATTGTCCATCAGTCGTAGAACAAGGGGAGCCTCGCGAGCCACTGCAACTCTCTGGCCGTGCTCATCAAGCTGCACCGGCACATTGGCATTAGCATTGGCATTTTCGTCGATTTCGTCATCCACCTCTTCGACAGCGACGCCAATCAAGTCCAGAGCCTCTTGATCTTCAGGCACAGCTTCATTAGCATCATTGTTTACCGCAGCACCTCGTCCGCCAACAAATCCAATGCCGACGTCATCCCCATCTCCACCTTCCAGCTCCCACAGGCGCATATAGCATGATGTAACCTTGCCATCTTCTTGTTGGTTGTAATGTCGATATGGATTCCCTGGATCCAGCCAACAGGAGCATAGGTAACAAAAGTGTGTGTCGCATCGCGAGCAAATCATATGGTTACAGCCGTGAGTCTTTTGTGCCGGAGCGTTGCAGGTTGGGCAGGGACTCGTATGCAGCTTGAGATACTCGAGAGAAGCCTTCTCGTCCTCGGTAAGCTCGCCGTCCTGGCGCCTGGGCGCGCATTGGAAGAATTCTCCATGCCATGACTGAAAGCATCTACTGCAAAAGGCAAATCCACAATCCTCACAGACAGACAAGAGGTCGCCGCGGTTGAATTTGTCTGCCGCTTTCTTGCCCTTTCCGTTGGCTTCACTCTTTTCATCTTGATCAGACTCGGCATCTGAAGTTTCTTCAAATTCGAGTCCTGAAGGTTTCTTGTGCTTTTTGGAGCGTGCAGCTCCGTTGCACCACTGTCGAGGGCAGTAGATGGTGTTTTTATCAGATTCGAGCTCCGTTTTATACTTGAGATCAACATAACGCTTCACCATATCCTCAGAAAGGCCAATCTGCAGCAGCTCGCTGGGACTGATGAAGGTCTTTGGCTTGCGTCCCTTTTCTCCCGCAGCGTTTGCGGCGGTGGAACGGTCTTTGGCACAGTTGGGCGCCAGACAGCGAACAGTCGACAAATTGCCTTCTTTGATGGCGTCATTGTAGAAGTCCTGGAGACATTGCAAGCAGAAAATGTGAGTGCAGTCAAGCATCTTGTGGCACTTTGATCCTTTCTTAGGATCTGTGAAGCATCGTATCCAATTAGTATGAGGACACGAGTTGGGGTATCAGCTGCTGGCTCATACATACCTAAGCAGATACCACAGTTGAACGTCTCTTTATCAAACGCCGCCTTCTTGGCTTTGATATCGTAGTCCAGCACAGCGAGCTTATGCTCAGGGTCGACCTGGAGAGTCCCCTCGGCAGTGATGGCTCCAAATACGTCGTCAGCAGCCCGCTGAATGTGATCGATATAAGTGTAGGCCACCAGGTCCCGTCCCATCTCTTCCCACAGTTGAGGTGCTTCTCCCGCAAGCCGAGCAAGCATCTCGGCCGAGAGCCATTGAGGAGTGGTTGAGATCTTGACCAGGGGCGCGCATTCTGCGGGATAGCCATCCGGAAGCGTGATGTGCATGGTAAGAGGAGGTAGGTGAGAGACTTGCAAAGAGTCTACCAAAGCCGGCGCATCAGACGCCGAGCCGTTGAGAGCCTGGTCAGACGGAGCAGCGGCAGGAAACGTCACGGTTACGGGAGCAGCCGGTTCCACGGGCAGCTCGAGTTCAAAGGCGAATCCACAGCCATCTGGGCGACGAAGCTCGGGATAAATGGCCTCGAGCGTTTCCAGCTCGGTGGTGCGAGCGTCATCGTCATCGGCTACTGAATGATCCATGCTATCTGCACAGCCGAAGCATGTCCGCTTACAACAGATGAGATGGCGGTGACAAAAGCCTATCGACCTTGGCGAGAGCTAGTTGAAGTGTAGGAACCTGTGGCAAAGCGTGAGTAAACGAGAGGCTCTGCCTTAATCGGCGATAATTGCTAATCCAATCATATCAAAGGCACTCGCCATACTAACGCACACTAGGTAGGTATTGTTTAGTGAAGTGTCTTGCTTAGGCAGACTGACAAACAGGCAGTAGGGAGAAGATATCCAAGAAGAAGGAGAAAGAGAAAAGAAAATGTCGACAAGTAAAGCTACATGTATTTATTATCGTCGTTGAGTCATGACCAAGTGTCGAGTCTTTGCAGGTGAGACGGTAGAAATGCTTAGAAAGAAGCACAAATTAATTCGCAGACGCCACTAAGTCGACACTTAGCAGCAGGCAGGAGCTGCTTCGCTTTCCTTCCTGTGCGTCACTGGCCGTGGCTAATTTTGCGGCAGGCAATTTCGGAACTGCGCCACACTTTTGGCCCAGAGTCAAGAATCAAGCCACGTTTTCTGTTTTGGGGGGTTCAGCCCCCAGATGCCGTCACATGCATCTCGAGGTGTCCTTGCATCATCACTTTTTTGTCTTGCTCGATCTCTTTGGCTGGAGCGATTGCTTTTTTTGCGCGGTGCATGATGGGAATGCCGTCAAACCGGTGACTGAGCCTGATCCCGATTGCCGTCTCACGACTTCTTCTTTCCTTATCCACTATCATGCGCAGTCCCGTTTGAAACAGCTGCTGGATCCCATCTTTCGCCCTCTCATCTAATCGCATCTCCCTTCTCTCTATCCACCATCAACCGCAGCCATGAGTGAGGATTATACTCCCACGCTTGCGTCTCTCTCTGTCACGCACGTCTACTATGTAAGCTTCTCTCAGTCGTCCAACTTTCCTCAACCTAATACACCAACTAACCATCTTTCTCTCCCAGGACCCGGACGACTATGTCTCCCTCGTGTGCGCCTACCTAGCCCTCCTCCCCCAAGCCCTCTGCGTCGTCTACGCCACCCTCATATTTTCCACCCGCGAAGCCGAAATATGTCTCGCCTTTGCCGGCCAGCTCGCCTGCGAGGCCGTCAACTTCATCCTCAAGCGCATCATCAAGGAGGAACGCCCGCGCCGCATCCACGGCAAGGGCTACGGCATGCCCAGCTCGCACGCCCAATTCGTTGCCTTCTGGAGCCTCTCGCTCGCCCTGTTCCTGCTAGTGCGGCACAAGCCACTGGCGCAAGGGAAATCGGCGGCGAGGCTCAAGATATGGGAGGGCGGCCGGCCCTGGACTCTGGTCGAGAGGTTGGCTGTTAGTCTTGCCGGAGCACTCGTGGCGGCGGCGACGGCGTGGAGCAGGATTTACTTGAACTATCATACAACGACACAGGTGGCTGCAGGTGCGGCTGCTGGGCTCATCTTTGCGCTGGTTTGGTTTGTGGGGACGGAGATTCTTAGGAGGACGGGATGGTTGGCTTGGGGCATTGAGCTGCCACCTGCAAGGATGCTAAGAATACGCGATTTGGTAGTGGAAGAAGACATGTGTCAGGCAGGATGGGAAAAGTGGGAAGAGAAGAAGAAGACAAAGACAAAGACAAAGACAAACTAGACGAGACATGCACGCACATGCGCAGAATTATAATAGCAATGTCACCCCCACTGTAGTTGCTGCGAGCAAACGTGGCTATCAAAAAAACATGTCATGTAGTGTCTAGATTTGACGTCTTCTATCATGTTCTCATACATAGCCCATCCATACATCGCAATCCTCATTTGACCGACTGCTCCAGCAGTATATACCATGAGGCACACATCCATCACCTAAAACCTAAAGGGGTTTCCCATAAGTGAGTAAGGAAAAAGAAGGAGAAGAAAAGAAGAGCCCAAAAATAGGTGTGAAGAAGAAGAGAGAGAAAGCAAAGAAAAAAAAAAGGACAAGGAATAAAAATACACCGCCCGCTTGCATCCATCACATTTTTTCCCTAACAACCAAGGAGAGGGCCCCTCACAGAGGGGCCATAAAGTAGAAAAGGAGAACGAAGAAAGAAGTTTTGTCGGGAAGAGGGTATCTAAGGGATCGGTATACAGGGCTTCGACACGGCGTCTGGCGTTTAGACGCTGCAGCCGTAAACTCAGGGGTCAACCCCAAGAGTCGCAATGCAAGAACCAAGGCAGTTCATAAAAACACCAGTCATCTAAATCCATTCCGCTGTGCCAACGGAGTAACTCGCGTTGGCGGTGGGAGTGCCTATAGATGAAGGGATGGAATCAATGCTCTTGCGGTTTGCCTTTGCCCGCGGATATACAGCCTTGTCTGGACTGTATACCGTAGGACTAAGAGTATTGTCTGGACTGTATACCGTAGGACTAAGAGTATTGTTTGGACTATATACTGTAGGACTAAGAGTGATGGGCTTCCCACTCTGTCTCATCTCAACGGTTGCTCTAATCGGCGAGCGAGTCGAATTCCTGTGGTCGTCACTAACAGCTACACCAATGTCGCGGGAAGTGTGTGTGTACGCGGGCCTAGCAGCTAAAGATGAATCCGGACGAGTAGGCGAAAAGGGCCTCTCAGGGGAGAGGAAGAAGGGAGCTTCCAAGTGCGTCACGTCGCTGAAATTGGATACTCTCAGTCCAATCTGGACTGTCGCAGAAGACACCAGCGAAGAGTCTCGGTTGTGTCTGGGGGCACCCGATATGCGGATCGAAGGTGGTGGCAGCAAATCTTCAAACATGGCGCCGCCGAGCGCCGTGTGTCCGTTGCCTCCCGTTGGCGAATATGTCGTGGAGGGGAGGAGGATGCCGGCACCCTTGGGTTTCGTTTCAAACGCTTCTCGTTGACTCGGAAACAGACTGTACGAGTCTTTTCGAGCTCGAGTTACAACTGGCGACGGAGCCACATTCATCAATTCGGAGTCGTCAGCAGCGACTCCCCTGGATGCATTTGCGGTATGGATGGCCTCAAGACTGCGACCCTTTCCGTTTGTGATTTCCGCCGTCGGTGAAATGGCCTCCGACATTCTCGTACTTGCGCGAGATTCAAATATTCTCGCCGGCGACACTGGTTGCTCAATCTGCGTGTTGAAAATATCCGTCCCAGGCCATGATTCTATGGATTTTTCTTTTCGTGGGCCATTAAGCTCAACATGTCCAAGCGGACCTATCTTCTGCATCTTTCTGGAGCGAAGGAAGAGGTATAGGACGCCAAATATGATCCCCGACACATTGCTTGCCACAGAGGCTACCATATTTAGGTCTAGTTGTATGTCTGTTAACGCGAGTGGATTTTGAGATGAGATGCTGAAGAAAAAGGGAGCCATCAATCCCTAATTTGCATGTTAGTTACATGTAAAAAGATGGGAATACACTTTCGAGACAACGTACATTTATTACAGCGCCAAGAGTCATGTAGTAAACCATCCTGGAGGCGGCCGTCCTTTCAATAATACCAATTGATGGGTCTCGATGCAGTCGAATAAATACGATTATGGTTCCGATAATCAAGATACAAGAGATTGTCGTTAACAGGATGAATGACTCGAGCCTCCAAGTCTGGACGAACCAGAAAAGAGAAGCATAACACAGGTCTGGAGGCCTGATAAAGCGCGTTACCACATACATCCCCACGGTACCAGCGATGACAACGATGAGACAGGCGAATATGACCCATCTGGATCGCCGTTCAAAAGGTCGTCGCCTCAGTGCTTGCACGGTTGTCTCGATCCCAAAGACAAGTTGTATATATGGGACAACGAATAAGGCTATTAACGATTATTAGCAGCTCTTGAGAGTTTGGTAGCGATAGAATCTTACCTGGGAACATGGCCTGAGAAATCGACGTGCATCCGAGAATCAGGAGCCCCTCCAGGCCCTTGGTCTGGCTAACCACAAATACAATACCCTGTATTGCTATGCCGATAGATAAGACAAAGGGGAATATTTCTGATGTTTCTATAAATTTACAGACGCATGAACTAGGTCAATGTTAGCCAGGCGCTTCGTCCTTGCGAGTGTTGGGAAGAAAATACCGAAAACCGAATGCCGGGTCGCTCCTCCTTGCTCCCTTGTAACAATTCCGAAAGATGATGAATGCCAGCACCACAGCCATACCGATATTAAACCCAGCCAGAATGATAATCATAGATCGGACCTGCTTAGCAACGTCGAACTTGAGGTCGTTGATGATCGCGGACGTCGAATTGTCCATGAACTGAAATCCTCCCACATCATTGGCCATTTGCCTGGCCCAAACCATCCTCTCTCGTTGCTCTGATAGCATGTTCCAGTTCTCCATTTTGACTTGATTGCTTTATGGCTTCCTTCTTGCCCTTTCGTGACGAAAGCTTTCGCCGGGTCCAGTACCGGCGTCGAAGCCTCGACGAGCCACGCCTCAGATTGCCATCGGCACCCTCAATATCGTAAATAATCGTCGTATTACGTATAAGTCGTCGTGCTGCTGGTGGTAAATAGTCGTAGGGAAAGAAGGGAAAGAAAATATGACAGAAAAAGTGAAAATAATTGTGAATATTTTGCTATCGTCCTGCGGAAGCAAAGAAACGAATGAAAGAAGCAAGCAGTTTGAAATGTTTAGTGTAGTAAATGCAGCATGCCTGCATGCCTGCAAACGTCCAACTGTCCAAGTGAACCGAATGCAAAACACCAACCGTGTCAGTCGTCCAGACGACTACGAATAGAAATGGAACAAAAGTCAAAAGGAAGACAAAAGGAAAGAAAAAGAAGGGAATGAGGAGAACCACTGTTTACTCCAGACTAACGCCAAATACTGCTACCAGAGCGAGTAGAGAAGGCAAAGGGATACGTGAGAATCAGATGAGACGAACGGAGAGAAGAAGGCTGGATAGCGTGGGGCGAAAAACGCAGGCGTGGACAGGGAATTCCGGGATATGGAGATCCGGACAAGGACGCTGGAGAGGAACACAAGCTCCATCTCTAGCGGGACATGGGTTTACGTTTCAATCGGCACCAGTGGTTAGGGTTGACACCATCGTCTTGGCCAGGGGCTGATGGCGATGAAGCTACTTGTAGAGATAGCCAATGCCCTGGTTCATTCACCAGGCTCCCTCTTCCCCTCCTCTACATGAGGACGACTAAGAATAGAAGCCAGAGAGGGAGCCCGGTTGGGTTCTGAAGATAACCAGACACAGATTATTCATCATTTGCTACCATTCGTTCATTCGGTATCCGGTTTCTACAGCGTCCTTTGTTTGTTACAAGCCAGATAACCCTAGGGGAATAGCCGGGATAGAGTGCTGCGTCAAAGCCCTCCGGTATTTCCTATCGTGGCTGTGTGCGTGGTCTTCCAACAATCACAGCCTCATTAGCCGTGTGGTGATGATGATGATTCATTTTGTTCAAGTCCCGGCAACAAGCTGTCCGAATCCCATCAGGGCGGTGGCGGCGGGGTTTGAAGCAGACTTGCAACAGATTCGAGTTTCGAAACTCAGGAACCTTGCTAGAGGTCAGAGTTGAAGCTTAGCACTAATGCACGTAGCTGAGAAGGTGTCTGTTTACAGACGGATGCGGTAATAGGTAAAGAGGCGCTATGCCCGAACCAGGCTTAGGCTATCCGCGAAGCACCCCTGGTGTGAATCTGGCTTGCGGGTCTTTTTCAGAGGCATCACATCTTGAACGGAGTGCCCTTTGGCTATGACTCCAGCACGAGTGTGAAATATGATCTATCGTACGGGGTAGAGCAGCCAGACTCGTGGCTGTTTCGAGGAGACAACGCGGCATCCCATCGGGTTGCGAGCTCGAGTGGATCTTGGTGGTCATGCTGATGCGATAAGCACGGGTGTGTTGACGAGCTAAAACATCATCCAGAGAACCTCTCTCTGTAAGCCCAGCTTCAGCGAGTCAAGGTGGGCCATATCAAGCGTGGCCCTGTCTCCAATATCAATATCGCGACGCTTGATCCCCCGAATTCCCATCTGTGGCGTCTCACATGATGCTGTTTGCGGTAGATGTACATTTCTGCCCGCAAACCCTGGATGTGACGATGGCCTTGGATAACTCGACGGCAGTTTCGATAGTTGACATCTGCGATAAGTCTCCGGAGCTTAGTTCTCACTCAACAAACAGCCCACTCGGACAAAACGATAACCCCGTAATAAATCGATGGCGTCTTGTCTGTTGGTTCGGTGGACTGAGCTGTCAAATCCCGTCCAGCCGCCAACAGACTTTTTATCCTTCTTCTTCAAAACCTTCTCATCCAAGCCTTCCCACATGGTATGCTTTGCTTGATTCCTCATGGCCGGCCCAGCCGGAAGCAATCATGTGCCTTGGGCGTGTTGGTTGTAACGATGAGAAGCTGTGATCAACTAATCAATATCCAGCTGCCTTGCCTCAGAAAGGCGGCAGTCAACAGGCCAGATTCTGCCATCTTGCTCAACACCAAAAGCTACACTTGATGGCTCACACGCCTGCGAGAAGATACACGTGTTGGGTCGTGCCCACAGGTATGATTTCGTCTGTCCATTTCGGACCCTGCAAGACACGAGGTTTTCCGCGTAGTCCACGTCGAGCCGGCGGTACATCAAGTCTTGGTCTGCATTGAGGGAGCTTTCGTCGGCTTTGACGTTGTACGTAGAGAGTACTCAATGGATGTCAAACAATGCAAGATCCGGCCGCAGATGAGAATCCACAGCTCGAAGCAGACAACTTGTTCTTTCCGTCAAGGCATCCAGGCATTACACACTGTTGCTTTCAGAGACAGGGCTCCATAGCGTCATGATTCGGTAAGCCCCGCCTGATGAATTATGTAGCAACTTGTCACGCCCCAGAGCACATGCAAAGACATCAACGGCAAATAGATAGAATGCCAAGATTGACTCGTAACTCGTTCGTAACACCATCCCGTCCAGCGTGAACAAGCTTTAGACGTGCAGTCGATAGCCGTCTGCTAGTCCGTGCCGGAGGGAATCTTCCGGCTGGGTCCTTGCGAGATCTCGATGTGCACATCAGCAGGCCAACGGCTGGACAACGGCGGACGCTGCATCTCGCAAAAGGGAAGCTCATCGAAATCATTATGCCATGGATGCGTCATTCACTCCGGCGGCCCCACTCCCGACGGTTCCCGCAGTCTAGCCGCCACACGTGGCGTCGCCACTGACAGCAAATCAGATCACTGTTGGCCGAGGCCGCAAGCCGGTACCAGCCACATCATAATCCCACATATTCTAGATGCAGCTTGTAAGAATGGAGACTCAGTTGGTAATAAGCTTGCAAACGGCCGATTGATGGACACGGAACTCTCCTTGCTCGGCGGGATCTTTCACGGATGGCCTCAGGTATCTAATCCACATTTCACATAGCATTCTGTAGTAGTGACGTTGCGCCCCTCAGAGCCATGATGTCATCCATTGAAGAAAGCCGTCCAACTGCCTGATTCACAGCAAAATTGCGTATGAGGCCGGCCTCGTTGTGTTTCAAAGCGGGTATCTGCGCTTAAAGATTCATGGTGGGAAAGGTACATGCATCATAGGCAACAAGCACCCCAGATCTAAAGTCAATCGGTGTTTGAATCAGCACTGTTGCAGTGGGTTCTACAACACATGGATCCTGCCTGCTTGTATGGAGTACATTCACAAGCTTTTGGCGATGATGATGCGTTCGATGACGCCATGTTCCTGCTTCACATGATGGACAAGAAGTGAATGCCATGGCCTTGAGCTATTCTCGGAGGTAATCAAGGTTGTGAGATGCCGCTTCCCTCCCCCCCTTCATCGGTCTATATAAACTCTTTCATCCCCCCTTCATCTCTCTTTTGTATTCCTCATCACAACATCTCAATACAATCTCAGATCTACATCACAGCATACAGTTCTTAGCTTTCACAAACAACCAACCAATCAATCACAATGGATTCCATCAAGCAGGGCGCCAACTACGTCGGTGAGAAGGTTCAGCAGGCCACCTCTGGTGCCTCCAAGGAGACAAACAAGCAGGTCGCCAAGGACAGCGATGCCGGAATTGGCACTCGGTAAGATCCTCACAGACTCCGCGCGACCTTTATACGATCAAACACTAACAATGTTTACAGAGCCTCGGCTGCCAAGGATGCCGTGAGCGACAAGATGAGCGAGTCCAAGCACGACGCCAAGGGCGAGGCCCACAAGCAGGCTATCTAAACTGTGAAGGTGGTTGCAACAACGAAGGATGTGACACAACTTCTGCATCTGTCCGTCTTTGAGAGACGAGGATAGCGATACCCTATTATTATAACTCAATAATACAACTTTCATCCTGCTACCTTGAAAATATTCCTGTTTTGCAATGTTCCAGTACTGCCTCTGGGTGCTGAATTGATATATAATGCCACCTAAAAATATCCCATTCTGTTGATGCCGCAGTAATGTCACTATCGTATATCAGGCGCCAAAGTGTGGCTCCGCTCTCTTGAATGATGAATACATATGATTATTATTGCCAGATCAAGACACATGCAGTGTCCCAACTCATTGAAAAATAAAGCACTCTTCTCTTTTGATGCTCCTAAATCCAGAGTCTACTCGCCACTCAAAGCTTCTTCCTAGCCTGCGTCGCAGCCTGTCGAACAGCAAAAGCATTGGAAATGTCGCTAATCGAGTATGCAACCGTAAACAGAGGGATAAAGACCCATAGCATGTTGAAGAACACCAAGTACACCCACAGGTACATGAAGTTGCTGCCGTCGAGGTTGATGTTGCCGGTGAGCCACTCAGGGCAGAAAGTCATGAAGCCTATTATCCATTAGCCATCATCTCAATGCATTGTTTCTTACTATCCGTTTTACATACCTCCGTAGAGCTCGCAAGTCGCCAAGACAATCATCCAGATGCTAGCCTTGGGGTTTCTCTTGGCAAGCAGGTAGCAGATGTACACAGCTAGGGGGCCATCGAAGAAGACTGTCAAAAGCTCAAGACTAATGACGCCCTATAACAATTCAATTCCCACGGTTAGCTATACATCAGTTCATGATTCCCCAAAAAAAAGAAATACGTACCAAGTCAGCTCCCGCCCACCTTCTATCCGCCCTCGCATACACCATCCACAGCTGCGCAAATGGGTTGTTCCCCCCGCTCTGCGGGCCATAAATGCGACCATCCTCACGACCCAGGAAGTTATACGGCGTGGGCACCAGATCTGCCAGGCGACCGTCCGCCTCGGCCGGGGAGATGGACGAGAAGAAGCAGTGGTACAGGAAGCTGCCCTCGAGGATGAAGTGGCAGAGCGCATCGGCCAAGTGCCAGATGAAGAGGAAGCGGACGGTGCCGGTCGTGGAGGCGCGGGGGAGGGCGAGGCGCGAGGCGAAGTAGGCGACGAGGACGATGGCGATGGTGGAGAGGAGGGAGATGATTGTGGTTTGGTCGAAGAGGTCGGGCGGGAGCGAGGATTGGACGGCCATTTTTGTTGTTGATCTGTTTGGTGTCGAATTGGCTTTGCTCGGTGCCGCTGTCGAATAGGAGGAATTGGGATGTTTTCTGAGTCAATCGATGTTGCAAGATGCTGGTGATGTTGGAGGCTGCAAACTCAATGCCAAAATCAGCTCTCCGTGCCACAAACACAAACAGGGCAGAGTACACACTCAATGGAAGTGAGATGTTGACAGCGTATTTTCTCTTCAGCTTGCAGAGCTTTGGACAAGGGGTCGTTGCTAGCGTGGGGTCGCAAGACTTTAAGACAATGGCCACAGCCAACTTGCGGGGGTGGGGCAATTGTTTGAGTCTCAGACTTGTATCGTGTACTTGTATTCTGCGATGTCAAGAGCCTCTTCATACAGTCAATTGAGACTATCTAGGTAGCTAGAAAGAAGAAGAAAGAAAGACAAAGTCTTCAACTACATCACAAATAGACATGCGTCAGCCCGGCTGTGGCAGGGCATCACGTGTGGCCACACGTGATTGGCAGTCAACATATTCTTTGAAGAGCTTGGTATTTATTCTCCTTTTAACTTTTATTTTTTATTTTCAACTACATACCTAGGTATATTTACTTTCATATATAGAATATCTTGACACTTTTAATTTGATTGACATGTCAAAAACCTCTATAGTCAAAACACCGTGGAGCCCATAAGTCACATCTCAACCATCCCACTCCTTGAATCCCTTCTGCTTCTGCCTCGTGTTCCATCCCAGCTTTCCACTGATGCTATTGATCCAATCCTCGCTCCTGCGTCCTTCCGTCTGGACCGAGGCAAATGGATATCTGCTCGCGCTGACGGTCACATAGTCGCCAGGGCTCAGCTCCACCCGCTCTCGCCCGTCAAAGCTGGCCCATGAAGCCGTCCTGGCGTTGTAAGGGACGCCGACTCGCAAAACTATGGTGTCGGGCAGGATAATTGGTCTAAAGGACAGAGTGTGTGCGCAGATGGATGTAACGAGCATGACGGGGTTTTCGGGGTGGCACAAGGAGCCACCGGCAGCGAGATTATAAGCCGTCGAGCCCGTTGGTGTAGATACGCAAATGCCATCTGCGAGCACCGAAGTGAAGTGCTCGTCGTCTCCAAAGATTTCCGTAAATGACATGGCTAGAAAAGAAATTTGCCATTAGAGAAAAGAAAGATGGGCAATAACAAGACAACTCACTTGGGTTTGGCCCTCGATCAACCACGAGCTCATTCAGAATCTCAAACGTCCCCTCCGGCCGATGAGTCCGCTCATCCTCATTCTCCTCGCCAATTAGCTCCTCCACCAGATCCCGCTTATAGTGCGTCTCGTCGCCATCCTCCTCAGACTCAGACTCGGGCGTCTTCCTTCGCACGCTCCGCATGACAGTGCACTCAAACCGAAGCCTCAAGCTGACCGTCACGCCCTTTGAAAACGCCGAGTTGAGGATTGGCTTGTAGTCTTCAAAGTCAAACTTTGTCAGAAACCCGAGGCTCCCCAGCGCAAAGCTCAGGACCGGCGGCACGATCCTCTGGAAAAGCCAGCTCGCGTATAGCACAGTGCCGTCCCCCCCGAGAGTGATGACAAAGTCAAACTGGTGAGGCCGTGTCCTGCACATGTTTTCGTCCCAGTACCGCAGGCGTTTCTGGATATCTTCTCGGGCACTAGCTTCATTCACGCCGCTCTCTTTGGCATAGTCGTGGACCAAGTCGTCAACCAATTTCCCGACGTCAAACCTCTTGTTGGTCTTGAGAATCTTCTCCACGTACACGACATACTTGACATCTCTCTCTTTGCTGAGCAGCCACTGCGCCAGCGCTCTCGTGTTGCAAATCAGGTCCGAGTCATGAATTTTTGTCAGGAGAAAGATGGATTTCACCCGGAAGCGGATGCGCATGCTGCTCAGCCGTCTGCTCAGTTCGCGGACCCCCCACGCCATATCGCTCAGCTGCTTCTTGGTCAACATACGGCTATGGAGGTTTTCGTCATGGTGAGTGAGATCCGTCTCGGAATCAGTCTTGGTCATCTCCTTGGTCCAGACCTTCTGGTCAACCTGCCCGAGGCCGTCATCGTCGTCAAGGCCGTCCGTGTCCACGACTACTCGGCATTTCTGCTCGTGGCCGGGGCTCTTCCGATCAATGACTTTGTCCATCCTCTTCTCCCCACTGATGTCAACAGCTCCATCGTGCTGCGTATATATCGGATGCGCATGATGAAGGTTGCGGTTGGGCGAGCTCGTACCCGAGCTTCCTGTGGATCGCCGCTGGTCCTCGATCAATTGATGGACAAAGCATTCAGCACGGCGGCTCGGCTGGGTGCGTTTTGTCGTGGGGACAGGGGCTTCGGACGTGACGAGCGAGCTCTTCCTCCGGTATGGACTTCCCGAGTCGAAGGTGACCTGATTGTCGTCAACGCATGACTTACACGAAACAGCGGCCATCGATTGGCAGGAGAGGCAAAGGAGGAGAAAACAACAACAAAACTCACCTCAACAGCTCCGTCGTCCTCGTCGCTCCCATTCAGGCTCGCCTCTTCAAACGTAATGTGCTTTTGCGGCTTTAGCTGCCCGTCCTGCTTGTCTTCCTCGCAGTCCCAGCCCATGATGTAATAGCTGAGTGGGTTATCGCGGGGTCGCGCCGCAGTCCATGTGCATCAAAAGCCGTGTTACAAAGAGCTGCTGGATCTCGGTCCAACCTGCACAGCGCCGGAGTAGATGGTGATTGCGATTAAAGCTGTGTATCATCTGCCAATCGAGTGGAATGGATGGCAATCGAGAGGAGGCGCATGTTGGAATTGTCAGAATAAGCTGGAGGATCTCGGACGATCGACGGGAGCATGCTTTGACTGATTGCCACATGGCATGGTGCTAAATCGAGAGGTGGGGAACAGAGTTCCCGTCGACAGAGCCAGTAACTAAGCCTTCTCATGATAATGGGCTCATGGCAGAGATGCAATAGCTACCAATCATCTCGAGTGAGTGAGATTTCAGGAGTAAGAGGGCCGTGTGATGAGAAGCTTGCTTTGCATCGAGGATTAATAACCCGCGCAGCGTACCTACTTGCGAAGTAGTAGCATCAACATTTGTAGCCTTATGACGTCGTTATCGACATTTTCTACAGATAAGGCACCTAGCTATTAGAGCATCGATATTCTCAGCCAAACTTAGGTCATCATCATCAGTATCGTCGACCAACGTTCCGAAGAAAAAGTGACAGACTGTTTCCTAAGAGACTCATTGCATTGAGATAAAATCAAGCCGGTATACCTCCTTTGCCACAGTCAGCACATGCCCAGCACTGCCTTACAACACTCGTCAAATCAGCCTCCCGGGTAGGTTCTAAGGAGCGACGCACTCAGCTTCTCTCCTCCATGCTTTCTTCTTACGCAGCATCATCATGTTGTATGGTTTGAATATACTGAAAGAACGCAACTGTGGTGGCCGGAATCTGATATCAGACGCTTCACTACTATCGTCGAAAACCAGTAGATGAATCAATGCCATTCCAAATGAGCTCAGTGGTCAATCCGGGGTACTACTTAGTAGGTAGTTCGCTACCCTCAAGTATGAAGATACAATCGTTCAACATGCTGTAAACCCAAGATGCACGCCAGTCTATCCAATGAATCTCTCCAGTCCGCTTAAGCTTGATAGTTCAGCCCTTTTGAGCAGGTAACGGCTGAATAGTCAACGCCAACTTACACGTACGAGAAATGTTATCGACTTACTGATAGAACAAGTGGGGTCGAGCGGGGAGCCTCAACAACATCCAAACTCTCTCACGTTCTCAAAAACAACCATCGAAACACTCAGGCAATACGCCAATAGAGGTCCGGCCGATAACTACATCCATCGAGGCTGTTCATATGTGGGAGCTGGAGGTATAACAAAGGAATAAGCATCGCCCAGCACAATGAAGCACCTCATCCTGGTCGGAGCCTGTTACTTGGACACCATTCTAAGGGAAGACAGGAAATTCCCATCGTCTACAGCATACATCACGTTTCTAACAGTCGCCAACAGTGTGCCTCATTACCCACAAGAAGATGCAAAGCAACGCGCCTCAAGCCTCGAAATCCGACGAGGAGGCAACTGCCCCAACTCGCTCGAGGTGCTCCAGCAACTTGTCGGGTCGCAAGATGCCCTTCGCATGTATTTGGTGTCACCCCTTCCAAGCGAATCATCGCCGGCTACGCAGCGCATCAAGGCATCATTTGGTGAGTCGCCATCTGTAAGCTTCGAGCACTGCCTTTACCGAGAGACGCACACACAGGCAGCCAGCAGTTACATCTTCCGTAGCCAGCAGACGGGAAGCCGTACCATCATAAACTACAATGACCTACCGGAAATGACAGTTGACGAGTTCGAGACCGTTGTGCGGAGATTCAGTGCCAGCGATGAGACCTGGTGGCACTTTGAAGTGAGTCCATCTCAGAGCCGAAAACCCTCCCTGCCGCCTTGGTGAAGCTGCGCCCGCGAATGGCCGTGGCTGCTGCGGCCACTGAGCTGTCAAGCGAGAAACGCCACGGCATTTGATCCTTCGACACCCTTTCGACAATCCTTGTCTGACAATTCTAGCTCAGGGCCGCATACCCAATACTACGTTAGAGTGCATCCGCAGGCTGCGTGATAAGCTTCCAAACGCGCAAATCAGCGTCGAAGTCGAGAAACCGGGCAGAGATGGGCTCCGTGAACTCGCAGCCGAGGCCAACGTGGTCTTCTACTCCAAATCCTGGGCAGAGGTATGTAGCATTGCGCCACGGAGCCGAAGAGGTGGCTTCGACAGGCCCCAACCACTTTGTATGCGAGGGGTTCGCAAGCCCAACCACCAAAAGAAGAGAACAAAAAAAAGAGAGAGAGAAAGAGAAAGCGGGCAAAACCACAAAAGGACATGAAGGCTGAGAGATTAATGTGCATAGAGCTGTGGTCATGGGTCTGCCGAGTCGTGTCTCGTGGACGAGCAACGACGACGCGAAGCGTAAGCGTGCCCTTCTCCAAACGCCCTGTTGCGAATCTATTTTGCCTAATATTTTTGCCGCTGATTCGGACATGGTCAAAACTCATAGTAGCAGTAGGTCCCTTGCTCTACTGGTATGCACTTGGGGTGCGGAGGGAGCCGCCATGTGCCAGTCCTCTGAGCAGATTGTCCACTGTCCCGTTGAAAGCCGTGAAAAGTCCATTTCGGTCGTTGAGTAGGTTATACCCCAGGCAAGGCCTCCTTTGAGGTGTCCCATGCCGCCCTCCCCATTTGGCTCGACGCATCGCGTCTGAAACCTTGGCTAGTTTTTGCGAGTAGTAGCACGGAGCTTTGAGGCACTGCAGCTGACGTTCCTTGCTATTATAGCTCGGTGGGAGCGGGTGATACCTTCGTTGCGGGAATGCTCTACAGCCTGGTCTGTCGCAATAGAAGCTGGGATGTAAGCCACGGGCTGAGATTCGCCGTGCACCTGGCCACGACAAAGGTCCAGAGGGAAGGGTTTCAGGGGCTCGGCGCACATGTCCACGACTGGCTAGTAGGCAATGCGTCCTGATCGATTCATCAATTTAGCATTCGGCTCAGCCCTCGCTCCGTGTTAGGTACAAACAAGCAGGCGGGTCGGAGCCGCTTGTTCACTGACTAGGGAAGCGGCCAAGATGCTCTGTACCTAAAAATGCGCGGCCGTGAGGTACGAGTAGCGTCGCGCCAATGCTAGCAGCCATTCCTGGGCGGGCGGAGAGGCGAAAACAAAGACCACAGGAGTTGGCTACTGCACCCATTTCAGGACTAGGTGACAATAACACACACGCGCAGGGATTACTTGGACGAGCAAGTACATGTAGGAGTACAATATCACCAACAAAGCTGTGCTTGAGTGGCTGTATCCGTCTTGCAGGCACATAGTACGAGTATGTAGAGCACGCCGTACTTGGCAACAATCGACATGGTGGCCTGTCAGACAAACCAGCAAGCCGTGTGTTGTTCTCGCAATCCTATCAAAGCTGGAGGGTTGCCTGCTTTGATGCTCGTAGGAAGGGGGTAAGAAGCGGTGAAACTGTTTGGTGCGTACAGCAGAGGAAGAGCCCGTGAGGTGGAGAGTGAAAACGGAGTCAGCATATGAAAAAAAAGCCATGTATGATTTGCCATTGGCTCGCGAGGCTTCGCACTCTCTTCAATGCAATATCCGACGCCCAGCAAAGAAGAGGGAGAAAAAGGGCAAAGGTGACAGTGACAGCGAGGGGTCCTTGAAAGGCCGGTGATTAATTGTGGGCAGACGATCATAGCTGCTGTGTCTCGACTTTCTGGCCTTGGTGGGACCGGCGTCGAGCAGCTTGCAATCGTTTGTGAGGCAAACCCCATCTCTCAAATCGCTAGTCCGTGCATATCATACCAGGTTGCATGCGCAAACAAGCTGCTGGTCACCAACCCAAGGGCGATTTTCGTCCCCATCCCCTCCTCTCCACCGTCGTGCGTCTTGAGAGGGAGGAAAGGAAAAGGATGGTTACCAATGGCCAGTGCCTCACGTGTGCGTACTCGCACTTGCACAGTGGTCGTGCATGCAAGTGGCCTTGTAGCCCACAGCCTCGAACTCGGAGGGGACGTTGATAGAAGAGAAATTATGACGCCACCACTGACAATAACAGTACACGAGCTGCCGTTTTGACTACCAGTCCAGGTAGCTGTGGTTGCACGAGATGGTGGCGTTCGTAGGCTGAGGGTTTCCGACTCTTGGGTCCGCGAAAGGGGTTGACCTGGCTGGTGAGCTTAGCTGGTGGACACTCGTAATCTGTAATACTGAAAGTCTGTCACCAGGCTGGCGCTTAAGGTAAATGTCGTGACTGTACGAGTATACCTGTAGTTGGAGGGGGACACATGAAAAGGGTGGTGGATGAGACACAAAGGATCGAGAGGCTATATCGGGAACACCAGCCGTAGTCAAGTTTTAAAGGCACACCCCATTGGGGGAAACCGAAGAGACGCTCAGCCAAGGCTAAATGAACCAAGCCAGATCATTCCCTGTTAATGCCTAGAACGGTTGAAGGAGCAAGGACCAGCAAAAGCCCAATATCACGCCAAACGCGCTGTTTCGGCCTTTCCTGTGCTGCCTACTCCATACACACGGCAAAGCTGTGCGGGCTGCCGCGCACAGGCTGCAATCGCCGCCATCTCCCAAGGAGGGAGCTGCAGTGATCTGTGGCCTATTGCGGGCGTCAAGTGAAACGAACAAATCAGGGCCAAAGCAGGGTCGGAAGGGTGGCGAATATTTGGGGTTGGGGGGCGTCTCTCTAGAATTCAATAATGGGGGCCACTGTCTAATTGCCAGACTGCGGCCGAATCTTGATCCAACATTCCAATCGCGCACTTGTAATGCAGCAGGCAGGGAGTCCTCGTACGATACCATACTTGTATTCGCCGTTGCTGCCGTTGATGTGGCGCCCTGTTCCAGAGAAATCATACTCCGTGCCTGTACCAAAATACCGATTGCTAGCTTGATTCATCGCTTAACTTTTTCTCCCCTCCTTTTCTCCCTGTGTCGGATTTGACCCTGAGCAGAGCCCAAGATGAGGAAATGGCCAGCAACACGTCAGCTGAACACGGTTACGCTGGAAGCAACCAAGAAGCATGCTGACGCTCAGACGTTGCCCATGCGCAGGTGAACCATCAGGGGCGTTCTAAAAGACAAAAATATGAAAACCAAAGCCAAGTGATGCAATAGATATAATACCATGCATCCAAGAGAGGTTGATCGCCGCGAGCCGTCCGACCCTGAGGGAAGGTGGGATGTCGGAAGGCATCCGGCGCCAAGGCGGTAGCTGAGTGACACAGAGGCTCCGTCGAAGCCTGCTTGTAGAGCAGCAAATGACAGTGAATGGAGCCAAAGGTACCTTTGGGGCAGCTGCTACTGTACAGTAGTATCAGTGTTTCTCCTTAGCAAGCTGTTGGTGGTTGGGTGGGTTAGTAATGTGACCGTTGGTGAATTCGACAAGGACGGCGGCACAGCTTTGCCAGTCAATTTCTCCAGGGGCCTCTTGGCTCCGGACCTTTTTGACCAACATCCCTTGCGTTAATAGTTACTAGCTCCACCAACTGGGAAACCTTGGGTTGCCTCGAAGCGTAATATACATGATAGTATAAATGACACTCTAGACGAAAGGATCAGCTGTAGACGTTGCGTTGACTCATTGACTCGTTTCCACATCGGGACCAATGGATAGCAAGCACTCCATCATTTGCGACGGAACCGTCATGGGAAGATTTGTGGCCTCTCAAGTCGGCACCGCAGGAATATTGGGTGTCAGGCGAGGCTCAACATGCAACTCCACTCATTCTTCCCCGACTTTTTGAGTCGGAGCTACCTGTACTTGCAGTATGGTACGAAGCAGAACAGGACCACGATAAACGTGTGGCGTTGATATTTTGGGCCAGGATCCAGGATGTGTGCCTGTACTCCGTACGGAGCACGAGTAAGACTAAACGAAGTGCACATGCCCAGGCCAGATGCAATGCACATACTGTGGTGTCGTGGCAAGTACTTTGTTTCGCGCACTACCGGGGCTGTAGAGCGCAAGTGTCGGCATCTCCACGTTGACGCCTAGGCATGCTAGTAGTAGGATATCTGGATCTCCTAGCAACCTTGGGTCTCCAGCCCAGCTCTCTTCATACCACTGGCCAAGTCCTGCGCTGGTCCTTGGGTACTTGTTCTCGCAAGGTGTGTTGGTGTGGGGGGGCAGCCGTCCGCGACAGACTCGGTTCGACTGATCCTACTTTGTACCTCACGCAGATTCACAGACAAAGTAGGTGGCGTCTTGCATTTGATTGCTGTGAACCAACCGCTTGCAGCGTCATAGTAGCCATGTAGAAAGCCGCCAGCGCCGACAGCATAAGACCAAATACACTACTTTGAGCAATGGTCATGGCGCTGGCGTAAATTTGATGAACATATTTCTCCGTGGGCAGGTATCTGGTCGCTAGAGACGAAATGCTTGTACGAATACAGCATCATAAGATTACCGGGGCGTGGGTGATTGGAGCCTGCTCTCACATCCCGTCGTACCCTTTGCATTGCCCTGTCTCCTCTTTTATTCTGCCGGATTATTCTCCCAGTTCACGTGCAGAGAAAACACTTCTGATATGTGGAGGCTGTAGGGTAGTAATGAGGCGTCACCTTGGCCGGAGTCGGTGAATTTGGTTGCATGGCCAGAGCCAGAGATGCAATATGCCAGTAATAGGGGGCAACGAGGAATTTGGGTCTGCCTGCAGAGTGATATGCGCCACTGCAGCCGTCACATTGGCTATACCGGTGGGTGCAACTATACGAAATACAGCAATCTGCTATTGAGACGAAGATCGCAAGCTCCCAGTTGTAGGGATGATTTATGTGGCGGATAAATGTTCTCGGAGATGGCCTATACGCACCTAGCAGATGGCGTACGTGCAGAGCATTAGAAGCCACCCGCAATCGACGTCTCACGAGGCACAAGGATAGAGAGAGCAAGCTGCCGTATCCATCGCTCCGCATCGTGTCAACCAAATTGCGCCGCGTGGGACACCGAGTGACGCCCTGGGCTTTTGCGACTCAGCTGCGTCCTGGCTGACCACTTCTGGTGGCGGTAGTGGTACAGGTAGCGTCGGATGCCGGGGTTGGAAAGCAACTGCGACGTTTGGGGCAGAATAAACGTCCAAGTGCTCGTCGTCAGACTGGTCTGTCTTGGGTCGGATAGTCCAATTAGGGTAGGCAAGGATGTGGAACTTTGAGCAATAAAGTTGTCCTGTTGAAACATGGCTGCGTGGGGACATTGACGCCCGCATTGGGCTGTAACGTACGGAAGAGGCCTGCAGCCAGAGATAAAAAACCATGCCAAGCACTTGCTAGCTGTGCTAGGCTATTGAGGCACTGGTAGCCGAGGGACCAGCATTGGCCCAAGGATCATGATCACCAAGGCCGGCGAACCTTGCTCAAAAGGGCGTGCGTGGCCCAGGCATGTCTGAAGTATGTACGAGTACTCCATACTCCGTGCTCAGTGCCAATGAGAGGGAGGAACCCGTACCAGCGCGCATTCGTGTGCCGAGACAAACAATCAAAGAGGAAACCTCTCTAGCCTGGTGCGCCACCGCGATGACGGCTGAAAGGTTATGCGGCGACCAACGCTTGCTGGGAGCTCAGTCTGGACCTGGCCTAGGTGGGCGAGTGACGCCGATCATCGTATTGTCGAGGGAGCAGCGAGAAAAGGGGGCTCATTCTCTGGCGCCGTCGTCATTCGCTGCAACCCCACAAGTGCGACAAGGACACGGCCCGCCAGGTCACGGCGCCAGTGGATCAAGAGCCGTCCGAGTTTTTGCAAGTCACCGGAGGCTTGAGTGGGACAATCGCGGCGGGGGGTTCGGTTCAAGGTATGGAAGGCATCAATGCTGGTAGTGCTCCGTCCCTGTCCTTGGCGCCATGATCCTGACCAGCGTAGCCGGGTCCCCGAAGATTGACGAAGGAGGATTGCCCTGGACAGAGACTAATACGGAGCAGCGAATCTGGCTCCCTGTCTGCGCGTCAAGCGATCACATGACAGGCGCCGGCCGCCTTGCCTTGGGAACCGGGACAGACAGATGCTGTGCGAGTGCCTTGCAAAGCTGCGAGTAGCTACCAAGTAACGGAATACAGCCTAACAGTAGCTGAGTGCTACTAGGTAAGGCATCCCGAGCGAGCAAAGAAGACTGAGCAAGCCGGTAAATGAGCCTGCTGGCCTGTGATCGGCTGTTCCTCTAGCTCTTTCGGCATGAAACCACTGGGTGTCTCGTCGAGCGCCAGATCAAATATGACTCAAGACGTGCGTCGCGAGAGAGTTGACCATGCTAAATGCAAACGACCGGAATTCTCCCCAGCAATGCTGTACAAGTACTCCAGCGACATGAACCATGCCAGTGGCATCTTTCACATGGCCATTAGCATTATTAGCGGTAGCACCAAGTCCAGAAGCCGGTACGAGGACGGAGTACTGTGCGTGCTCCCCTTAGCACCCCTGCATTTGCTCCAGGCCCATCTCCGCAGGCTGTCCAAGGGCAGCCGACTCCATCAACCGTGGTTCCATTTCAGGTTATGATGGTCAGAAAGCCAAGTCTAGCACCAGCAGATGCGCCGTGGACCTCGAAATGACCGGTGCTGAGGGGCTCGCGGGCTTCGCTGGGCTGCAGGATGGGGCTGCCTGAGCTCTTGGTTCTTGGTTCTAACAGGACCCGGACTCTGACCAGGGACCTGCAAGGCGTCACATGCTGGCAGGTCTTGTTGGCGAGAGTAATGAAGGCTTTCGCGGAGCTGATGGTGGCGCAACGGAGAAGGATTGGATGGGGCAGACGAGCGAAAGCGTACGGTCGAGCAGGTACAGTAGCACTGCTAGCCCGAGTACAACCACAGTACAAGTGCGAGCCGACCGCAGTCAGCACATGCAGGCCGTCCAAGCGACAGGCATGGCGCTCTAGAAGCGTGTGAGGGCGACGACGACTTCGTACATGTACGAGAGGCGCCAACACACTACTAAACCTGGACACACAGCACTGTGGAGCAATATCCCGCCCAGAGGCTGTTGTTTGCCAGCCTGGAAGCCACTGGTGCTAGTGCTTGTAGCGTGGGAGTGGCACAAAGGGGCGCAAAGAAGCACACTCGGCGACGAGCGCTGTCATCAAGGCTGGCCGGCGATAAGATGGAACATGGAAACCTTTAAGCGTGGACGGACAAGTCTCGGTACAAGCACCTGTATCTGTACAGTACTTGAGATATCGGCGGGCCAGGAAGTCGCAGCATCATGTACTGTACCAACCTGCCGCGAGCATCTTGTGGCTCAGCTCAGCTATCATTTCAACTTGCAAACTTTCACCGCCTGGGCTCCGTTCTCGACTTGGCCCAACCGAGTTTCACCATCTCTCTGCTTACAGACAACTGCACTACTCGTACGTGCTTCTGGCTATCTGTAGGCTTTGGTGCAAAGCGCCATACTAAGGCTGCTGCTAGCACTGCTGGGCTTGAGTTGCGGTCCGGCATTTCACTGGGTGACGTATTCAGCTCGAGGGCTTAGCACTTTTCCATGTACCCATCTCTGGCAAACTCGCGCACAGTGCATTTAGGCCAGCGCCCTTTGCTTCTGGCGGTAATAATAGCGGCTGAAAATCAGCGCCTAGGGAGGTACCATTGTAGCATCGGGGCAAAACAGGACTTCTCCGGCATCCCCTGCCAGCCGTCCGTCCGTACGAGGTTCGCTCCGTGTTGGGACTTGTGAACCACCTGGAATACATGGACGTCCCTGGCATGAGTGGTGGGCGATACTTGCGCTTGGACGCTGACTTTGATCCGTGTTGTGGTGTCGGTCTACATGAAGGTCTTAGGTCAGGATGCTTGCTGTACGGGGCGTGCGAGCATGTTGATCCGCCAAGCTGTTGCACATAATTTGGTTCCAGTATTTGCAGTCAATATCCCCGAGGCTGCTGAGATAGGATAGGAAGCAGAAACGAGCTCATTCATCCATCCATCCATCCATCCATCCATCCATCATTTCTTTGATGCTCTATACCTGCTACAGGAAAGGCACCAAATAGTCCAGTCACTTGTGCCCGCAGCGCTTGGAGGCGCACCACAGTGTCTGTCGCTACTGTATCCTGCTCCGCATTCGCAGCCCAGGTAACCCAGACCAGCAGGCGGCGTGTCGGGTCTCTGGCCTTTGGACTTGAACCATCTTCAGGTGACTCGGCAGGGGCGCTTCGTCTCTCGGCAAGGCCTCACGCGGCTCTAAGTTGTTCTAGTACTAGTAGCACCCGGCATACTCGCTCGCCTAATGAAGCATCAACCAGCCCGCCACTCACTCCACCATTGCCCATCGAGAGCGTGTGCTTGTGCAAGTACGAAGTACCCTATATTGGGCTGCACTTGTATGCGAACAGGATCCCGCTTGAAGCATCGTATTGAGTACCTTCGACTTCCCTGGCCCAGAGCAGCCATCGTCGATGCAAAAATAGTGCCAACGTATACTCCGTATCCTGTACCTGTATCGTACAAGTATGCGCGGATGACGGTTTCTATTCTAGCTGTGGCTATGGGGCCAATTCCGCCAGCATCCTGACCTTGGCCTTGATAACACTTTCTTGCTTTTGCTTGCCGGGCTGAGCAGCAGGGCGGGCCTCAGTCAGTTCGGTGCCCTTACTCCCTTACTCGTGCCTACCTACCTACCTTTCATGTTCCGTGTCTTACAAATATACTCGTACTTGTACCACCCGCGACGGTATACAGTACAGGGAACATTGTCTGTTGGAGCCACGATAGAAGACCGACTGCATGTCCGGTCCGTAGCTGCGACTGGGTAGGATGTCGGTGCCTACCTGCTCCTACTAGGTGCTAACGGTCCTATTTGCCTTGCACGCATCAAGGGACCTGGACGATACTGCGTGGTACCAGGGCGGAGCTCCCCCGTCTCTACCAAGCACCTGCGAGCACAATGCTGCAATACTAAACTGGGTAAGGTACCTCCCAGGTAGGAGCACAGTACATGTAAGAACCTATGTACCTACCGAGGTGCCCTCTATTCCGTACCTGCTTGCACAGGTTGACAGCCCCGGTGGCGACTTGGTGCGGCGCTCTGCTGCTAAATTGCAACTCCACGCAGCCGCAGCTTACCGTACATGCACGGTACATACTTGTAGTAGTGCATGTATCGACTTGTAAGAGCCCCCTCCATTCCGAGATTTTGCGCAAGTCCTCGGACGGCAGCCGTTTGATACGCGAACGCGAAGTAGCGGGGCTCCCTGCTGCCTCGCTCTTTCCACATTGTTGCCGCCGACCCAGTTGAGGGAGGCGCTGTCGGGTGTCTTGCCTGGCTCGCCTGGCTACTGTTTGATTGCGGAGCACGAGACGATGAAATGCATCTTTGCTGCCCCTTTGATGCGCGGCGTGGGACTTTGCCCATCTCCCTGGCGTACCGGCATTCTGCGGACGAGGGATCGCGAGAAGAACAACCTTTGCCCTCGAGTATCAGGAGAGTGCAGAGCACCCACGTGCATGTGCCAAGTACGAGTACGCAGCACCTCAGCAGCGACAGCAGCATCGTATGGCCATCGGCATTGGCCTTTACATGGCCATCGGCAACAGCAACGGCACCAGCTCCAGGCACGACCCAAAAAAGCCCATGCGACCCAACGGGACTCAACTGCACCGCTTGCTGTGCAGCCACGCAGCTAGCACAACAGCTGGTGGGCTGGCGTCATTCACTTGTCTTACATTTATGGCAGATATGGAGCACGGTGGTAAGCGGCTGGACGGAAGGGACCGCTAATATGATGTGGTCGGCACAAATGCTGGCCAGTCGTTAACGACCGATGAACCAGCGATGAGATCTGTCTCCTCTTCGCAACCCGCTCGTTCGTGTCTTGGATAGACTAACGCCACACACTCTCTCGGCCGTGCTCCATTCCCGGACTCTGGCGCAAAGTGCACCGCATGCTAGGGGTGTCCGTATTAACCCAAGTAAGGGTTCCGGTTATGTGGGGATGTCAATCACTCTGTCTGGACCGTGATGTGCATCTTCGACTCCGTCTGTGTGGGTGAGATTTGTGGACAAGCCTCTCTGCAAGACTCACCACACTATTTTGGAACACCACGCCACGTCGCTAGTGGGGCTAGAGGAGCATTCCAAGGCCAAGGGACGGCTTTGTGAAGGGGCCCGTGAGCTGGGGATGAGGCGTGCCGCTTCCTTCCACACGCCCAGCCGACTTTGATCTTTTGCTCCAGCTAAGCTACCACGGACACTCCGGCCTCCCAATGGTCGATGCTGGTTGGCTAAGCTGACAGGATGCTATTACCTGGACCCCCTTGGGTGGGAATCAAATCCTTCGCCATCCCTTCCATGAAGCGACCGAAAGATGGCCCTGCGGGGGGCTACCTTTTTTTTTTTTTCTCTCTATCACTTCTTGTCTGCAACCTTTACGCTTCAAGCGTGGGGCTGCAGGGATTTAGCATTGGCGCTCTCCTCGTGAGCCTGCGGCTTGCCCTGGCATCCAGCACGGCGGTGCGAGCACGGAGCCCAAGTGGTTGTTGTTTCGACCCAAGCGTCGGAAGCATCCCTGCCTCAGGTCTGTTCTTGTTGGCGCCCTGCTAACCAAGTCATCGTGCTAGTTGGTAATATCATCTGTCAGCCCTGCTTAGGATCTTGCCGGCTGTCTGTGCTCCTCCTGAGCGCTACAAAATATGGAACGAGTACTGTACCGTACTGTACTCATTACATGTGTCTCGTACATGCAGAATCCGCTATTGCTCCGTACTATCACAACCAAAACCTGTAGTGCTTCTGCTTTGGCGTGTGCCCACTCACGATGCCACAAGTTGTTTACAGTGCGCCGAGCGCCGGGAGTATCGCTGCGTTGGGCCGACGACTTCCCAAGTTCTTTGTACAAGGGCTAGAGTCCCATTACTCGAACATGTTTGCTGCTCGCACTCGAGGTATTTTCGCATCTCTGAATAGCCCGAAGTCACGCCTAACCATGCAAATCCTGGTATGCGGCGCGGTGACATGAACATTTTGGGCCTTCAATCTCGCCAGGGCAGCCATCCCTCGACCAAGATGATTTACCGGTATGCGAGCACAGAGTACCGCCGCCAGAGACCCGAAAGTGTTCTGAGATTGGTGGATACTTTCTGCGTTGCTCACAAGCAAGCGTGGTACGTAGTTGGGATGCTTCATGCAAAGTGTGTGTCCGCAAGGTACCTACAACCTGGTACCCTGGCGCAATTGCCTTACACTTGTCGGAGGCTGGATTTTCACAGACACCTAAACGCAAACGCTCCAATCTTTTCTCCCTCTGAGGGCTCTCGCACTATTGTCTCCGGCACGGCCGCCGCTCTAGAGCGATGACTATCCATGGCTATTGGGGGCGCGCCCCATTCCCATTTTTTTTTTCGTTTCCTTTTTGTTCTACTCTCCCGGTTGGAGCTCTGGTCCGTCCGATGAGACATCCTTGCACCACCCCTTGCCTCGCCCCGTATGACGTACCGGCCAAGGAACGAAGAAGGCATGTATATGTCGGCTCGCAGGCTGTGTCCCAATCCCGACCGGCCATGTCTTGGATGGTGTCAAGGGCCTGTGCATGTCCCAGTATGCATGTACTAAGGGAAAGACAATCCTGGATCTGGATACCTACTCCCTGTGCACTGGCTAGCAGGCCTTGGTCAATCTCCATGCAACCCGCACGTTTGCCTGTGCCGTCGTCATACCAAAAAAGAAACGTCGCCTACTGCTACGGCCAGAGGAGTGCCACACTAATTACACTAGACGCTCTGTACCGTTGTCTCGTTGGCCCACTTCTAGATCCATGGTCGGTTGGATCTGGTTCGGACTACTAGTCGTAGTACGACTGTGTACCAAGCCCATGCACTGCTATTCCCTGGTCGTGATTTACCCTTTGAACCATCCCTACTTGGGCCGGCTGTTAATGCCACTCTGCTCCCTCGAACGATACTTGCACACCCCCTTGAGAACCGTCCCATTCTTATTAAGTTGTTAGCATTTTGAGTTTGTATTAATAGTTTCGTTTTCGTTCTCCCCCGGACCACTATGATCACCTATATCATACTCAGCCATCCATCACCTTGAAGCTCATTGCCATTTCTCACTCGACAACATCACAGCAACACTAATCACCTCAACACTACTACACAACTACGAGCAAGCACAAGAGCCTTGGATATTTATATCAGCAACAACTTGCCATTCACCAAGTCCAACGTGCCCAGCCTATCAAGACGATGCAGTCATATTTTGGGGAGACGATGGCTTCTCAAGCCTCACCATCAGCTCACTGGAGCAAATACTGTGAAAACCCTTACATCAGATCGTCTCGAGGCTCGACTACACAGCGTGTGGGTACGGCTATGCGAGTCGTCAAGCCGTCCAGTGCCAACAACAGCCCACGATCGTCCGCTGCCAAGTCAAGGAGAGGCACAATCATAAACGACTCTCAGACTTCTCAGACAGCGAGAAGGCAGCAACAAGTACTAGAATATCTCTCGGCGTCACAGCTATCCCAACCGGTTCTACCAGGAAGCCAACGACGGCCTGTCAGCTGGCATCCGTCGATGAATATGCAATCACCCCAAGACGAATACCTACAGACTCCATCTTTTGACTGGCTACCTTCGACTATGCAACATGGCCAGTACAACAACTACTATTCAGCATCTCAGCCATCCCCACCAATGGCTTACTCAAATGGCACTTCACCATCACCAACTTTCTCTCCGCCATCACCGACTTATTTTAGTGCCGAGCCCATGACTGCCCGTCCAGTGGATGGGTGGCAGTTGGCAGCATGTTATCCCAACATGAGCGATGATGGATATGTGATGCCAACATTGAACAGCACTGTCGATGCATACAGCCTTGGATACATCGAGACTACTCCACCTACGCCCTCCTCTTACATTCCCAACCAGCCATTACCGCCAGCTGTTCCTGAAGCAGCCATCCAGGTGCTGGATGAACCCGAAGAGGAGGGAGAAATCCTCATTGGCATGGGACTTTACGATACACCCGGTAAATATGAAGAGGACCCACATCTGAATAACTACCGTTCTACTGTATCGTCTCTCCTCGGATCCTCAATCCGACCCCGAGAGCCCACTGGCAAGGGGCTGAAGCTGGAAGAGACTTGGGAACCCCCAAAGTCTGATGATGAGGAAGAGGAGGAGGAGGAAGAAGAAGAAGAGGAAGAAGAGGATAATTAATCGCCAGAGAGGGACACGACATTATGATGCATCACGGACACTTGACGGATTTGAAGAAAAAGGATAATGACTGCTACTGTTTTTAAAGCGACGAACACTGGTGGCCACAAGGATTTCACAGAGTTTTCTGATGATTGGGAGTTTTTGGTGATTTTTTCCGCCTCGCGTTGGACGGGCTTGGATGGCGATATTTGGGATCAAGCGAAAAATACCCCAGGACAAGGATTGGGCATGGGATTTTGAGAACAGCGCATGTACATAGAACACAAGGCTAGTGCTCTCAGGTGGCTCACGCCAAACAAATGATATGAAAGATTAATACCAGCGACGATAAAACTTAGTGACGTATAACATGTTGAGAAGACTGATCACTTGGGACGTGTGGTAAGTGACCAATTCCAAGGTAGGTACTAACACTAGTTCTGTAGGTACCTCTTGGTGTAGCGCTACTAGCGGCAGGCGCTGTTACGAGCATGTACTCGTACTACGGCAGGTACCTCTAAGACAATGCTCAGCCCCGCTATCAAGGAGTAACGGGATGAAATTGAGCAGCCAGCGTGTACATAGTACCTTTTTCTTGCTCTGCGCTTGGACATGTATGAATGATTCTATAAATACGATAGTTGAGGCATATCGTACGAGTACGTGCTTACACAAGACAGAAGAGGAAAAAGCAAAGAGAATACCAACTGCGCGGTAACAAAAAATAGAATACCGCGACCATCAGAAAGCAAACAGAAGTCACTAATAGACCCCTGCCCAGCATGTGTCGGTGGGTGAACGGGGTGGGTCCTGTGCATTCTGGAAGGTTGTAGGGGCGCCTGCTGACTGGCCAAAAATTTCCAGTTTCTCCTACCTTTTTTTTTTCCACCTCCTCCTTCCCCTTGGCTCCAAGAGCATGGGCCCCAAGGGCCCTTTTTTCGTTCCCCCCACCCCACATTCTGCCCGTTGCCCCTTTTAGTAGCTATGCACCCCCCCCTTTCATCCGAGCCTTGGGCAAATTTCCACACCCCCTCCCTTTTTTTGGGTCTTTGCTTTTGCCCTCTTTTGCTTTTTTGTCCCTTATTTTTTTTTTTTTTTAGTGTGGATGGGTTTTGATCCATGCGCTTTTCGATGGCGGGAGAGCTTTTTGAATAGGTACGTACCGGACCTGTGCGCTTTGTGCTTGCAGGGACGGTACATTTACGAGCTTGAAATGTCTTGGTACGATACCTAGGTAGGTACTTTACTCTAGTACCTTCAAGTTATTGTTACGGCACATGTGCCCCTCCAGCATTGAATGTGCAGGCTGATGCTGTAGAGTGGGCAGACGGAATCGTTGGGGGAAAACAAAAACCACTGAGGCACCGTGATGCTTTGTACAAGATAAGTAGGGAGCACGATGTACTCTTACGGCAGCAGCGGATGTATCGTGGATAGCCGGTTCCCTTTTTTCTTTTCTTTTCTTGCTTTTGGGCGCTGGGGCGAGTATTGAGTCACAAAGCACGGAGTACTCCATAGCTGAAAAGCTCGAAAAAATGCCCCCTTCTCATACGTAATCTGTGGCTGCGTGCTTGGGGGAGAATAACATTGCTGCTAGCAGGATGGGGCTGCCTTTCTCACCAAAGTTGCGTTTTTAGTGACGAAAGGGACAAGGGGAAGAAACAGGAAGAGCTTTGCAATAACGGAGCCCAGCCGAGTTATTGCAGCTACCAACTAACAGGCCTAACTCTTCTGTTGCCCCGCGGGCCCGTTTCGCCGAGTGCTACGGAGAAGAGCTAGCCAGCCCTCTCTTTTTTTTTTCTCTCTCTTTCTTCTGTCTTTCAATTTTTGGCCCAGGAAGCGGGTTTTGGAGGGGGCCGCGGCTTGGGCGGTAAAGCAATGCGGCAAGGTTCGTGTGCACGGAGTAGGAAATTTTCTTTTCTCCTTCTCCTCCTCCCCTCCTCCTCTTTAATTATGGCGGTTCCTTAGGCCGGATGGAGGAGTCTGGTCTGGACTTTTTGGTGCCGGTAATTGTGCCATTTGGGCCCGTTGCGCTGTGCAGGCATCCCTGAGTTGCATCCATCAGCGGGCCGGACAAGGTTTTGTTTTTCTTCTTCTTCCCCTTCTCTTCTTTCCGTCTGCCTCTTGTTTCTGCCGCAGGTGGGGGATGTTGCGAGGTACTGTAGTATGCCGGAGGGTCGTGGCTCGAGACTGAGGCTGCCTGAAGGATTGCTGTTCCATTGCTCGGACTAAAGCCCGAGGGAGCCGAGTTTTGCATGCTACTGACATACGAGTAAGTGCGGTTTGGCATTGGGGAGCTGAAATGCCGGGCATACGGGGCGCAGGAGACCCCAGCAGCACTTATTCTTTACACGTACTCCGTACATCCTGACGAAACTGGGATTGGGATTGTATTGGAAAGTAACGAAGCGTACAGTACGGCGTTTATTGCGCTCCGTGCTCTGGAGCCTCGCTGTCTGGGCCTTGGTGTCGTACCACCACTTACCTGCATTATCCGTCTGCTTACTTGGACCCTGAAGCCCCCGAGTTTCCATCCATAACTGACAGACTGACGGATATAGCCCATTGTGCAGATATCAGTTGCCGCCTACATGTCGTTCTGCCTTCTCCTGCTTCTTGCAGCATGACCCTGCGTTGACATGGAGAGCCGCTGCAGCACAGGTGGCTCTACCTACCTACATGTAGTAGCAAGTCATTGTACAGCCCGGATGCCGGAAGGGAAAATGCCTCTCTGCAATGTACGCCGCGGTACATGCTTCTACTTGTAACGTGCAGGAAAAGTGACGGTGCTAGCTGCTGCTGATACATAGTACGCTACTACTTTGGCGCTCCGTTGCCGTCCTTTTCCCTCTTTAATTTCGGTTTCCCTTTTCTTCTTTTTTCTCCGATACTGCAGCTGTATCAAGTGTGATATGCGAGACGGGCTGTTGGGGCTGCAATTGGTCGTAGCCGATGATGGTTGAGTGATGCGATGACCTCCTTGCCTTGCATGTGCCTGGCTGCTAGTACTTGTACGGTGCTAAGATTCCGACACGAGTACGAACTTGGCCATGATTCTGAAATGAAAATCCCGTGGTAGACGTCATGGCCGGCTGAGCAGTGCCTGTATCTGTACAAGCATCAAGGAAGCTGTCATTGATGGCTGAAAAAGGCGGTTGTTCTGCATGTGGGCCTCGAGGACGGCTTTGGTGATTTTTTCTTTTCTCCTTCTTTTAGTCCGAGTACATACCATGGGATATAGTAGTTTAATTGACCTGGATTCTGCTATTTGAAAGAGGGGACCTCGTCACCGACGGGCAAGGAAACGAAATTTTCCTTCACGCACGGGCTGTGAAAATCGGTGTCATTCTCTGTTTCTCCGGGCCCATCACCTCTCCGCTTCCTTCTGTTTGATCAAAACAGTGCTTGCCGAGAGACGGTCATCTTGAGATTTCTTTTATCAATTAAACATGCACATAGCATGGGGGTACAGTCGTATGGGCACATCTGTGCTTTCGTAATAAGTCGAGAAAAGGGAATTCGAGACCCAACTTCGCCGTGCATGCAGCAGGGCACAGAATGGGTTAAAGTCACGACCAGTGTTACAGCACAGGTGCGGCGCTTTATCCTTGTTGATGTGACGGCGGTACAGTAATAAACAGCAAATACTGTACTTTAGTGCTTGTACTCGTACTTGTACACGTATGGAGCACCTGTAGCGAATTATTGCCGGCAGAGCAGATGGGGCCTTACATCGATCAATATTCTTTGCGGATGGAGATTTCGTTACGGAGCTCGAATCGTGGTGAAAATTTTAGTCTTGTGTCTCTTCTTCTTTTTTTCTTTTTTCTTTTTTCAATCTCTAAAATTGCTTGTTCCATTACTGCCGTATTAGGAAAAGGGCGTCTCTAGTGACAACTTTGTGTCTCTGATCGCTACCCTACTAGGATTAAACGGAAATAGCCCACCGCTTTTGCTTCACTATCGTCTTGTCTTGCATTTCCGCTTCAATGAAGGACGTCTCTCACTCTTTCTAACACTTGTCACACCATTTCATTCATCTTTTTTCTCCCGCTTCGTTGGTGCCTGGGCCCCCCTGCCGCTCTGATGGTGCAGTATGTGTTTACGCCTTGGCGGGACCGCCACGAGTTGCTCCTTGTGCGGGAGCAATTCTATGGCTCCGAGGCGTTGATGCAGGCTGTTGGGCATATCCAGGGCGGTGCAGCTTACAGCCACCACCAGCAACGGAATCAGGACCAGATGCGAGCAGTTGAGGGTGGCAGAGACGCAGACGCCGAGCAGCAGCAGCATCAAGAGGAGGGGCAGGACTTGAATCAGGGGGATGCACGGCGCACTACCGCTACGGCTGCGGCTAAGAATCACCAGACATCACGAGAGCAGGGAGACGGAGAGAAGCACAAGGCCGTGGGGCGAGTCTCCATGTGGATGCAGCGCGGCAACTGTCCGCACATGGTGGAGTCGACGGCATTGCTCATGGCTGCAGTCCTGAGTGACGAGGCCGCGGCCACGGGGAATGCAGGAGCATCGACGTATGCTGTGAGGGCTGCATATGCAGCTGCGTTTAGTCGGTAAGTTTTTTCTGGGTCTCTTTCTTTTCTCTATGTCTCTTCCTCTTCTTTCCGTTGTGGCTTGGTTGGGGTGTGTGGTCTGGACTCTTGAGAGAGGGGGGAAATGTTGGATAAGGAAACGAGGTGGTGAAAACAGAAACGGGCTGTCTCTTGCATGGATATGCGGCCGAGGACGTCATGGATGTTCGACTTTGCTCGTTTACATCCAAGGCAGCGATGAGATGGTGTCATGGCTATCTTCTGCCGCTCTCAGTCTTGGTGAACGAAGGCGCTAACTGATATGCTGTCAGCTTCGTCACTGGCTTGTTGGATGGGCATCAAGACAAGCTGCGCAAGCAGAGCATGTACTCAATCGCCAAGAACATTGGCTTGCCGGCTACCTTTGTTGAGCTTAGGCATCAGGCCACGCATGAGCAGCTGCCATCCCTTGCCAAACTGCGATCCGCCGCAAAGAAAGCCCTCGCCTGGATTTGGGACTACTACTGGAAGCACCTGGGGGAGGCAGAAAAGGCCAAGGATCCATGCAAGGAGCTGGTCTTGTCCTATCTACGGGAAGACGATGAAGCGGCGAGGCAGAAAATCATGGGGCAGCTACGTCAGTGGGATCTCGAGCGTTTGCAGACGACAATTGCCGAGCTGCAGAAGACGCTACCTGGGAACCAAGTGTTCCTCAAGTGCTTGAAACTGTCAAAAGATATGGCGGCCATGGCCACCGAGGAGGCGAACCGTCCGGAGCCGGAGGGGAGTAGGATGCCGGAGGAACAGGAACAGGATGAGGAACAAGAGCAGGATCTGGACCTGGATCGGGACCGAAGCCCGGAGCCGAACACGGGATGGTCCCGTTATAGCGGTGCTTGGAAACCGAAACCTATTGGTGTAGCGTGAAGGCTATGAGTTTATGATTTCTATGGCGCACAGGTGTTGCACTGGACAAGATCTGGAAAGTAAAGATACCCCCAATTTTATTTAAACAATGGAAAACTGCGATATGAGAGAAAAGATTCCAAATTTCAGATTACCGGAATGATGCCATCAGCCTCTCGTCACCCTCCTTTGGGTTCGCGGAGTCGAGCATGTAAAGTAGCCAATCACGTGGCTGTTAATAATGATGGTAATTGCCCCTCCGTATTTACGGCTTACGATAAATCCGTTGACATCAAGCTGTCGACGCTCAAATTGCTTTCAAATCATTCTACCAGTCTTTCCCAAGACGAGCCTCGTGAACCTATGAATAAATTGATACTGTCTAGTAGACGACTTCTCACGCAGAGACTTGGTTGTTCCGTAAGTGAGATCATCTTGTCATGGCTTGGTATAAGCTGTCTGGAGCTGCCCCTCATTGCTGATTAAACCGAGTCTCAGCTTATAAACAACTCACGCAAGATGCATATTCAGTCGATTCCCATGTGTAAGTGCTATAGGCAGATGCGTGAATGCTTTGTTGGGTCTGCACGGTGATGTGAGATCAGACAAATGAGAGAAAGAGAGGGAAAATCACACAGAGAGATTGAGCGGCGTCAAGCTAATGGTCTGAGTAGGGGTTGGCAGCTCCAACAACTATGCCTACCTTGTGATTGACGACAAGTCCAAAGATGCCGTCATTATTGATCCGGCAAACCCGCCAGAGTAGGCCATTTCTTTTATATGCTATGAGCTATAGAGTCAGACGATGAAAGCTGACTTTATGACAGGGTTGCTCCTATTCTCAAGGATGCCATTTCCTCAGGCAGGATTAACCTGACGGCCGTTGTCAACACTCACCAGTATGCATTTCTCCCATGTCTGTCATGGATTTAAATGGATATCTGATGCAAATGAATAAATTATAGCCACTGGGATCACGCTGGAGGCAACAAGCAGCTGGTACATATATCCTAGCCTGACATTGTTCTCCCCCTTTAAGGAATCCAACTGACATGCCGTTAAAGCTGTCTGATCTAGGCACCGACAAGCTCACCATCATTGGCGGGAAAGACTGCGAAGGCGTCACCTGGACACCAAAGCACGAGGAGACGTTCAAGATTGGCGATATTTCCGTCAAGTCTGTGCACACCCCTTGCCATACGCAAGACAGCATCTGCTATTACTTGGAGGATTCAACTGGCAAGGCTGTTTTCACCGGCGACACTCTCTTCATCAGCGGTATGATTGGTCCGAGAACATGAATACTGTAGTATTCCTGATCGAGGAATATGCGTGTTACTGACCACTGCATAGGATGTGGCAAATTTTTCGAGGGCAACGGGGCAGAGATGCACGAAGCGTTGAACAACCGCCTCGGAGCACTGCCAGATGACACGGTTGTCTACGTAAGTTGTGGAACAGCAAACCGAGCCCGGTGAATGAGGGAACTCCCGCTAACGGGCTTTGTTCATTCTAGCCTGGACATGAATACACAAAGTCAAACGTCCGATTCACCATTTCTGTCTCCCAAACAGAGCCCATCAAGAGCCTGCAGGCCTTTGCAGAAAACAACCAGGTGACGACGGGCAAGTTCACGATCGGTGATGAAAAGGTATGTGGCTTAGAGAGAGAAGTGAAGCTGAAGAAGATGCTAAAGATGGGATAACAGAAGCATAATGTCTTTATGAGAGTCGAGGTAAGTCTATTCTCAAGAGCACGCTCTATTTAGGGGTTGAGCTAACGGCGGCTTGTAGGATCCTGAGATCCAAAAGGCAACGGGCGAGACAGATCCCGTGTCTGTCATGGCCAAGCTGAGAGAGATGAAGAACAACTTCAAGTGAGAGGAAGCGATTGTACAAAAACAATGTGAAAGGGGCCGGCGACTAACGTTGCCCCTCAGGCCTTTGGAAGCAAAAATTTGAAGCGTGATGGCACCCAAACGATGTATTTACGAACTCAACATGATAATACACACGCACATATGCACGTCCATAAGACGTTTTTCACACATACACAGACACAATGATTCGTTTGTCTCCATGGCTTACTTGGCACCAGCGCATAAGGCGCGGATGCCGCTCGCTAACCACTGGAAATCGCGTCGTAGAAGTAGTGACTCGACTGGGTTTTACTTTTGCTTCACTGTCCACACTTGCGCGCTGTTGAGCATCTGAGGCGGCAAGCTCTAGCTAATTTTGAAGCGATGGTTTGTGCAAAGAAAAGGGGATGATGACAAGTTTGGGTGATTTCACTGCAGATGGCTTCAAGCCGAATACGTGTAACAAACCTGGGACTGGAACGTTGGTCCATGAGGGGATTCACGGGCTGGACGCCTTATGAGGCGCTTGCCAGATCTGCAGTCAATGCACTCTCATAATTGATGAGATCCTCGTATTGAACATTGCAAACGTCCAGGTATTGCAATTGCGTCGCGGCTCTCCATTCCAAGCCGGCATTGCGCTGCGATAGAACAAAGATGTTCTTCCGAATGCAAAAAAAACGAAGCAGAAATTTTTCGATTCCACAGTTACGGAGCGCTTTAATATGGCAGCCCAAAAAAAGTGGCTCCACAGTGCATATATAATCATCGTGTGCACTAAGCACTGTACGCTTTTTCACCTTCAGCCTCGCGCCTCGCATCACCAGATTCCGCGCCAGTGACATCAACGTGCATTCACAGAGCCCAATAAGACAGAAATACCCAACACCGCAAGTCTCAGACCGTCCAACCTCTCTCTCTGCCCTCGCCCTCAGCAGCCTCACGATTATCCTATCACAGCAAAGCATATAGCAGCCACTGTCCACTTTCACATGGTTCGTGCCTCCTTACACCAAAATCTACCAAAATCGCACCACCAAGACCGACGAAAGCTGACATGATGTGAAAACCATGTTAAAAAACAGCCTCCGAAGCGCAAATCTGGCGGTCCTTCCACCGCATCCAAGCCGCGACAGTCGAAGCTCGCCAAGGAGCACAATGTCACCGCGCAGGAGGAGGGCGAGATTAAGGAAGCCTTTAGCTTGTTCGCGGAGCCCATGGACGGCGAGAAGAACGGCGTGCTGCCCATTAACGACTTGAAATCAACGCTCATGTACGGGCCTTTCCCCCTTTTTCTTCTACAAATCCCGAAAGATTCAACATTATGACAAGATGGTGTAAAAAAAAGAAGAAGAAGCTAAAAACACATTTCCCCTTACAGAGCTCTCGGCATCCCCCCCTCGTCCCCCGCCGAACTCCAAGAATTCATCGCAATCCTCGACCCCGAATCCGACGGCTACGCAACATACGAGCCCTTCTTCGCCATCTGCGCCCTAAAGTTCCACGCGCGCGATAGTAGTGGCAGCGGCTCGGCCGCCCACCGCGAGGAGCTCGCCGAGGCCTTCCAGCTCTTCACAAACGGCGCCGACGGCCCCATCACGCTGGCCCACCTGCGCCGCGTCGCCGCCGTGCTCAAGGAGGATGTGGACGAGGAACTGCTCAAGGATATGATTCTCGAGGCGAATGGCGGCGTGGGTGTGGCGAGGGGCGTGGGGTTGGATGAGTTTGATAGCGTCATGAGGAGCGCTGGGGTTTGGCGGTGACCTCTCTGACTCAAGACTCAAGGGGCTGTCTATATCTGTACATTGGATGCGTGATGTGTGATATGGGATGGGGAGCGGGAAACTTGCATTTTTGCTGATAGCGAGTTTTTGGATTTTTTTTTGGTATTTATTTCGCGTGGCGCTGGGAGTTGCAAGTCGTTTTTGATACTTGTGCGGCTACGTCTTTGGTTGGGCGCAATACGCTCAATATTGCTCAGTTCTATAGACGAGCACTATACTTGCACATGAGCAATGATGAAAGTGGACATGTATGTTGTCATGAACCAAGGAAATGCATGAATGTGTCGATGAATTGATGAATGTATATATATATATATTCTTAGTACAGTTATGCTCGACCATCCATAGCCCTTGATGGAACGGAAATTCTAATGGCTGCATTACAAACGCTTTCTGAACTGTGATTTAGCAACATGTGCTAAATTGGTAACTGGAAAATGCCTGACACGAGGAAAAGGGACACGGTTTTTTCCTTGTATACTAGAAAACCCCAATGATTAAAAACGCCGTAAATCATCACCATACCCAAGATGTCGAGTGTATAAATGAAGTTGGAGCCCAGTATCTCGCCGTGGCAATTCCAAGACCTTTGCACGGGGGGATTAAAAAGGACCAAGTAAAAAGAAACACTATGCTGTCGCTCTCTCGCTCATTGAAGAAGAAGAGGAGGAGGCGTGATATCGAAAGGAGCAGGCAACTACTGCGGAGACTCAACAGTCACTGAGGGCGCTTCAAGCGGTGCCGCAGGGGCAGCGGGAGCAGATGCAGATGCAGCGGCGGCAGCAGCAGCGTTGCGCTTCTGAGAGTCGAGGACAGCCTGGAGTTCGGGCGGGGCCTTGAAGCCGGCGTGGTCCGAGTGCTTCTTGTAGAAATAGTGGTCTGGCTTGGGCTGCAGCTCCGGGGGCAGATCCTCGAGGATGCAGGCTATCAGGGCATCGATGGAGTTTTGCTTGGACGAGTCGCGGTGCCAGACGGTGATGAGGTGGGAGGTGAAGCGGACGGAGAGGCCGACGCCGCAGATCTGGTCAGCTGTTGAACAAAAAAGATGTGTCAGTTGTCAAAAAAGAAAAAGAAGAACAAAAAGGGGAAAAGCAGACAAAGAAGAGAGAGAAAACGCACCATCGTCAATGACGCTCTGCAGCTTCTCGCCAATGGCCAGCAGCTGGATGCGAGTCCAAAAGTCCGGGCCAATGGTCTTTGGCACGCGGAACGTCCAGCTGCCGCCGTTGATGTTGCGGCGGTCCTCCCAGATGGGCTTGAAGCCGGACTTGAAGAGGTAGATGGACTCGCGCATCTTGATGTTCTCGACGGGGGTGTTGTTGTTGTAGCGCCAAAAGTCCTGGACCGACTCGATCTGCGTGCCAATCTTTTCGAGCTGGGCCGTGTATTCGCCCTGGCCAGCGGCGTCTGGTTTTTGTTCCTTGGGTCTGGTAGTTTTTGTTTTTTGGTGTCAGTTCAAGATATACGAGACAAAGCAGAACAGAACAAAGAAGAAGAGAGGTAGTTTGGACGAACCGGTCAAAGTAGATGTCCCAGTAGTGCTGCGTGGGCAGCCGCATCGACTTGAACAGATTGCGCTTCGCATCGTCGCGCTGCTCGGCTGGGGAGCTGACGTCGCCGGCGCTGGAGCTCTGCGAGAGGCCAGAGAGGCCGCGGGTGAAGAGCTGTGGTCTTGTGGCCATGGTGTAGTTTGGACGCTGTAGGAAGAAGTGGAGGAGGAGTGGGAAGAGGAGTAGAGGAGGAGAGGCAGCGATGAAGAGATGACGATGGCAGAACAGCCAGTGCTCTGTAGATATAGAGACAAACAAAAGACAAACGCTCCGTCAAGACAGGCCAGTACCAACACGGGCAGAGCCTCAATTGGTCCGATCAACTGCGCTGAAAATCAAGTCAAGTGAGGTCCAAGTTGCGGCGGCCTGTCACTCGTTGATAACATGAAATGCACTGATTGGCATTGATTGGCGGGGTTTCTGCTTCTGGCGGCTTCAGAGGCTGGCCAGTGGCTTCCCAGCGAGGGGTCTAGCGCGCTCTTAGTGGCTGTGCGGTCTCCCCACAGGCGGCTGTCGAAACACCCCGTTCTAGTCTAGACTCTTTGGCTTTCTCCTTGGCTCTTTTTGCCTCTAACGGAAACACGGCAGCTGCTTCACCTGAGGCAGGGGATCGACAACGCCTCTGGGGAGTATGTACAGTACAAGTGTCTTGTTTAATTACTGGTATCATATTGCTTTTCTCTAGCCGACGTCGATTTGATTCAGCTTATACGAGTAGTTGTCGGCAGCCCGGCCTCGGTCTGTGTTTCGCACACACTGCGTTGCGCCTTTGTTTCATGTAAACCGCTTGTTCGTCTGTGATTGTTTTGTTCCGTTTCAGTCCTCCTAAATCTCACCTTGGCGATGCTTGTTTCACCTCCTTGTAGCTCATTCTCGTACTCGTACCGACGAGTCGTCGGGTTCATCTGAATGAATGAATGAATGAGATTCAACCCTGTTGTAAAATTGTAGGCGAACCTGCCAACTGCGTCCTACTGCAAGCACCATCTTATTCGGCCATGTCATATTCGACTCTGGTTCAAATCGATATATACGCAACTGTTAAATGCTGCACTGTTCAATGTAAAAAACAGTCATGTAGGGACACTAGATCAACAATGCCACATCGAGGTTTGTTCAACAGGCCATGAAGAAAGCATCTTTGAACCCTGTTGCTTATTGAACTCTCTCAACATAACATATTCTGCTCGTCATCAACATGTAATTCAATTCGTAAAAAACTCACAGTCTTTGTCATATGGATAGATATAAATCCAACACTTCTAACCATGTAAAACCTGCAATCCAATACACTGCACGTCTTCTCACGCCATGTAATAAAACCAAAGCATCGCCGTGCCTCAACACCATGGATCCCATGGACCCCAGCCATCTCAACCCTCACTTCAACGCCCTGGACATCATCCTCGGCTACCTCAACCGCGGCAACTCCGCCCCCGAAATCAGATACATCTCCTCCGTCGCAACGGCCTGGTGCCAGCAATACCACCACTCCCTGCTCGACTACACCCCGGCAAGTCTCGACGAGGTCCTCTGCACTCATCCCTTCCTGTTCGATCTGAGCATCCGCTCCTTTGCCCGCCTCTTCTCATTCAACGACCTTGCAAGAAACGACTTTGCGAGCAGTAGATTTGCACGAGATGATAACCTCCGTCAACAACATCCCACTAGGCTAACCTCCTCCCTCTCCCACATCAGACCCTTCATCACCGCCCAGCAATTCTTCGTCACCATGATCGACGCCTACACGCTGCACGTAGGAGGAAACGGTAGGTGGTTCCACGACCGCGTCGTCGCCCAGGACCTCAAGACCTCGCCCATCATCCACTACATCCCCGAAGTCATCCACCGCATCGCCGCGCTTAATGTCCGCGAGCTGCTCACCAGTGAGTTTTCGACTTTTAGCCCAAAGACCAGTCTGGGCTTCTCATACCATCTCGCAAAGGGGATGGACATTGTCATGATGGATGCTCCCCCCGTCAACGCCAGCGAAAGCGATGCTCTTGTAGAGTTGATGGATGTTGATGGTGGCAGCGACGTTACCCAAGAAACACCTATTCCGCGACATGCATTTGCTAATAATAACAATTCTCGTGCGAGTGCACAATCATCGAGGCGGAAGTCTTCATCCAAGGGCACCAAGAGGAATCGCCATAGTCACCCTGGCCGTAGACAGCCTTGGAGTGGGAAGAAGAAGAGGAAGAAGAGGCATTAACCACAGGTCATTTGGATATATATATTATTATATAAGCCTAAAAGTCGGTATCTCAGTCATAGAAAAACAATGAAACATGTCCTTTTCTTCGTTTACTGTATGTGATCCTATTGATTTGATCAACGCAACGCAAAGAGCATGCAAAGAACAAAACGAAAAGAAAAGTGACGAGGCCAAGGCCGTGAAACAAAGCATAGTTCCTCTTCTCACCAAGCTATACAGCCAGCCATTCATCCATAATCCAAGCAAACAAAGAAGGCCACCCTTCCAGTAAACACGGGTCGCTCATACGCCTACAACTCTGTACAGCATGTAGGAGACTTTAATACGTCAATCCCTCCAACACCAACACAACGAAGAAGAAAAAAAAACTTGACACAAACATTGCTAAATCGCATTAATCCGCATCGCCGTCGTCACATCGTCATTAAACCGTTCGTTACACGTTCTGCTTCACACCAAGAGGCATTCGCACGCTGTCCGTGTCCTTGAATCTCTCCAGGTCGCCGCCGATGAGCTTCCGCAGGTTGCCCATGTCTTGTAAATAGCGTTCCATTTCCTGTTGGAGCTCATCATCCGCAGCAGTGCTTTCCGAGTCGTACTCGTACTCATCCTCTTCGTCCTCGTCGGATTCCTTGCTCTCAAGCTGCACCGGTGGGATGGGGTTCTTGAGACTGTCAATGGCTAGCTTCAGGTGTAGCTTGAGAGCCTCGTTCTCCATCTGTAGCTTCTTGATCTTGCTCTCGGCAACCATGCTGCGCTCCTCCATCATGCGCTGCATTGTGCCAACGCGGATCTGGTACTCTTCCAAGCGCTCTTCTGCCTCTTGAGCATTCTTTTCGCGCTCGCGAGAGTCCGAAACCGATATCTGCAGCATCCGAATCTCCTGCGCCATTGTGGCGATCTGGGCATCGCGCTCTGCAGACGAGATGTGATCTTGGTTGACCTTGGCACGAGTGCGGATGCGCTTGGCTTGATCGGCATAACGGAGCGTCGACAAGGTTTCGTCGTAGTCTGAGGGGGCGATGCAGGCGATCATGGCCGTCTTGCTGTTGCCTCCTAGAGAGTCCTTGAGCAGCCACGTCAATATCGAGTCTCGATACGGCACCACGTCCTTTCTCTTGCCCGACCGCAGCTGCTTGGGACCTGCCAGCGCTGCAATGACCCGGCCAAGGGTGGCGAGCGACTTGTTGATGTTGCTGCCCTCGCGAAGTCGCGCCCCCGTGGCCTCGGTCGTCTTTGCCCTCTCACTACCCGCCAGATCAACCAGGCGAATGCGAGAGCTGCGCTCCGTGGTCTCGTCCGTCTCCATGTCGTGGTGAATCTGCTTCAGCATGATGGTAAAGACTGCGTGGCTCCGGCTACTAGTATCGTTCATCTTGGTGCTTGCCACGGTGCGAGATGCGTCTCCCACCTTGATGTAGCGCATAATCTCGTGAATGTTCCGCACGGGCACCTCGGTGAGATCCTTGACGTACGGGCCCTCGGTGGGAGACTCGCGGATCTTGAGATAGTTGGGCGCCGTGTTGGGGACGACGGGCACCAACAGGTCTCTGACGTGCTCGTTGTAGACCTCGAAATACGAGACCCGGACGTTGTAAGCGACGCTCGAGTCCTCGTTGTGAGCGGCGTCTATGCGCTCAAACAGATCCTCGCAAGTTCGAGGAATCAGCCCGGGGTTCTCCGGGGTTCCCATCATGGTGTAGCTCTTGCCAGAGCCAGTCTGGCCGTATGCAAAGATGCATGTGTGGTATCCCTCAAAGTTGTGATCGAGAAACTCTTCGCCGAGGCTGTTATAGATGTCTTCCTGGGTGGCATAGTCCTTGTCGTCGGGATCGTGGCTCCAAAAAGAGCTGTCAAAGGTGAAGCTCTTGTCGGCGAGCTTGCGAGACTTGGACGGGCTTGAGGATGGGGGGGCGTCTTGTTCGTCGGGGGCCCTAAGAGTGGTGATTTGGGAGACGGGGTCCATTTCAACAAGGCATCTGGCTCGTCGCTGGAGCTCTACATATGACGGTGAATTGAATTCCCCTAGTTAGCGCTTCGTTTCTCGTCTCTTGAGCTCAAAACAGAACCGTGTCCCTACCTCGTTGCAAAAAGGCTCGTAATCTGACGACAACCTTGACGTTGCCGCCACGGTCCACTCTCGAAATCACGGGCATGACGGCGGCATCTCGCGATCGCAGCGATGGAGTCGAGGCCGACGAAGCCATCATGAAGCGGACCTCGGGCGCCGGCGAGGGCGAAGAGGGCATAAGTCTTTCGTCGAGAGCCATTGTGCGCAATGTCTCAAAGATGCTATGGAAGCTATCGTCGAGGCGGAGGCGAAGAATGTGCTACATTAGTCGGCCTTTCTCTGTCTGGATGCTGCTTGTTTACATGCCGGCGATTGAGTTTGGCGGTGGTTGCCGGGGTAAACGGACAGGGATGGCCGCACTTGCCACATCTTGGTGCAACTGTGGCTTGGCGTTATTGGCTGTGGCTGATGTCGATCGACGGGTTCCATTGCCGGGGTTTTTCCATTCCGACATCTGGGGTGATTACATAATGACGTTTTCCCCTTCGTAGAGCTTCACCAAGCCAAGCCAGCTGCCGTCAAAAATAGCCCAACAACCATCTTCGCAGAATCAACAGCCACATGCCTCCATAATTCTGTCATCTCCTCCGAATCGTGGATCTGGTTAACAAGCCTAAGCAAAGCTAAGCAAAGCTAAGCAAAGGGAAACCAGCCTTTCACGCGTCAGCAGCTCCCCAGAAACAGGTCCCTACAGCTCCGTGCAACGCAGCTAACCCCAGCTGCACCTAGTCTTGTCTCGTCTCGCGCAAAGTCGCGTATCTCATCATATCCGTTCCTTTTTTTTTTTTTTTTTTCCTTTTTTTTTTTTTTTTTTTTAAATTCCTTTTTTTCTCTCCTCATACCAACCACCTCACCATCACAACACCAATTCCTGCCTCTCCCGTGGCAACCGAGTTCCACCGCCTCAACATTTGCGAACCATCCCCGCTCGCGTCTCCTTTTCTTGCCACCAAAGACAAAACTCCCATCTCTAGTGCTCCATGGCGCGCACCAGAGACGACGCCAAGGCACCGGCCAACGATGCGGCCGCAGACATCACTCGCCAGCCCACCGAAGATGCAGGCGTGAAGAAGACGCCTGGTCGCGGTCGCGGCCGCCCCAAGAGCGCAAACCCAAAGTCCCCTTCAAAGCCCTACACACCCACTGGCCGGCCTCGTGGAAGGCCCAAGGGCAGCTTCAAGACCAAGGCGGGCGAGGAACGGGCAAAGACACCAAAGAAACCACTCCCGCCGCTGGCTCCGGGCCAGAAGCGTGGACGTGGCAGGCCGCGCAAGTCAGAAGTTGTGCCGGCGCAGGAGGACAACGAGGGCCAGGCGGCAGAGTCTGAGGCCAACGCCGAGGCTGAGGCCGGAGACGATGCCGCCGAGAACCAGCCAGGCATCGGTGGTAAGTCCAACCGTCGCCAACACAAAGCCACATAAATCTTCAAAAAAGCAAAGAGACGGACCACTCACGCAATGCCAATTTTCCCTTGTAGACGTGACTGGTGGTGCACGCGCCGGGACGCCGCAGCAGTCTCCCGAATACGAGGTCGGTCCTTCATCATCATTCACATCACCTGCGTGGTTCTCACGATTCAAGAACATTATTGGCTGATTGTGGTTTGTAATGTTGCCTTCTCTGCCACAGGAGGACCAGGTTGATTATGACAATGACGATGAATGAGGCTTTGAGTGCGAGTCGGGTCGGTTTTTGTTTGCTTTGGACTGAAATGTGTGGCAAAGAGAAGGTTGGTGTGAAAGAGGACGGAACCGCTCTGGGTATGCTTGTTGTCTCTCCTGGTTTTGAAGACGTTTGGTCTAGGAGAAAGGAGGCGTTTTTTGGGAGCTCCGAGTTGTATTATCAAGGAATCGATCCCCTTGGCTCAGTTGGATGGAAACGAATCATGGGAAGCCTGACACATCACAAAATGACGGGCGTGCTTGTCTGTCCCGCTACATCTGTCAGGTTCATCCACCTGCTGCTCGCAGGGCCTGTAATCATTATCCCCCGCACCATGAAGCTACGTGCGATGTGCAATGGCAAAAATATCAGCAATGTTTCTTACATCCATGTCTTCGTCTGCCGCGTCTTCTTGTAATGACTCGTGTCACTCCCGCTTCCACTCGTCAAACTCCTTGTCCAGATGGTCCTTGAGCTCCTTGAATCTGTTCCCAAAGTTGCTCCCGCACCGCCAACACACCAAGTCCCGCCTCATGAAGCCTTCCTCCTTGGGGAGCCTCCGGGGGTCGGCCCCGTCGAGCGGAAAGTCGGCCACGTCCACCAAGAACGGCGTGTTGAAGGAGTTATAGTGCTTCCGGTGCTTCATCGCCGGCGAGTGCATGTCTCGCGAGAGCACATGGATGTGCAAGTGCCCCATGCTCGGAACGGCGTGCACTCCGCACATGACGTCGGCCGCCCAGTCTCTTCCCGCCGGCAGCTGCGGTTCTTGTCGTGGCCCGTTTTCTTTCCCCTTGCCACTACTCTCTTTCCCCTCTGCCTCGTCTTGTGCCTCGTCTTGTGCCTCTTCCGGCTCCGCCTCACCATTGAGCACAGCCTGCCGGGCGGCATCCGACCGACTAAAAGATCCCAGCCGGCGCCGCAGCTCCGCCGCCACGAGCACCTTGAGCTTGTCCACCTCTGCCCTCACCTTTTCCAGAAACTCGACATCTTGGAGCGCCTCAAAGGGGTGCAGGAGACTATACCTGGGAGACCGCGGCAGCAGCAGCGTGTGGACGGTGGCCTTGGGGAACTTGTCGTGGATGACGACAAAGTCGGCATTGTGATAGATGACTACTGAAGCGGGATACGATTCCGGGGCGGCGATGTATGCGCCGAGGGCCATGCGGTTTTTGAAGAGGTGAGGTCTTGAGCCGGGGGGTTTTGGGGGAGGGATGACGGCTTTTGGTTTGGGGGCCATGAGTTTGGCGACTGTTTGGGTGTTTTGGGTTCATGTTAGCATTCGTCTTTGATTTTGGCCTGCCAAGGCAAAAAGTGCGTCGTCCCTTATGATTGAGAAGAAATGAAAACAAAATGAGGTCGCACCTACACGCATCTTGTTTCGGGCGCTTTGAAGGCGGCTCGTCCTCCTCCTGCTGCAACTCTTCCCGCGTCAATCCTTCCTCCGAGTCTGACTGTGCGTCGGCATGTGCCATGAGTGAGGTGAGGATTGGTGAAGGAGTGTGACGACGAATGTAGGATATAAATATTTCTGCTGAAGATGAATATTCGCCAATTCGGGGCGATTCAGAAAGAAGACAGCGAAGAGGTGAGTGAGAGAGTGAGTGATGGCTTGTAGTGGCAATGTCCAAGATACAGCACCGGCTTGTACAGATACCTGGGTCTGGGTGCCTGAATTGGCAGCCCCACCATCAACCGTAGGTTGGAATGGCTTCATTATGCCATCATCGGGCTAACCATCGGCTTCTATTTTGCTTCCCTTTCCCCAAATCACCATATTCACCATTTAGGGCTTCAAGAAAGCTGAATTCAAAATATCACCGGCGCTCATAGACGGCGATATTGTTGTATCTAAGGTATTCTCGTTCGGCAAAATCCCACCGCCCGCTTCAAGCATCCAGCCCGTCCAGCTCAATCATCTTAATCACCAGCCTGATAATCTTGTTCCCTGCCAGATCCAGTCCCGGATTCTCCACCTTGTCAGCAATCAGATTGTCAACCATGGCCCTCAGTCTGGCCACCAAAACTCCAAGACGAGCCCAGCCCCGGAGCCGGAGCCATCCGTCTACCAAGAGGCCGCGGCCCAGAGTATCGAGCTCGATGGGGCCGCAGAACATGAGCAGCGTGTACGCATTCAGAGCTGATGCCAGTCAGTCAATATTTGAAATGCCATTTCGAAGTAACAGACAGGAAGCAGGGTAAACTCACGAGTCAGGTCCCGGATGAAAATCTTCGTTGTTGATATCATGCTGAAATACGACATGTAAGCCGCATTACCAGAAAACCCTTGGCTGCCAAACAGTGTGCTGCTGGGGTGCACAAACACTCGCCCGGGTTCTTGGCAAAAGTACTTGATCGCCCTCGCCTCAGGGTCCAGCTCGACCGCTCCGGACATGGAGCTCGCAAATTTCTTGTCGGGATACTGAATCCGCGCAATCTGTGGTGTGAATGCCGACGCAACCAGTGCTCGCAGGAGCAAGGCATTCCGGGCACCGGACGCATGAGAAGACGGAGATACAATGCCTATTTCTGTCAAGGCATCGTAGTACTGGCTCCTCGTATTTGAAATGTCCGTCAAAGTCTGGAAGGATAAGAAATTTTCATCGCAGAATCCTCTGATCTGGCGTTGCGGCGTTCCTCGATCCCGCATCATGTCATCCCACTGGTTAAAAGCCTCCAAGTCGGTCAGTAGGTCACCATCTCCCGTGTAGAAGCGCATTCTAGCTTCCCGGGCTTCATCCCGCTTCTCCTGAGGCGCAAAGAACGGGCTGCGGGTGCTCAGGATGGCGGCAATGGTGATGCAGTCGTCCAAGCAGCCGAAAATAGCGCCAAAGACCATGAGCTTGCCGCATCGTAAATCTGCTGGCAGCATGGCCAATTGCTGTCCCATGGCGGTGAGCTCATCTCCATCTAGAGCTCCCATGCGCCGCAGCAGCATCATGGCGCCTTCGATCGCCGGTGTTTCTGGTGGAGTGGGAGACCGCCCAAGGAATCGAATTACATCCTTCATGCCCATGGCTCGTACTGAAAGGCACAACTGTTCAAGTGGCACTCGTCGAATCTCGGGCTCGGGCCGAGGTGCCATGTTCTGCTCCAGATTCTGAGTAAAGAGCTTGAAGCATTTGCCTGCTTGCACACGACCAGCTCTGCCCTGTCGCTGCTTGCATGCCGCTCGAGACGCCCACGTTTCTTCCAACTTTCTCATGTTGTTCTGCGGGTCAAAGCTAGTCTCCTTGACCTTTCCACTGTCAATCACCACCACAATATCGTCAATTGTGATGGAAGTTTCTGCCACGTTTGTAGCTACGACAACCTTTCGCTTCCCAGGAGGAGGGCTGGTAAACACTCTCTTTTGCTCCTTCGTCTCGAGCGACGCATGCAACGGGAGAACGTGGAGTGAGCTGATGGATCTGAGATTGTTACAGGCCTGGTTAATCTCTCCAACTCCGGGCAAAAAGATGAGGATGCCTCCCGATTTCTTCTCATATGATAGCTCGTAGTCAATTGCCTTGACAGCTTCAGCAATTAAGCTATAGTTGATCCGATGGCCTAGCTTCTGAATAACCTTGCCCATCGTCTCGTCACCAATGAAACTTCCGTCGTCGGGTCCATCAACGCCGAAGCCGGTCATACGGACCACATCATCGAGGTAGTACTCTTCAACAGGGAATGTTCGGCCAGAAATCTCGACGGCTCCGACGCTCAGTCCCTCGGTTTCGAAATAGCTCACGAAAGTCGCGGCATCAAGGGTCGCCGACATGAGGACGAGTTTCAGCATATCCTTCTTCTTGATTATGACTTCTCGAAGTAGATTCAGAAGGAAATCCGTGTCAAGGCTTCTCTCGTGAACTTCGTCGATGATGATGTGACTGACATCGGCCAGAGATGCCACAACATCATCCACTCGACCACCAGAAGTCTGGAGTCTTCGGAGCAGCACACCAGTCGTGACAAAGGTAATCCTCGTATCTCTTGATTGCCGAGACTCACCACGGATGGCATATCCTACCTCACCTCCCACTCGGGAGCATCGCTCTTCCGCCACTCGATCAGCCAATCCCAGCGCAGAGATTCGCCGCGGCTGAGTGACAATCATGTTTGCACATCCTCCGAGCCCCCTTTCGTAGAGGTCATCCAGGAGGAACTGAACAGACTGCGTCGACTTTCCGGAACCAGTCTCACCACTGATGATGGTGACGTGATTCTTGTTCACCGTTTGCACAATGGCGTCCTGCATCTGCCAAGCGGGCAGGGCCTGGCGCTTTGTGATCATGTCTTTTTGTGACGGGTTCCCCTGCCGACGAAGCCATTCTTCCTTGCTCCTTGCGTCGACTACCCATTTGAGAGGCCTTGGTGGACCACGAGAGCGCTTGCTCTTGGCTACTGACTTCGCTGGTCGAGTCTCTGAGGCGGCTGAGGAAACTGCCGATATGTCTAGAAGCTTACCTGGGTTGGCAATGATGTCGTTGATGTTCTGTTGAATCCAGTCTACCGTGAGGTATATCTTTGTCGGCTCGTCCCGTAAATCCTCCTCAATGTGCGCCAGCATCTGCTTCACGATGCTGAGTTTGATGTATGATGGCAGCTTAGCAATTATGGCAAGGATGATGTGTCTTGGATAGCTCGATCCCTTGCGGACCTGTAAAAAGGTTTCCACGTCTCCGTTTTGCGTGTCCTTGACTCCTTCAAGGCGGATCTGAATGATGCTATCACCATCTCGACGGAAATTGTTGCCGTAGATGGACTCCAATGTGGTCACCTCCTCGTCCCATTGCTCCTGGGGCGTTCCAAAGTCCAAAAAGTCGCCTCCTGATTCTTCGGCACCTTCTTGGCTTGCGACAGCAGCGGGGAAAAGAATATTCTGCAACGTCTCGGCAGCCGCATCTTCATTACCGCCGTGATCGTCCAACACGCGTGTACAAAGTTCCACAGAATATCCCGTCTGGGACAGACGCTGAATGATGCCCTCTCTTCTCAGATCCGTAGCTCCGATGGTTACGCCAGCTGAATATTTCTCCGGAAGCGCCCATCGCGGAAGATCATCCTCAGGAACGTGAATCAACAGCCACTCCAGAGTTTCTTGACGGTCTTTACAGTACCCCACAGCTTCCTCTACGTGGCTCTGCCGGAAACCGAGCTTGCCGAGCTCCGACACAACGCTCTTCTTCTCAGCCAGAGGCATGGTCACGCCATGGGGGTTCCAAGACACACCGTCTCTCAATAGCGACTCCAGCTGGATCCTGGTCTGTCTGCCCATCTCAACCTTGGGCACTGTCGTCCAGCCTTTCATCGCGTTGGATACGGATCCACTGCCAGTGTTGCTCAGCAGCACCAGGCCTGCCGCTCCGGGTAGCTCCTTAGCTTTGGCCTTGGCCTGCTCAACCTCCTTGCGCTTCTTCTCTGCAGCAGCCTTGGATTCCTGGCGTTCAAGCAGCGTCCTAAAAGGATCGGCTTCGTACATCCATGCCTTGCCATCCTTGACGTCCTGGGTCTTGAGCGCCTGGAAGTCCTTCCAAAGGGACTTGTAATCCGGGGGAAGCACCGTGTGCTTGTTTTGCATGCTGCAAACTCTGAACAGGGCATACGTGGCGGCTGCATGCTTGGCCTCCAATGCTGTGTCTCTCAAGAGCAGATGCTTGTGCGTTAGGGGGATCTTGAACGGCTCCAAGGTGGTGAGCTGCTGCGTCTTGACGTCCTTAGCACTCAGCGTCACCCAGACTGAGAAGCCCTCTGCCGTCTTCCGAGTGTCATACACCGGCTTGTCCCATTTCTGCTTTTGGCAATACTCGCTCAGCAGATTGACCGGCAGCTTGCCTGTCCACGACGAGCCTCCGATAATCTGCTTCACCGTCGGCTTGGGAGCTGCCAGCGGCGGTGCCTCAGGAGCGGCATCCGCTGCCTTTTGTCCCTTTTTACCTTTACCGCTCCCATTCCCATCCTTGGATGCTGCAGAGGCTTGGCTTGGTGCAGGCGCGGGGGCCTTCACCTTGCCCTTCTTTACCATGCTATACCGAGCTGTGGTTGTGCCGCAAACAAGAAAAGATCAAACCGCCTCCCCGATTCCCAGGCAAACAAAAGGCGGCGAGATTGTCTCGGTACAGCCACGCAAAGAAGGTCAAAACAGGTGGAGCAAACAAGCAATCAAGCAAATTAGAGAAAACTCGAGTGTTACTCCCTTTTCCCAACAAGCTCAGATTTTTTTCGGTTCATCTCAATGATGCCAGAACATATCGGCGATAGACAAAGAAATTTTATGGGGCCAAATCGGGCTTGCCTAATTTCGCACTGTATAGAGAGCCTAATGGTAGCAGCAAGAACGTGCGCCAAAATTTATGTGAGAGTGGCTATCTGTACGTCTACCTATCCTCATTTCTCTAAAAGGAGGTCAGAAGAAGGCTTAAAGCTTCCATACCAACAAACAATAGCCATTTCTTTGCTGCGATAATTCTCGAACTCTTTTGGCCACTTACTGTAAGGAGAGCACTCGGCCGTGCATGTGCAGTTTACATACCGTATCAGGCACAAACACAATACTAAGTAGATTAGGTGCTTGAGATGGCTCGAGGTTTCTCGACTCCAAAGATGAATTGTGGTTAAAGATGCTGTAATTCAACTTTACCATCACATTTTGCATCATGATCAAAACACCGTCGGCGCATCAAGGATGGGATAATCTGCCTCTTGTTTTACTACCTAAATGCGTAGACGTGGGATGCACAAACACTTGATTGTTGCATCAAGAGCAGCCTCTTCTCTTCTCAAACATGTCTCTCGACAGAAGCGCAATGCACTAGCACTGGCTTCTCTCCGCCGTGTCACTGTGGTATATGCCGTCAGACTACCAGACCCAAACTCAGGCAGGCAGGCAGTTGATCGGGGGGTCGCTCTTCAATGGCCGTGGCCATTTAGACCCGTATCCACGAAACTTTTGCCCAGTATTTCCTGCTTCAGACTAAATTCGACTACTCCTCAGTCACAGCATCTTTCTTCTCAGGCTGGAGCTTTCAAGCTACCATAGGGCCTGCTATTCAGTCGGGCTACTCTGTTCCTTCTCTCTTTCTCTTCCTTCCTCGCACAGATTGTCAAGCCAAATTAAGGGATAAAGGGGGATAGTGGGTTGTTGCCAAGGATTTTGGGGGTTCATCAGCAGTATTCTGCTGCTCGTGTTCATGACAATAATGTGAAGGGTGTGCGTGGAAGTGGTTATGGTCTTGGGGGTGCCAATCAATTTTGGGAGGCGAAGAATCTTCAGCTTGACGCATCAAAGTATCAACCTAAAAGCTCACGAGTATAACGCGTGCCTTCTTACATGTCCATCGAATCACCTCCGTTGGCAAAGTTGAAGCCTCCAGACTGCGCAGCGCCGTTGGTTCCGAATCCAAAGGTGCCGTTGGCGCCAGTGGGCTGAGAGGCGCCCTCATCCGCGTTCTCCTCCTCGTCAGAGAAGTACTTCTCGATGATGTTGTACGCCTTCATGTAGATTTCCTCGTTGGCGTTGTTCTGGCAGTCGTGAATCTTCTCCATGCCACCACACTCCTCGATGAACAGCGCATAGCGGTTGATGGAGTCGGCACCGTCGCCTGCAGCCTGTCTGTCCAAGTCGCCAATCTTGAGAATGTTCTCCAGGCCATCGAGGGCAACCTGAATGATCTTGTTGTCTGGGCAGGCAAGGAGGTCGCACAGGGGCTTGATGCAGCCTTGAGAGACGAGGTATCGGATCTGTTCGGGCTTCTGAAGGCCACCAGATGTAGCGTTGCTAATGGCCCAGCAAGCTTCCTTACGGGTCTTGAGATCACCATTCTGCAAGAGGTGGATCAAAGGAGGGATGATGTTGGCATCAATGACGGCCTGGATCTGAGACGAGTTGCCGGCAGTGATGTTGGAAATGGTCCAGCAAGCCTCCTTGCGAATACCATCCTTGGTGGAGCTCAGAAGAGACAGAAGGCATGGGAGAGCGCCGCAGTTGATGATGACCTGGGTCTGGACATCGTCACCGGTAACAATGTTGCCAACGGATCGAAGAGCGGGAGTCTGAACGGAGGTGGATGCGTGCAAGAGAAGCTCGACGAGTCTGCGGGGGATGCCGGCCTCAATAACGGCCTGGATCTTGTCGTTAGAGCCATCAGAAAGGTAGGAGATAGCCCAGCAGGCATCGATCAAGACCTCGTCATCCAGAGAGTAGACGAGCTTGGACAAAACAGGGAGCGCAGGGGCGATCTGAAATGAAGACGGCGTTAGAAATTTATTCGACAAGACAAAGGTTATGAGTACATACCGTGTTCCAGTCAGGCTGCGGGGTCTTGCCACGGCAGAAGTTGCTCAGAGTCCAAGTTGCGTTGCGGAGCATGCTCAGCTTGCGGCTGTCACCGAGCAAGCTAAGCAGAGGCTTGAGAGCTCCGCAGCTGAGGACATAGTCACGGCAGTGGGGGCTATCGCCGGCGATGTTGCCGAGAGCCCAGACGGCCTGTTCCCGCACATCAGGCTCGGGGCTGCCAAGCAGCTCGACGAAGATGGGGACAGCGCCAGCCTCGATGACAACTTGGGTTTGAGTGGCAGAGCCAGAGGCGATGTTGGTCAGGGCCCAGGCGGCTTCGAACTGCACCAGAGTGTGGGGGGATCGCAGGAACTCGACGAAGCGGCTAACGACGCCAGTCTTGATGACCTCCTCGATGGGAGGGTTGCGCTCCTTGGACAGAAGCTTTCGGAACTTGGTAGTGGCCTGGATTTGGAGGTCGATCTGGTCGGAGAAGACGCCAGAAACCATCTGAGGAAGATCCTCGTTGAGCTATTCAGTGCCATGTTAGCCGATCCGTACGCCAAGCTTCAAATTTTGGTATATATTCTGCCAAGTGCATTGCGGCTGGGCTCATCCTGCTTTCCGGCTGAGGCAAGCCTGCAAAACAGCCCATGGTGCAGCTCCCAGGCCAGTCGGTCAGAGCGGCCGCCACCAGGAGGTGGGGTCCAGTCATATTTCCCCCACATCACAAGCAAAAGCACAGCATCAAAGGAAAAGCTGCAAGGCAGATGGAGATGGGGCGCCTTGCGAAGGTCTCGCGACGGCTAGATATGGAATGAAGCAAGGAAATCACTAGAGATTTGCATACCTGAGACTCAGTAGGAGCCGACTCATCGTCGCTGTCGGGGGCGGCGCCGAGAGCAGCACCAGGGCGGCTCTCGCCAGAGCCAATGCCTCGTCGCTTTGCTAGGTTTTCCTCGCGCTTGGCCTTGCGGATCTCGACCTGCTGCTCCTCGCGACGGCGACGGAGCTCATCGGGCTTGAATGTGTTCTTGGCCTTGAACTGAGTTCGGCGATGCTCTGGGATATATCGGTCCGCCATGGTGCTGACGATGTGCGCTGCTGGCGACGAAAACGGTGGAAAGGCGGGCGGGCAGGGCAGAGCAGGGGTTCTTGATTGCTGCGCGGGGACGGTTCAGGATGCGAGCGATGGCACCGTCGACGAAGAATCTCTATCCTTGGGGTTGCTGTTGGATGCGTCCCAGCTGTTCGGCAGAAGTGAAAGGGAAAAAAGTCGCTGCGGAAGAAGGGGAGAAATCAAGAGGGTTACAGGGCAAAGTCAAAATCAGATAGGTAAGGTACTAAACTTAGCAGGCGGCAAGAATTGACTGCAGCAAACTTTACTGCCTGTCCCGGTTGCTAGAGCGCTGGGCGGCCGCTAAAAGCTCTCACTGACGCTCGCACTCAGACATTGCGCTGATGCCTAAGGCAACAAGATTCTATGGCTGAGCTAAGGGTATGACATGTCCTTGCTCATTATCGCCGAGTACCTGTTTACCCCGCCTTATTGAGGTGATCCCCCTCAGTACACTTTGTTAAGCCTTGATTCACTCCCTCTACCAAGGAAAATACCTGGATGTGCTAAGAGATCATGTATACCGCCAAGGTACCTATTTAGTAGTGATTCACTCCCCCTTGTGCCCACCCTTTTGTCATTCATCGCAATCGAATCACACAATCACACAGTCTCTGCGCCCTTTCCAAACTTGAAGTTGACGACCCCTCTCAATACGGAGTACTCAGGTACCTCCCTAGGTACAAAGTGCAAGTACCCCTCTCCCACTATCACGTGCTCTCGCGCCTTGTAGATTCGGGCCCCTCCTATTCCATAATTGACACTCTCCGTAAGACGCGAAATCATCGTCGTAAAGCGCGTTGTCTAGTCACGTAATCCGCCAGTCACTTCCCCACGGCAATTGAGACCCTGTGGCTGATATGCACTGTGCTGAATAGCACCTCATTATGCTTCATGAGAGGCTCTTTTGGTCACATGATTAAAGCCATGCTCAACAATGGCTCCCTCTCTCACCAAGCGGCAGAACTCGCTGCCCAGCGGCTTCATATCGGTTCGGGAAATACTGAACCATAAGCGTGGAGTCGGAAACTTGGTGAATGTCATTGGTGTTGTCAAAGACTTTAGAGCCCCGGTTCCTACCAGGAAGAGCGGTAAGAATTGCTTTCTGCGCTATCCGCGACCATGTTCTAAGTCCCTGCCTTGTATCCAGATTGGAAGTGCGAGATCAGTCTATATGATGGATCTGCTGAAGATGCTTCATCCAACTCCATCACAATCAACATCTTCCGGCCAGAAAATGAGATGCCCGATCCCAGCCTTGGTGACGTTATAGTTCTCTACCAAGCCAAGGTTGCCCGACCCTTCCCATGAAGATGGTAGATTTTACATGCTAAGTAAGATGTCAGCTGCAATTACGCGACGAGACGCTATCACTCATAACGCACTGGAATACGGATATTTATCTATATTCGGCAAATCAGATTCCGCATCCGCCAGAAGGCGCATTGAAAGCGCTACAACCTCAGCAAAGAAAAACCACCAATAGCCCAGGAAAACCGGTGCACGAATATGTTTCATCACTCTATCATTCAATCGATAAGAGGGGTCTTCCAACTGAGGCAGAGTTCCAGGATATGAAGGCAAAATCTGCCAGTCTCTCTGAGAAATTCAAGGAGCTTAAAGATGTCCGAGATGGGACATTTGTCGATGCAATAGTTCAACTGGTCAGACAGCCATATGACACCGGGGACAAAATCACACTGTGGGTAACAGACTTCACTGAGAATGACAGCTTCTTTCATTTTGTATTCAAGGGGCATGGTGATTCTGGTGGCCAAGCTCATGACCCGTATGGATATGGTGCCACCCTGCCATATGGCGCGGGCACTGGCGGAGAGTGGAAAGGGCCTTTTGGGAAGCGGAGCATGCAGGTCACTTGCTTCGACCCCCATACCTCGATTATCAGAGAACGGGGGCTCTCTACGGGCTCTTGGGTGATGCTTCGGAATCTTCAGATAAAATACGGACGCAACGCCGCCAACCTCGAGGGCTTCTTGAGAGAGGACAGAGGGTCGTCGGGGTTGAAGATCAACGTCACGCATATGGACGCTACAGACAAGGAAACTATCGACCCCCGCCTAAAGGAGGCCATCCGCCGTAAACGTGACTATGAACGAGAAAAAAATGAGCTCATTCGGGGTATATCAGATGCAGCAATAGCTGGGATGAAGAGGAAGAGTGACATGGCCGCCATGGGGCTACTGCAAATCGAGAAGCCAAAGAAGACTAAAAAGAGCAAACCAAAGCCGAAGAAGAAGGTTGTGGTGGCAGACGTGTCAGTATTATCACAAATGAGGGCTATGGATCAAGAAGAGTCGACAGTAATGTCTACTGACATGTCTACTGAAACCTCTGCTGCAGTCTCAACTGCCTATTCAGAAGGTACCTCTCCCTGCCCCCATTTCAGAGTATGCAAATGCTGACCAGACATGATTAGTGAAATGTGAAAACGAAAACAAAGCCATCAGCACCATTGGTGATATTCTGGAGCCCATATACGTGGAAACGGATGTTAATGGCGAGCATGTCAAACTACAACTCCCGTTTGTGAATATGAACTATCGTGCCAACGTTCGGGTTGTCAACTTCATGCCTCCTGACATTGAAGACTTTGCTCATCCAAAGAAATCTTCAGAATATGCAATGCTTTCTGACTACGAGGAGTCGGATGCAGACTCGGACATGGAAGAAGAGACGGTAGATCGTTCGACAGTGCGGGAGTGGGAATGGCGCTTCTTCTTGGAGCTGGAAGATGCTAGCCCTCCCGGGGACATTCAAAGTGACAAGAAAACTCTCTGGGTCGCAGTGAATAATTTCTCTGCGCAATGTCTCTTGAACCTAGACGCCTCCGACCTGCGATCGGATCAAAAGAATCTAGAGGCCCTTCGCCAGCGCCTATTCCTCCTATGGGGCGACTTGGAAGAAAAGAAGAGCCTGGAAGAGGAAAACAGACGTCAGGCAGCGCTGACAAACAGGGGGGGGAATCGTCCCCCGTTGCACAGCTCCGATGATGAGAGCAGTGCGCCGCAAAAGCGAGATACAACATCGTCACAAGTTCGTAGCAGACCATTTGCCTGCTGCATTCACCAGTACGGAGTTCAAGTTCCCGAGGAAGATCCCCTCAAGGCAGATGCTGGCGAGGGCAAGAGGTGGCAGCGAATGTTTGGGCTTTTTGGAACACGGATTGCATATACATGACTTGTGAGAGCTGTTGAGCCATTGGCAATTGGAGGAAGGATGCGTTAAATGTCATCTATCAGCGGCTGATTAAGTGGTTTACGATACAAATATAGCTCATGGAGATCGGTGGGCGCGGCGTTCATGTAACTAGAAAAATACTATTATTGACTTGTCGGATATCTTTTTAGACGTTAATTTGCCAGCATTCAAATGCCACCCGGATCGTGATAGTCGCGCGACTTGAACCAAACCTCTCTCTAAAATCTCCCCGCTTGCCCTGTTGCTTCCCCTCAAACATTTTTGTTCAAAAGTATCAAAGTTCATCGGAAACACGTCAGGAAGCGAAATAAAAGAAAGAAAAAAGAAACCCGCAAGACAAGAAAATAATTGATGCCGCAATAATAGAAAAGGGGAAGAAGAGACATTGACGTAACACAAAAAAGTACAACAGCTTGATACCCTGGCATTGAAAATAGAAATCCCTTTGACCCTGGCAAAATATCATATCCACAACGGAGGGGCCTTTTCAAAACCCCTCCTCCCTTATTCATTTTGTTTACCTCTTATGTTTCTTTTTCGTTTCATTCAGTCTCCAAGAACACCATCATCATCGTCGTTATGTAGCCTCTCAGCATCTTCGTGCTCTTCCTCATCTTCATCATCCTCGATAGGATCATCCAGCAGTCCTCTCCGCCGAAGATCCTCTCTTGAGCCCTCTTCCGGCTCGACATCCTCGAAAACATTATCCTCCTCGTCCTCATCATGGACAATTTCGGCGCTCATGGCAGGCTTCTGCGACTTTTCTGCCGGAGCCGCCTTGGCGGGTTTCTTGTTGCGCTTGGCCATCTTCTCTTCGTCAAGATAGGCGACAACCTCTTTGAAGTTGTGACCAAGCTTGGTCTCATTACGCTGTAGTCGTCGCTTGAGCTTGTTGACATGGTTGCCCTTGGGATCGATCAGGTTTGCTGTAATGGCAAGAACGTATTTGGCAGTCAATTCGCACAGAGCCTTTTCAGCCTTGAGCTCTGCGGCGAGCCGTTCTTCTTTCGACAGGCCTTCATCCTCGTCCTCCTCATCCTCCGACTCTTCGTCATCAACAGGATCTTCGTCCTCAGCCGGTTCGTTTAGTACTGTGTCCTTCTTAGCCTTCTTTGCATATTGCTTCTCAGTGCCGTCAAATATTGATGTTAGCTCAGGGATGAGACTAGACTCCATCTGTTGAAGCAATACTTTGAATCTTTCACTGCCGCCCGATTGAGAGGCGGAACTCGAAGGGCGGAAGTTGCTAATCGCCGGGCGCAGCGTTGCAAAGGTCAGATGCAGGTCACAAAGACTGCCGGTAGCAAAAAGGCGGAGCTGGTCAATGGAAGCTCGAGACGAGAATGTAACTATCAGGTGCTTCCGGTAAGTCTGTCGCAGAACCGACAGGCTATCGAGCTCTTCGTCTGCGATGCCGGCGCCAGAAGATAGCTGCTGGGCCAGGTTTCGTGTCTTCCACATGAAATAGAATTGGCAGGCCTTGATTGCCAACGTGACTACCTCGTCTTCCAAATTGTCAATGTCGTCTTCTTGAGCCTCATATTCTCCTCTGTGAACAATATTGATCAGGATCTGAATTGCCGGAGATGTGGAGTCACCCTTTGAAGGAGCAATCTCGAGTATGTCGACGCAATCTGATATACTAGCCAGCTTGCTGATTTTCATCAAGATAGTTGACAGCTCCTGAAGTGGTGCCTCTTCCAAGTTCCCTCTTGCAGAGAGCTCGCATGTTGTGTCAAAGCTCCGGAGTGAATTGATGACCACCTCCCAGAGAACGGATAGCTTGGCGTCCGTCATTTCCTCAAGCTCTGCATATTGCCGAGAATGCAACAAAGCTGCTGTAGCCTCAGCCAAGACTCTCTTATCGTCATGTCTGTTGAACTGTGTAATAACTTCGTCCAGTAGCTTTTCGTATATACTAGAATCTTGTCGCAATTGTTGGAAAGCATCTAGTTTGAGGTATCGCTCCAGCCGGAGGACAATCGCCGCCGTCTCAGGTTCTGCACCGTATTTGCTCAGTAATTTGGGGATATTGGTGGCCAATTCTAATGCCAGTTCTTCCTGAGCCTCAGCTGCTTCAGTACGGGGGCCACGCTTCTTGCTCTTGTCATGATCGGCGTGTTGCAGCAAACTCGACTTGATAGCGGAGCTCAGAACGTCGAGGAGAATCTTTTCTTCCTGGGAACTGGGTGCAACCGCCTTCTTGAAAGCATCCTCTGACGGGTTACTTTTTGACTTTGATCTTGATTTAGACTTGGTACTTGTTGTGTGGTCATACAGGAGATAGCCAGCCAGAATCTCCCAGGACTTGATTTCTGAGATTCTGTCGTAGAGCACTTGAGATGCCAGCGAAATCCTCGTGTCGGGCATGGCGCTCTCCAGTAGGTCAACGTCTAAATCCAACGATGATCCCTCAGTCTGCTGAGATTCTTCAACCTGCGCATCATAGATTGTGAGGGTTTCGGCCAGGCATTTCAAATTCAGCCAATCTCTTCTTGGGGCTTCGAAATTGTCTTCTTCAGCGAGATCTAGCTCTTCCAGGGCATCGGAGCCACCAATCTCTTCAATCTTGCCTTCAATTACGTCGTCAATACAGGCAACGAAGAAACCGACAACGGCTTTGCGGACCCTGATTTCGCTATCAAAGATGAGTCTTCCGATGGCGTCAATTTCGTTGGGCTCGAGGATGGCAGCCGCTCGCAGCGCGTCAATGGCAGATATAGCAGTAACTCTGACAGACACATCAGCGTCGATCGTTGCCATCTCAATCAGTCGGGGACGAAATCTGTCGATGAAGTGCCCCATCCCGTGCGCATCACGCTTAAACAGTTTGCTAAGATGCTTCAGTACTTCTTGTCTTGTTCCGGCGTTGGTGTCAGACAGCATCCAGCCAAGGTAACGTAGGTAACCGGCTTCTAGAAAGACTGTCGGCAGGTTCCAAATCCAGCCTCCGAGAGCATCAACGCATTCCACCCGGATCTTTGGGTCAACATCGCGATATCGGTGGACGAAGACGGTGTCGAAGAATGACTGAATAGCATCGTTACATATCTTCCTATAGTTGTTGGCTTCGGACAAGCTACGTTGGATTTCGTCCGCCTTGCTCTTATTTTTGCCTCGCTTCGAAGCCTGCGACTGTTGTTCAATGTTGGCAATACGTTTGTCGAGGATACTAGCGACCTCGACAAGTCCAGATTGCACAGCCAAAGCAATGGTCGTTGCTGTGTGGCGGAAAGGACGCAGCGGCGAGGAAGACATGCTGGCCAACCAAGCATGGAGATTGTCAACAAGGTCTACATCCTTGTACATGACATCAGTCTCGTGTAGAAGACAAATCAGAGCCTGGAAGAATGTAATGAGCAGATCTCGGAAGGATCGTGTGGCCTTGGCCTTGGCAACCAAGGGATAATCGACGATTTGTTGCTGTATAGCCCATTAGCCGCTTTATTTTTTACTTTACTTCATTTTCCACAAGGAGCTGAAGAATATCAAGCCACTAATCTTCATGGACGCACCTCTTGGTAAACACTCTGCAGATCCAGCAGGCGGTTCGGGATATTCTCCGGGTCACGAATGTCATCCACTGTTACTTCCAGGTCACAGCCCGCGCACCGCAGAATGCAGTTGATGAGCTCGCCCAGTGCAGCTGCGTCGCTCTCCCTGTATTTTTCGAGCCATTGCTGAGCAACAAACTGGGGAGAATCGCCGGACGCAAAGATATCGGCTGGAAAACAAACATGTCAGTGCCAAAACGACAGGGAGGGGGAGAGAGGGGCAAGCCGTGAAGACGAAATGGAAACATACCAAACAGACCGGTTCCTTTCTCTCCTGGATCTATGCGAACCGTCTTCTTCGGTCGACTAGGGATGCGCGCAACAGTCCCCGATATGGCGGGCCGGGAGCCGTTGATCTTGGGCTTCTTGGTGCTTGGCTTCTTTGCGCGGGTAGTTTGCGCCTTTCGAGGCTTCGGCGCAGGATGGTCCTCATCGCTCTCGGCGTCACTCGCAGCGTCGCTCATGTCCTCATCCGAGGCCACGTCGCCGTTCGCAGCGTCTTCGTCATCGTCCGCCTCATCGTCGTTCCGCTTGCGCTTCGACGCTGGCGCTGTCGGTTCTGGCGCGTATTTGGTGGGAGCTTTGACGACGCGTCCAGATCGACGACGCGCCTCTGGCTCTGGTGACGCGGTGGCGCTGTCCATTGTGTCGAGTCTCGGTGGGTGGTTTGGCTCTATGGCTTCATGCGCATGCTCAAATGCCAGACCGGGGCAGCAGGTCCGGGCAATTTGCGGCGAGGGAACAAGGTGTAGCGACGAGTCGCGTTCGTTTGTGTCATGCAGCGATGCTCTGGCCTGGCCATTTGATTTGATTTTGGAGGTGGGCAGAGCCGCCCACTTTAGCTCCGGTTGAACATCGGCAGAATCATTTTCCGTGTCGATGTGCGGAGAGAAGCTTGGCGGCCATAATGGTCTAGTCCTAGCTAAGTAGTAAAGATGGGAGGGTGCTAAACTTTATCAAGCTGGCATCAAACAGCTTCCCTTGGTTTGAGTGATAAAATCCCCAGATAGGTAATCAGATTCATAATAGAATCAGCGATAGTATATGCTGTTTATCGGCGCTGCATGCCCCGATGTTACAATATATGGCCATTACTGCCTTGGGCACGAGGCTTCCATTCTTTCCATTACAAAAGCCCTCAAGCTCGGATAGAAGCCAAATCTTAGAGTTGATGGGCGCTAATACAGTAAGAACTCTCACAACCCCCCATCTCTTAGTTACGGGCAAAGATAAGCAGCCAAATATCATCGCTTATACGTACTCATGCTATTATAGCCCCCGTGACCTGTTAAATCTGTCAATGAGCCAGAGAATGCATCTGTAGCATCTTCATTCTGATTCTACTCCTTACAAGCAATGATCGGGCTATCATGACATCGCCGTTCCCCAAGTCAACTTCTCGCCCCGGTGATGGCCGCATCATCGTGAGACTCCTCCCAGCCGGGGGCAGCGGGCTTGAGACCATCAGCTACCAATACCCTCTGAAATTGATCTCGCCCTCTCCCACAGTGGCCCAGAAAAGCGCCTTGGTCTTTCTCCTATCCTACGGAGGTGGCCTGGTTGGCGGCGACGGCGTCAATCTCACTATCCGTGTCCATCGCGGATCAAGTCTCAGCCTAGTCACCCAGGGCCACACCAAGGTATTCAAGTCCTCCTCGCCAGACATTGTCACGAGCCAGAGGCTTCAAGTGCAAATCGATGAAGATGCTGCAGTCTGTCTCTTGCCGGACCCTGTCCAGCCATTTGAGGACAGCGTGTACGAGCAGACTCAAGTCTTCAACTTGGGCAATCGGGCATCACTCTGCCTCTTAGACTGGGTGACCCAAGGAAGGGTAGCACGCGGAGAGAATTGGAGCTTCACGAGTTGGAAAGGGCGCAATGAAGTTTGGACACAAGGGTCCGACCCGTTACAAAAGGAGAGGTTGCTCATCAGGGACAACGTCATCCTAAGCCAAGATGGAAGCAAGCAGGTTGGTTTGCCGCTCAAGGACACAATGCATAAAACGAGTGTATTGGGCACACTTATTCTTCGAGGACCAGTCATGGCACCCATTGGAGACTTCTTCATGAGAGAATTCGGTGCTCTTCCACGGATAGGATCTCGCGACTTTCGCTCAAAGGAGGATAAAGAGAGGGACTCGAAGGAAAAGCCAGAGTTTGAGCAGTGGCGGTTACGGAGAATCGACATGGAAAAGCAGCAGGGCGTCCTCTGGTCTGCGGCTCAGGTTCGAGGGTGTGTCATTGTCAAGTTTGGGGCTGCTACTGTTGAGGCTGGACGGTCATGGATCGGGACAATGTTGGTAAGAGAAGGGAGCATAGCCGCGTATTTTGGGCATTCGGCTCTCATGTGCGTTGAACCTTGATGAATGATTTATAAGTTTAAATAAATGTGTATTATGGTTGTTTACGGGTTATGCTTACATGTACTCCGTACCCTTGCATTTATTAATTTGTATGCTACTCTATCAAGGGAGCCAACTTGTGGAGATGAATCATATCAAGCAGCCCCAAGGCCATAGAGACAATGCCCGTTTTACGTATTAATCACATTGTGACCTCCATTCTAGTCCCTTCGGCTGAACCACCAATCCATCATCGATCTAGTCTACATCTTCATCCAACAAACAGCGTCATCATCCTCACTTACAACAAAATAGCGGCGTCAGCCCGTAGTGGAACTTCGCAGCTACTATACAGTGCCCGCTAATCCGGATACAGGGGCCTTCTGTATGTAATCGTGCATAGTCCGTAGTACATCTGATATTTCGTCGTCCCCCACCAGGCCAGTTATAGCACTAAAAAGCGCCCCGCCAAAACTTTGAATTTTCTAGACAAGCTGCCGGCTTCCATCATCTGCAACTCAATTCAATGACCTCGATTGACTCATCATCACATACACAACATGGTTCGCGGCAGAACTACCGGTAGAGGCGCGGGGAGAGGCAGTGCCGCTGCCTCGTCAAGATCTCAGACTGAGGGCGCCGACGATTCAAATCAGCAGTCCTTCACAGGCAGCGCAGCGCCAACTGCCAACATGGGATTGGCAGAGTCAAGCACCGATCAGGGCGCTTCATCACAGCCAGCAGCCTCGACGGTCCGGAGAGGTGCTGCATCCACACGAGCGTCACGCGCAGCAGCTTCGACCGGCAGATTCAGACCCAAGAACATTCGACGAGATGAGTCAGAGCGAGACGCGCTGGCCCAGCAGGAACAGCAGAAGGCGAGCGACAGGGCCGCAGACGAGAGGCGCGCCAGGGGCCGGTCACGGTTCCGCAGCAAAAGGAGTCGTGGTGATGCCATGGGAAGCAGAGGAGGCGGCTTTGGCCGGCCAGTAGCCGGAGCCAGCGGGCCCTTTTCATCAGGAATGGGAGGTCCAGGTATGTCAATTCGGGCTGTCTATGAGCCGAATTCGTCCATGATGCTAACATGAGATTGAAAATTTGACAGGCGGCGCAGCTGGTGGAGGTTGGTTTGGAGCTGGCGGCGGTGGTGGCGGAGGCAGTTTCGCAAGAACTGGTAAATTCGAAGCCAAGCCTGGCTCAGGGTTCGGGTTTGCCAGCGAGGGCCGCTTCCGAGAGACGAGAATCAATGCCGACAAACTTCACACGATGGCGCATGACGATGACCTGGACAGCGAAGACGAAGCCATGCTGGCTGCACTCCATTCTCGGTCAGGAAGTGTCATGCCTATGGGTATACTCCGACGAGAACACAAAGAGGCGCCAGTGGTTGTTGCTACGACTGCGGAACTAGAGGCAGCGGAAAAGGCGTTAGCCGAAGAAGAAAGCCTTTGGGTTGATGGCGAAGCGCCTGAATCATTACCACCGGCCGACCAACCCGAAGAGGGCGATTGGAATACGAGTGCCAAAAGGGCCGTTAAAGTCAAAAAGGAGCCGACAGATGATACCATGGACTTGGATGTTGACGTCAAGCCTACTACAGATGAGGGTAAACTGCCTGTAGCCAAGATGAAGGCCAAGAAGGCAGCTGCTCAAGATCCCGAGGAGAATATGATTCGCACGGACTTGAGTCTTCTGGCTAGCGAACTCGGCGCAATCACAATCAACGGAGATGGCGAAGAGAAAGGCGACGAGGCTGGTAACAAAGACGGCCGACTATATCTATTTCAATTTCCCCCACTACTTCCTCCCCTCAAGCAGGTTGCCGCCCCCCAGCCTCGCATTAAAGTCAAGGAAGAGGAGCAACATTCTACCAGCTTGCACGCGACCCCCTTAAGCGCATCATCTACCGCTACGCCTGTTGACCTCACACAGCAGGGCGAGGACGAGGACGAAGAGTCAGATGACGAGGACGAAGAACAAGAGCGCAGAAACGGTTTCCGGTCCCAGGCACTCTCCAACGGCGGCCTCATCGGCCGGCTCAACGTCCGAAAGTCCGGCAAGGTAGAGCTGGACTGGGGAGGCCGCATCCTGGAGATGAGCCCCGCTGCAGGCATGAACTTCCTCACGACAGCCGTCATCGTTGAGGAGTCGGATGAAAAACCGCAAAACGGCGTCACAACGGGCGAGAGCATCGGCATGGGCAAGATTATGGGCCGGTTTGTGCTCGCACCGATATGGAACGAGGAAGAGGACTGGGAGGTTGCGCCAGAGGAGCTCGATATTGGGGCCATGAGTCAATGAAGCAATAAATGAATGAATAAACTTAATGAACAATGAAGATGATGGCAGATGATCATGGAAGTGAGTCCCGTTTTGGTCACGTAATTTTACGATTTTATGGAAACTTGATTTTAAGCGGCACAGGCTTCAAGAGCCGGCTCCACGGAAGGTCATATCAAGCCCTCGGATCAGATACTAGAGTCATGAGGGAGGCAGGTAAGATCAGATCAGATCAGATCGCGCCTTTCGTCGATTTATGCTTTCTCTCCCTTATAGTTCTGTTTATTCCCTGGCTTCTCCTTTTTCTTGCCACTACTTTCACATCCATCCGTTCTCTCTCTATCGTATTCGTCTTGTATCCTTCTTCTTAGAAATACCAATTTTTCTTAGACACAAAGAGCGAAAGTCCGGCAAACGTTGTGGACATCATGACGAACCCACGACCTGAGCAGCACCAGTTTAAGGATACGGGTGCAACTAGCACAAATCCAAGATCCAACACGGATGTATATACGCCAAATTCAATATTCCGCATGGATTTGACAGCACTTGAACAACGAGTCTCTCGTCTTGAGCCGACGGCGGCTTTCCAAGATCATGTAATCCATGCTGTTGGTCAACTGGACACAATTGTCAACGGTTTCGACGAGCGTCTAGTCACAATTGAGAATTGCTATGAAGCTCATGCAAACATCGAGAATGCCCTAGACGCCTTCAGGCAGCATCTCGAGCGGTTTGATGCTCTCAGTAAGGCTGTTGAGAATCAATTGGATATGTTTAACAGACGGCTTGATCGTCTCGAAACTCTCAGTGGTGCTATTGAGCATCAACAAGATGTGTCCAACCGACGGCTTGAGCATCTCGAAGCCCAAAATGATGTCAATCCGCTGCGAACTTTGATGGCTACACTGGCATCTCAATTATGGCAGACCAACCAACAACTTGAGGAGTTTGAGGCTCGTATGGTTGAACAGAATGAGCATTCGGCACAGATGTTGAAGGCTACAAGGGCTGCAGTTGATTTAACTAAGGCTCCTTCATCTGGGCTTATTCCTCTTGGGGCCCTTCCATTCGGGACTACTCCTCTTGGGGCTACTCGTCATAGGACTGTTTCTCTTGGGGCTGCTCCTCTTGGAACTGCTCCTCTTGGGACTACTTCAGCCGCGAATTCCCATTTAATGCACAACGGCAATAGCGCTATCCAGCCGGTTACGAACGAAGGCACTAATAGTCAGATAGAGACACCTCAACCTCTTGACCCTGTGCCGAGTGATTCTCGTCATCCGACGGGTGATGAAGGCGGTATTACGTTTGTGTACCATGGCCCATCAGAAAGAGACGTAATTGATGCTGACGTACTTCAGGTTTAAGCAGTTACAGCCCCTACAAGAATTAACTCTGGAGATGTTTGTCCACCCTTCTTTTTTTCCTTTACGTACCTTACTACCCGGTTAAAATGCTAATGTCTTTCAGATTCCAACAATCCACACTCTCTGAACCCCCAGGCGTGGTGCATCCCCAACCCCGTCCAACAACCACAGACCACTCCCCAAGTCTCCGACTCCATCAAGGAGACACAAATGGTCACGAAAATCAAGCCCAGCAAACACAGCCAGCTCAACCCATGACTTACAGCCAAGCTCTACGCGGAAGTGGAGTCGCAGACGTTCATCCAGGTCAAGCTCAGCCCGCGCAACGAACTCAGGCTTCAGGCCAAACGTAGCCTCCGGTTCGAGCCCGAAGTGTGTAAATCGAGAGGTAAGCAAATCCATCGGTCGACTCCAGAACTGAGCTTGATATACCGCCATTTCATCGTACCGTCGAAGCCATCTCACGACTAGCCGCATTCTTCCCCTCCATCACACTAAATGATCAAGTACTAATCCGCATCCATGCTTGCCCAGAGATGATGACGCCCGCTCTCTCTCTTGATCCCTGCAGCTTGATTAGATACGCCTTGCCGTCCGAGAGAAACTCCGCTCGCAGACTCGTTCTTCAGGTGAACCGCTGCCCTAGGACTACGATTGGGACTTGGCGCACTAGTCAGACGCAGGAACGGGCGGGAAACAATCAATAGTTTGTCGATGGGAAAAGCGATTTCTGAGGAGAGAATTTGGCACCCCTGCTAGCGGATTACAAGCTCGACTTTTGTTGCCTGGAGAAGGCAGACAAAATAATGTGGCAGCGGAACTAGACCGATACGGCGATGATTTTGTTTTTCTACTTAAAGGGATTCTTCAACTGAGTATGCAGAGTTACATTCACTCGGTACGAATAGCGAACCGTGTTTTTTCTATTCTAACATCTTGAATATTCTATGTCCACCTTGTGTCCCACTATATCCTCCTGTGTCGATTTCAGCTCCCCCATCTGTTCTCCATCTACTTATACAAAGGTGGAATCCTCACTTTCCATGGAGTAACAGATACCTGCACATGATTCATGGCACCGCATTCAAGATCTTAATTCTCCGTGTCTCTCGTTATTTTGTCCATGATGGAATCCTAAGCCCCCTCTCTCCCGTCGCAAATAAACAAGGCCGGCGATTGGTCCTCTTCCCCCTCCCCAGCCGTCGTAACTTGTATGGTTTCACGACCTAGGACTGATACAGCCCGGCTCTACGCCATTTATAGTAAAGACAACAGTGAGAATTACGGCGCGTGTACCAAGTATACGCGGGCATCTTTTGCAGTGTCTCTTCCAGATCTTGTGTCCGTGTGCATTTACTTGTTTTATTTTCAGGCTCAGCTCTATGGGCTTTATTGCCTCACTGCAAAACGCAAACGTACGAGGGAAAACAAGATCCCGAGTTTCACTCCTCCTCCTCTCCCCCCCTTCTTCTCAGCCACCCCCCATGTCCCAACAGCAGGAAATATGCATGCACGCATGCAGGTACGGAAACATCATGTAACAATCCTTTGCAGGAATCCGTATACGCACAAAGTGCCTACCAAAATCATGCTATGTCTCCCCCCCCCCCCCCCCCTTTCCCTCGTTCCATATTACCCTTGCGGTGTTTTTTTCTGGTTCCCAAAATACTACTAAGGCATTCCCGTTCTACATACTCGTACGAAAAAAAAAAAGCAACTTGTAAGCAAATAGCGTTAGTTAGCCGAACCCGGTTTGCCCATCCAATATAATCCATGCCAATGCCATGTTTTTTTCCCTGTATCCACCCTGTGATTTTATCCGCTCGCCCAGAAGTGAGGCTGTCGTGTACTGTAACTTCGCCTTGGGGTCCTGGCCCATCTAATGCGGCTAAAATAGTGCGAATCTGACCCGTAACTGAAACATGACCCAACAAATGTGTTGAAGAAAAAAAAAGAAGATGGTGAGAAAGATGAGAAAAGAAAAAATAATAACAATGAAATAACGCTGAGGCAAGGAAACCTAGCGTCCCCTCTTGCCGGAGCCGTATTCAAAGTACCCGTTTTCCTGGCTCTGGGCTTCAAGGTTGTGGATGTCGTCGAATGAGGAGGAATTGGTATTGGCGTGTGATGTCGCTGTGTTGACACTGCGCGACGGGGAATATTCCTTGCCGTCGTCGGCACGGCTCCCCTGCTGCTGAGTATCCAGTCGAGCTGGCGTCCCCCTGCTGGTGTGAGACTGGTCAAAGGTCAAGCCAATGGTCGTCTTTGTCGAAGGGTCTGGTGCTGCTGTATCGTAGCTGGGTTCGACGCGCTTTAGAGAAACATCATTGGGTCCAAAGGCTTGGCCGATGGTGGCCATGTTTCCATCATCAGCAGTGTGTCTCGCGTAGCCAGAGGGGGCGCTGCGCGTGCGTCCTGTTGATTCGAAGCCATGAATCTTCATGGCGCGTAAGAGAGGCCGGATCGTGGCAAGGCTGGAAGCAACAATGGCTACTCCGGGTTCAATTATGGTCCATATCATTACATCTGTTGCCGAGACTATATAGCGAACGATACATTAGATCCATTGACGGAAAGGGTACAGTTGAGATGGGACATACATAGCAAATCATTGGTGTCTTGAAGCGAGCCCAAGAACTTGATTCTGATGAGAGTGGCAATGCTAGCGCTATTTCAACCCTCCAATTAGCATCTTGGAATAATTCATCGTATAAAAAGGGGGGACTCATACAAGATTCCAAGGCCAAGGATGAGAATGACAGTTCCTTTGGCCTGGCTCGTCATCTTGACCGACCACAGCATAGGTATCGGAAGGAGTGCCTAAACGAGTAACAAAAGTAAGCTCCAGCTCATCTCCATAGTCAAGGCAATGGTCTCTCACATATAGCCAGTCAGATGCAATTGTCATGACGCTGATAGCGTACGCAGCAGCAATAATGTCGTCGGGCGATGCGCACTTTCCTCCCTGAATCCGAAAATCCCACTGTTTCTGGACAGGGTTGCACTGAAAGATGTCGAAAAAGAAGATGACGAGGCTCCATATGCCGATGATGACCAGGCTGACGCATATGATCCAATTGTAGACTTTTCGGGCAGAAACGCGCAGGAGAAAGATGCCGATGCTCATCTTGATGAACATCATGTTGATGATATATGTGACGGTGGCCAATGATTGCCACTATGAAACAGAATCAGAACTTATCCCGTCAAGTATATTTGGCGGGAAGAACCTTACCATCAGAGCCGAGACTTTTTTTTCATCATCAGTAATGGCAGCATTATGTCTTCCCATTCCATCTTGCACACCAGCAAAAACGAAGGCGCAGGAGAGGGTGAAGATGACCTATACGAGTCTTTAGTTTACATTCCCCAATGATCAAGGATAAGCAAGTGCCAGCTGTACGAACCTGAGCCAAGAGCATGAGCCAGTCATCCTCTTGGACACTCTTAATCACCACTGCCCTCGTGTATGTCCTCAGCCCCACGGCCAGCCATGTCAAGCTGAGGAATGCTATACACGTGCCCACCATAGGACCGCCATTGTATTCATTCAAGTTGAGATTATCATCGGCCATGACGATCCGACGTCCCAACCTTTTCGATAAAGACTGTTGACGACGGGCATAGCAACACGACGGCTGCAAAAGGAGAAGGGTAATGGAAGGGGAGTAGAAGAACTACAAGCACTAGGATGACACGAGGTTTTAGAACAGCATGAATGGAGCAGAGAGGGATATAAAGCGAGGCGGCAGCGCAGCCGAGAGTACCAGCAGTGCCACGGGCAGGGGAGACAAGGGAAGCAACAAGCACAAGCGAACTAGCGACGGTGACGAAGCAGCGGGTGCTATATCTACAACCGGCAACAAACTAGGGGCGCCGTGAATTTGCTGGAGCGACAAGACGAGTCACAGACAGATCGACAACCGGGATATCAAACTCACGGGCCCCGTCCAGATGGGGATAACAGAACCGGAGCCCTCACTCCCAGGTGGATGTTTGGATCTCATACCCGCATCTTCCACTTCCCACTCTCTAGTTTGCAAGGCACGGAGTTGCTTTGAATTCATGCACATGGGCCGGGTCGGCGAACTGGAGCAAACGCGTAACAACGGGGAATGGCTTCCCTCTGCTCATATCACCCAAGTGGGCCCTTGAGCCATGCCGCGACATGAGTGGCACGACGGCCCGCATCCACCGTTGAAGGATTCCAATGTAGAAACGCCTGTTGGTGGTTAATAGGCAAATGTGAGTGTGATATCGGCATGGGGGCCGCAGCGCCGTGGCCCATTCAAGTCGACGTGCAGCGAATGTGACCCGCAGCGAATGTCCCCCTGCCAAGGTTGCATTCGAGAACTTGCGTCTATCGGATCTCGAAGAACCAAATCGCCTACCGTGAGAAAACCCCATGCTTCGGGAGGGGGGAAACAACGGGGCCGAGCGATAGTGAGTGTTACCGATGGCAGAGAGACAAGCCATGCTGTCAGACAAGGGCAGATTTCATGCGAATCGTCGAAGCAGCAAGCGTCTCAACGACGTGCTACGAGTACATGATCCGGCGTTTGACGGTGAAAAGTAGCAATTCCGTGGGGGAAAGAGGGAAAAAAAGACTCGCAAAGCTGACCAACGCGAATGACATTCTTTCTGGCCATCAGCACCAAGTGCGTTCTAACATTGTCACAGCCCGGTTGTGGCGTCCAATGGTCCAACAGACCCTTGCCGATTGCAAGCAGCTCATCACAGCACGATATCTCCGGGCCCTGCTTGGGTCTTTTTGGCTTGTTTGCGACGGCGATGATTCGATTTTCTCGTCGTCCCCTGTACGTGGGAGCCAAATAAACCAACCAACAGAGACGCAAAAGGTCCCTCGCCAACTGCAGCCGTTTTCGGGCTCGGCTTCCCTTTGGGCACTTCATCTGGACGAGCGACGCTGGTTGGTCGGAATCTGGCGCCGGGTGCATGAGATGGTGGTGCCGAAAACGAGCGAATAGAAGCGCGGAATTGGACGAAGCGAGTGATTTCTAATCCGTTGAGCGGCGCATCAGAGTCAAAAGTAGGTCAAGCAGAGGCGAAGAGAGACCGGAGAGTGGTTTACCGGAAAGAAGACGATGAGCGCATAGACATGCCAAATATGGCCGTTGTGTCGCTCATCTCTCGTCTTTGGCTTCTTTCCTCTCCTCTCCTCTTCCCCCGTGACCATTCTCTTCTGCGCTTCAGCACAGACACAGAAATCTGACTGGCTAAACCGCCAAGCAGCAGTCACAGAGCAATCACAGAGTATCACCGTCCCGCTTGACAATCGGAGAATTTCCGCTTCAAGCTGGGCAACCAAGACGCTTGTCCCCCAGGCGGGCTAAAATCGGTAGCACGGAGTAATACAGAGTGGATAAACAGCGTAGCCATTTGAGGGGAAAATTGGATCAAGGAGAAATAAAAGTCTTGCTGTGTGACGCCGAGGGCTGAACTGAGACATGGAACGGCACTGAATCACGTTCTTCACGGCCCGGCGGGTGCTTGAGGACGGAGAAATCACAATGTTGCTGGTGTAATGGTGACACTTGTGGTGGCAGATTGCAGGAGATTGTCGCAGATACTCATGCAGATGCAGATATCACGTTGCACAAGACTAGAAGGACATGTCACGAGATATAATAATACAGATTGGACTACGGAGTAATACTCCGCAGATTGCTCCAGATCAACAACACACCACCATGCCGGTCTAGCACCATCAAGTCACGTCACTTCCATGCGCCATCTTTGATCTTCAACTTGCTTTCTACGTTGTCTGCTAAACCTAGGAGTTATATACGTAATCTTAGTCTACTATATACCGTCTCCCTCTCTAACGTCTTCAGCGCCATCCTAAAAAAAAAAAAAAGACTCGGCAGCGCCAAATCCTTTTTTCTGTCTACCGTAGGACCAACAAACCCGATTCCCCAAAATATATATCAAAGGCATGTGTTGAACGGTCCACCCATAAATTCACAATCATAAGTACGAGACGCCTTATATACCCTGACTGAATACAAAAAGGAAAAAAAGAGAAACAAGAAAAACATATTAATGCCCCAATGCCCCTGTAAATGAAACAAGAAGTAGAAAGAAAAATATGTATGGTGGGAAAAAGAACGTTTTAACAACGCCGCAGATGTCGATATCTGCCAGCATGTCATGATGCAGTAAACAAAAAAACTTAAAGGACAAAGAAAACTTTTCAAAAGTCTTTTCGTCCTCGGTTCGCAGTTCAAAGATGGCTGTATCACTCGGATGGGTTGTAGTGCCAGCGCAAGCTGTTCTCCTCAACCCACCATCGCGCGACAAACGCAGCTTGCTCTGCCCATTGGGCTGCCTCACTTGACCTCTCCTGTTCGATTTTGTGCAGAAAGTCGGCAAAGTCAAAAGCAACGAGATGCTTCTCTTCATGGGGCTCTGTATCCAAGTCGGTGAAGCGCCACTCGGTATTTTCAATGATGGGCACCGTGAGTCTCCAGTGTGGTTCGAGCGAGTCACGAACAGCAACAGTTGCTCGGCCAGGATTCATAACGGTGAATTGCCAGTTGGGTTGGTGCGTCCTTTCGTTGTAGTCGATGAGCGACCGCAGCATTGACTGTCCCTCATAGTTGTCAATCATATCTTTTGCAATCTCAGTCTGCGATGGAGAAAGCGAACCAGTTTCCAGTAGTAAATCGAGAAGCGTGGGCAGGATCTGGTATGAAACGACTGCCTCGTCGATGTCGATGGCAGGCAGCTGAGGGTGCGAAAAGACCAGCGGGACGTGGAAGTTGCCAATGTTTGCGTTGTAGTACGGCGTGATGCCGTCATTTTCCGGGACCGAGAGGCCGTGATCTCCAACAAAGATAACCAGAGTTTCATCAGCCACGCCTTGCTCATCCAGAACATCCAGGATCTTTTGGAGCCATCCATCGACGAATCCAATGGCGTTGAGGTATTTTGATACATTGTCCAGCTTGGTGGTGTCCTCGCTGGTGATGGGAACATGGTCCACATCTTCCGGGAGGCCAAAAGGATGGTGCGTGGTGCTGGTCAAGTGCGTCAAAAAGACTCGCTCGTTGTTCTCCTTGGCCGTCTTGAATGCATCGCGGATATAATCCTCGATGACGTATTCAGGCATTCCGTAGTAGTTGATATCCTCAACATCCACCGGCCCAAACTTGGCGTCATCACTCTTGAGGTATTCCTTTGAAACGGTATTGTTTACCGGGAAACCAAGTTGGGTCATGAGCGTATCCTGTTTGTCAAATCCATTCGTCACTGACATCATAAAGGAGCTCTTCCACTTGTGAGTAGTGAAGTCGTCCTTGTCGGCGTCCTTGGAAGAGTTGCCCAGGCCGAGGTTCATGGCGTCAAAGATGTGAGGCAAGCAGGGTTGGTAAATGTGATGCGTGACTTCGGCGTTGAAATCGGCGACGAGCGGCGACAGTCCGCAGAGCGTGCCAGTAAGACTCTTGAGTGTGTAGCTGGCCGTTGTGTGGCAGTTGTTGGCGTTGAGACCACCCCGTCGTTTCTTCTCCTTGTGCTGAAAGCCATCCTCGTAATCTCCCGTCAGGAAGTTGGCGGTGGGGGTGAGCGTGGATATTTTCTTCTCAGCCGTCTTCGGGAGTGTGCCGTTCTCGAACGATTCTACCGCAAGTTGATAGAACAAGCCATCCTTCTTGACAGGGAAGGCGTCTTTTCTCGTGCTTTCGAGCTTGATGAGCACAACGTTCTTGATGGTGATGTTTGCCAGCCTGTCGCGAAGCTCGGGGAGGACATCGTTTTTAAGGTTGGATATTTTCAGGGGGTCCTGGGAAGCACGATAGTGCGTCTGCTCCTGCTCATACCAATCCTCAAACCCTGGGAGGGGGTCCTTTGGCAGCCACTCCCATCGAATCGGCTCGACCAGCGCGGTACGGTTATCCCAGTTCCAGCCAATGCTGTTGTCGTAGACGGGGGTGAGCGCAGCTAGAATGGGCGATGAGTGAGCAAAATCCGCAAAAGGCAGTAGCGGCAAGGTCCACGACATGTAGGTGTAGGAACCTTCATCCGGCCGGACAATGTACAGCAAGACTTGAAGGAACAATGTGAAGCCGACGAGAACATAGAGAGCAGTGGTCCATTTCGATTTCCGACGCATATCGGAGACAACGCTAGAGCCGCTGGAGCCACTGGAGCCGCTGGAGTCGACCTCATCGTCCTCTTTGCCCATGAGCTCAGATCCGCCCTCAACGTCCTGCTGCGGAATGTGAGCGTATCTGACATTTGCCGCAGGGCGAATGCGGTAGGGGATCTTGCTGTATACAAAGACAAAGGGCCACTTGAGCAGGTCCAAGGCAAGGCCAGCCAAGTAGTAGAAGATGTCCTGAGTCACCCAGCTAATGGCCAGGATGATAGCCAACACAATCAGGCACGTAAACAGTCCAGTAACTGCCAGTTTCCAGGAAGAGGCGTTGCTAGCCAAGCCAGCATTGCGCCAATGAGGCTCAGAGCCTGCGACGACAAAAAATGAGTTGTTGATGGCCGCCAGGACCAGCACAATCATGACGAGAAGCGAGGCCAGCGTCGTGAGAATGATGCGCAGCCACCGCCATGGGTAGATTTCCGTATCGAGCAGCAGCCGTATTAATATTAAGAAGATGGTATCTTGTGTGAAGAATGTCATGCCCCAATTCCTTATCGCGGAGAAGGCAAGCGCCGTGAGATGGGCGTATATGTGGACCAGCTTGCTGCTGGTGAGGGCGACGACGCATATGGCAAAGAGGAACTCTCGGGATACGAATCGAGCCGCGAAGGCATACAGAACCCGGAGAACAGGTCCCGCAACGCGAGAAACGGTCGAGGCAGCGGAATGTAACTGTCGCCGCGTCGGGCTGGAGAGGCGGATGCCAGACGCCATGCCGCTGGCGAAGCGGCGCGTCGATTCCATCGCGAAAAGCCTGAAAAGAAAACGATGATGGGGTCGAGTCGGGGTCGAAGTCGTTCGATGGGAGTTGAGGTCGAAGTCGAGGTCGAGGTCGAGGCCGAGGTCGAAATAGAAAAAGGGCTGAGAGGGCGAAGGCGAAAAACGAGAGGCTCACAGGGCTAGCACCAAGTGACGCTTCTCATAGCCAACGCGCCGCTGTTGAAGCGGGATACAGAGGTTATCGTCTCTCTTTCTTCAGGTTCTCGTCGTGCTTTCCCCCTTGTTGACGGGCTCACGAGACTGTCTTCTGCCGCAGTATCGCAGCTACGCCACGGAGAAACGCAAAAATAAAGAAGGAAAATAAAAAAATAAAAACGAAAGAAAGAAACCGAGGCTGAGGGCAGTGAGAGAGACAGTGATCGCGTGCGCAAAACTAAAGCAGAGACCAACAATGGGAATGTACAATCAGGAGTGGATGTGGCAGTTGGGCAAACAAAAGTTCTCCTCGATTTTCTCGCCCGAGTCGAGTCGCTACTCCGTCCCCCGTCCGTCCCTGTACCTGTACCTGTACCGGTACCAGCACTTTCCAGTCAGTGTCGCGTGCCTGTAATACCATTAGAGCAAAACGCCCCACCAATGGCTTCCCGAGATTGTTGCGCTGTGCCTGTTTATGTCTCGGTGACCTGGTACTAGCAGTGTTCTAGGCGCTATTTGCAGGTACCGCTACTTTACGCACCTGCTGGAATTGGGGTCCAGCAGCCCCTTATTTGTACAGCTAACCCATCTCGCACTGTCCCAAACGGGTCGTCATGCATCAAGTACCGGGTACATGTACTCCGTGCGCGCCATCTCCTCGTTTCAACGTCCATGCGTTGCCGGAAAGAGGGTAGGCGGCGATGATGAGTTAGTCTACAAGAGGAAACGCAAAGTGAATATCGCGAGCCAGCTTGGGATGGCTGGAGGGGTCGCCTGTGGTGTGGTTCGTATTGGAGATGCATGTTTGGTTCGAGTCTACGCCGCATTTGCTGCCAAGGTCGTGAGACGGACGGATGCTGAGGCCTCATGATGGGATGCAAGTCTGCATCACAGACAAGCTGCATGAGTGAATGACATGGGCTCTAATGCGGCGTCCAATTGCAGCTGGGGGGGGTTGTAAACAGTAATCCCCGCGGGGGCTATAATCAGATACCGCGGCGACAACCAGCAGATACTTGACACCAGCATAGCCCAAATGTCTCGTATTAATTATAGAACATATTAGGGTTGGCTTTGAGATCAGCTCAGCGTCGTGCTTATTCTTTCCCGCCAACGTCTTGGCACTCGCCAGCAATTGACACTTGCACTCCCGCCATTGTCGTTGGCCAGGCTTATATAGAGTTTGGCAGACTGTTGGAGGTTTAGTCCAGTGAGACAAAACTCAACCGTGGTGGTGGGTCGGGCAAAGACTGAGACAAGCCGTGTTTGTTTCAACTATTGATGTCTTATGGCAGAATCCCAGCTATTGATCGACGTCAAGTGCGGGACGTGAGCCTCACCTTTGATGATGGATGTGCGGTACTTGGTAAGTGCCAGTATCCAGTACAGTACTTCCCTCTCCTCTATACCTGGTCCTTTTGTTACACATGCACGACCCGATAGAAGCAGCAAGATCTCCGTGTAACGACCCAGAAAAGGAAGCAACAGTCTTCACCGACGGAGCGGAGCGCATCGCATCATTGATGCCTCGAAACAGGAACTCTAGTAATACAGAGTAGTAGCATTAGTAATCAATTTATGGACAGCAATTCGGCAGCGGGGGAAGCAACTTTTGAGATGTGATGACATGGATTCCTAGGCCATGGCCATGTGTCTAGTCACATTTTTAGGTCGTTGGCGTCGTGCTGCTGCCTTGCTCGACAGGTATCGACAACACTGGCACGGTGTTAGTGCGTGGCGGGCACTGTCTAGAAAAGCTTAGCCTCGAGCTAATTTGTAAAAACTTATTTCATGGCTGACTCAAGCCTCTTATTTCGCCTCCATTATTTCTCTCCTTTGGATGGACCAGCAACCCACCGCCACCTACTATACTAATCCAATCGAGCCAACAGTGCGATGAGTATTTGAGTGACCTGACAGCGGCCACGCGAGAGGAACGCATGGCAGAAGTCAATTCCGTCTTCAGCCTCTACGATACACCATTGTGATTGACCCTTGGTCTAATCGATAGTTGCCCGTTCTTAGTAATGCATCCTGCAGAGCTAAGTACCTACACAGCCCCCCCTATCCCTGATTCTTCATTTCCCTCTGCTGCATCTGTCACTTTCGCACCTGCCGGATCACTCGCATCAATAATTGGCTTATACTTGTACTACCTGTATTGCATTGCCCACTTGCGATTAGGCTGTTTTGCCAAGCATCACTGCAAGTGGGCCTCGAGATTTGATGCTCGGTCAGCCGCCGCAGGTCTAGTTCGGGGCTATCAATGGATTCCATTGAATTAATTAGTCCCTTCAATGGTGCTCCGTCCCGGGCTGGAAAATACCTACCGACACGGGTCCCGGCACGAGACCAAGTACAGGTACAAGTACATGCCGCCTATAGCCACCGCTAGCCCGGGCCCTTCTCGAAGGCCTCTAGCGACTCGCTACCCCGTACTTTTCATTAATTCGCCGGGCCGTGCAAATGTCTTTCTTTGTCCGCAGCCAAGAGAGATGAAGACGGCATTCAAAGCCGGAGCCCCGTTTTGCCCTTCATCTGCATTGACCTCCTCGCTGCTGGTCCTTGCATCTGCGAGTACTATGTACTACTAGGTATACGTCCTGTAAGTTGTGGCACCGTATCCCAGGTCAAGACAAGACAAATGAATGCCTAATAGAAGAACAAAAAAGGCCTCAATTCTATCCAATTCTCGTATATTCTGTAACTCCGTATCTGCACCCCGCCTCCCCCTCACCAATTTGCGCCGCCGGTGGAATTGCATTCTTCAACTTCCCCCCACAGCAGATCACAGCGACAAGTCACGATGGCGTCGTCTCCAACCATCCCCGGCCTCAAGTATGCCAGTCACCAATACGGCCAGCACCAGCTCCAGCAGGTCGGTGTCTGGCAGTTTGAAGAGCCAGAAGCGGCAGTGTCAACGCCAGCCTATTGGATAATGTACGTTGCCCTGTCATGACTCCCGATGTGGAACAGACCCGGAGCCTAACTCTATCCGTGACAGCTTTATCCATGGAGGTGGGTGGCGAGACCCCAGAAACACCATCAATGACTTTGTGCCGTCCATCAAGCACATGTTGGCGCTGGCCGATCTGCCGAAATCTGCGGTTCGCGGCTTTGCCAGCCTCGACTACCGTCTGTCTCCGCACCCGCAATTTCCCCAGGATCCAGCCTCGACGCCGGCAAATGAGTTTCGCCAGGCCCAGCATCCGGAGCATGCCCAAGACGTCTTGTCTGCGTTGAGGTTCCTTGATGCCGAATATGCCATTGGAAGCAACTACGTTCTCATCGGCCACTCAGCCGGCGGCACGCTTGTTCACCAGGTCATTATGAACAACGACGCATCCTGTGCCTGGGGTCCGGCCGCGCCTTTGCCAGCAGCCCTCATCAGCATATCTGGCATACACGACTTGAGAGGCCTTGCAGACAGGCACGGCGGTGTTTACGACTCATTCATCTCCGATGCCTTTGGTTCAGACAGGCTGGCCTGGGACGCGGCGTCTCCGGCAAAGCTTCCTGGAAGCTACAAGAGCCTGTGCCCCAGTGAACCTCGGCTGTTCATCTTAGCGACATCTGCAGAGGACACTCTCATCGATGTGGACGAGCTTGACAACATGGAGGCCAAGCTCATTAAGGATGGCATCACGCCAATTGCCATCAGGAACCTCCGCCTTGAGCATGACAACATCTGGGAAGACGGCACACAGGTCGCGGAGCTTGTAGCCAAGGCCGTGGCAGAGCTGCAGCAACGCTGAGCATCATCCAACACGCAGCAAGCGGTAAACACTAGTATTGATTAAAGTCGTCATTCTTACTACCTGAAAACATGCTTCCTTGGTGAACCATGTTCCGATATCGGCACACATACATTTTCGTCACTCGTCATTGTGAATATCCTCCTCTTTTTTCTGAAATCCTTCCCCGCTGTTCTTCCCGTTCCCCCCCTTTTTCTCGTTTCCGATCGAACAATTCTTTCGGCAGCTGACCGACCAGCGCCCTAAATCTTGACCCATAGTCTCCATCCGGTCGCAGATATGCGACATGCTACAAAGATGACTGACGCTGCAGCCATGACAGTTCCTCCCCATATCTGTGCCCAAAAATAATCTCCCCCATTGTGGTCAATAATGGCACCTGCAGTTGGAGCTCCCGCCACCGTTGCCAGTGAGCAGAGCGTTTCTACCATGCCAAATCGAATGCCCATCTTCTGCGGGTCTTTGGTTAAGCTCGTCAGGGACGAGACAAACGTGCCCTGGTTGGCACCGATAGATAAGCCGTAGACAACGCTAAAGACATACATGCCCGTCCGGGTAGTGACTCCGATCCAGGAGTAAATCACTATGCTCACCACGACGGTGGCCGTGACGAATAGATTGATTGGGCCGGTGTATTTGTCTGCCATGTATCCTACAATCGGCCGCGCGGGAATGCCCATGGCATTCGTGATGAGGAGGAGATTGATGGAGTCAACGTTGGAGAAGCCAATGATGTTACGGGCGTAACTGTTAATCTAGGAAAGGGGTTAACGAACGATGTTTTTGTGGTTTTGTATGTTTTTTGGGCATTTTGATTTTTCGCAAGTCACCATCTTGACCTCACAGAAGCGATGAAAGCAAAACAAGACAAAAAGGAACACACGCATCATGACACTGCGCTTACGTACATAGAAGAAGACAAAGTAGAGAGCATAAAAGTATACAAACGCAGCCATGGAGAACAACAGGTACGGCAGCTCCGAGAAGGCGCCAAATTCAAACAGAGGGCCCGACCTGCGAGGCGGCAGTCTGGGCTTGAGCAGGATGTTTGCAATCACGGCCATGGTCAGGGCCAGGAAGCCGGCGCAGCGCACCGCCCAGGGGAATCCGATCTTGGGCGTCAAATACTGGATCGTCGCGGGGAACGTCACGCTACCAACCGAGGTGCCAACCGCCGAGACGGCCAGCGCAAAGGCCCTGTTCTTGTCGAAGTACGAGCTCAGCACGGAAATGGCCGGCATGAAGGCCACGCCCAGGCCGATGCCGATACACACGCCCTGGGCGAGGAAGATTTGCCAGTACGTCGTCGCCAGGCTCGTCATGAAGGTGCCGAAGACGGCCAGGAACGTCCCTACCGCGACCGTCTCGCGCGTGTAGCCGGCGTCGGCGAGGCGGCCGGACACGGCGCAGATGACATAGGTGAAGAAGATTTGCACGGAGCCGATCCATGAGACCTGCGAGGCGGGCAGGCCAAGCGTCTCGACGTAGTAGAGCTGGTAGACGCCAAAGGCTGCGGCGTAGCCCCAGGTCATGGCGTTGATGAGGTGAGTTGCGAGGACCTGGAGCCACGCCTGGAGGCCGCCGTCTGGGGGAGGGCCGTAATCTTTTTCTTCTTCTGCCAGTTCGACATCCTGGGCAGAGTTTAGGCCAGGCGGCGGTTGTGGTGAGTTGTTGTCATTGTTGGAAGTGGTGTTGCCGAGGACACTGGTCTCCTGGACGAAAGGTCCATTGGAGGAGGCATCTTTCTCATCATCTCGTAGCGTCATGATCAATTTAACGAAAGGCGAGAAGATAAAAAACAGGGGTATCCTATTAGTCGACGATTAAACAAAAATAATAAAACAAAATAATAATAATTAATCTTTTCCTATAGCACATCAAACAACAAGAACAAAGCTGCAGAAGCCCTCGAAAGCCATGCTATTCTTTCTTCTTAGCGCAGCTCCCACCGAACAAGAACAAAAAAGAAGGCCCTCTTTCTTCTTCGCCTTGCCTCGTACGGGGACACACTTATATACTCCCGCCGAAGACGCCTTGTGTCGGTTCTTCTTATCAGCTTTCTTTTGCAATTCCATCACTAAGACGCAAGGAACCCCATAATCGCCGGTCCGTTAGTCGGGGAATATACCCCGATATCGCCCCTGGTGCAGACGCCGTTATGTCCCAATAGACTCATCAGCGGCGCAAAAAAAGAGGAAGCCCAGTTTTAAAAATCCAAAAAATAAAGAGTACCAAGTTACATGTAGCAAGGTAGTGGTAATTTAGCTGCCGAGTGAGCAAAGCATGATGGTGCACGCGCACGCCCTAGAGGAAATGTAGAGAGGGGGCAGAAAGTGGATCGCGTCGCGAAGCCGAATCGGCAGCTAGAACCGGAGCATCTTTCACCGAGCCCGGCGGCACGGCATCAGCTGAACCATTGTTTTTTTCATGCAAGGGGTGAGGATTTGTGGGATTTAGCCGGATAATTGACGGTGTTTTTCGAAAGATAACGACATATGATTTGTGAGATTGAGGGATGTCGGAAGGGCGAAGGGCGCGGTGCTTGGGGGCCAGACTTGTGCTTGACAAGAGAAGTCCGACAGAAAGCTTAGAGCTCTCCAAAGCTCCTCGACACAGCAATCCAAGCTGCCAAAAACCAGGCAAAACGAGCCCAAACAAAGTGCAGCCCTCCGCATAAACAAACACCCGAACCAACCCACAAAAAAAAGCCCAGCCTCTAATAGATTGAAAGCTTGCTTTCCAAGCATACTCAAATACAGGGTAACTTGGGCTTTTTGGTTCCTCGTGTCTTTCTTATCCAAGCCCAGCCCCTCCCCCCCGCTCCGATGTCCGGCTTCCCCGGGCCCACATCTTGCCGACCCAGAAATCGGCGCCTGGGAATAATTTTTTTTTCGTTCCTTTTTTCCCTTTTACCAATGGCAAAGCCCCCAATCCTCACCGCTTCCCGTAAGGTAATCTGTACGTAAAAATTGGTGGGTGGAATATTCCAGCCCACTTTGCGGGAGAAGAAGTATTGGAAAGAGAAGAGAAAAAGCAACTTAGCCATATCCATTCCCATAATTTTCTTCTTCTCTGTTCTCATTCGCTCAAATACGTCGCACGCCCTCTTTTTTCCTGTTCTCTCTCGCTGCGGATCATTATCCGTAGGTGCGGTGCGCTTCCGGTGCCTGGAGAAAACAAAGGCACTATCTATTTCGCTGGCGGAGTTTCACGCCCGAACTAGACCTCGACGGTTGGCGAAATGAATGCGACTCATTAATACACTATCCCAGCTCTCTCTTGCCTTTTTTTCCCACCAGTACAACGATGACTACTCGTACTGCATACAATTCATACATTTTTTACTCGTCTTCATCGTCGCTCTTTTGCATCTTTGCATTTCTCGCAAATTCTCCCAAATCAACCCCTCCAATCCGCGGGGTAACGCAATGACGTAAACCCCCCCCCCGACAATGGAACTTGCACACACAAATTGCTCTTTATTGTTTATCTCCTCCTATCACTCGTGATAAGTCACATGATGCCGCACCCACCCGGACCAATCGGCTATTGAACCCCTGGATCCCAAAAGGATCCCCTTGCGCCGGCTTCTGCCGGCCCGTAACGGCGCTAGCCCGTATGGGGAATGGTCCGGAGAGCCAAGTTTGACGACACCTGGAACTATGCTGTGAGAGTTTTATCAAAATAGCGCCGATAGAGATGTTTGTCTGACGGCATTCTGCTTGAGCTGGGCATCGGAATTGTGCTGGCTGGGCGATTGGCGCTTCGCGGCTGCAGGGCGGGATCGAGGCGCTTGGTGCGTCTCATCCTTGCGACGTTGCGCTGAAGCTAACATCGGGCGAAACAGCCTAGCGGCTCGGGATCGCCTGAATCGGGCCAAAACATGCCCTTCGCCCAATCTACCCATCACTCATCACAAACGCAAAAGCGCATCTACTGACATAAAAGGATTTCTTTTTATAAAAACATGTTCCCGTATATTCGAAGCGCGATGGCGCTCCTTTCTCTGCGCTATGCCACTTGTTCCTCCCAGGCAAGCCCTCCCTCCTTCCAGAAAACAGGAACGAGCTGTACCGGAATCTCAAGGAAAACCAGTCAAAGATAAGAAAAAACCCGCAAACTACCGACCACGAATCGCTGAAAAATTCGGCGCAACAGATAGAAAGCTCTGAAAACGGAGAAAAATGAAGAAAGATGATAGCAGAAAAACAATAGAGGAAAAAAAAAAGAGAGCACCTCCTTCCCCGCCACCCGTCCCTTGTCAAGAAACTAGACAGTTGTAATCACACCAAAGACGAGCGCTCCAACCGGCGTTGTTTTTTTTTGCCACCATACCCGACCAAACCTTCTTTACTTTAGACATAGGATGCAAAAAGAAAAACGAAAAACCAGGAAAATAGGGAAAAAAAGAAAAGAAAACAAAAACGGAATGAAGAAAAAAAAAATAGAGAAACATTGGACACGCTTCCCCTCTCTCGTTCCAACCTTCGTTGGCGAGACATTTTTCCAAAGCTCGCCACGGCCGCCTTTTTTGTGTAACACCTCCTCGTTCCTTATCAACGAGTCCCCTCTAGTGATGTAATTTGCACACAAGTTGCAAAATTGGTGCGGTTGTGTGTGTGCCCTACTATTGCTGTTGTTGTAGCTGTCCTCGCTGTGCAGCTTGATGAAGATTCAAGAATAAAAAGCATAAGCGAAAAGAAGCGAGCAGAAACAGAAACGATGATGAAAAAGAGGAGAAAAAAAGAAGAAGGAAACCGAAAACAGATAAATGACACCTGATACACATCCCAAACGCCATTGAAGGAGTGTGTAATGGCCCTGCATTGGCCGTCGTAATTACATCTTCATAATAGCATCAAGTGAGAAAATGAAGATTGCGCCGTAAAAGAATCAAAACAACTTCAAGAGGCTTAAGGCGCCTGCCACCGTGCAGCTCCTTCTCGTCACAAGCGTTCGATCCAGGGGTTGTCGGACGCTTATGAGAGATAGGAGCTGTAGAACCCTGAGCGACCCTGATACACACAAATGCTCCGAGCCGAGAACCAGGGGAGAGAAAAAAAGAGAAGGAGTCTCCTTTCCTTTCTTTGCTTCTTAACTGACACACATCGTACAGAGCCTAGCGCGCGGGAAAACGAAAAAGGCAAACATGCAGATTTGTTCTCTACCGCTTACGCTTCTTGGCCTTGTCGGCGGTCATCGTGTTGGCAGCGATGGGTGCCGCGGGCAGTAAAGCGGGATGCGATGCGATGGTGATCTCTTCCTTCTTTAGCGGCACTCCCATGTGGCGACCATAGCGGCCCTTTCGGCCATTGCCCTCATCTTCGCTGATGCACTGATCTGCCGAGAGGCCGGCATCGCGGCAGCGACCACAAGGTCGTTGGCGGTCACAGCCCTTTTTGCTCTTCCTGCAGCGCTGGCAGCGTGGCTTGGTGGAGAGATCAGGCTGCTCTTCTTCACCAGCTTGGGGGACATGTCCGACAGACACAATTGATTGCTTCCTAGAATGGGTGGTGGAGGCCGCTGGGGAGATTGGTCCGCTGGGGACAATGGGTAGCTTCTTAGTCTTGCTGCTATTGGAAACACGGGGCGCCTTGGTCTTCGAAGAGGCTGGCTTAGGAACGGGGATAGGGGCAGGCTTGCTCTTTACCGTCTTGCTCTGTGCCGGCTTGGCCCGAACGTCGGGACCATCCTCATAGTCGGCGTCATCACCGCTAGCCTCGGCACAGTCAGTGGGCGGCATGAAGTGCGATTCTGTGGTCTGGTAAATCTGCTTGGACATGCCGGACAGATCCAACTTTTGGCGACGGGATGGCGGGAGCCCGGCGTCGCTATCGCTGTCACTGTCGCTGGTTGCGCCAGTGGACGATGCGGCGTCGGCTCGACCGCTGAAGGCGTCCTCCAAAGTCGATGCCGATGTGCGGCCGTGAGAAATGTTGGACATCTCACCCAGCCGCATGAGCTGGATGGCGACATCCTTGTCTTCCTCCGACATGCAGCTTCCGACGGTGGGGTCGGGAGTTGGGAGGATGCCCATGGCATGGGCCATGCTATGGCTGCCATATGAGATGCTGCCCCGACCGCGACGGTCGCTGGAGACAGGGGTCGAGTACATACTCAGCCCATGCCCGCTACCGTAGCTCTGCGGAGAGTGCAGCGGTCGTGGGTGTATAAAAGGGTTCTGGCCAGTCTGGACGTAAGATAGAGATGGCCTGTGATGTTCGATACGTCTGGCTGGAGAGACGGATGGGTTCGAAGTAGCGGCCGGCATTTGAGGCGGTGCGAATAGCGGCAGTTCCTGAGGGCAGGGAAAAAAAAGAAAAAAAAGGTTAGCAAAATCGCGAACAAAGGTTTGTAGTGATGATGCGCTGCGCTTACAGAGCTCTCAAACTTGGCCCTCTTCCGTCGGCCGCCTTCGACAATGTTTTCAACACTAATGTCGGTGGTTCCGAGCTGCTCCTTGGTTCGGGCGGATGTGGTGCTCGGGGCGCCATCACCGCTGCTGTAGCCATTCATGCTCTCGGCGTAGGCATCGGGGTGGTTATGGACGACGTGGCTCTTGGTAGAGCGAGAGCGACCCTTTTTGCCATTGGTGCTGGTTGAGTCGCTTCTGCGTCCCCGCGACACATTGGGCGAAGGACTTCGCCTGCGTGGTGATGTCGAATAGGGCCGGGCCATTTCAGGCCCGAAGCGCTGGGGAAGAGCGTAGCCTTCACCCCCGTAATAAGAATCAGCGCCCATATGAAGACTGCGATAGTGATGTGATTCTAGGGCAGCCATGGAAGCCTCTTCGATGACTCGGACGTAGACAATCATATTGTTGCGGAAATTTTCATATCGCGCAATCAGGGTGTTGCCAAGCTCGTCCTCGAAGCTGACGCCCTTTGATCCGGGAGGACCCGAGTACAAGCCATAAAAGTTCTTGACGGTTGTGACGATCGAGTCCGTGGTATCATGAGGGTAAATCTGGACTCGCATAGGCAAGCGCGCACGGTATTGAGGCGATTCAAGGAACAGCAGCTCAAATGCGACGTTCTTGGGGCTTGGCGCCTGACGGGGCGAGACACTGCCGCCGTTTGAGGACGCCGCCGACATGCCGCCAGAAGTGTTTATGGGGGATAATGAATTCATGTTTTATGCTTTGTCAATCTTTTTGATGGACTTGTGTTATATCGATTCGGATGGAAGAGGAGGGGATGGCGATCGAAGTCCCGTGGAGAGAGTTGGGCTGGGGACGTGAGTGCGGATTTTGCCTGGGTTGGACAGAGCCAGCAGCTTCAGGCAAGAGTATCGCTCGGTAGGAGGACGGGCAATTTCATCACCGGCCGGTAGCCAGGACTCGAGATGGGCTCTTCCGCCTCTAGCTGACGATGAATGATGAGGCAATGTCAAAAGCTCATCACCATCCAGGCTATGCGGTAAGCGCCTGCTTCTTGGGTCAGCTCCTGGCTGGCGCGGCGGCGGATTCGGCGGCGACGAGGACTGGAGAGAGCGGCGGCGCTCTGGGCGAGATCTGGCAGACGATTCAGCGAGGTTAGCCATGGACGCCCACGATGGACTTGGAACAAGGCTGCAAACAAGAGTTGATGAGGATCGCGAAGCCCTCAGTCGGAGCGGATTGGGGGAAAAAAGCTGCTGTGAACGAAGGCGCCGGCAAAGCCAGGACGGGGGGGTGGGATAAGGTGCGTATCCAAGGGATGGGGCGTATTGGGAGGCCAAATTCAGGGCAAAGGCATGATCGCGCACGACGATAGAGTCGATGGAACTCACCAGATGTATCAGGAGTGATTTGCAAAAGCTGTTGCTGGAGGCCAAGTTGGTAGAATGTGTGCATGGGGAAAAGAGGAGCTGCTAGGCGAGGTCGAACGATTTTGTCGCTGCCGGCTGGGCTCACTAACACGCCGTTGCTGTCGCAGTCTCCTGGAAGCGCCTTGTAGCGCCTGTAGCGTGCTGGCTTAGTGGCCTTTGGTCGCTGAAGAAGGTGCTGGCGGCGAGGCCTGGATAGCGCTGTGGGAGCCCTGAAGCAAAAGGTTCGGCGGGCTGTAGCACCGGATGAGTGCGTCGACGCCCCAAGCGCCATTGCCCCAGGCGCATTCAAAAGTGGTCTCTTGTCTTCTTCTCTTTGCGCCCGCCGCAATTTGGAGCCTTTTCTCTCCCAAGCATATACTTTGATTTGATTATTTAGCATTGGTCTAACTGCTACTAAATGGCGCTTCTCTAAGCAAGGGGGAAAAGGCTGCTGTTCAGGCTGCAGTGGCCATCCCATGCCGTGGTCTTCGGCGCAAACAAACTGGGCCGACGAATAGTGGCGAGCCCGCTTCCACCATGCGACTCGATCTTTGTCCCTCGCGTCGCGCACCTTTACGAGGGCTCGATACTAAAGCATTTTGACTATACATACAGTAGCAAGGGCTAAAGAAATAAAGTATTACTAGCTGATAGTGTAATGAGGCCCTCGTCGTAGGTGAACTCAACACTGCTTACATTTAGATACTTGAGTACCTAAGCCGCTCCGGCATTGGCATTGGCATTGGCCACAGCAGCGGCAATGGGGTCAGATTTACTACCAAGGTAGGCGATGTACTCGACATGTAAAGTTGGATTGATCCAATCCATGTTCCATTATCTCGTACTGCTCAGAAAAGCCAAGCCGGAGCGTCTCGAGAGGAGACAAAAGCTCCATCAATCAATGCCCATCTGCGGCCACAAAACGCCAGCCGACTGCAACGGACCTATAAGACGACGGCATCTCCAAACCCTCATCCTTCGTCAGGCACCACAGCAGATGGTTAGGGCAGCGTACATGTCGATGGTCATATTTTTCCCCTTCTTTTCTCGTCTCGTCGTCTTCTGCTGCTGCACAGTACGCATACGTGTGGGCGCAGGCTACTGTGCTCGCCATGTATTCGCACACGGACATGGTTAGACACTGGCTCTGCCATGCCGTGAGAGGGTCGGATTCAAAGGGGAACGGCGCTGAGGCGATGGCAACGCAGCCGGAACGGGCATAGGGTGCAGAGACCGCTCGTTTGGCCCGTTTGACCCGTCACCAACTCATCAGTCCCTAGTCTGGTGACCCCGTCGGCCATTTTCGCGTAGTAGCATCATCTATTATTATGGAGTTGTTCGTTGTCAAACTCAGCCAGACGGGCCCACACGGACAGCGAAGGCGACGCCACCAGCCCCTCATGGCCTGCGATCCCAAGATGTGAGCCGGCAACTGACATGCAGTGTGTGTCGAGCTACATGTAGTCTGTTGCTTTAGCACGGCCAGAGGCACAGTAGTCGCAGCGAAAGAATCCTGCGGTCCCAGAGAGTCGACGGCGTGCTTCAGGTTGTCTGTCTCTGCTCCGTCTCTTGTCTCTATATCTCCGTCTCTGTCTCTCCTTGTCTATGCTTTGCGATTCTCTGAGATGCTCTCTTCTGCCCAGAACAAGTACCGCCGTCCCTTGGTATGTACGAACATGTACCAAAACGGTACCAAACGCACCCGTGTCGTATCACTGCCTGGCAATGGCCGATATGTGACATGATGGCATGGGAGCGCATCCCAGAGTCGAAAGCTGCAGGACGCTGGGCGTGCGTGTGCGTGCGTGTGCGTACGTGCGTCCATGCGGCCTGGCGCTGATTGATTGATTGATTGCGATTGATTGATCCGCCACCCTCTCCGCACCACTCGCTGGCAGACAAACATCCAGACTTGTCCTGCTTGTACAGCAAAGGGCCAGGACCCCAGCCAGGCTCCGCGATGCACATTCCGACGACCCCCATGGCCTATGGCCTGGCTGGCATACCCAGGATTTATTGACGAGCGCTTGTTCGAAGCCTTGGACTCGGGCGAGGCAGCACTGGAGCTAAAGGAGAGGGAGAACGAGCTGGACCGTCACCGCGGCATGGGTCAGCGAGTCTGCTAGTCTCCAAGCATACAAGGTCGATTCCAGCGGCTGGGTGCTAAATTTACCACTCCAGCTGCTCCGTGGCCCTCTGTGCTTGTGCTTCTTCCAATATTAATTCCCGAGCGCTGCTGATGGCCAATGGCGCCGCATCAGATGCCGGCCCAGAGGCGCCCGTTTCTCCTCCTGCAGGGATCCTGAACAGCAAGAGTGTGGGCTAAGCAGGAGAGGTGGGGATGCCAGACTGAGGCGGTAGCGGCAAGGGCTGGGCAAAGGGTCCAAGTTGAGGCCAGTTGACTCGAGCATCAATGGCTATCGATTCATACAGTGTATGTACGAGTATGTACAAGCATGACTGCCTGCATTGAATCTGTGCTAGGTGGTTAGTGCGCTGCCGGGGCTCGGCACCGCTTCGATCCTCACAGGACGATCCAGAACAGCTTCAACTCTGCAACGCTCGAGGCAATCGATCACTCAATCGATCACTCAGCAGATGCTTCCTTGCCTGTCTGCCTGCTTCTGGAGCTCCATACGGGCAAAGAGTACATGTACGCTCAATTGTGCCGTCCCTGGGGCCTCGCGGTGCTTCCTGGCCTCGACCTTGTCGACCCGAGTTGATGCTGAACAGAGCAGAGAGGGTGTGCCTGACAGCCCCTCTCCTGTCGTCGCAAGATCGGCCCAAACTCTCTCGAATGGGGAGAGGAGGGGAAAACCCAAGCACCAGTCCAATGTTTGCTTCATGGCCCGTCAATCGTCAGCCTCTGGTTGGAGCAACCGCTGCGCTGAGAGAGGCGCAAATCGCGACCAGCGTTATGCGTGGCTTGGCTAATACCAGGCTACGAATTGACTTTGTCCCCTTTTTTTTCCCAGCTTGTTTCTCCTCCCTCCTCACGGTTTCCCCCGCCCATCTTCCCCTCTTCGGCCTTTACTGTTTCAAGACCATTTTTGGGGGATTCACTAAGGAAAAAGAAAAGAATCGAAAAGAAAAATGCGAAAAATTAACAGGAAAAGGCTGGACAAAGACAGGTACGGGCAATCCAATCATCTGCTGTGGCACAAGCTCTGCTTCCCGCTAAGCCGCAGACCATGTCCTCCCTATGGGTCCCCGGGTTTCAGCGTCCAGTCGGAGGCGATATTGTATGCTTCTCTGGCTTGCGAGGCGTCCCTCTCCCAAGGCTACTCGTATACTCGTTGGGTTGGCATCGAGGTCGGGCAGCACGCAGGCGTCCGTGCTGGTCGTCGTCTGCAGCCGACGTGCGCCCATCTAACCATGACAAGCCTCCCTCCATAGTCCTTGTTCATTCTCGTTCTTGGTGCTGATAGGGCCCCCCTCGTTGCAGTAGTAGCTGCGGCAATCGCATGCCTGCCTTGAGGGGCGGGCTGGGGCTGAACCCATCCTGCGAGATGCCTCTCACAAAGGTCGACGTCGACAGCGACTGTCCCAAGGCTCCAATACATATTGACATACTCGTACAGTATTTAGAATTGACAACAACTCGGTTAAGTCTAGGGCGAGCGTCGCATCAATGCCGCACAGTACAAGAATGAACAGCCGTCCCGTCACCGCTTTGTTCCCCCCCGCGCAAGCTTGGATGCATGCGCTGAGAGGCTTGTGGATACACCATTGGGTGGACAAGATGCGTGCCGAATCAGCGCCAGAACGGTGGCTCCCAAAGCATCACCCAGCAATCGACGGGACAGGAGCGCTTTGGCTGGGCCCCATTCTCCTCCTGTGTGTGTGCCTTGCGGCAGTGGCCAAAGTTTATGATCGCCTGCATTTGTGCCCCAGGACGGATAATGCATGCAGCGCAGCCTCCCAATGAAAGCTCGCCCTGCGATACAACAGCTCCGGTGTGTGGGCTCGAGTGTGCGCTGTTATTATTCTGGCCATGCGAGTGATGCTGGGACGGCTGGTTCTGCTTCCCAACGAATTGCGGACCTCGTCGCTGCCATGCACTCACTCACTCTTCGCAGCCTGCTTTTACGAGCCCCCTCCTTCATCAAATCTCCTGATTCTACGTGCACGCACACACTGATACGGGTACCGGTACGGAGCACACATGCGGCGTCGTACCAGGCGTGCCTCCCGTGCTGCCGCAGTATGCGCCATCGAGGCTGGATGTACTCCGTAGCAGCACAAGTTTTGCTGCTTGTCAACAGTGTGCCAGTCGTCTCGATATCTACAAGAATGCCATCATTGAACTCAGCATTGTGGCGGCGGCTGACACTAGCATAATGTGAAACAAAAGAAACAAACCATGTTGCGGCCGGATCGGCACGCACATCGCACCTGCGCTCGCTGGCTGCCCAGGGCTGGCCATTGAAGTGCTGGTTCCTTGCACAAGTCCTGCTCGTTCATGTTGATAGAGATGACCAAGTGACAAGATTTCAAGAGAAAAGACGTCATGTTATGCGTAGTGGACATCCAAATGACTGATTTTGTAGAAAGTACGCAGCACGGGGTAACAAATTCTTCCTCACGGTGGCGATATTAAATTGGGTAAGATATGATATCATATCGTCAAAACTCGCGCGGGACATGCCCCAAATCGCTCATTTGAACTGCAACGGGGGCTTCAAATTTGCGCAATGGTAGTAGTTAGAAGCACACGTCAACTTGTCAACATGGACTCGTCAAGGTCTTGATCTGGGCGAGGCTCGTCAGTGATTGCGACAAGTTCATGATGGGAGACACGACGTTCGGCTGAAGCCAATGGGCAGCCAGACGGTCCATCAAGGGAGGCTTGCGCCAGGTTCAGCAACTCAACAACAAGCGACTCGGCACCAAGTAGCAACACGCGAGCTCGTACAGTGGTCGCAGTAGATTAGCTCAATGCCCAGGAATCCGGAACTGAGAAATCGTGGCTGAGGCGGGATTGCGACGCAAAGTTGGGTCGGCTAGTGTAACCTTGCTCAGAGAGGCTGGATGAGGGGGATCAAAGGCATTCAAGCATCGTCGTGACGCCGAGTTCCATCGGTTCCACGGCCTTTCCAGGGCGATTGCTGCGTCAAAAGGCCACCGTTGCCGCCGCCTCTTATCGCAATCCATGGCGCCCGGCTTTGATATCCTCGATTTCCAAGCGCAGATTGCTCGCATGGGGTTTGCGACGATAAATAAGGGAGCGGCCTGGCCGGAAGGACTATCGCCTATTAGTAGCTCAGTAGCTTACACTTTAACTGCCGAGCTTACAGCACGGGGCGTCGCGAAAACCAGATCGAAGCGCCGACCGCATTGCTTCAAGACATGTCTCAATCGCGCGTCGAGAGAAAACGCGAGCGCCCTTCTCGTTCCTCGTCCTCGAACCGTCTCCCTTGCCTGAGGCATGTTCATGTTTCAATCCGTTCAGAGTGGGGAGTCAAAGGGCAAAGGGCACTTTAAGTGGCAGCGTCGAGTCACGTGAGCACGTGTTATACTGGTGCAATTTCGCATGGGAGCCCTAACGCGTCTGGGGCGCCTGAATGCGCCGGTCGCAATCTCACTGCTGCGGCGCGAATCCGGTGAGGAAAAATCGAGGCCCGCATCGCTGCAAGATCCAGCAGCCGCTGACACGACTTAGATGCCATCGCCGCCCGCAGGTGCTGCTGTATCTGCGCAAAAGTGAAACTCTGAGGATTTTCGTCATCTCAAGTGAGACGCGACGAGATCGTCCGGGCTCCGCAAACGGACTAGCGGGCCGGTGGTACGTCCTTCTGTGCTACGGACAGCCCCCCCGGAATATCGTCATCTCCGGGACGACAGGCAAATGACGCGACATGTTCGCATGATGGCCCGTGCGCACATGCCGACCCCCAACACCGCGGTAGCTCTCCAAAGCTCCAGCTATGGCTTCCTGCGCTAAAGCGTCTGCAGCGCTTGGGGATAAACAAATAAACATTGGAAAATACAACGCCGGGCCTGGCACTTCTGCCTCACCACCGGCCAATTAATTAAATCCCCCGGAATTCCAGGCACTTCCCCAACCTGCAACCACTGACGACGAACGTCTTGCAGGCGGCGCCTCGTTTTTGTTATTGCTGCCGGTGGACGAGCACTCGTACCAAGCAAGTCCCGTACTGGCGCATATTCCCTGTCCTTGTCGCTATCGCCAATTTCCACCTTGCACCTTCTCTGCAGCTGAGGGGAATTTGACAGACCAGGGCCAGAGTCGAGAGCAACATCTTTTCCAGCTGGGGCGTTTTCCTTCTTCCCCAAATCCACTATCGTCTTTTTTTTTTGTCTCCATTTGTACGAAATACTCATCAAGCTCGCCCCTTTCCCGCTTCTTTTTTTCACCGTGTATGGTCGACAAGCCAAGGCTGTGCTCTGGGTCTTCAATTTGACGTGATTCTGCGTCACCGTCTAATTTGTTCTGATAATCCTTGGGACTCCGTTGTCTCCGAAGTGCGACGCTGGAATCTCGGACGATCCTGGACACCACGCCACGGACAACTTTATTGTATGATATCCCGACGCGGGTCAATCAGTGGGAAGGCTACGCCGCCTTTTCGCCTTGATTCGCATAACTTTATTCGCGCATTCTACCAGATCAGTGTACATTATCCTTAAGGGCTCCAAAGCAAGGCGCAGACGGCCTCTTTCATCATGGACGCACGGGTATGTTGGGACAAAGACAAACAAATAGCTCTTGGTTCTACGTTTTGCACTCTCTTGTGGTTGTTCAAATCACCGCCCCTTTCCTTCCCACCTCTCGTATATCTTGCAGCCCTGGCTCAACCTGTAGTGAGACTGACCTTTCATCTTCGCCATCTAGCCTTTTAGACCGCGCGGCGGCGAGAACATGCAGCAACTTCTTCATCAGCGGCATAAATCAGCAGGAGCGGTCGGCAGCGCTCTGGCGGTCCCTGCAGCTGGATTCAAGGGACTTGCTAAACGTGCTGCCTTTGGTGATGTGACAAACGTGTCTAAGGGCCTGGGAGGGCGTGGTGAGGAGCCCAAGGGTGTCAAAAAGGCCGCCATCTTGTCCACGAATCACGCGTCCGCATCCTTTCTGAATAAGGAAAACGCGGTAAAGACTAGCAAAGATTCCCTCTCGCGACCTGCACAGCGACCCGCAGCTCTGGCAGGCAACAAATCCAAGGCCACGACGACCGAAGCTCGTGCGGAGCCTCTGCAGAAGAAGCCCGCAAGCATTCCCGCAAAACAGTCCGCCTATAAACTCGACATTGATATCCCCCAACTGCACAGCAACACCACCAAGAATGGCCTCACACAAAAGAAGGCCTCGTCCATTCAGGCTGTCCCCGAGACGCATTCGAAGCAACCTCGTCATCATAAGAGCCAGCCGCAGCTCAAACAGCAACAACCAACTCTGCGAAGAACCCAGAGCAAGGCCGAGAAGGGCGAGAAGGCTGAGAAGGTCGAACGCGCTCCCAATGGCCCAGGCATCGCTGAGGTCGATATCGAACCTCTATTAATGCCTGCCTTGATTGAGGAATTCCTGGGAAGCGACGATTCTTACCTAGACTCGCTCAATTTACCGCCTGAGAAGGCCTCCCGTGCAGACGTGAATCACGATGACAGCCATGTTGAAGTGTTGCCGCCCAAGCTCCCAAATATATCCGAGGAACCCGCCATCAATATTGAAAACTACAAGGAGGGCCATACTCTCGCACTCTCCGAAGTTGAGGAATACTGGGACGAAGAGGAAGAGGAATATGACGATCAAGATCAGGGTTACACGACGGCTCATTCGACTCGATCTCGCGATATGACGTTAGGAAACGCCACGACCATTCTCGCCCCACGAGTAACCAGCCGCGTGCAGCGTGAGCTAGACGAAGCCAGAATCGAAGTCGAACAGACCATAACCCCAGAAGAGATTGACGAGGAGATGTGGGATGTCAGCATGGTTGCCGAGTACGGCGAAGAGATTTTCGAGTATTTGAGAGAAATGGAGGTGAGTAGACCAAGTCAGCCATTCCAAGCTTCTCCCTCCTTGATTGCTAAACCCCTCTTGCAGATTAAGATGCTCCCCAACCCCCATTATATGGAAATGCAAACAGAGATCCAGTGGTCTATGCGGACTGTCCTTATGGACTGGTTGGTGCAGGTGCACCATCGCTTCAACCTTTTACCAGAGACGCTCTTCCTTACCGTCAACTACATCGATAGGTTCCTATCGTGCAAGATTGTTTCTATCGGAAAGCTGCAGCTGGTGGGGGCTACAGCCATCCTGGTTGCGTCCAAGTACGAGGAAATCAACTGCCCCTCATTGGACGAGATTGTCTACATGGTGGACGGCGGCTACACAACGGAGGATATCCTAAAGGCTGAGCGCTTTATGCTTAGCATGCTCGGTTTTGAGCTGGGATGGCCAGGCCCCATGAGCTTCTTGCGACGTGTCAGCAAGGCCGATGACTATGATCTCGATACCCGCACTTTGGCTAAATATTTCTTGGAGCTTACTATCATGGATGAGCGGTTTGTGGCCTCGCCTCCGAGCTTTCTCGCTGCCGGCGCGCATTGCCTCTCTAGGCTCATTCTGAACAAGGGCGAATGGGTGAGTTTCTTTATCCCAGCTTTGTAAATTCCCGACAATGATTCACTGACAGGAATTCCACAGACCAAGCGCCACGTTCATTACTCGGGCTATACATGGAGCCAACTCAAATCGTTGGTGACAATGATGATTGAGTGCTGTGAAAACCCCGCCAAGCATCACGGAGCCGTCTTTGAGAAATATCGAGAGAAGAGATTCAAGGAGGCGTCCGTTCAAGTCCAGCACGCCCTCGATGCTGGATTCACGCTTCCACACCATTCGACACCTGTTCGTCGCCTGCAATCAGCCCGCCTTCCAAGTGCCACTGAGCTGCAATACGGGAGCCTTCTCATCCCCATAGAAGGGTGAGAAAGAGGCATTCCGAGCATCTGTCTACTGTGATACCCGTTTTTATGTCACTCCTCATAGCCTTATATCGACGGTCTATGAGGGTGGCTACATGACACCGCTGCACTATGAGATGTAATTCCTTAATACTTTTTGACCCCCGACATTGCTGACTGCGATTTCATTTTTTTGTCTTGTTCTCTTTTTCGGGGATTGCAGGCGATCTTACGAAGCCAATGACACCCACATCACATTCTTGACGAGAATTTTCTTTTCTTTTTGTTTTTCTTCTCTCTTCTTGAGCTATGTTGTTTTACTGTCTGGCGTTGGTGGCTTACTCTGGAACTGGCGGTAATGGATGGACTTATATATACCACTCAGGCGCTGGAGGGGAGATGGGATATTAATGGATAAAGCAAAAAGGAAGGGTCGGCATGGCGCACCAGGGAGGCTATGTGCTGCGCCAAAGCAGGGGAAAGATTCTGGCCTTGATAATACCACATTGAAGAAAGCTGTATGGATTAATACCGCCCTGTTATTTATTTGGGCATTACACTATGGACCCTTTTTTTTCCTTTTCTACCAACCGAAACAAAACTATGAACAGACGGACGCTTGCTGAATTGCTATTGGAGGCTGCGTCTGTAGCGCAGAGGCTACAGTACTACTCCATACTTGAATATATCGTGTTGCTGACCGCCGAATTCACCGTTTATGCACGCAGCTCCGGGCCTCCGGAATGGCCCGGGTCTACGGAACAGGATTTGCTTGCTGGCTTTTGTTAGACTGCATGCTAGATTACTCACTCTGTAGCACTCGATATCGACGGATTTTATCTATTGATAGCAGCAGCAGCAGTAATTACGCACAACTGCGCATGGAGTAGACAGTACCTAGACTAGGAACGGAAGATGGCGTATAAACTATAGTAGATGGCACTTGACAGTTCGCAGCCGGGTGAGGTGACCGGCCCGGGTGGCGGCCGGAAAGCAAATCTGGCCTTCTGGAACGACCAGCCTTTTTCTTGCTGAGGTACCGGTACCTACCTACTTTAACTCCGTGGAGACACTTGGGGGTTTGCACAGTGCATTGGCTTGAGGCCATCTAGGTAGCTCGACTAAATTACGATACAAAAACTGCTTTGGGCGGCTCGTTGAACTCCAGAGTTGGTGGTAGCTGGTACTTGCTGGCGCCGGCTTGGCCGAATCATCTCCGACTGGCCCCGACCCCAGATTTGGTGGGTGCTAGTGCCAAACGAAACACTCATGCTACCGCAGTAATCTTGGAGAATTACGGAGTGTATACGGACCGTTATGGAGTAGATGAACAGCCAGAAGTCGGGGTATCTGGATGAAAGGGAATAGCATCATCAGGCCTGACGTGGGGGCCGCTTTCGGACGGTTGTTGGATGAAATACCTGCCTTAGTACTAAGCTGCAGGATCTGATGTCAGCTGCCTGAGATGCATGTACGTAGTACTTGTACGAGTTCTCGTGCTCGCAACGGCGGAAGTCGGAAAGTACTTGTACCTTCGGGTTGAGGGAAGATGGCGTAATCTACAGAGCAAGGCTTATCACTTACAGTTCTCTTTTGCAATCTGCGATTTTTACGTACGTGCCTTGCTCTATCGTATTTGGTTTTGTTAGGTAGGTACTTACACATCTTTTAATGCCTCAGAGAAGAATCAAGGCAAGTCATGTGGGTGGTTTCCCTTTGTGAAGCACGAGATGCCTAGGCAAGACGCACATATCAGCTGGTGCCCAGAAGCCCTAGAATGGAACCGAGTACCTGGCAAGGCTTAGTCCCCTGGCACAGGCACGCAGTACTGGTACATTTAGCCGTCTTCTGCTCCGTGTGAGGCACAGAGTACTAAACGGGCTCTTTGCTGCTCACGTGGCGCTACAGGAAAGAGACAGCCCGCCTTTTCAGCATCTTCTGACCGCTGTGCAATTTGGCGCTTCAGTGGCGGCCAGGGGGACGACATGGCGCACACAGTACCAGGTACATGCGCCGTCAGGCGGCATCTCGCCAAACCTTGCAGCCGCCCATCCGTCAATTGGCTTCCATCCATCAGGAGTAATATAAAAGTTTTTTTTTTTTTTTTCCCTTCCTCATACTTCTACCAGCCGCTTCCAGCTCGATTCCCTAACGCTTCACTTCTCTCCTTTTCCCCTTTTTCCTTTTTCCTTCTCTTGTTGCTTGATAGACTTAGAAATACAGATAGAGGGGATTCCGGTATAGAGGGGCTTCATCTCCGACATTTTTTCTTCTCTAGGCCCTCAGGCGTTTGCTCTTTTTTGGCGCTTTTTCTCCCCCCCGTCGAACCAGACCCCGATTTTCCCACTTATCCAGCTCCACAGCCTCGCCGTTTCTTCCTTCACAAGAAGCCAACAACTTTTATTCCGCCTTCCCCGCGGGCATTTTCTTGATATTTTTTTGGAGCAGAGATTCGGGTTTGCTACTTCAAGATGGCGAGCGTTTCAACCGTCAAGGAAGCTGTCAAGGAGAGCCTGGTTGGCGGCGAGGAGCCTGCACAGCTCTCGGCGCAAACCAAGGCTCGTTTCAACAGCCATGCGATCAAGGACCCTGAGACGGGCGAGTTGTACCTCGGACCTGACGAGTTTATCAATGCTATTGCGCCCAAGGACGAGGACTATGTGAGTGTGCCATTGAGTTCATGATACTCTTCTTCTCTGCCTTTTTTCCTCCATTCTCTCCTTTTTTCCCCTTCATTTTCTTTGGGGGACCCCTTTTCCTTCTCTGTTGGTCTGAGGATCGGAGTCATATCGGTGCAGTTGCGGGACCAGTGACTAACAGAGCATCGGACGCAAACAGCACAAGATCAAGCGGGAACAGTACTCGATCCTCTTTGGCGTCGCCGACAACAAAGGCACCGGCCGCGTCTCGTTGACGGATTGGAGTGTCTTCGAGAACCTCCTGCTCAAGCCCGACGCCGAATATGAAATTGCCTTCCGACTGTTCGACGTCGACCGCACCGGCATTGTCAAGTACGAAGACTTCAAGCGCCTCTACGAGATCAACAAGGGCCCCGACAACATCCCCTTCGACTGGGACTGCGAATGGGCCAAGCTGTACATTGGCACCAGCAAGAAACGCCACCACCTCAACTATGCGCAGTTCTCACAGATGCTGCGAGGCCTCCAGGGCGAGCGCATTCGACAGGCCTTCCACCGCTTCGACAAGGATGGCGATGGTTACATCAACCCAGAGGACTTTGAGCGCATCATTCGCGAGACGTCGAGACACAAGCTGTCGGACCATCTGCTGAACAACCTGCACACCCTGTGCAACATCTCGGCTAGCAGCAAGGTCTCCTATGCCAACGTGCGAGCCTTCCAGAATATGATTATGGAGATGGACCTTGTCGAGTTGATTTTGCGCCGCGCTGTCTCCAAGACCAAGGATGGCAAGATTACCAGGTCCGAGTTCATGAACGAGGCGTCCGGCCTCACGCGATTCGGACTCTTCACTCCAATGGAGGCCGACATTCTCTTCCACTTCGCTAGCTTGGACGAGCCTTCTGGGCGACTGGGCCTCCGCGACTTTGCCAAGGTCCTGGATCCCTCATGGCGCAACCCCATGTACGACGTTTTGGACTCGGCCGGCCAGGCTGTCGAAAAGGTTGCTTCCAAGAGTGGTGCCGTCTTTCACCAAGTCCTCGAGTCGGCGTACAACTTTGGTCTGGGCAGTGTGGCCGGTGCCTTCGGTGCCTTCATGGTGTACCCCATTGATCTTGTCAAGACTCGCCTGCAGAACCAGCGTGGAGCTCAGCCCGGACAGCGCCTGTACAAGAACTCTATTGACTGCTTCCAAAAGGTGATTCGCAATGAGGGTGTCCGCGGTCTCTACTCTGGTGTTCTGCCTCAGCTGGTTGGTGTTGCACCGGAGAAGGCTATCAAGCTGACGGTCAACGACCTGGTGCGCGGCCGCTTGACCGACAAGCAAGGAAACATTCCCCTGTGGGCCGAGATTGTCGCTGGTGGTACCGCCGGTGGTTGTCAAGTGGTAAGTTGGATGTCTAGCTCTTACTCCAGCCATTATGCGTAACTAACGGGTTTTCTCTTATCTAGGTCTTCACAAACCCTCTCGAGATCGTCAAAATTCGTCTGCAGATTCAGGGTGAGGTCGCCAAGACCGTTGAGGGCACACCTAAGCGATCGGCCATGTGGATTGTCCGCAACCTCGGTCTCATGGGCCTGTACAAGGGTGCGTCTGCTTGTCTGCTGCGAGACGTTCCCTTCTCAGCCATCTATTTCCCCACGTACAGCCATCTCAAGAAGGACTTCTTTGGCGAATCACCGACCAAGAAGCTGGGTGTCCTGCAGCTTCTGACTGCTGGTGCTATTGCCGGTATGCCTGCGGCCTACTTGACGACACCCTGCGATGTCATCAAGACGCGTCTCCAGGTCGAAGCTCGCAAGGGCGAGGCCACATACAACGGACTGCGACACTGCGCTCAGACCATCTGGAAGGAGGAGGGCTTCAAGGCCTTCTTCAAGGGTGGACCGGCTCGTATTTTCCGATCATCGCCCCAGTTCGGTTTCACTCTGGCCGCATATGAGGTGCTCCAGACTCTGCTGCCCATGCCCGGAACGGCACAGAAGGACAAGGTGCATGTCGGCATGAGTGATGCTCTGTCTACGCTGAAGTCAAAGCAGCTGGACTCTAGCCCCTTTGCCCGCAGCAGAAACGCGCTGAAGATCATTCTCGACCTTGACGAGGACTTTGGCAAGGTTAAGCTGCCCAACGAGAAGGGATGGAGATCGCTGCCCAAGATCATTGGTGGCGGTGGCCAAGCTGCGCAATAAGAAGATAATGACGACATGAGGCGGGAAGTCAGAAAGAGGAACGAAGAAGAAAAAGAAAAGAAAAGACGTGCATCGTCAAAATTACACTCGAGGGGAGCAATGTAAGATTTCTCTCCGATGATACGATGCATCAGAATAGGCGTTTGGGTAAAATACTGCATCACAAAAGGGGCGAGTTGTTTGCATACTTGCTTCTAATTTTTTTCCTATTCTACCTTTCCGTTTTTCAAACCCTTTTATTCCCTTGTGTTTCTATCAACACGAACCCGAACCGTTTGTACCCAGAAAACAGAAGAAAGAAGGAAAAAGAAGACCATGAGGGATATAGAAGAGAGTTAAGGACAAAAGGATATCTTGCGAAAACAGAGAGGACATGACGCTTGTTGTGATTCTTTCTTGGTTTGCCTATGCGGCTGTTTTTTTTTTTCCTCTGTCGAAATGTATGAGATGACCCTTAGACCTAGACACGGGAAACGGACTAGAGGGGGCTGGATGGCCAAGACAAAAAGAAAAAGAGGACTTTGTTTGGAGGAAGAGCTTTAGAGGACTTTGATTTCGAAGAGAGAGAGGTGGTGTTTTGATGGGTAGATGTATAGCGATACCTAGTTTTCAACGCAACATAAAAGTGTTTTTGTTTTCTTTGCCCCTACTTTCCAACATGTTAGTCAATTGCCATTCTGCGACAAATGAATCGACAGGGGAATTCCCATACCTAGGTATGCATATCTACTCTTGCTTCTCGATCTGGGGTATTGATGATTTGACGAGACTTGCGTGTCCGCTCCAGATGTGCGCCCAGGGAGAGTCTGCTTCCGGCTCATAAGGGGCAACTTCAGCTCCCATGGGACTCGTCATGGCATTGACCAACCAGGCAATGTAGTGTTCGAAACCAGTGGTGCTGCCGCTGATGTAGACGGTCTTGACGCCTCGCACCGCGTCAAACACGGCCAGGTTGTTGCAATCGACACCCAGGAACATGGACTGGACGAGGTCGATGGAAAGCTCGTCGAGCCCAGAGAAGGACTCTGCGGCAGCCTTGCGGTCGAACTGCAGGGGCAGGTCGAGGCGGACCTGGATGTGGAAGCGGTGGATCAGGGGCACGAGAGTCTTGGCCTCTCGCAGGGGAGGATACCAGTTGCGCAGGCGAGGGAACGTCGCGAGCAGGGTCGGGTGGGCGACGAACATGTTTGACGAGTAGAGGAAGGGCGTGGCCTCCCAGTTGATTTGGCGGTTGGCGAGGAGGATTGCGGGATAGACGTGGGAGGGGGCTGTGGCAGAGGAGGAGAGGTGGTGATGGGAGGAGGATTTTGAGTGCGGCGGGATGGAGAGGAGGTGGTCGTAGATTTGGAAGCGGAGCTCCAGGGGGAGGGACATGAAGCCGACTTTTTGTGTTGATGATGAGGGTGATGGCATCTCTGCTGGTGCTGATGTGGTAGGGGCAGCCATTGGGGAGCTCCGTTTTAGTGTTTCGAAGTAGCTGAGGTGGTTCATTGTGTAAGTTAGTGTAAGTGGTGTTGGATGGTATATGTGACGATGGGTGTAATCGAGTTTGATGGCACGAAGTATTTCTGGTGGCCAAGTATATATCACAGAGAGTAGATTATAAAGATGTAAGTAATTCTTTGGTATGGTTCTAAGCAAAGGAGTATACTACAAGAACAAAACCCAAAGGGAGGCAATGCTTATTTAAATCACTTCTCGCCAGCAACTCATGCTCCCAGCAATAGAGTTAGCCTGCCCGTACATCGGAACCCACAAATTTAAAAAAAAAAAACGGCGTGTTCACACCGTGAGCCTCACACGTCGATGCCGAGAAAGCCAAAAAGGAAATAACACAAAAAGAAAAAAGGGATGTCCACCATATCCGGGTGGCAGCGCCGGTGAGTCGGCACTAGGCCTACCAAGAAGGGGAAGTCCAGCCAATGGAAAAACGCCGAGCCAAAGGAGGTGTAAGAGGGAAGACCAAAAAAATAAACGAATGAACAGTCAAGGATTCAGCCCGTTTGATTGAATTGGATGGGATGGATGGGGACAAGGGCACGTCACCGGCATTGAGAAGCGAACGAAGAGAGAAACGTTGAAACGGGCTTCGGGTCGGCCGTTTGGGCGGCGGGATGCATGGATGTCGGTTTTGGCTAGAGTGGGAGTGGCGTTGTTTTCTAGGGGTCCGGTCGGATGTTGTTTACATGCCTTAGTGGCATGCGGCGGGTGCTAGCCTGGCCCGATTCTGACGATGAAGAGGTGGCTAGGGTGATGCGATGATGGCTGATGCCGGGGGGTTGGTGGTTGTGATGATTGTGATGAGGGCTGTGTTTTGTGCTGCATGGTTACGTCGTGCGTGGGTTGAGAGGGAGCCGTTGGTTTTGATTTGACGAGAGTTGAGCTGTGGTTTTATGTTTTGTTTTATTTCATTTTATTTTTTGCTGGATTAATATTGCGTGTAAGCACAAGGGGATAATTAGGCATCATTGAGTTGATGTTGGTTGGTTGTGAGTGAGTGAGTGATATCATATACCTCTGTTTTGCAAGTCTGCTGGTGGCGACATGGACATGCCTTTTTGGGCGCTCACCAGTTCACGCCATGGATGCTGCTGCCCGACATGAGGAATCTCCGCCGATAGGGTTCACGGGTTGCTTACTGGGATGAGACTGATCTGAGCACTGCTGACTTTGCTTGTCAGATGCCAGTGCAAGTGAAAGTCTATACTGAAGCTTCACTATGTGCCTATCTCATGTAAGCCTCTTAAAGATGACTCGGGGACCCAGCGTCCGCAAAGCATAAAACGGGCAATTGTTCCGCAAATAGGCAGGGCTGCTTTTACTGATAGGAGTAATATCGTATCGTACCTAATAGTATCGTACGTATACATGGCCTGGTCAACTATATCGTGCATTGCATGGATGCATCTTGGCAGCTGGAAGCCACAGCCAGCCACTTCTCGCAACAACATGGCAATACAGGCACCTACGTACATAGTCTTGATTAGTTCGCATCGACAGCTCATCCCTCGATCTGCCTTGGGCATTCAGCCTTTCCTAGCCAGCCACCGAAGCCACAAAGGCGGAAAGCCTTCAATCAGAAAGGATCCAGCACTACTGCATCAGAGCTGCCAAACCACGAGCTGAACCAGCGGCCTCAAGCATCTACGCGCCCTCATTCGTCGGCTAACAGCACTTGTACGCATCCAGATGATGAGCTCAATGCTGCCGGGATCTGGCCCGGTGTCCACCCCAACAAGCACAGAAGAAGAAACACTGTATCATGATGGTGCTATGTTCTTAATGGAACTGACTAGTATAGTTCCAAGCCATGGATCTGCGACAACAACCGTCGTCCGATCACGCCAAGCCTCACACCATTGCCACTCCCGCTGATAGCGAATATCTCGGAAATGGTGGAGCGACAAGGAGACGCTGGCGGGAAAAAACGCGAGATACGCGTGCATGCACGCACGATGCCTGGCCTTGTTGAATGCCGAGGATAAAAAGGGGCAGCGGAATGTAACGCAAAAAAAGCTTTTCTCTTTTTTTTTTCCATCTTTCTTCTTTTCCTAGGATGTTTTGATATCGTTCCGTGTGGTCCGAACTGTAGCCGGTACATGCGAGCTGCAGGAGTTTGTCTGCTTACAAGGGCAGATACTGCTTGTTACATGTACATGGATGGGCAGTAGGGAGCCTCGAATCCAGGACAAAGGAGAATTTTCTCGGTGATCCGATTCCGAAGATGATGTGCCCGGGGCTTTCGGATGGATGGATGGGTGGGTATTTGAGTTGTACAGGAATGAGCGAGCGATGAAATCAGACGAATGACTCGATGAGTCTTGACATGGCGGTGACTGACAGTTGTCGATATCATGGCCATGACGGGCAGTCGAGATTGGTCTTTTTTGATGGTGATGTGAACACGGGCTGCCTTTTCAGCTTCCAATATCCTTTTTATTCCCGTCCGTCACCAACTGCCGTTGGGATGGCCATGTTGCCAAGCTTGGATGCGGTCATTCGCGTAAACACTTATCGTTGATGGTGAAGCTTTTGTGTAACTACCTACCTATGATAGCATGAATACTCTACATGGACATGGTAAAATGGTAAGATTGCTGGGCATGTGCACGGACTATGGCTATGATGCTCTATTTTGTTGAATTGGCCGTATCGGGTCTCCGGTGAGATTTGATAAGGCGCAATTCCATAACCTTCAACTACGTCGATACTAGGACATGTCATGTTTATATCTAAACTTTTGCGCCAAGTCTGCCACCAGTTTATGATGCTGTTTCGAAAAAACCCAAATCAAGCCACCAACTCACGATACTCAGGTACTGTGATGAGAGTGCTATTTATAACACATCAGTCCGTCAGAATGGCGGCATTGGATATATTTTATACTGTATGCGTCTTTCCAGCATCTCATGCAAAGCCTTCCAATTGTTTTATACTGCTTCTAGGTTAGGTCATCTTGTCTCAGTACGCAGACTTATACGAGGTACTTCTATAGCCTGTCATGATACGAACTCCTACACTATAAAACCTAGAATACTCAGGTACCTCCTCCAGAATACAAGTACCTACTACTGGCGCACTAGCTCATTGAAGCTCGAAATGATGCAATCGCGCCTGCTGTCGCAATCCCATCCCATCGCATCGCATCGCGCAAACCAATTAAAAAAAAAAAAGAGCAGGCGCGCACAAAGTACCGCTCCATACTCCCAAGCTGTAATCGGTACATCGTAGCTTCTGCCCAAACACAAGGCCACGGGACTTTGTCATCCCTCCATCCTCGCACCTGATTTCAAACCTCAACTTCAACCTCACCCCTCGAAACCTCCAATCTTTCCTTCCCCCTGTTGAAGCTCTTCTTCGCGAAAAAGGAGATCGAGATTCCCGGAATCCGATACCGAAAAAGCTTCGTCGCCTCTCTGCAATTGTTAAAAAAAAACGCCGCTGCCGGACCGATCCAGGACGGTGGCTTGCAGTACCTACTTCGGCGCCTCGATACAACCTCCAGGGCCGCCGTCATCGCAATCGGCAACACCGCTTGGAATCGGAACTGAAAGGGCCAGAGAAACCATGGGCGCATTCCTGCCCTTGCTTTCCGCCTTCTTTGGCTGGGTCTACACAATCGCCTGGAGCCTCTCCTTTTACCCCCAGCCGCTGCTCAACTGGCAGCGCGGGTCCACGTCTGGCACCACGGCCGACTTCCCTACCATTAACATCATCGGTATGTTGTTCCAAGGGCACGCGGCTCACATCATCATATCCATGCCCATCTACAGACATCCTCACCTCAATTGTTACGAGTAACTTTTCCTTCGCGCTTACCTTCTTCCTTCCGGCCAGGTTTCGCTGCCTACTTCGTGTCCAACGTCGCCCTCTACTACTCCCCCGTCGTGCGTAGTCAATACGCTGCCCGCCATGATGGCTTGGTCCCGACCGTCGCCTTCAACGACATCACGTTTGCGCTGCACGCCCTTGTCCTCAGCATCATCACCGCTTCGCAGTATCTCCTCCGCCCGCTCTGGGGCTTCGAGCCTAGCCCCGGCACTCGTCCCAGCCGCTTCGTCTCCGGCATCATCGCTGGCTCCGCGCTGGGCGTCCTCATCACCTGCCTCATTGTGAGCGCGACACCGTCTGGAAACCCGGCCACCGACTGGTGCGAGCTAGATATTGTCTACGCCGTCGGCTATATCAAGATCTTGGTCACGCTGGTCAAGTACACGCCTCAGATCCTCGCAAACTACCGTAACAAGAGCACGCGTGGCTGGAGCATCTGGCAGATCTTGCTAGATGTACTCGGAGGAGTCTTGAGCTTGGCCCAGCTTGGCATCGATAGCTACCTGCAACACAACTGGGCTGGTATTACGGGCAACCCGGTGAAGCTGGCGCTTGGCAACTGCAGCTTGGTCTTTGACACCATCTTCATCGCTCAGCACTACGTCCTCTACCGAGGCAAGGAGGGCAGCGACGAGGAACAGAGACTTCTTCCCGATGAAGAGAGAAGGCACCATGATTAGACTAGATCCAGACTACACCATTTTGATTGCAGGCTAGATTTTGCGAGGTGCCTTTAACACAGGCGCCGCCTGATACCCACTGGGCAGGAGTTAAGAGGCTGGCTGCCTACAGTAAATTTTCCATAATATCCATTGTCTATAAAGATCTACGGAGTTGGGGTATTCGTTCTATCGTGTCACACAGGCGCTGCTCTATATTACAAAGTTGATAACTTTTCCCCCGTCCACTGGGATCGTCCTCCTGGCCGACCGCACATTGTATTTCCCTTCACCAAACCGACTCCTTCCGTCCTCCGTCTCCAGAATCGCATCCACCAGCCAGTCGCGCAGCGCATCGCCCTGCAAGTCGCTGGGCGGGCGCGGGATCGTCACCGTAGCGCGCAGCTTGCCGTTGATCTGCACAGCGCACTTGATATGCACCGCCTGCAGCATCGGCAAGCTGCCATCTTGCACGGGGAAGCCGGCCGTCTTGAAGATGGAGCCCTCGGACGGGTGGAGAAGGCTCCAGCATTCCTCCGCAAAGGCGGGCGTGATGGGTGCCATGAGGCGGACAATGGCGTCTGCCGTCTGCCTCCTGATGCCTTGGTCCGCTTGCTTATGCTGAACAAGCTCGTTGGTGAGCGTCATGAGATCCGACACGACCGTGTTGAGCGCATAAATCTTTTCGTAGCCCCGCGTGATGGATTCAATCTTGTTCTGCGTCTCGCGCCAGAGCGCCGTCTCGGAATCCCACTTTGACAGCTTCTCCTTGTCGTTGCTCGGGGGCGAGCCTCGTGTAGCAAAGTATTCCTTTGCTGACAGGGCCTCCTCCGGCGACTTGGCCAGCGCGACCACCTGATCGTGGAGTTTCTGCAACCAACGAGTGACGCCGGTAATCTTGGATTCGTCCCAGTTGAGGACATCTGCGACGGGCGCCTGGAAGAGCATGTGCGCCCGGGTTGGATCAACGCCGTATTTGGATGTGAAATCGGTGGGGTCAACTCCGTTATGCTTCGACTTGGACATCTTCTCAAAGGCCACTGTGGCAGGGGCTCCTGTGGCCACGACGATGGGATTCAACGGATCTGCTAGGTCTACCTCATTAGGCTTGAGGAACTTGCCCGACTCGGGATCGATGTAAGTCCTGCCATGGACCATGCCCTGGGTAATCAGACGCTTGAATGGCTCGGCAGATGGGGCATCTGCTTCAGAGTAGTGAGGAAGTAGTGACGTAGTGGCTAGGAACTTGAAGATGAAGCGGGAATATAGCAAGTGAAGAATGGCATGCTCAACGCCTCCAATATAGATGTCCACGGGCAGAGCTTTGGCAGCCTCGGGCGAGAAGAGCTGGTCCGGGTTTTGGGGATCGGCAAACCGAGCGTAATACCAACTTGAATCGACAAAAGTGTCCATGGTATCGGTGTCTCTCCGAGCCGGGCCGCTACATTTGGGGCACTCAGTCTCGACAAAGTCGGGAGCTGATTCCAGCGCATTGCCCGCCTTACCTTGCGCCCAGTGGTTGTCCACCTCGGGGAGCAGAACGGGCAGCTGCTCGTCTGGTACGGGGACAGTGCCGCAGGAATCGCAGTGGATGATGGGTATGGGAGCGCCCCAGTACCGCTGGCGACTGATGAGCCAATCTCTCAATCGCCATTTCGTGGTAGGCTTGGCGAGCTCCGCGCCTTCGAGCATACGGACCATCATATCGCCCGCTTCCTTGGAGTGCTTGCCCTGGTAGATGCCACTGTGCTCTGTCATGTAACCATGCTCAATGAATGGTTCATTCTCCAACACTGTGGTAGACTCGTCCTCAGATGCGGCCAACACCATTCGAATGGGTTGGTCGACGTTGTGCTCTCGCCAAAATGCGTGATCTCGGGTATCGTGGCCAGGCACGCCCATGACTGCCCCTTCGCCATAGTCACCCAACACATAGGAGGCCACATAGATGGGCAACGACTCCTTGGTGGCGTCTGGCGTGTTCTCATGGAAGGCTAGAGGGTTGATGCCCCGAATGTGAGGTAACAGATATCCGACTTTGGAGTCCGGAGGCAGTCCAGGGAGGGTGTCGAGAAACGCTTGCAGCTCCGGATCATGTTTTGCTAGCTGGGCCACCACGGGATGATTGGAGGCGAGGGCAAGATACTGAACCCCGAATAACGTGTCGGGCCGGGTCGTAAACACCTCGAGGGCGGTGTCAATCTTGGCCCTACCGAGAGCCAAGAGGGGAAACTTGACCAAAGCACCGGTCGACTTTCCCAGCCAGTTCCTCTGCTGAGAAATAACATGATCGGGCCAAGCACCGTCTTTGGCCAAGCTATCGAGCTCTTTCAGGAGCTCCTCGCTGAACTCAGATATACGAAAGAACCATTGCTTCAATTTCCGTTTTTCGACCTTGGCGCCTGATCTCCACGAGAATCCGTTTGCATCTACCTGTTCGTTTGCCAGTACTGTCTTGTCCACCGGGTCATAGTTGACCTCAGCTTCAGCCTGATATGCCAACCCGCGTTCGTGAAGCATCAAGAACAGCTTTTGCGTGTGCTTGTAGAAATCCGGGTCGCAAGTTGTCAATTCCTAAATATAGGTTTCTTTTTAGCTCAATTCTAGCTATACTGGCCGTAGTTGCAAGGCTTCATTAAATAATACTTACCCGCGACCAGTCCCAGCTGCCATTCATCACGTCAAGTTGGCTCTTCATTTTGGTAATGTTGCTTTTGGTCCAGCCATCAGGCGGAACGCCCCTCTCTAGAGCGGCATTCTCAGCGGGCAGGCCAAAGGCATCCCAGCCCATTGGCAGCAGAACCTTGTCGCCTTTGAGGGTGTGATATCGGGCAATCACATCGGCAATGGTGTACACCCGGAGGTGGCCAAGATGCAGGGTGCCGCTGGGATACGGGAACATGGGCAAGATGTAGCTGTGCTTTTGGTTCTCCGACAAAGCAGCGGCATGAGGTTCGCCATTCGTAGGATCTTGGTCCCAGACCTGGCGCCATTTCTTGTCCAGGGCAACAAGATCTACTGCATACCCTCTCCGGGCCAGTCGGCGCGGGTCGAGTCGCGTGAGGGCTGATGGCCGATTTATCGCCCCATGAGCACCGGCTGCTATATATCGGCGGCAAGGAGCCAGGCCGGCTCCTCTGAGGCTCATACGGCTTCCATGAAGCATATGCATTATGGTACTGTCATATTGCGGAGCCAAGAGTCCCGCAGAAGTCTTTGTGGTTGAGCAGAGGCAATGGGTGGAGGAAGAGAAGAAAGTGTGTCATGCAGCTGGATGGTTCGATGCCGAGATGCAATCGCCCGGAACTTTTTTCTGGGCCAGCGGTTGATATCGGAGCTCGCCAAGTGCTCTACAGTCACAGGCGCCTCTACAGTGCAGTGCAGTGCAGTGGAGTGCAGTAGACGGCGTCATAGCGATAGCGATAGCGAAACCTTGGGCTCCAGCGACAACGGACCAACCCCGCCATTGCTGCTATTCATTGAGAGCTGCCCCGCCACCTTGCGACAGCGGCAACGCAAACCTTTCTGCTTATTTGTCTAGAGACCTCGACTGTCTCGCTTGGGTCAATTGACGCCTCTCTCTGGGCATCTGCCGCTGCGCTACTGGTGTTTCATCGGCTTGCAGCATACCTACATCTTGTTCAATTGGCTGCATCTGCATCTCCATCTCCGGCACTTCACAGCTCTCTTCGGCAGGAAAAACTAGCTGCGAGATAGCGCGACCCGACCGGCAAACAGACTTCAAGGGGGATCCTCATCAATCCCGCAGCGAGCCGTTATCGAGCGTATCATCAGCCAGAAAACGGGTCACGCGCCGGCCTAACCCGACAATCATCAATCGACTCCTCCTCCGGATTTGAATTCTTTCTGCTTTACGTTCTTGTATCGACATAGAGCGCTCGCTCGAACCGACGCCAACAATCTTGCAGGGCAGCATTTGGGCCTCATTTGTACCCAGCCAACATGGACACGGACAGGATCACCGATAAAATTGCGGCGCTGCCGGCCGATGGGGAGTACTTCTCCCTCGAGTTCTTCCCGCCCAAGACGGCGATGGGATTTGCCAACCTGCGAGTTCGTCTTCAGCGAATGGAGCGAGCCCTGCGACCTCTCTTCGTCAACGTCACCTGGGGGGCTGGCGGCTCAACATCGCAAAAGTCGCTTGAGCTTGCCGAGCTGTGCCAGCGCGAGATCGGCCTCACCACATGTCTCCATCTCACATGTACCAATATGAGCCAGGCCCTGATTGACCAGGCGCTGGAAGATGCGAGAGCACTGGGAATCCGCAACATTCTCGCCTTGCGAGGCGATCCGCCCCGCGCCGAGTACCGAGACGCCGACGAGCCGGACCAGGCTGCCTCAGAGGAGTTCACATGGGCAATTGATCTTGTCAAGTATATCCGCAAGAAATATGGCAGCTACTTTTGCATTGGAGTTGCCGCGTATCCAGAGGGCCATGGCGACGGTAGCCACCCCGAAGGCCAGAGCTTTGAACACGATCTCCCCTATCTCGTCGAGAAAGTCCAGGCTGGAGCGGACTTCATAATGACCCAGCTCTTCTTCGACATTGAGGCGTACGAAAAGTTCGAGACAACTCTGAGAAACCACCCAAGCGGCGCTTTTAAAACGATACCCATCTTGCCAGGCCTGATGCCAATTCAAAGCTATGCAATGATCAAACGAACGGCAAAGCTGAGTCATGCCAAGATACCAGAGGAGATCATGGCCCGCCTCAACGCCGTCAAGGGAGACGATGGAGAAGTCAAGATGGTTGGAGTTGATATCCTCAGTGAGCTGGTTGAGCAGATCAGAGAGATCAAGAGCAGGACTCCGGGGCCCAAGGGCTTTCATTTCTATACGCTCAACCTCGAAAAGTCAATCTCCTTCATCCTTGAGAGAACCAAGTTGATTCCCGACGAGGCCGAAGACGAAGAAGCCGTCATCGATGAGACTGCAGTCGGAGCGGCAGCGCAGTTGACGGTACCAAAGATCAGCGTCAATGGCAATGTGCCGCCTCGCTCGTCCAGCCACGCACGCACGGGTAGGAGACAGTCTTCTGTGGGCTCAGACCCCCATAATCGAGTCATCGTTGGCAGGGCCGCCACACACCCTGAGTGGGAGGCAACAAGCACTGAGGCCGGTATTCCCGCCGAAAGTGTCAACACTCGTGCAAACACATTGGCCATTTCTGAAGGCGAGGGCTCTCTTGGCCGTGAGGCGACTTGGGATGACTTCCCCAACGGCCGATTTGGTGACGCCCGCTCGCCCGCTTACGGAGAGATTGACGGCTACGGCGTAAGCATCCACATGTCCGTTACGCAGGCCGTTTCTCTTTGGGGTCACCCAAAGGTTGCCAGTGACATCAATGACATCTTTGTGAGACACATCAGAGGAGAGATTTCTGCTATCCCATGGAGTGAAGAAGACCTGCTCCCCGAGTCCTCCATCATCAAGGCCAAGCTCGAGGCTATGAACAGAAAGGGCTGGTGGACTGTTGCCTCTCAGCCCGCTGTCAATGGCTTGCTCTCGTCGGATCCCACATTTGGATGGGGTCCATCTTCTGGATTCGTGTTCCAGAAGTCATTCGTAGAGTTCTTCCTCCCATCTGCAGACTGGAAGATTCTCTACGACAAACTCACCTCTTCCGAGGTCGAAGAAGTGGTGTGCTTCTACGCCAGCAATGCCAAAGGCGACTTCGTCTCATCCGATGCCACCGGAGGTTCCGGCCGAGCTGCCATGAGCGCGAGCACGAATGCCGTGACGTGGGGAGTGTTCCCCGGCAAAGAAATTGTTACACCAACCATCATCGAAGAGGTCAGCTTCCGCGCCTGGAGCGAGGAGGCGTTTGATATTTGGGCCGAGTGGGCAAAGGTGTATGGACGGGGATCGGACAGCCAGAAACTCCTGGACGAGATTAGAGAGGACCGCTGGCTTGTGAACATCATCCACCATGACTACGTGGACACGGATGCTCTGTGGAGGTTGTTGACCAACTGAGATGCAGTCGAGGCTTGTTAGCTATGTTTTGGAGTGAGGCAATGGATATAGGCGCTGGCAATTGTGAAGAGAAAGAACTAAATACCACGAAAAGCATCATCATTCAAATCTTTAAAGAGAGGGAGGTAGGGGCCCATTAATCAACTTGTTCATCGGAAATACAAGAGACGAGAGTTTACAATCTCTTCATGCCTCAGATCAACTCTAGCAACCAAAGAAAAACGAAATGAAAGAAAACCCAATTTTTTTTTTTTTAGATAAATTCTTTGAGACACGCAGGGTTCCAATTTACTGGGTCAGACTGCTCTCGCTGTCGAATTTTCTGATGTTCACTTTATATTCACATCACGATCTGCTGAATTCTCATGTAAAAGCACAGTGATTTTGGTTTTCAGACGTTTGGTCATAGTTTGACGTATGTAAAGATCAAAGTACTGAATTCTTTTCTATCATTCCCCTCGTCGTCTTTTCCTCTTGTCCTCCGAAAGTAGAGAGCACTATAAAAAATGAAAAGAAAAAGAAGAACAATATATAACTCAAATCAACCAGTCTTCCCTTGTTGTCCTTTGATAAAGGCAAAGAATGTAATGACGAATCTGAGATGTAAATAAAAGCAAATTTGTTAAAAAGAGTATGTGCTCATACGATAACCGTGCTAGCAAAGGGGGAAAAGGGCAAAAGAAAATACCAGGACATGAAAATGGAGAAACGCGCAAGTCTCTGGGGGAAAACGAGTCAAAAGCAAAGTTCCTTTCCTCCGCCAACGCCGTGCATGCGCAATCATGGTCGCAATACCTGTCCCTTCATATAGGTAACTGCCAGATTCCGGTTGTCAAATATCAATCATCTCATCCATACGAGGATTTTTCTTCTTCTTCTTCTTTTTTTTTGTGTTCCTTTTTGAGAGGATAATCGTCCACTTGCGATTCCGAGTAGTGAAACTTGTGAAGTGGAAAGCAGAAAGAGAGCGTCCCTCCTCATCCTCTCATTCTCTAAATCTCACCGTCACCCAGAATGTCATCGGCATCATTCATAGCGAACGATTGCGAGCCATAATGAGCAGAGGGTGGATAACTGAGCGCAGGAGGTCCAGTGTTCATGCCAATCACCGGCCTGCTGGTGAATGAGCCATAGGCAGGTTGAGTCGGCACACTGGCAGGGGCGAAAGCAGAGGCAAAGTGACCGGCCGGGGCTTCAGTCTCGGGTTGGGAATCGCTAGCATCGAGCAGCGCAGAAGCTTCAGCGATCGTAGCGGTGGCTTTGGCTGCAGCTCTGCGACCTGGAGTCCCGTTCCTCTGGCCCGGGAAGGCTCCAGTCTTGGGCTTCTTGGTGGGCGTGTCCTCGTGCTCGCTCCAGTTGTCAATGTCGGCAATGTCGTCCTCCTCCTCTTCGGACGAAGCTCGCTTGATATTGTCTACCTTGCGGGTGCGCTTTCGGCCAGTGCCAGTGCCAGTGCCAGTTCGGCTTCCAGTGGCCCGGGCGGCGGTGGGCTTGGATGGCGTAGAGACGAGGCTGCCGCCGCCTGAGCCAAGGTTGAGGCAGTTGGCAACATCGCCGCCATCACTTTCGACCTTTCGGAGGATGTCGGCGTCCTTTTTGAATCCACGGAACTGGAACTGAATACCGTCCGGGGTAGACTGTCCAAAGTATTTGGCGATATCTGTAGAGGTCATATCAGCTCTGTTCTTGAGAAAAAGTAATGAACGACATGACGATATCCAAATTACAACAGAAAGAAAATGATGTGGATTGAAAACAAAATGGGTTGTTATAAAGGGGAATTCTGAGTGTGAAAGATCCGACCGTTCGGAATTGCGAGTCAAGCGTCGGGGATCAAAGCATACTGTTCTTTTCCACAGCTTCCTGAGTAGCGGGAAGATCTCCGTCCTGGCAGATATTCTTGGGATCGAATCCCTGGTTGCGTCCCTCACGAATGATTACAGACTGCGCCCTGAGACGGCGGAATCGGTGATTCAGAGCGTGCTCAGTCATGTCGGATCCATAGCAAGCAGCAATTTCTGGGACGAAGCGTCAACCTTCGCCCCAATAAAAACAACAATGAGATGAAACATGGCAGATGAAGCAGAAAAAAGACATCTTATTCCAGAAATTGCAATCATAGAATGGGGGAGGGAAAAGTGGCCAACAGCACCGTGATAAGAGGAAGAAAAGAAACAGTTGCTTACCTTTGTAGTTCCACTTCACTTCAGGGTGAGCCGCGACGATGGCGCGTACCATACGGGCTTGGGCCTCGTAGGTTTTGTAATTGGCTTTGGAGCTTGCGGCAGGCATTTCGATCTTAATATTTTCTGGCGAAGAGATCAATGTTAGCGTCGAGAAGAGGCGATGGCGATATCAAATCGACAGACGGCCAAGTTTGTTGACACCGCAAATGGAATCTGCTAAACAATTCCGACGGAATAGAGATTGAACTGCGCAAAGCAACGATCCTTCCTGTTGTTGGGGATAGGCGAGGGCAAAATGCAAGAGACGACAGTGGTGTACTAGGGTATCTGCATCAAGAGAACCTTGCGGGCAGATGCGTGAAGGAAGAGAAGAGATGGGAAGAGGCAGAGCTGAAGAGATGTTTAATTATGCAGATGGAGGGAGCAGCAGCCGAGTCACCTGACTTGTGCAGGAAGATGAAAATGAGGTGACAAGAGGGCAATGGCCAAAGTGACTGGGAGGTGAATCTGGTTGGGGGGGAGAAGGTTGCCAGCTGGCAGAGGGCTGTCAAGCACAAGGTGAGCAGATGATGAATCCAAGGGTGGAATTCAACGAAGCTGACAAAGCATCTACTTGGTAGATAGAATAGATCTGATATTCAGCAATGAAAATGGGGAAAAATAGGCGTGGTGGTTGAGGTTCAAGATTAGAGATGATGGAGGTGGTGATTGAGGTGGAGATGTTAGATTTGAGACGCGATATCAAAAGGAAACGGCGTACCAAGAAACAAAGCCTTTCTTAGCTAGGCAATGACTCGTATTAGGATTGAAACCCGCTGAGGGCTTGAATAAGAAAAATAATCCGATTTGCGGATGAAAAAGATTAAATGGTATGGGTATAAAGACTTGAAGACCAAGGTAGCTAATTAGTATATGATTGGGATATCTCGTATAAAGAGAATACATAGCAACATACCTGTATACTTGGCAAGCATTCGACAGCTCAACAATGGGAATCCGGTGTATGAGCTCCAATGCTGACAGGGATAAAGCGACTTCACGCCGAATTGTCTATTGAGTGACAGCAATCCTGGTGAATCTTAGATCGGCATCAATTAGCTTCTTCCTAGGCCAGAATGAACAATACAATGTATTTTACAATCGTATCGGGCATGAAATAGGGCCTGATATACTAACCAGATGGAAAAAAAGAGAAGAAGAAAAAAAAAAAAAAAAAGACTGGCGAGAAATGAGTGAATGGAAGTTGTATGCTTACAGGTCAAGGTTCACCGTAGATATGATACCTTGGATGGACAACTAGTACATTCGCGTTCTCCTTTACGAGACGGCGTCGCGAACCGCGATTAGCCCCGGCCCCAACAGTGCCGAATGAGGAAAAAGAAAAAAGGCAAGGCTATACCAGGCTATTGATTCCGTCTTCGATGCTGTATACGACGCCTCTGCACTAGGCAATTACTCGATGTACTCCGGATGTACTCCGTATATGTTGGATGCGACAGGTTTCTCCCCTGCCAGAGGCGACGAGAAAGTCGGGGGGCTGGGCGACTCTCCTGGGAATTTGGTGCATGGCGCATAAGGAGTGACTTTGGCGCTGAAATCGCATCGATCAAAAATCGACATGTAAGCACAATTGGACACCAAATATAGCACAAAGAAAATGTATCGTGTACTTTACTGTCGATTTTATGTCGATTTTTATTCTTCTTGGTGCTTTTTATGCTGTGCTTTTGTATTCACTTTCAGCTACACGGTATCTCTATATCTCAGCCTAACACTCTCTACCAAGTAGCGACTCAACACAGCAATCATGACGAGATGTAAATGGGTGAAATATATTCTAGTCATAATTCTATGTAGAGGTAATACAGGTATGTTCACGCCCATTCTATCACCAGCACCAGCCATGAGAGTCATTAACATTAATCTATTATATCCAAGTTTAACAGCCCGGCGTCTATTTCCAGCCCATATCTTGGGACGAAATGTCTTGCAGCGGATGGCCCTTGATGGTAGCATCTTTGCCCTCTCCATAGAAAAAATACTGGATTCCGAGGAAGCAGTCGCAGCAAGCCTGGAAGATGCCACACATCTTGAATGCCAGCGGGATCTCGGACGTGGCCGTAAAGAACCAGTAAATCTTCATGGCGTCTCCTCCGATCCAACTGGCAAGCACGGACACCCGGAAGCCCTTGCAAGACTTGGACTGCGCATTGGCGATGATCTGCGGGATCGGAAGGATGGCTTCGACGGAGAGGCCGATGATTCCGACTAGTTCGGAATACGTGGGATAATAGCCAGGCGTCATGCTGGACACGACAACCTCGCCAGCGAGCAAGCCAATGAAGAGGTAGACGATGAATTGCCAATATCTGCCGTGCTGGTTAGCTTTTCCGATACTTGCAGGCACTAGTTTCCTCATCGGTGAGACTCAACGGCTTCGGCGATCTCCATTGCCAGAAGTTATATGGCCTTTGAGTAAAGAGACCCTCTGGAGGGGTGGCAAACGGCAGGCCAGCCTCCCCGCCCTTGTTTGACGGCGCAGGCCGGTGATCAAGGGCAATCTTGAGGAGCGCTACTTGCATTCCTACCATGATCAGGGATTGTATCAACAAGCTCGCATCGAATCGTGCGCCGGGCCAGTAGAAGATCCTATTCCCCCTCTCTATGTTAGACATGTGCACCGGATCTGTCGGCCAAGAGGCCATGAACCAGTTCGCGCAAGAAGACACACCTGAACAGAGATGCGACGAGCATAATCAGGGGAATATCGAGAGAGAAGCCTGCGCTGGTCTTCTTGCGCTGCATTGAGATGGCCTGGTCGCCATAGGAGATGATGGGTGAGAGAATAAGGAACAGCGGCGCAATATAGCCCGTCAACGTCGCGAGCCAATTCATCATGGCGGATTTTGGATCGTAGGTTGCGAACAGATAAGCGTGTCGTGTCGTCTTTCGGAACAGATGGATATCCAAGAAGCAGCAGCGGCAAAAGGAGGACTAAACGAAGGATACGCCGCGCTTGTTTTCCGGCCGCCGACGACGAGGGAAAAGGAAATTGAATAGGTCAATTAAAATATATAATTCGTAGACCAGTGCGCAGAAATGTTAAGAGAAAGAGAGGCGCCTGGGAAATGAAAGCAGAAGCGGTAAAAGACGAAAGCGAAGTTTAAAATTGCTGGTGAGATGGACTCGGAATACAGGGGAACAAGTGCAGAATGACCGCATCGGATCGGCGTTAGAGCGGTACTTGGGCTTGGCGTGGCGCTTGGCGAGATGCGCAGGTACAGCCCTACCGTCTTTAATTAGCATTGTCGAAGTTCTGGAGGCGGTCCTGATTCGCTAGCCTTGTACAAACTCCTGGTCTAGACAAGATCTAGAGCAAATACGGGGCTTCATCCAGCCTTGCCTTTGCTCTGGCTTAGACCCACTAGACAAGCTTTATCTAGGAACCTAATAATACATCAATCGAGTATCAGCACATGCATAAGTATTACCTATTCATGAGAATTGGATGCAGAGTATGGAGTACCTACTAGTAGTATCGGGGAGTGCCAAATTGGGCAATTTGCTGGCTTACTGTACAACCAACCACGGTACGTACCTCGCTACAATGTCTCAAAGTCACGAGACACCACCGTCCTCTATCAACCCCATGTCAGTGCTTGCAAGTTTTGAAATCCTTCTCCCCTTTTTTCTCTTTCTTCTCTTTTCCTATACCCTTTCTAATCGCAACCCAGCAAGCGTCAAGGGCCTCTGATTCGGCTAAATCGCCCAATGACACATTTTTGATTTAGTTGTCGAACCATGAGTTCAACCAAATGCTGAATCATCTCTCCACGTTCGAGGGCAATGACAAAATATAAGCAACAATGATTCTAAAGGCGCTACAATCAACGAGAACCCCCCCAATCATGGCTTCTGAACATCCATGTCCATGTTCATGTCCCCACGACAACGGCCAGTAGTATATGTTCTCTTACTCTACTAGTCAGTTGTCAGCAGCCGCATCGATATTCCGTCTTCGCTCATATAGGGCATATATATTGATTCGAAGAAGAATTCCAGTATACTCAACATGACCACGGGGTAATTATGTCAAACATGATCATCATCACACGGCAGCAATGATCGTATACTGACTTAGTCGCTGGTAGTAGACAAGTTCCACAAGCTCCAGGAGACAGTAGTCGACCAGGACCACAGACAATGTTCCCTCGGTCTCTGGCTCTTGTATACAAGGCAATGCTGATTTTCTTGAGTGAAATGAAGAATCCAAACGTGCTTAATTGGAGTTGTTCGTTGTCGTTAGTCGCACAATTGCATCAGCAAGACAAGGCCCGGTCATCTGCATTCTTATGTCCCATCAACTCGCCAAAACACTGTTTTGGGACGGATATGAGATGGCCAGCCACTTTCTTTCTGTTTGCTGCCTGTGAACATACCAACATCACAAGCGGCTTGGTCGGGAAGGTTCCAACTACGTCACCAATGAGTCTCGGCAGTGGACCTAGGAATAGGTGTCTACTTACAGCTTGGCGACGATATTGACGCCCTTCCGTGTCTTGTCTCTTCACCGGAGCATGAAGGCCGAGGCGATTCCTCCTAGACGAATGTCAAAGCTATCAGAAGGTATATGCTACAATCGACATTCAGCATCTAAAAATGGCCACCCTCAACAAAAACATCGACTTCCCATTCCTATACGCCGCCCATAATCTCCACAGTTTCGACAGCGCGGCTTGCAATGGCAGCAGTATCTTCCTTGAAATGGAATAATTCAACTCTTATATCCTTCTACAGAATGTTTCCGTCACGTTTCTCTTATATTCGTAACGTGGTGTGAGGCCAAGCTCTTTGTTACCAACTTCTCGGCAAGTCGAACGCCATTTCGACACCTCGATACCCTGTTACATTGCCTTTAAAATTATTGTTTGGACATTGTTGGTACCAAATTTCTGTTCCCACAGCCACCAGCATCGGCATATGGCTTGGGGTTAATATGACAGCGCTTCAGGGATGAATATGCGTTTACGAGTACCCTCAATTTCTTAACCATGAAATCCCGAGCCTCTGTGACAAGGCAGACACTTGGAGAAAGTTCACCGGTGCAACAATCTTGATGCATCGGCCATGATGATGACTATATCAGAGAATGCGAATCGCAGCACGCTCTATGGTTTAATATAATGCCTGGCATTATCTTCATCCCGTGCGAAAAGGGGAAGAGTACCAACAGAGAGTGGCGAGAAGAGGCATACAAGATGCCAGGATTTGCAGCAGCACTTACCCACGGCTCGACTTCAGAGAATATAATACCTTCCAGCCTGTCTTGCCATTGTATCCTCCTGGGATTCAATGACAACGGCCGCTACGATGAATTGTATTGCGAGCGCGGATCCGTGACTAGCATAATATCACGGCCACTGATACTACCAAGCTTTGCCATCTACTATTAATGCCACGAGGTCTGCTTCTCATGAGCATTTCAGGATCGAAACAGCAAATACTGGGCAAGTATACTCGGAAACAATGCAAGAACAACAAACAAGACGTTACAATATGCTATTCATGTTGGCCATGGGATCATTTCTCACACGGCTCACAATTGCTACATCGCAAGCATTACAGACGTTACGCCCCAAAGAAATTCTGAGCAATGGATAGCCTATCAAAGTTCCTAACCCAAGATCTACTGTTACAACTTTGTTATAACATATCTTCGGCCAAGGTCAACTCAAATAGCTTGGACCTGGAGTCCTGGGTCAAATGCCATCACAACAAGATTTACCATCCAATACTGACAATGGCAAGGCCTCTCACAGGAGGATACTGGCACTCCGAAAGCAACACTCTATGTGCACTTTGCTCATTCTCGACGGGAATATTCTCTTTCAGCATTTACTTGTATCCATAATCCGCGATGTTCGCTTCAACAGTGAATGCCTATCCGATCCTCCTCTCGGATCGGCTATCAACAATGAAGCTCGGATATCAGATGATGCCCAGTCGGCGAATCTCTACCACGCTATCGGCGTGGCGGCCAAGGATATCCAGACCCCGGAGTACATGTACAAAGCGACATTCACTCGTCACCATTGTCACAGGGCCTTTCAGCTGTTCTCGGCCAGCATTTCTAGTCGCCAAAGAGTCGCCGATCAAATGGCGGACGATCCATCTGTATGCATAACCAGCTTATGCCGGCTGTCTAGCACGAGCCGGCACTCGCTCGATGCACGAAATCTCCCCATGTCGGGTCCGCGGATATCAGCTGCACAATACACACCACTAGCTTGGCAAAAGCAACGGTTTTTGTTTCCTATCCGATGGGAAAGTTCAGAGTAAGTTTACCGAAGCATCACGCGACGCAAATCACGCTGAGATCCGTATATAGCCGGTGAGAGGCCCATTATGATCTATCAACCGCTGAGGAGCTGTTGGACGCCAACTTTAGCAACATGGCACCCAAAAGTGGTAAAAAGTCAGCTTGAAAGAAAGAGAAAGAAAAAAAAGATTTTGGCACGCCTCGGATTTTCCGCCACTGGGAAGCGCAAGACGTCTGAGCAGGGGTCACATCGCCACCACTCTAAATCTGGCTATCGCCAGATCATGAGGCGGCTGGGACGTTCCGCGTTTAATTTAGTCGTGCCACACCTTGCTCTACCAACAATCAAGTATGCCGCCAAGCTGTTAACAACGTGCCACACCCAGGGCCGGTGGCTCAGCCAATAAAGCCTGAAGGATTGCGCCGACATATGCAAGAAGCAACCCAAGCCCGAACAAAAGATCCAGGCAGTTGACGAAGCCCAATCACGAGGGGGGGTGTCGACGATAATACACAGGAGGAGCTGAACTCGAGCTGCGGTGATGACGTTACATTGCGCCTGCGGCAATATATGCCCATGTTTTCACTCGACAAGCAACATTACAGAATTGCCACTAGTTAGTTTGTGGACCTGGAGAACCCATTTACCGATTTGGCTCTTGATGTTGGTTTGCCGAGGCCCGTCGCATATACGAGCTGTGCAAGCTGTCCTCTTTCTGCAGTCAACAGACTCGTTACGAATTCGGGGGGGGTTAGCCTTTCGGTCGATTCTACACCGCTGCCGTCTGTGATAATCTCTGGTCGTCGTCGTCGTCGTCGTCGGAAAAGGGCGACGAGCTCCACGGGTCGTTGCGAGGAATGGTGATGCGAGGGCTGAACACCTCGTCGTTTCGGCGTAGCAGCGTGATGAGCGGCTCGAGCGAGTAGAGCAGCAGGCCGACGATGGCCACGTCGACCAGCAACAGCAGCAGAAAGACGGCGGCGGTGACTGGAGAAACCTGGGTGATTGATTGTCTGTATTTCGAATGCTCTTTCTACTCTGTGACGAGCATTAAGCCCTGTCTTTGCAAAGGGTCGAGTCCTATATACCGATTTGCCTCCGAATACAGTCACATACGACCATATCCATCAGAATATACGGGATCCCGTCCGCTCTCCCACGGTCAAGCTGATGAGAGGCAGATTAGTAGTCAGGTGGGTGACCACTGGCGAACACCGGCTGTTGTATGTTTCTTTCATTTTTTGACGTTTTATTTTTGTATTTTTGCGTTCGTTGAAGTCCTCTGCAGCCAATGGTGTGGGGGTGAACTTTCGAGGAGGTAGCTTCAAAGCCTCACAATGTGATCCCAAGGAGCAACTCGAAATCAGTATCGACCAGCTGGCCGCCGAATTCATACTGTTGAACTACATGGTGATTATGCGTAAAACCATAATGCAGGGGCAAAATCAACATTTGTAGCCGCCGGTAAAGCTGGTGTCAATATGGATGTAAAACGCTGCGTTCACGGGAAGACAGGAGATGAGTATTTTGCTCGTTTGCTCGCGACCACGTATACCTAAAGCTGCATTTGGACTATTACAGCAAGATGGCATTGGGCAAATGCTCGTTTCCTTGGGCAATGCTCTGTAGAAGACATCCTGTCTACCCGGGCATGTCAAGTATAATCTCTTCCTCCCCTCATCCTTGGCGAGGAGAACCACCAGCCGTGCTATATTTGTTCCAATTCTTCAATTTTGCATTCCTTTGGTATACTACTATATGGACTTTGGCCAATATCGGTCTTTTCTATTGTAAAATACTGCTCCTCTTCTCCAGCTTTCATCATCCACACGACATTTTTTTAGTATATACAGCCCAGCTTCATACAGATCGAACAGCGAAGCAAAATGCCTTGAAGCCTAGATTGTGCTACACTACCAAGCCAAGCCATTATTATGCATTATAGGATTGGTCCATTCATGTCAAGCACGCCTTTGCATTCCTTGGCATCCTGCTCCTCTGAATCGAGCGAGTAGAAGAACTCGCAAGGCTCTGTCGCAGTATTCACTCAGCCCCCCGCGGGGGATCTCTTGTCTCTAAAATCAGGCTGTGTGTGTAACACTCCATGCAGAAAATCCCTTGGCCCAAAAACAAGGAGGGAAGGGGGGCGGTTATTTCCATGCTGTGAGGCCTCTCGTATCTATGCCTGGGACTAACATCAACTTCGCGGCGAGATCGCCCGATGCCAAACATGCAGTTCGTATAAGACGAACTTTGCCCATCCAACAGCTTTTTTGGCCAAGATTATCGGCCGAGAAAAGACGTTACAAGGTGGTGAACTGGGTTTCGATTCCTTTGACACGGCGAAGGATTATATCCCAATGAGGGGGGGATTCCATGCATTTGGGGCTCTCCTAATAAAGATATGGAAGGTGAATACTGCGAGACGTGGCTGTGAAAACTATTGAATCAAGGTGTAATGATTGGGGAGTATGTACAACAGACATCCTGGGTTCGATGTGAAATAATGACAGATCATAGTTGATACCTGTCAAGTTGACGTGAACAGCAATTGATCCCGTGTGGCCCGCGTAAGGAATCTTGACATTGTTTGTGGAAACCGTTAGGCATTGGACTCTTATTATCCTTGCAACTACGAGTGATGAATTATTAAACATTTATTCCATGGGTTGTAGCACACCTTCTCTAAGCATCGTGTTGAAAAGCTGTAAACCTTTGTGTTGGATTGACGCTCCTCTCCAGTATCGCGACGCAACACCTCATTTCTGATTTAACGTAGAACACAGGCTACCAAATCGATACATCTCACCGTAGTACGCAGTTTCCAAAGAGCACCGAGCTGCAGGTACACCAATTCACAGCTTATCCAAATACTACAGTAAACATCAAGGTCTAGGGTAGCGTCCGGGTAGAAGCCTGCACGGAAGAGCACCCCAATTCGAGAAATGACGCTATTCACAAGGGGTTTAACTCCAAAAACCGTCGGCTGATATGGCAATCCATTGTTCGATGGTGGACGGATTGGGCATGAAAATCACCACCCCTCCCCCTTAGCAAGGAACCGATTGCACCAGCCGTCGGCCGGATTACTGGTAACGGGCGCCATGCACGCGATATGGATTGCCCAAGGTCATAAGCTCGATGGGAGGCCGGACGGGTCGAACCACTCCAAACCGATGTGCTCGCCACGGAGGCGAATGGCATTACGGTAAACTTGGAAAACTGGCAGATGTGATCCAGCAGGCCCTGCAAAGGACCATCGACACGGCCAGGGGAGCAATAGGGGATTCCAAAGTGCTCAGCTAATCACCTGAAACATCACACGGCCAAGGGGGAAAAAAATCCGGTCTTTGTTTCGAAGGAGTCATCTCGTCCCTCCTTCACGGACATACTCTCGGCAAGTAGGAATCAGCCGACAGAGCAGTCAAATCCTTCTGCTCCATATTCTTTTGGGGGTTTCCCTTCTTCTTCTTCTTCCTCTCCGCGCGCGTGCCTCTGTTGTCGTTTTGTGTTAGTAGCGAGGGCCAACAGAGAGGGCCTCGCCAGCAAAAGGCCAATCACATACAATCGCGCTGCAGGAAGGAGAGCTTCGGCGAACTTGATCACCGCCTTTGATGAGATGGGCCGAACGGCGTCCTGCAGGGTAAACAAAGCTGAGCCCTGGAAACCGGGAAAAGGGAAGGGGATTGGGGAAAGAAAAAGAACGACAAGATAAGAGTAAGCCACGGCCCCGGAACCTTTCACATTCTTACCTACATGCGGTAGTGGCACGAGTATGCGCAAGTTCCCGAATCCAGCAATGCGGAACTGGAAACCCCCACAACCCGTAGACTCATGGTCCTTGATGCAACCCGAGTCTGACTGAGATCTTTGCCTTTTGTGCATGCTCAACCAGGACAGGAGAGCATGGGTGCAGTGAGCAATGATTCCCATGCCCTAAGCCTCAATCTGTTCAAAACAGAAGGGAGTGCAGCCTGACCGTACGAGCTCTCCCTGCAGTGTATTGAAAACCCATGAGACCGGGCGTCGATTCGTAGCTGCGTAAGTGCTGCGTATGACCAATTACGTTGACGGCAAACGAATAGAGAGCTTTATTCTGCCACACCTCTTTATGGCCATGCCGGCGCTAAAGGGATTTATCAAAATGACGAAAGCAGGAGTCAAAGGCTGTGTACGAATAACGACCCCCCCCTTAAAAAAAGAGGACAAGCAACAAGAAGCCATATGGGGCGCCCCTGCAAGAACCATCACCGCACCTCCAAAAGGACTTCCAAACCCGAGAACCGAGTGAGATGATTAAGGGATATACAGCACTTGCAGGATTGGTTAATGACGGGGGAAAACAGGGGCAGGGGAGATGAAGTTGGCTGACAAGAAGAGATGAAAAGACGCAGTGGCAACCCAATGCTGCTGCTTGCCGGACCTGGTCTAAGTAGCGTTCCTGGTTGTGAATACAGACAGCATAACGAACCGAAGCAAACTCACCATCTGCCCAGATTCACGGTTTATCAAAGATGAGATTGGCATTGCCAGTAATCCCTGCTCTGCCATGTCATGAGGTTGCATCGGCGCCTCTCTTCAAACCGATGCGACGCCACACTTCGGCTTTCTCTCTGTCTCCGGCTCCCCTCCCCAGAAGCAAAACGCGCGCTACGGGGGGTAGCCTGTCAGGATCTGATTACCACCCCCATTCAGCCGCCACGGGCCGTGGGCCACGATCACAGGCCACCACTGCCCGTCATCGAAGAGTCTCTTCGGGGCGTCTCCCCATTTCTGTGGAAGTGTGACACTGTCTCCGCATCCCGCTCAGAGTTAGAGTTGCTCCGGATTTGAGCCAGCGTATTCGTGGGTGCCGTCGTGGAATTATCACGGTCGTACCGCAGGTACCGCTTCACTGAACCCACAACTCGTCGTCCAAGGTGCTTTGCCTCATCTCGCCGAGGGCCATTTTGTCTTCTCGCCATAGGTGTGGCGCGCACATACGCTCGGCTCGGCGTCAGCCCCCCTCCAAGCCTAGTTCCGTGCATTTTCCCCCTTCCCCAAGAACTTTTCCGGGGCAATTCTCAGGTGGACCCTCAAAAAGGGCCTGTTTCGTTCTGGACACCGAAGGAAAAGAAGCCTTCGCTCGCTAACTGGAAACGACACGCCCCCAGTCAAAGAAGCGCCGTTAGGACGCCGAACTCCAACTTTTTTTTTCTACTCTTTCGATAGCAGCGCCGAGAGCATGACACTCAGGAGAGGTGGTTGGCGGATTGGTGGTCTTCGATCGAGCGGCTGAAGCGTTCGTGCGATCCAGCGGAACGCCTGCTGCCGTTAGAGAAGAGCCGGACAATGAGCACGCGGCATTTTCCCCTCATTCTTTCGTTTCTGCACATTTTGGCTGTGGCGTGTTGGTCTGAGCAGCCCGGGGATGTCATCACCAAAGTCCTAGTGCGAACCTCCGAGACTGTATGGTCGGTACCCAGTAATGGTCCAGTCTGGTCGCGCCTAGGGGAGAGAGCGAGACAGGACAGAAGCGGCCCTGGCAGACCAAGGCCTCTCTCTCATGCGCAAGATCTGCCGCTGCCGCAGGGTGCTCGGCAGATGAACTGCGTACCGGGAGCAGAGAGGCGTCCGGCCGTGGAGGGCAAGTCGTAGTACGAGTAGTATCAACCTTGTGGAGGAATAGGGAATAGGGCCGGCGACGATGTGACCTCAGAGGCCACACGATGCCGCCTATCTACTGTAGCTCATGTTGCGTTGCTAATGGGTGCCGCGGGCCGCCGCTTCGCTGCTGCTAGAATCTCTCTTTGGCTTCTTCCCGCACACGAGGGCCTAGCCACCAGTACAAAGTAGGCAGCAGACGACCTCTGCAGTGTGCCGGGATGCCACGAGGGATTCTCCTGGTTGCGCAGGGCCAGCCCGCCATCATCCCAAATTCCGGCCGTTTACGTGATCCTGGTGACATGCACGTGGAAACGCCAGGGATGGTGGCATCAAGAGAGGCTTAGGGGAGGACACATGGGCGCGCATTTTTTTCCTTTTTCTGGTCAAGGCCCAGGTGGAATTTGTGGGGGTCCCAGTGCCTCCTTGTGGTGTTGCGTAGAAACAAGAGCAAGGAAGACGAGAAGCAGCAGCACTTGTACTCCGTAAGAATGGCGCGTTTCTCCTAACGGGGTGAGAAGAGAGCTAAAGCATCTCCCCTCGCATGCCAAATCTCAAGGACGCACACGACCTGCGACAGACTTGGGGTGCGGTTTGCATTCCGTCCAGTACTCGCTCTGATGAGGGTCCGCGGCGGCGTGTTGCGAGTCGGTGTCGTTTAGCAGTGCTGACTCTCCGTGGCCCAAGCCTCGTTTCTTGTCCGAGTTCTAGAGCGGCCTGCTAAGCGCCCTCGTGTTGGAAATCCGGGCGCGTTCTTATCAAAACCCCCATCGTGTCGTGTTGGCTTTTCAAGTGCTCGTATAATACAAGTATGCCGCAGACAGCAGCTCTGTTAGAGGAGGGGCTTGCTTCCTGTTAGGAAGTCTATCATGTGTCGGCTAACCCAGTCACGGCCCTCAGCCATCCCAAAGAACGGCACTTGTGCTGGAAAGTGCCGAACCAAATGCTTATTCGGGGACTGGGGTGCACTGGAGCGGCACATGGCACCTTTCTTGGGCCAGCTCCTTCGCCAAGCTCAGCGTGTAATAACTATTACATACCGCTTTGTCGCTCTTCGGATTGCCGCTCGCAGGTGTGGATGCCTTCTGTTCCTTATCTCGCAAATCTTCCTTTTGCGTCAGCTCCTAGCTGCGCCGGACGCATGTTCCGCCAAGCGTATGTTCCGCCAAGCGTGATAGCCGGGGAGTTGCTTGCGAATTTCCCAGGCCCGCTCATTCCAGCTTGTGATTTCCCCGAATTCCGGAGTAAGAAGACACCAGCAGGGCGGTTCGCTCGGTACACAACGACTGCCCGTGATGGGGTGTCTTTGGAGGTGGACACTCAGGCGCAGCCATGCAAGTTGTGACCAAAGGGGAAATCCGTCTGGGATCATTACGCCAAATTCCGCGGCCTGCAAGGGCAGAATAGCCTGACGACTGCATGTGCAGTAGTTAATACCAGCAAGTACTCCGTGCAAGTAGGTATTGTATTCAGTTGTCTGATCTGGGGCGGCGGCTGCCTCATGGAGCCCAATCCTTACATGTGCCCGTGCTTGTACTGCACGGCGGCATTTCAGGTGCGACTCCGTGTGATATTTTGATATTAAGACGGTATCAAAGCGAGGCCCATGGCTCGAAAAGCCAATCTTTCTGAGACAAAGCTATCCCAGAGCCCAGCCTAGTGCGCTTGGCGTTTTGCTTTCCGTGCTCGTACGAGATCGGAACCAAAGCTTGAAGAGCTTATTTCTCAGCCATTCAAATTCACATGGCACAGCAAGGAGCGCGGCCGCTAAGCTTCTCCTGTCTCGGGTCCGTGCTGGTAAATCGTTCCTTGTACACTCCGGTAAGAGTCCATTGTACTGTACTGTAGCATCGCCCGTGCACACTTCAATTTTGGCTGCCGATTCCGTGTTGCTCCGTTCTCCGCGAATGCTTATTTAGGCAACTTTGCGTAGTTGGTACTGCTGGGACTCTGGCTTCTTCCTCTTGTCACGCGATTTGCAATGACAGTCGCAGTTATCATCAGTATGTGCCGTACTGATTGGGACATTGTACCGCGATGGGCTGCGAAGGAGTGGACAAATGGAGTACATGTTATTCGGCGTAACAGAACCGAGAAATCATCTTATGACAGCTGACCGGCATTGGCGATGCAGCGAGGATGGGAATACGAGTACAGATTAACTCCCGAAGACCGTACGGCACGATGTTCCATCTGGCATTCGTCCCGGCAGCTGTGACGTACCCGTCGCACAGCCCCGTTGCGTTGGTACAAACTTGCGGATGCATTGTTGGACTCCGTCTCCGGGAATTGTTCACTTGTTGCATCACTGACGATCAGTGTCTTACAAGTATTGCTTTGGCCGCCTCTGATCCACACGCAGGATTTCCACTTTCAGTGATAATTCCCGGCAGTCACTGGGCCAGAAGCGCCTTGAGTGTGATTAAAAATGACAAGAGACTTGTCTTCAAGTGATCGATTCAAGGGTTCCCACTGATCCGGCATCCGAGCCGTGTAAGATTGCGTTGACCACAGACCTCGAGTACGAAATGTCACGTTTCCCCTAAATAGTATTGCAACAACAATGCCGGACTAAAAATTCTGGCTATGGCTGTACCCTCTATGTGACGTACCTTTAGCTTGGTTCCTGCTACTCGTGCAATATAATCCGCTCAAGCATGGGAGAACCACCCTAGCTCTAGGCACATACGAGTATTCGAGCTGTGAGCCCTACTTTTTGCCTTCGCCTTGGCGCAAGGACCAGTTGAAAAGGGGGGATATGCCGCCCGGCGGCAATGCAGACCCTGCGATACCTGCGAGTACATGTCCAGCGTAGTATTTCTCTTGAGTGCCCTGTACGGAGAACAGATTAAGCTGAGACAAATTTGCGCCGGATGCATTGAGTATGCGCCAATGACATAACAAGCGTACAAGCGCTGCGCGGTGTGTGTGGTGAAACCTCCCTTTCAGTCAGAAGAAAGGAAACAAGGTTGTAACGCCGACGTCTCCTTTAGGTGGGTTGTATAGTACTTGTAGAAGGCAGCGGATAAGATTCCGCACAAGTTGGGTTATTCCACAGCTGAACACACCATTTTCAAAGGCATTTGCCTCTGGAACACTCCCCCTGGAAAGCCAGCTATGCAGTGCTACCACTCTTAATATAAGTTAATATAATGCTGTTTTGTATTCGTCATAACCTGGCAGATTAACTCAACTTGACCGCGGCCGGTTTACTTGAAGCAACGATTCCCATGGAATTCTCA